ATTCTTTCTTTTTTTTATCATCTTTTGTCTTTGAAAACAAAAAACAAAAAAAAAAAATGGATGACTCTTCCACATCTGGGCCTGCCCATTGCGCTTCAAACTGCACCCTCCCTCCCTCACGCACTCACTCGCTCACCTCTCTGCTTGCGCTCCTCTGCCCTTGCTTTTGTAACTCACCTCACAGGGGCTGTGCACACTCTCCCATTGCACAAACGCCGCCGTGTTTACTTTCTTTGCTCTTTTCACAAAACCAACAAAGAGGAGCCGAAATTTAGAGTTTTTTTTTTTTTTTTTTTTTTGTAACTTTTTGTTTTAATTGTCCTTGAGGATGCCACCGCCAGCCATGGGCGAGCCGATGGGGCAAAGCGGTACCGCGCCGTCGACGGCGGAAGAGCAGTACAAGCAACTTGCGCCTGCTGCGACGACGGGCGTGGACGCTGCGACCGCCGCGAGAGCCCTTGCCCAGCCCGACACCTCGGCGCTGGCGTCAACAGAGAGCGTCGCCATGTACGACCTGCCCGAGAGCGACATCTACCTCGCTGGTGCCGATGCGCTGTGGAATGGAGTTGTGATCAACGACAATGAGCCCAACGAGCAGTCTGTTGTGCCCATCACGGCGGCAGCGGCGGCAGCAGCGACGCCAAAGCTGGACGCGCCGAAAAGCAAGAGCCGGTTTCGTCGAACCAAAGACCGCAACAGCAAGAGCGAGGAGTACTTCAACCCGTTCACCATCGCCATGCAACAGCAAGCTGCGAAAGAGGCCGAGAAGGCAGAAAAGCCCCCGAACTGTGCCAAGCGGGCATGGGCTCGCACGGCAAAGATGGTCGACCCGCGGCGCTCGTTGCGCGCGCGCTTGGCCTTTGCATTCGGCCTTTCCGTGCTGATGATTGCGGTTGTGTATCTCATTGTGATTGACCAAATCACCAACTCTGAGCTTCGAGACAACCAAGGCACCTATGTCAGCACGCTGGCATTTGTCACTGCCGCCACGATTGGTGAGTACTTCGTGTTGCGCTCGTTCGATCGAGTTGGTTTTGGGTGCTTGTGCGGTTTTGCCTTCTTTTGTTTCTGCCCATTTCCTTTTATTGGTTCTCCGCTCTTGTTTTTTCGGGTTTTTCCTTTGGTAGAGATGCATGCTCTGGTGTGGGGGCGGAACCTTGTGGAATTTGGAATTGACGTTTGTTTGCTTTTTGTTTGTTTGTTTGTTTGTTTGTTGTGCGCTGCTCAGACCGCACAATGTACAACCGACAGCGAGAGATAGATCTGTTGGCATCCACCCCGTCCCTACTCGGGAATGATACTGCTGCTCAATTAGCAGCAATCACACTCTTCCAGAAGAGTTATCCGTATAATATCTGGATTGGAAAAATCTCCTCGAATGGATCGATTGGAGTTCAGTCACCCGTGTTTTTCCCAGGCCAATCTTTCCGTTCCAACACGACCGACCCCCTCACTCACGGCTATCGCTTCTTTGCTGACGCTCGCTTTTCAGCCGGCATTACAAGTAGATTGAACGCCACTGAGCTTGTTCGAATCCTTTCCATTGCTGCCCCGTCCTTTCCTGGAGACCTTGCCATCGCCTATCGCAACAATTCCTCTCCTGCAATCCCTGCAGGCCAAATGTGTGATGGAGTTCCTTGCTACCACGGCGGTGTTTATTGCACCCTGTCCTGGTCTTTTGTGAATGATATTCTGGACACTATTCGGCCTAGCAGCCCGTCAGCAACGCTCTACGTCGTTGATTTGACTGGGACGGTTCTCTCTGGCCCAGACGCGTATGTCAACCGCTCAATCACGCCATACGTTGGGTCGGAATTTGTTTCGCGAGTTCGCTCTGGCGGTGTTTCCGACCATTCGTACGAGTTTAGTGATTGGTTTGGCGGAGAGTCGGTGCTCGTCGGTGCGGCGCCGTCAGTCGGCTTCCGCACGTTCCCGGGTGCCGGCTGGACGGTGCTTGTGGTCATCCCGCAGAGCGTTGCGTATGACAGTGTTGTCCGTTTCCGAGCGATTGTCATTGGCACGGGTGTAGCCTGGTGCGTGCTTGCCTTTTTGGCAGGCTGGCTCATTGCCACGCGCATTGTTGCCCCAATCATGGAGATTGCAACGGCGGCTGCCCAGATCATGGCTGATGTTGGCATGAACGACTCTGGCGAGCGAACGCTTACCAGCTTCAGTTCTTCTCAATCGGATCATCGGGAGAAGGAATCGACTGCGCGAACCCACCGCTCACATGGCAGCAACCAGGAAGAGGACATTACTGAGTTTAACGTCAATCTTGTGGACAGCTACATTCACACGAACGTTGCTTCAGCACCCTCGGCCGCCAACCAGCTCTCCCCAGCTTCGCCATCTGAGACCAGATTGAACGTCATTGAATCCGATGTTCCCTCAAGTCCGTCCCATCAAAGCTTGAACACGCTTGTCGCGCCGAGTCTGGCGCAGCAGCCGCTTCCGATTCAAGTTTTGCAACAACAGCAGCAGCAGCAGCAGCAGCAGCAGCAGCAAAATCAACAACAACAAGAAGCACAGTCTCTGCGACCAGGGAGTGAGCGGGCGTCGCCCTTCAAAACCATTTCTGCAACTAGCATGGCTCAAGTAGTCCCAAGTTTGTCGCCTCCGTCCAACCGATCGTCGTCGTCAACATCCATCTCCTCATTGCCATCGAACAGCATTATGCACCATGCCACAGTCCACGCGGGCTCGGCAAACAGCAAGGTTGTCAGCACGGGCTTCTTTGGTGTGTCGTTTGATTCGAACAGCACGCCGGGCGCTGCGGCCAAAGCTGATGGTCACTCGAGCAGTGGGCACGCACCAGCTACCCACACGCTATCAACCGGCTCTGGCCGCCTCGGAACGACGTCTGCTAGTGCCGTGGTTCGCAATATAAGCCAGCCAGATGCGGGGTTGAGCTCAAGGCGACAAAAGTCCGTGCCAATGCTCCCTGCTCACACGTCTGCGTCATCGCAGCCCTCCGTGCAGCCACCATTGCAGCATAGCGAGCACAGCCAGCAGTCAGCGCAGCATCCGCTGGCCCATTCGGCATCGCCGCAGTACTCGCAGCTTGCCACCTCGCCTTCATCGTCGTCGACGCTCAAACCGGTGCTCTCGGCGAACTCGACCATTTCCGGGAATCGACTCGAGAATCGGCGTGTGAGCATTGACATGGCCACGCACATTAGCATGCACTTGTCGCCGTCTCCAGCGCCGTCCCCTGGCCCGCTCATGCCCGGTATGCTGTCCGAGTCGGCTACCAGCAAGGCAATGACGATTGCTCGAAAGGCCATGAACCGAAAAGACGAAGTGCACGTGCTGTTCCAGTCGCTGAGCAACCTGATCAACACTCTCGGCCACGAGCGGCGGCTGCTGTCAATCAACGAAAACCTCGAGGCCATCATCAATGCCCGCACGCGCGCGTTGCAAGAAATGAATCAGCAACTCAAGGGCGAAATCGCCGCCAAGCAGCTGGTCATGGACGACTTGGAGCGTGCCCGCCTGCTCGCCGAACAAGCAGGCATTGCCAAGTCGCACTTCTTGGCCAACATGAGTCACGAGATCCGAACGCCCATGAATGCCGTTATTGGCCTGACGGATATTCTCTCCTTCACCAGTCTCACATCCGAGCAGGCAGAGCTGGTGCAGGTCATCCGGACATCTGCCAATGGCCTCAAGCGTATCATTGATGATATTCTTGACCTGACTCGCATCGAGTCTGGCAAGCTCAAGATCATCAAGGAGCGCTTCACCGTTTCAGAGTTTGCCCAGGACGCCCTCGATCTGGTTGCCTATTCCGCTTCCGTCAAGAACATTACAGTCTCCTGTGTCATCATGGCCGACGTTCCTTCAACAGTGTCAACAGATCGTGTGCGCCTTCGCCAAATTGTCATCAATTTGCTCTCCAACGCCATCAAGTTCACACCTCCGAACGGTCGCGTTGAACTCATCTTTTTCCGCCGTCGATCCCGTCCTGCGCGCGATGACGATGCCACTTTGCCCAAGGCTGGCGCTCAAGGCGTTCCAGCTTCCAGCAGTCACAGCCACTCGACCAACAGCCACTCGACCAATAGTCAATCCAACAATAGCGCGACAGCGGCATCCGTTCATCCGCACAGCAGTAGCCGCAGCACGACCAGCGACCCGGCCCAGGGCTTTTCCTCGTCCACCGTGTCTGGGCAAAGCTCCGGGATGCGACCAAACCAATTCAAACTCATCACCCCGCATGGGGCAGACGAGTCGTCGAGTTCCGGATCATCCAAACACGGCCACAGTGTGGCTGCGACCATGAAGCGTCTCTTTGGACGCAGCGATGTCCCTGCTGCCCCACGCGTGTCCGACGCGTCGAATCCCCGCTCAGATACGAACCTGAACATGATTTCCACTTCTATTGCCGAGTCGGTGGAAGAGGAAGGTGCAGACGAGGTGGCGAATCATGTTCGTCAACAGAGCACCCAGAGTGGATCCTTCCAGCGCTCACAAGCAACCACCGCTCGAAATGCTGCCGGCCACTCTAGCACCGTCGCTGCCCCGCCCACCATTACAGCTGCCATGGCTTCGACCATTCGAGCTGCGCCAGTGGCAGGCAAGTCCGTCGGCACTGAATCTTCAAGTAGTGTCGTCCTGGAAGGCTCCCACAGCGACCTTCACTCGGTCGGCTCGATTGCCGAGAATTCAAACGACCTCATTTACGTGGCTGTTGTTGACACTGGTCCGGGTATGTCGCGCGATCTGCTCAAGCGCCTCTTCACCCCGTTCACTCAAGGTGACGCCTCCTTCACTCGAAAGACGGCCGGTACTGGTCTTGGCTTGTCCATTAGTCGTCAGCTCGTCCGATTGCTCGGTGGTGTCATTGCTGTTCACAGCGAAGTCGGTCGCGGTAGTACCTTCACCTTCTCCTTTGCCAGCAACCGCGGACTTTGGCCTGGCGCTGACGCGCCATTGATTGGCCAACCTGCGAATCCCACTTCCGGTAACAGCTCGGCATTCGAGCACGTCCGCCAGCAGTCGCACCGCAGCATCACCTCCTCCAAGAGCGGTGGTTCTGCTTCAACGCTCCAGAGCAGCGCGGCCACCAGCAATGGCGGGTCTGTGGCCAGCACCCATGCCAGCTCTTCTGCCAAGCCGCATCCTCGCGAGCCCATTCGATTGCAACCTTCGACAGCGTTCAATGCGGCCATGCTTCAGTCTGCGCTGTCAGGTCAAGATTTTGTGATTAGTCGCCCAGATCCTGCTGGTGGTAAACGCGAGCCGGATGAGGCTTTGAGCTTGACCGAGCAGCAGGTGACTCAGCTGCGTCTTCAAACGCAGCTGCAGCACCTGTCAACACCCCATTCGCATTCAATTCACGGTTCCACAACCAGTTCGGTCCACGGTGCTGGATCGCAGCAGGCGCACAATTCGAGCACCGCCTCGACCAGCAGCCGCAAGGGCGAGTCTCCTGCCGCTCTGGGCAGCCAGCAACTGTTGGTGGTTCCTCACCCGGCAGCCAACAACTCTCCTTCCTTGCCGAAACGCCACTCGTTCTCTCAACCTGTCTTTTCGACCCCCGACGACGAGGCCATTCGCCCGCAAAGCTTGCCGCTCCACAGCATCTCACATCCACCTGTTTCAGTCAATTCGACCATTCCGTTCGAGTACGTTCCACAAGAAGCACCGCCCAAGCAAATCACAGCGGCGCAACATGCCGCCAACGTTGCCAACGAAGCGATCGCCACGTCCGCCCCAGTCGGCTTGACGGCCTCGTCCTTGGCCGCTTTGCCTTCGACAACTCTGTCCGAACAGCTGCTGCCCAGCTACGTGTCTTCGCTCCCGACGCCTACCTCTGCCCCACTAACCTCGGAACCAGTCCAAGTTTCTCCAAGTACGGCGAGGAAGGCACAGCAACAGGCGGCGGGGGCGGCGTCGGCGTCGGCGGCACCACCACAACCACCACAGGATGCCACAGCGCCTGCTTCGAGGCTTCGATTGCTATGTGAGTATTTTGATACTAGTGCGATTGCTAACTGTCGCGATTGTTTTTTTTGTTTGTTTGTTTGTTTTTTTTTCTTCTCGCTGGATGCGGAATGTTGCTTGTTGCTGCAAACTGCCAACCCTAAATTCACAAACCGTTTTTGCTCGTGTTTTGTAGTGGCTGAGGACAACAAGATCAACCAGATGGTTGCTCTGAAGCTGCTCAAGCGTCTGGGCTACAACGCCGATGTAGCATGGAATGGTCGCGAGGCCGTCAACATGTGTCGCCTCAAAACGTACGACGTTGTGCTCATGGATTTGCAAATGCCCGAGATGGATGGTCTCGAGGCTTGCAGCATTATTCTTGCCGAGCACTCTGATCCCGCCGAGCGCCCGCGTATTGTCGCGCTCACCGCCAACGTGTTTGAACAAGATCGCGAGCAGTGCGTGCAAGTCGGCATGGTTGGCTTCCTTGCCAAGCCCGTTACCGCCGTTCAGCTCGAAACGCTGCTCTCGTCCATGCTACCGCTCCCAGGCCGTCAGGAGGACTATCATGACGAGAGCGCAGTTTGAGCAGAGATGTTGAGATTGCCTCTGTGGTCGTTGTTTTTCTGCTTTTTGTTTTCCGCTTGCTTCTCCCCTTTGTTTCAATTTGTTTCTTGTTTGTTTTCTGTGTCCGATCCGATTTATTACAGCTCCATTAGTTTTCATCCTTTCGCCGCAGCATGAATGTGAGCATAATAGTTTGACAGGTTGCAGTCTTTTTCTTTTTTCTTTTTTCTTTTTTCTTTTTTCTTTTTTTCACTCCATTTGATACTGAGTCTCGTCGCTGCGGCGAACCAGACATGCTACGTTCAAGCGATGCATCCAATGACAACATCGACTTTGACTTTGATCTGATTCCAGACTCCATGCGTAAGATGTTGTATTGGTGCTGCATTGTGGTGGTCTTTGTGATCGCGTCTCTCTCTTCCCCCCCCCTCCCCACCTCTTTCCCTTTCATTTACACTCACACTCATGACTTTACGCACACTTGCTCGCAGGACTCGATGCTTATGAGGAACAGCGCTCCGTTCCCATCCCGACCATCGCGGACAACCGCCGAGCCACCATCCCTTTGACCTTTGCTCCACTCCAGTGCCCGGTCTGCCTCTGCTTGATCCAGAATGCCCACGGCAACATTGAAGTAAGCTTGTTTATGTCTTGCTTTGGTTTCGTGACTCTTCCCTGGGTGTGTGGAGTCGCCAGCGACCATTCTGTCGCCATGCCCTTCGCTCACTGGAATGGCTGAACGCATTGAACTGTCGACTCGACTTTGCCATCTGATGCATATTAGTGTCTCCATCGCTTTTGTGAAGAGTGCATCACATCTGCTGTGCGCATGGGGTATGTTTGACTGTTTCAAGTCAAATGTGCTCGTACTTGTTTGTGTGCCTCACTCTCTTCCTCTTTACTCACAACCTCACCTCACCTTGCATTGCATTGGCGATCATCAATGCAGCCCAAAGCAGTGCCCGTCGTGCCGCGGTTCATTGCCAACTCGGCGGTCGTTGCGTCACGACAGCAATCTTGATCAGTTGGTTGCCGCCATGTATGGTGATCACGAGCAATTCGAAAAGCAGCAAAACGAGTACTCGGCAGAGCAAATTCGTCGGAAGCAAGCGCAAACGCTCGTCCTCAAGCTTCCACGGCGTGAGAAGCGTGTCGCGCGAGGCGATCGTCAGTCGTCGGCGGCGTCATCGGCGTCGTCGCCACGTCAATGCCCGACCCCTACACCGACGGCTCAACAGATACCTCGGTCTGTTCCGAGGCCTTTGTCATTACCGTCGAGTCACCAGCCATCTGCGGGTGTAGCCGGTAGTCGTGCACAGACCAAGAGCGCAGCTGGTTCCGAAGATGGATCGTCGCCCTCAGGTCCCCTGCCGTCACCGAAGGGAAATGATAGCCGTGCACCCAGCCAGAGTGTAGGTGGCTTGGCATACAGACAGTTTGCGTTTCGCTTGTTGCCAGATCCAAATGCACTTCCTGGAAGCTTGCCGATTCTTGCCATGGACTCGGTGACTACGCCCGGCACGTGCCAGGTGAATCACATCCTCGCCTGGCTTGATCTTATTGCACGAACCAACGGTAATGAAGCAGCGAGCTGCACTTGATATCGTGGTTGGTGGGTGTGTCGGTGTTTTTCATTTTGCAACACTATTTCTGCAGGAGAACTCGACATGCCGCTTCAACTCGAGCTCCCTGAAGGCTTTTCGAAAACGTCGACAGTTGCTGAAATATTCGCTGTATGTTGCACTTGGAACGGTTGTTGCTGATTCGAATTGCGAGTCTGAGAGTCCGATTCACTTTGTTTGTTTTTTTTGTTTTGTTTTTTATTTTGTTTTTTCTTGCAATTTCTTTCAGGCCTCTCGCCACCCTCCATCCGAGCTGCTCGCGCTTTACTACACTCGCAAGGGTGGCTGACTGCTCACATTGCCACCCCTAACCTCACTTTACACGTTGTACTCAGCCCGAAGCTCTCAGCTCCTCTAATCCATCCCAACAAAATTCCGTCGAGTTTGCACCTCGCCGCCGTGCGGTCTAAATCATCATGTTAACGCGATATTTCTGAATTTGGATAATTATTTGTATAATAGAAACTTGTGCGTCCTCACAGAAACTTGTTTTAGTCGATGGTTGTCAAAAACTTTTGCGCAGCCTCGATGCTCGGCTCCTTGCCGGCTTCCCAGTCGCACTTGGTCAATGTTAGCATGCGGTCGATTGTCTCCGTGCCCATTAGGTCGCCGAGTCTTTGTCTTACTGTTTGTGCAAGCAACGGCTTGTTGCTAGCACAAAGCAACGCAAGAGTGCTGACGACGGTAGCGCTGCGTCGCAAAAATGAAGGGTGAGATTGCTTGGCCAAAACAAAGCAAGCACACGTGGAATGCACGAAAAATTACGTACCGCATGGCATTATCCAAAGACTTGCGATTCACCAAGCTCACTAGCACTGAAAACCCTTCGAGTTCGCGAAAGTTATCGACATAGGCGGGACCTTGAGCAAGGGTGCTGGCTAGCAAGTCCAGCGCGTTGGTAAACACTTCGCGACTCGACGATGTTGCGACTTGTACACATTGTTCCGTCACGGCAATGAGGAGCTGAGGATGCGCCACGGGCAAAGAGCATGTCCAAGAAAAAACCAACGAGAGATGAGCACGCTTGTTCTTCTCTCAAACAAACATTGACGCACACTGCTAGCATGAACAGTACCTCTAGGCCGCCGAGATCACAGAATTGCCGCGGTGCATCGACATGCAACAGACACAATCCTTCTACAACTTGAAATGTTCGCACGTACTCTTCCGCCGAAATGAAATCTGTCCTCCACCGCACATTCCGTCCAAAAATAAAGCAGACAAGCAGGTTGGTTCATTGATGGTCAGCCCCATTGGTAGTTTGCAAACCAGCTCAAACGGCAGTGCAGTGGTGGCGGTGGAACTCGAGCGCTATTACCTGGTGGGATGTGATTCGGCGACGTCAAGGCAGACAATGCACGAAAGATAACTACAAGACATCCAAACTCGACGTCGAGTCAGCAAACACGGTGTTCTCCCACCTATGGGCGATCGATCGTTGAGCGACTTGCGCATTTTTGTTGGCCCTACCATTGAACTCGCCTTCGTGCACTTGAAGCGACAGGAAGCTGGCCTTCTCGTGACTGCTCTCGCCACTGGCCAGGCTGCCGAGATAGGAGAGCAATCTGCGGAGGGCGTCGACCCGACGATGACCGAACGGGCTGGCGAGCTGTTGCAGAGTGAGAGAGCAGGTTGAGCTTTTTGAATGAGTTACAACACTCAGCACTCCTGCCTCCACAGTAAACTAAGGTGCTCTCAAAGTCCCTCCCCCCACACACACACCGCCTCCAGACCACACACACGCACACACACACACACGCTTGACACCCTTCGGGCGACGGACATGCTCAAAAACGAGAACCGCAAAAATCCACAACGCATACCCCGTCAAAGCAGGACAAGAGTCTGTGCTGCACTTCTCGCTTGGCGCGGTCGTCGAGCAGCCACGGTTCGTCCATTGTTGTGTGTGGTAGGGTTTGACTGAGGGGGGTAGTCGACAGACAGAGCGACAGACAGCAAGAGAGAGCGATAGAAGGGGGAAAGTCTCGTTCCAATTCAAAAGGAACAATGACCTCTCTCTTCCCTAAAAAAAAAATGAAAAGAAAAAAGAAAAGGGTTTTTGTTTCGTCTTGCACGAGGATGGCACAGCAAAAGAGATGCATGACAATCACAGAAAGTAAAATCTACTACAGAAGGCATTCCAACAGCACAAGCAACGACGCTCGTCTTCGCTTGTTTGCAATCTTACGCGAAATCGACCTTCTCGGTTTGCATTGAAGGTACAACATCGATTGTCGTTGCATACAAGTTAATCAGTAAAGTCAGGCCGACAAAGGCATGTGCAGGAATGCTGGAGATCTTGTTGCTGTCCAGATTCCTACAGATAGGTGCCGCCAACGAGTGAGCCACTGTCCCTGGCTGTGTTGGCTTACAAGTTCGTCAGCCGGTAAATGCATTTGCAGCAGTGCTGGAGATCAGGTTGCCTCCCAGATCGCTAGACATAGAGTTGCAAAACGAGTGAATCGGCTGTGCGATTCTTCGTGTCTCGGCTTGCTTACAAGTAACTCAGCGCAGTCAAGCCTGTAAATGCGTTTGCGGGAATGCTGGTGATCAAGTTGCCGTTTTCTAGTAAACGATCACACCAGCCCCCCCCCCGCCCCGCCCCTCCTCCCTCGGCTTGTGCATTTCAAGTGGAATCGATGCACGCTGCTTTCTGTTGTATCATTCACCCGCCTTTTTTAGGCTGATCCTAGGTCTGTGGGAGTCAACTTTCAAGATGCTTTGCTTTTGAGCAGCCGACCACTTCGGGCATCAACTGCTTGACTACGATAGCCGTAACCGGACCGCGACAGCTGTGTATCAGCGTTAAATATTGTTTTCGTGATATCTTGACTGTTGGCGTTCGACTGTTGGTTCGCGGTACCGACATGACTCGATGTTGATTTTGTGTTGTTCAAAGCGGCAACGAAATGACGCTACCCGTTGCATTTTTTGCCATGATTGTCAATGTTTGTGCTGTATTTGTGAATATAGTTGATGTAATAACAAAGTGGGCTTGTGGTGCGCTGATGTGCGAATGGTGCGACACGTTTGTTCTGGCAAGGTCGTCTCAAGACAAACACAGTTGCGTCGGCCATTTCACTCTCGCAAATTTTTGGAAAATTTCCCTTCAAACTTCTCCAATACGCCTAATCTGTCTCTCCTATCATGTCAAAAGTATTGGAGGCACAGTCATAGAACTATAGAAGCCACTTACACGACAATACACAAGGAGAAACAGACCAATATCGTCAGTCAACAAAAAAAAAAAGTTGGGCAAACGTTGTATTGCACTGTTCATTCAGCACCAAGAACCAAAATTCACCCATAATAGAGCACGAGACAACGTCACAGGTATGGAATTTTAGTACTTGTAGAAGCCGCGGCCAGACTTCTTGCCTAGGAGCCCAAGCAGCAAGGACGAGCAAGAAACCGTCAGCATTCACTCGCACACATTGCAAACAGCAAGACACGCACAGCATCAAAGCGCGAGACGGCTTACCAAGCCAGCCAGCCTCGACGTACTTGACCAAGAGGTTTGCGGGACGGTACTTGGAGTCGCCGAGTTGCGAGTGCAGAATCTGCATGATGGCGAGGCACGTGTCCAGGCCAATGAAATCGGCCAGCGTGAGGGGGCCCATGGGATGCGAAAAGCCGAGGCGGCAGGTGGCGTCAATGTCCTCGCGAGTGCCGAGGCCGTCCTGGAGCGCAAACACGGCCTCGTTGATGAAGGGCATCAGCAGACGGTTGGCAATAAAGCCGGGCACATCCTGCGACGTGGCAGTCGTCTTGCCCATGGCAGTGGCCAACGCAAGGCTGCGCTGAAGCGTCTCGGGAGAGGTTTGCAGACCCGAGATGATTTCGACCAGCTTCATGACAGGGACGGGGTTCATGAAATGAACGCCAATCACTGTGCCGTGTCGGACCCGACCCCATCAATGCGAAGGAGGTTTTTCAATCATCCCATGCGAACAACGGAAACAACAAGCAAAACAAAGACGATTGAGTCAACAAACAACAACAACACCCGAAAATGGTTTAGTTTCAAAAACACAACCGGAAAACGCACCATTCTCCGGGTTTTTGGTCACGCTGGCAATCTTGGTGATTGAGATGGACGACGTGTTTGAAGCAAGGATGGTGTCCTTGGAGGTGACCTCGGACAGCTGGCGGAAGAGGTCGAGCTTGAGATCGGTCTTCTCGCTGACGGCCTCGACCACAAAGTCGGCACTGGCAAAGTCCTTGATGTCTGTGGTCAAGGTGAAGCGAGACACAATGTCCTTGCGCTCAGACTCTTGCATCTTGCCCTTTGCAACGTTCTTGGCCAGCAGCGAGTCGACGAAAGCGAGCTGCTGCTGCAAGCGCGGCATGCTCACGTCCATCACAGTGACGGGGATCTTGGCCACCTGGGCCGCCACCTGAGCAATGCCAATGCCCATCTGGCCGGCACCGATAACGCCGAGGCGTCGCACGGGCGCAACGATCTTGCACATGGTTTTGAGAGATGGATGTTTGTTCACGGGTTGGATCGTGAGCTCACAAAGTCAGCAGTTGAGGACACAAAAGCCGAGCTTGGGCAGTACCTTATCGCTACCAGGAGCGGCCGCGTTGGCCGAGGCAGCGGAAGTTGCGATCGAGCGGATTGCAGCACGAGTGACAGCAGTCTACAGGATTGAAGAGAAGGGGGGGGGTAGGTCGGTGAGAGTGATGATCGTGATGAGCCAAAGTCTGCCAAAGTCGGTCCACTGTGACACTTTTCCCTCAATCACCAACCACCAACCAACACAGTAACAGCAACAACAACAACAACAACAATCCAATTATCATTCTGCTCGACTTGTCGATGCATTTCTTGCCTGGGACAGAATCGGACGGAACATGATGAACGGCAATGGAAGAGTGACTGTCGCTTTATTCTTTTCTCTTTCTCTTCTCATCTCGCTTCACTGTCAGTGCGATCTGGGCCATCTTTTCATTCTCTCTGCTCATCATCATCATCATCATTGATTTTCAGTTATCTCTTTGTATTTCAGATTTCGCTTGCTGATTCCTTCACTCCTTGTTTTTGTCCCCCCTTCCTGAATGCTCTCTGCATCTGTGCCCACACTTCGCAGCAGCCATGCGCTGGTGCGCTCTGCCATGACTGCCGCAGTCCGCGCTGCCGCTGCTCCTGCCGCTGCTCCTTCTGCTGCTTCCACCCCAGCGCCTTCCGCTCTGATCAATGCTGCTCAATCGCGCTCGCTCTCTGCGCACGCCGCCGCTCGCCCGTCCGCCGCTCACCGTGCTGCCACGACTCAAACTGTGCGTGATCGTGTTTTTTTTTTTTCATTTTTCATGATTTTTTTTTTATTTTCATGATTTTTTTTTTTTTTTTTTTAAGGTTGGAGAGGTGTTCCCGAGTGTGTATTGGCGCGTTGCAGCGATCGGCTTGCACAAGCGCAACCAAGTGGCAATACAGAGGCGAGAGTGAGAGCCGACATAAGGCCCCTTTGAGGACTTGAAGAAGAAGAAGAAGAAGAAGAAGAAGAAAATTGACCCCTCTATCTCTCTCTCTCTGCCGATGATGGGGATGGATCACGGACCGTTCATGACATCATACGGTGCGTGCAAGTGGAGCAATAGGTAGATCTATCTCAGCTGGGATCAAACGACGAGGCGCGTGTCTGCGATGCGGCGAGAAGAAAACCAACTACGACTGCTCGTCTCACGCTCAAGCGCAACACGCAACGTTGACTCACTGCACCGTGTCCATGTCTCTGCTGCTGTTGAAATTGCTGTTGCTGTGCGTCTAGGTCTCGGCGCTGTCGGCTTCCCGTTTGACCGCTCGATCGATGGTAACACCAACCATTTTCATTTCATCCGGTTCGGTTCCACTAGCCTTGTTCTGACTTGTTTTTTTTTTTTTTGGTTCCTCTTGCTTCCCGTCGTCGACTTTAAATCATTGCTGCAGCGTTCGTTCCACACATCGACTGCTGCTTCGGGCATCGTGCCGTTCAACCTGGCAGACATCGGTGAAGGCATTGCCGAGGCTGAGGTCCTCCAGTGGTTTGTCAATGTCGGCGACAAGGTCGTCCAGTTTGACAAGATCTGCGAGGTGCAGAGTGACAAGGCGACGGTAGAAATCACCTCGCGTTACGAAGGCACTGTTGCCAAGCTGTATTACAAGGTGCACGACATGGCCAAGGTTGGCTCCGTGCTGGTTGATATTGATGTTGCGGGAGCTGCTGGTGCTGGATCTGCCGCGCCATCCGCTACTCCTGCTGCTGCGGCTGCATCTGCCACATCTGCCTCCTCTGCCTCCTCCTCTGCTGCTGCTGCTGCTGCTGCTCCCGCTGCTGCCGCGTCGGATGCTCTCAGTCTTGCCACCCCGGCCGTTCGTCGGCTAATAAAGGAGCACAACCTGTCGCTCAAGCAGATTGTCGGCACTGGCCGTGACGGTCGTGTTCTGAAGGAGGACGTCCTGAACTTTGTCGCCAACGGTGGTCGCTCTGCCGCCCCCGCTGCCGCCGCCCCCGTTGTTGCTGCAGCGCCTGCATCGACTGCCTCTGCTGCCGCCAGCACCGCCACCACCGCTACTCCTGCAGCAGCCCCAGTTTCGGTGGCACCTGTCCGAGGCGATCGTGTGGAGCCCATTCGTGGCTTCAAGCGCACCATGATCAAGTCGATGAATGCCGCCAACCTCATTCCCCACTTTAACTACTGCGACGAGATTGTCATGAACCGCCTCATCTCCTTCCGTACCGACCTGAAGCCCTTGGCAGAGTCGCGTGGCGTCAAGCTGACGTACATGCCCATCATGATCAAGGCTGCGTCGCTTGCCCTCCTGCGCTACCCCATCCTCAACTCGTCGCTGAACGCCGACGCTACCGAAATCACATACAAGGGATCGCACAACATTGGTGTCGCAATGGACACTCCTGGAGGCCTCGTTGTCCCCAACATTAAGAACGTCCAGGACAAGTCCATTTTCGAGGTCGCAGCGGAACTCAACCGCCTGCAGCAGGCGGGCTCCAAGGGCCAGCTTCGCGCCGAAGACTTGACCGGTGGCACGTTCACGCTGTCGAACATTGGCACCGTTGGCGGCACCTACATGAAGCCCATTATTGTCGTTCCCGAGGTTGCCATCGGCGCCATTGGCAAGATCCAAAAGCTCCCTCGCTTCAACGAAGACGATTCCGTCTATGCCGCACACATCATGCAGGTCAGCTGGTCGGCCGATCACCGCGTCATTGATGGCGTCACCATGGCCAGCTTCTCCAACTTGTGGAAGTCCTACATTGAAAACCCCCAGAGCATGGTTGTGGACCTCAAGTAAACATTGCCTTGCTTGTCCATCATCCTGTTTTCGGTTTTCAACTGCTATGTGATTTGTCTCTTCCGCAAAATCCCACCCCCCATTGTTTTGTCACCTTACCGCAATAAATAACACTGAACGCCAAAAACACAACAAAATTCGATGCGATGTTTGCAAGTTCATTGGAAAATGTCTTGCTCACACGCTTTATTTTTTCTCAGACTGCATCTCTGATTCAACGTCGAAAATCACAATTCAAACTCAACAATCTACAAGGCTGCTATCGCCTCAAAACAGAACGGCACGAGCTTGCTCGTGGCGGATATCCTTCAACCACCCAGGCGTAGCAACAGTCACGTATTGCGATTGTCCACGCACTGGGGTAAGTGGCGCGCGACTGCGATGTGGTGTCGACGGGGAGCCGCAGGATGTGTAGGTCTTTTGCAAGTCCAGCATGGTCGATCGCTCACGTTCCAAAGTCTGCAGATTGCAAAAAACAAACAAACAAACAAGCAAAAAAACTCGTACGTCAGAAGCCGACACGATCTGGCAATGGTAATGGCAATGGCATGGAGCAGGGTTTGACCTACCTTTCGCTCCTGCTGGATCAACTCGCGCTCCTTTGCCAACTTGATGGAAGCGTCAGTGTAGTGCTTGCGCTCCTGCTCGAAACAAGCGCGCTCTTGTTCAAACCGGCGCTTGGCGTCCAGCTGATTTTCAAAGCAAGGAACTCGAGTGTTAGCTCCAAGTTTCAGTTTCAGACAATGCACAGCGATTCCTATGTGCACTCACCAATTCCTCGTGCTCTTCAACAAGGTACGAATCGGACACGTTAGTCATACGAGCGGCCGCCAGGAGAACAGCGTCGCCACCGCTTGCCTCCGACTGGAAGACGTTCTGCTGCAACAATTCATCCTGCTGCTGGATGATGGTCTCAAGTTGAGCCATCTGCTCTTGCATTGCTGCAACAGTGGCCGTGTGCATGGTTTGGTGCTCGGCCAATCGCTGCTGCATGTCAAAATTGCTGAGCGAGGCAATCCTGCTCTCGTTCAGGTTGTTTGCTAGCGAGTCACCTCCCACACCACGCTCGGCACGAGTTTGCTCCGCTTCTTGCAACGCCAGAGTACGTGTCTGGTTGAGCAATGCGAGCAAATCGGCGATGGCGCGCATTTGCGCCTGGGCACTCTTTTCGATGGCGGGCAAACCTGTAGCCATCGGCTGGTTGAACGCAGCCACAGGCACAGGCGTGATTGCCAACGTGACAACTTTGCTGTCATCCAGGCCATTCTCCTTGGCATTCTTCTTTGCGGCGCTTGCAACCTGCTCGTTCAATTCGTCAATGACTGGCAGAAACGAGGCAACACTTTCGGCGAGGAAAGTATGCGTGGTCAGCAACGCCTGACGAAGGGTTGCGTTTTCTTCTGCGAGCACGCGTTGGCGTTCCTATTTGCCAACGAAGGCAAGTCAATCGAAGGCAAGTCAATCGAAAAAGAAAGAAAAAAACAGTCAGCGCAGAGATGCAATCGTGACTTTTTTTTTTTTTTTTTTTTTTTTGCCGTCAGTAGAGTGTATCGACATCCTACCTCGAATGTCGCTTGCACGAAGGCGTGAAATTCATTCTCCTGATCTGCCACCTGCTGCGCACGGGCTCCTGGACGAGAAATGTCCACTCGCTTGGGGGCGTTCACAATTTCCATGCCAAACTTGGCGTTGCTCTTTCGGTCGACTTGCAACTTGGCCAGCTGGTCCTTGACGGCGAGATGTTCGCGCTCGCGTCGACGGGCTTCGACCTGGTATTCCTTCTCCTTGCTTTGCATGGAAGTTTTGAGCTTGGAGTGCTGCGAGCGTCAACCGTAGCTCATTTCGAATGAGAAATTTTGCATAGGGTCGTTTCACAGCGAAAAGCCGTTGTTTCTGATTCACTGACCTCTTCTTTTTCAGAACGGAGCTGGTCCCAGGTCTTGTTGTACTTGTCCATCAGCCTCGACTCGTTGGCATGTTTGGCCGAGATTTCCCGCTCTGCCTGGGCGAGTTCGTCGCGCAAACGCTCGGACTGCTGCTGGCTGTATTCCAAGTCGCTTTGCATGCGGTAGAGTTGCGTTTGCAGCTCCTGCGCAAGGGTCATAGTCATTGGACCAGTCAGTCAAGCTTGTTCCCAAACGACAATGTATACTTTGATGTTGGGTTTGGCTGCAGTGTTTGTTGGACTGAGGGAAAATGCGACGTTTGTGTGCTTTTTTTTTTTTTTTTTCGTTGAAACTGTTTCAAAATTTTGACAGGTTTTGAAACGACTGTTTCGCCAGATTTCTTCTGACTTGCAGCAAACAAACCGCCACTCACGCTCCTTTCTCACTGATACTCTAGTGTACGTTTACTTCACGACAAAAGCGACATACCCAGCCCAGCAGGACGGTGGGGCGAGGACAAGACGAACGAATTGGGGGCGAAACACAAAACTCGTCAAAAAACCGTTCGCTCGCTTACCTCACTTCGCGCGACAAGCTGAGGAATCGAGTCCATCGGGGGAGCAGTTGACGAATGCTGCTGCTGCTGCTGCTGCTGCATATTAAACTGCTCCGGGTCGAATCGCAGCGACGGGTCGAGTGGCGCAGCGGCCATCGTCGAGGTCATTGGAATAAACGTCAAAACGTCCATTTTTCAGTGTCAATGGCTTTGTTCAGTGAGTGAAAAAGTAGACTAAAACAAAAAAAGTTCCTCTTATTTTTGAGGATGACTGATTGTGAGATCAGCAGCTTTACTTATTTGAATAGGACCTCATTCATCATTCGTTATCACTGCTGTCGGGAGCAAGATGAGCGGAAATGAGGTGAACAAGCTAACAAAAGTTGTGTGCTTTGGACAGTTTGACATGGGCTTCTGTGCTGACCATCCCCTCGCCTCTCAAACAATCAACATTGCGTTGACTGTGCTGCATCCTTCAATGTTCATGCTCATAGGCTCGACCGGCGTCGGGAACGGGCCACGCCTTCGAGTTCCACGGTAACACACTCACCCACACACACACACACACACACACACACACGTACAGACGCCTTCCCCCCGATGACTAGATGGGGCTCCAGTGCTGACAACACGCCGTCTACTGAAAGCCACTCACGGCACTGCGCTCTGGCCGCGTATTGGGAGCCGTTGAGAGTGCAGGACAGCGATTCTTCGCCCTGTTGGCCTGCGTGGCAGCAAAGCTCACTGTGACGCTTGTTCTATGCAGACTTGTCAGGAAGCTCGGACATTACAGGAACGCTCAATACACGCACTGGACGCGCGGGCGCCGACGACAACGACAGCCTGAATGGGGATGGCTGTGAGTTACTCAGACAAGCGAGACTTTCATTCGGACTCGAGCCAAAGCACAATCTCACGCATGGTTGCTATTTTGCTTGGGTTGTGATGCACGATTTTATGGGGGCGATTTTTTTTTTTTGCAGCGTTTGGATTTAGCGACAACGTTACGCTTCTTCGCGAGGAGAATGCAGCACAGCGAAATTACGGCGCGCCCATCTGGTCGTTGGAGTACTACGCTCAGTTCTTCAACATTGAGACTCATGTGGTACGGTGTAGAGATGCTCGTGGTTGAACAAACCAGTTTGCGCCGTGCTGAAATTGCCAATTCAATGCAAATGTGTGCTTGCTTCCCCGATCCTAGGTGCGGCGGCGCTTGGTCACTGCGTTATGGCCGTTTGGCGCCCGCATGCTCGACACCTTGAACTCCAATCCCGATCTTTATGGTACCGAGCCCTCGCGACATTTTGACGAAGGTGCTTTGTACGTTTTTTTTTTCCGCCTTGTTTGACTTGAGCATTTTTTTGTGCCGCACAATTCCTCGTCTCTCAGGTCCAATCTGGATTTCAACCACACTCGTGTTTGCAATGGCCATGGCTGGAAACTTTTCCAGCTATCTCGCTTCTGAAACGGCGTGGCAGTACGATTTCGAAATGGTCACTTTCGGCGCCACTTCTGTGTATGGTTACGTGCTCGTTGTCCCGCTCCTCTTGTGGGCTGCATTGCGATGGTTGATTGGCAATGGTCGTATCGCCTTTACCGAGCTGGTGTGCCTGTACGGCTACTCGCTCTCCATCTTCATCCCAGTGGCGGTAAGGCAATTGCATGTTGCAGACAATGTCCGGGTTTCTTTATTTAAGGGATCTGACCTTGGCAATTTTTCGATATGCAGTTGCTATCTATTTTCCAAGTCGAGTGGTTCCGATGGCTGGCAGTAATAATCGCGCTGTTCTTTTCAGGTAAGTTTTGGAGGGTTTTTTTTTTCTTGTCGATTGTTGGTTTTCTGAGTTTGTGGAATGGCTCCATCATGAGGCAACAATCGAGGCGGATTTCTCTGTCTCACACGCTCTTGCACAACATCCTTGCACAACAATCATCAGGGGGCGCTCTTCTGACAAACATCTGGCCGCTGCTGCGAACGCATCCCCATCGCATTAGTTATGGCATCTGTGCGGCAATGCTGTTGTCGCATGCCACTCTCGCCATCGTTTTCAAGCTCTTCTTTTTCGAGTACAATGCGGCAGTTGGCTCGTCAGGCAACACTCCGGCGCCAGCACCATCTCACACGCCAGTACCATCTCCCTCGCCATGAGTTTGTTCCGATTGATTTGTGCTGGCCGAGCATCCACTGCCTCTTTCCGCGTTTGTTTGTTGTTTTGCTATGCGACTACACTTTGTGATTTTGTGTCGCTTCACCAACATTACACGACCAACTCGCTGGTCTTTCCATCCCATTTCGTTGTGTGTGTCTATCGTTGACTTGCACTCGTGGAGAATGTCGAATCTCAATCTCAATCTCAACCTCATTCTCACTCCGCTCTCAGTCCATCTCTATTGTCATGCTGCACTCACTTCAGCGCGTTCGCAGCGGGCTGTCTCCTGCCATCGCTTCCATGCGGTGGATGTCGCGTTCCAGCACCACGATCGCCATTGCGCATCCTTCATCGCGCAATGCATCCTCATCCTCATCATCATTGTCGACTGGCATGGTCCTCCCTGCGACGAGCGCTGCGACTGGAGCGATCGCCAAGACGCGCGCTCAGTCGCTTCCCGCGTTGCTCTCCTCGTCCTCCGCAGTGACACTTCCGCATCGCCGCTATAGCAACGACGTTGCAAACACACACGTCGTCCGGCTACGCTTCCAGTCCGTCCGGAGCGTGCTGGTGGAAGGCAATGCAGGCGACCATGTTGTCGGTAATGCACTGGGCCCAATAGAAGCTGCTTCCTCACTTCCCCCCGCCTCTCCTTGCTCTCGATCTGCCGTTCGTTGACTGACTGTTTTTGGTTGTGCGCTGCGTGCTTGCCGACGCAGTGTCCGGGTGGGTGCGATCGGTGCGTGCCCAAAAGTCAGTGTCGTTCGCCGAGCTGAGCGATGGCTCCACACTGAAGAGCATTCAGATCGTCCTCAAGCCTGGCCAAGAGAAGGACATTGCAACGGGCGCTTGCATCAAAGTGACGGGCAAGCTTGTACGTCTCCAAGTGAAAGTGATGTGACGGGCGGATTGTGGGCAGGATATTTTGCTCTCTGCTAATCCTCGAGAACTGTTTCAGGTTGCCAGTCCAGGACAAGGCCAAGCGTTGGAAATCGACGCGTCTGAAATTGTCGTTCTGGGAACATCCGACCAAACAGACTATCCGCTTCAGAAGAAGCGACACACGAACGAGTTTCTGCGCGACATTGCGCACCTTCGTGCACGTACCAACAGCGGCGGGGCCATTCTACGCGTGCGGAATGCACTGACTATGGCGTACGGCAGGCGGTTTTGTTTGTTTGGCGTTCCTCTGTCGAGTGGAGTGTTGTCGCAGATGTGGGAGCGTTTAACATCTCACTCATGGATTCCTCACCCAAACAATTCCCCAGAATTCATCGCCACTTCCAGGACAAAGACTTTTTAAATGTCAATACACCCATCATTACAAGCAGTGACTGTGAAGGCGCTGGATCCCTCTTTCGCTTGGAAACCTCGCCAGCCGCCGCCGTGGGCGCGGATGCTGCTGCCGCTTCCCAGCCACCCGCACCCCACGAGTCCTTCTTTGGACACCCAGCGTACCTGACGTGCTCCGGGCAGCTGCATGCTGAAGCTGTGGCGAGCGGCATGTCTCGCGTTTACGTGCTTGGCCCGACTTTTCGCGCCGAGAACTCCCACACCAAGCGACACATGGCCGAGTTTTACATGCTCGAGGCGGAACAGTTCTTTATCGACCAGATGGACGAGCTGCTCGACCTCACCAGCGACTGCGTCAAGGATCTGACTGCCACCATCGTTTCCAAGTGCAGCGATGATCTTGCGCACTTTCAAAGGCATGTCGATTCCAACCTGCTGGAGCGTCTGCACAACACGATCGAGCAGCCATTTGCGCGCCTGACCTACACCGAGGCCGTCGAAATTCTTGAAGAGCGACGCACCATGTTCAAGGTCGATCCCAAGTGGGGCGTGGATCTGAATAGCGATCACGAGCGTTTCCTGTGCGAGCAGTACTGCAAGCGTCCCGTGTTTATTACCGACTACCCAGCGGCCATCAAGCCATTTTACATGCGTCGCAACATGGACAACAAGACTGTCGCTGCTATGGACTTGCTTGTGCCTGGGATTGGCGAGCTGGTGGGCGGCAGCCTTCGTGAAGAGCGCGCATCCGTGCTCATGCAAATCATGCGGAGCCATCAAATGTTGCCGCAAATGCAGTGGTACCTGGACTTGCGTCGGTATGGCACGGCACCCCATGGCGGGTTTGGCATGGGCTTTGAGCGGCTGATGATGTATTTGACGGGGACGGAGAACGTGCGTGATACGATTCCATTCCCGCGCACTGCAGGACAATGTCGCTATTAATGCAAAAATATACTAGAGCGCTCAATTGCCACCAATAGGGCCGTTGCTTATGTTTATTCCATCGTCTGCGCAGCCATTTCGCGCAGAAACACCTCCAGGCGTTTCGCCAGAGTGTCAAGTTCACCAGGGACCTGGCCGGCTACTTGTAGATTAGACAGCATCTTGAAAAGTTTGGAGAGTAGAGGCAGAAATACCTCGAGATCAAAGGGTTCAGCCAGGTTGTCAGCGTTGTCGTCCGCACCGCACATGGTCGGACTTGCGGCTTCGGATTCACTCCCATCGCCGTCGTCCTCGTCGCTCGAGTCGTGTCCATAAGCACCTATTAGAGAAAGCGCAGCAACGTGCGTGACGAGCGCTCCTTCATCAGGGTCTATGGATTCCGACACGCGTCTGTGCAGTCGAGTGACCACCGCATTCACTTCATCGAGCGTGCACTGATGATGCGGAAAATCTTGCACAAGTATTCGAAAGGCAAGAGCAAAAAACTCGAGGCACGCCACGTTTTCCATACACTCTTCGAGCAGCGCGCCTGGCGAATCTGAAAACTGTCGGAGCGCAAGCACTGTGAGCATCGAGGGACTCAGTAGATCGTCCAGCAGCCACGTCTGCCGAACTGTGTCTACCGTCGAGCGCAACGCTTCAGGCAACGCGGATTGGGCGAGGAGGCGAGCGGTCGCAAGTTCGCAGCGAAGCAAAGGCGACAAGAGCCGGAAGATGACCGTATTATCTTGAAGCGATAACAGTTGTAGAATGCCAACCAGGGTGTTTCGCTGCATCCGTTCATAGTCCATCGTATCGGGCAAGACGTTGTGCAGAGAGTGGAGCGTGGGCGCGAGCAAATGTTGCGCGTGCAATACCACCTTGATGGCCTGCGAGCCAGCAGCAAGTTCGGAAGCAAGCTCGGCGCAGGTTCGATCAAAGAGTTGAGCTGCCAACTGCTCAGCGAGAGTGCCAATCGAGCTCGTAAGCCTGGCAAGCAGAGCGAGTTGCTTCCACCAGATTATTGCAGCACGGCCTGTCGGGGTCGTTTGGACTGGTGCATCCTTTGAGTCTGACACGAGCGCCAGCGCTGTGCACGCCACAAGCCGAACGCGAGCAGCGAGCGGCACCTGCGGATTGGACGCGAGTTCCGTGAAGCGCCGCACCAACCCCACCAGCGATTGGCGCGGACCAAACATGCAATCTGCACGAAAGAGCGATCGCATCTGCACAGAGACCAGCCAAGGGTTGAGGTGCACGAGCTGCTGGCTGGCCACGACCGCCAACGCGACCGCTGTGTCGTGGTCGACGACGGTGTCCAGTGTATTGCGTAAAAGCTGAACAAACGCTTGCAAGGCGGTTGCAATGACCACCTGGCTCGTTGCTTGTACATGCGTCTGTGGCAGTACAAGTAGTGGCACAATGGAAGATGACTCTTCCATGAGTGCAGCACAAATGCGTTGAACAAGATTCTCCTGACTTGGGCCATGCAAGCTTGAGAGCGCGCCACGGCAATCTGGGCAGCTACAAGCATGAAACAATGGGGGGGGGGGTGAGCAGAATTAAGCAGTCGTGGGCTTCCTTGTTTTGGGTGAACCGGAGGAAAAAGTTCCAACTAACCAGCTGTCGGACGAACTTGTGGCGTCGCCTGCTTGAATGATTTCGCGAAACATGTCCAACCACACGGCAACGCCTTGTATCATGTTCGATGATTGCGCACGATGCGTCAGGAGCAACACTTGCATTTGTGCAAAGCTTTGTGCGACTACTTGTGAAGCTTGACTTTCCTCCTATCGGCAAAAAAGTGGACAAATCGTTCAGCTCGACTGTTTAGGTTCAATAATGCAACAAAAGGCCTCAAGAAATCCTTACAATAACATACAGCAGCCCGCGGACTACCTTGGCAGCCATGTGCGCGACTGGGCGGGAGCGAGATGTGAAGCAATTGTTCTGAGAAATTTTTTGGCGCCAGCAACGAGTCCAACCGGCAACAACTGAGCGCATCATAGGTCGATCATGCAAGTCCGCCCACCCCCCCCCCGCTCCCTTTCTACTCTAAAATACTGCACCGAACGATCGTGGTTTCTGGCACCCATACCAATGCAGGCATCAGCTTCTCAAAGTGGTCAAGCGCGTATTGTGTCAGCCAGTGTCGATGCGTGGCACACACACGCCCGTTGATCAATCCAAGCCCAGGACTCGCGCTGTCTGACACATCTCGATCGCCATTGAACGTTGTCAACCGTCTGCTGGCAGGCAGGGGGAAGACATCGACGAGCGCCGACAGCGATTCGAGCTGCAGCGCCAACAAGCTCTGAGCGCTGCTATGCAACGACCCGCTTCCACAGAGCAACCCGCACGCTGCTTCAGCCCGTTGCGCCACCTTGCTCCATCCCGGGCAGCCGTGATGATCGAGTGGTTCCGCCTCGCGTCGCCGTTTCATCCTGGCAAAAACGCTTTCAATTTCACCGAAAAAAAAAAAATGGACGCTCAATCGATGTTGATCAACGTTGTCACGGCGAAGTTGAATGTCGTTCAATACTACTGATGAAGGACTGAGCATTTGTGATCTCTCAGCACATCACAAGCAAAGTCAGATCAGCGTCAGTCCTCGTTTTCCGTTTGAACAATGGTCGCGTCTGCCGTCTTCCTGCTCGATCTCAAGGGGAAGGTGCTGATCTCCCGCAACTACCGCGGCGACATCCCCATGAATGCCGTCGACCGCTTCATGCCTCTCCTGCTCGACATGGAGGAGGAAGGCACCTCGTCCCCCATTGTGATTGCAGACGGCGTTACGTTCGTCTACGTCAAGCACAGCAATGTCTATTGTACGTTCGTTCAGATTCTCCCCTGCCTTCCCCACCATTCACCCGCCTCCAAGAAAGCGGCTGCCCATCGAGTGCTCGCTGCATTGCAAACCCTTGATCCCGACCATTGGCTTTTGACCATTGCACTGAACTGACCGTTGAACTTTTTTTTTTTTTTTTTTTTTTTGCTTGTTTTGCTCCTTGAAACCCCTTCCCTCTCCTACCCTCCCTCACACACACCTGTGCCTTCGCTTCTCCAGTGGTGGCCACGACCAAGCGTAACGCCAACGTCGCCATGATCTTTGTCTACCTGCATAAGCTTCTCACGGTAAGGCAACCCAAAACCCAAAACCCAACGACAAAAAAGTCTTGGATCTCGTTTTTTTTTTTTTTTTTTGGTCGAGCGAGCGAGCGACAACTATCAGCGAGGCGCGTTTTGCGGCGGCAGTGCGATGATGGGACGATGCACCGTTGAACATGTTCCCTCTACTACGGGCGCGGCTTTGTGCGGTGAGGGAGGGCAGGAGTTGCAGCGAACAATCGACGAAAAAAACAATCACACAATTGAATTTTGATTTTATTATTGCTGATTTTTTTTTTCCCATTGCTTTTTTGGCTCACTCTCAACTCTGCTTGCTTTGGCAGGTCTTCACCGAGTATTTCAAGGAACTCGAGGAAGAGAGCATCCGCGACAACTTTGTCATTGTTTACGAGCTGCTGGACGAGTTGATGGACTTTGGCTACCCGCAGGCCACCGACTCTAAGATTCTCCAATCGTACATTACTCAAGAGTATCACAAAGTAGAGGAGGCGCCACGCCCGCCTGTCGCACTCACGAACGCCGTGTCGTGGAGGCCACCGAACATCAAGTACAAGAAGAACGAGGTGTTCTTGGATGTGGTTGAGTCGGTCAACATGCTTGCAAACGCAAACGGCAACGTTTTGCGGTCTGAGATTGTGGGCGCAGTCAAGATGCGCGTCTTCTTGAGTGGCATGCCCGAGTTGCGGCTGGGCCTCAACGACAAGGTGCTATTCGAGGCAACGGGCCGAACGGCCGGCAAGGCCAAGGCGGTCGAGCTCGAGGACGTCAAATTCCACCAGTGCGTGCGTCTCTCGCGCTTTGAGAACGATCGCACCATTTCTTTCGTGCCACCGGATGGCGAGTTTGAGCTCATGTCCTACCGTCTATCCACCGCCGTCAAGCCGCTGATCTGGATTGAGGCCGTCGTCGAGCGACACTCGCACTCGCGCGTCGAATACCTCATCAAAGCCAAGAGCCAGTTCAAGCGTCGTTCGATTGCCAACAATGTTGATATCGTCATTCCAGTCCCGTCGGATGCTGATTCGCCAAAGTTCAAGACCACCATCGGCACGGTCACGTACTCACCCGAAAAGAACGCCATCGTTTGGAACATCAAGCAGTTCCCTGGCGGCAAAGAGTTCCTCATGCGCGCTCACTTTGGTCTGCCCAGTATTGATGCTGAAGACCAGGAGGGCCGACCACCGATTTCGGTCAAGTTTGAGATTCCATACTTTACAACCTCCGGCATCCAGGTCCGCTATCTTAAAATCATTGAGAACAGCGGCTACCAAGCACTTCCGTGGGTGCGCTACATTACACAAAACGGTGACTACCAATTGCGTATGAACTAAAGCCAAGAAGCCAAGTTCTTGATTTGTTTCTAATCGGGATTCCCTCATTTTTTTTTTGGCTGTTCCGTCTTATTTCTTGGTGGGGGTGCGTGGTTTTTTTTTAAAAACAACGAATCTTTGGAGTGATTCCAACCGCTCGCCTCCTTGTCAATTTTGTGTAACTGTGTGTTGGTATCGGTGTGTTTTTGTGGAATGATAAATTTTGTTGTAAAAGCGGTGTCTCGCAGAGTTTACTTGGTTCCCTGACTCTGGGAAGAGAGGTAGTTGTACATACTGTATCAAACACACAAAATTGTGCAAAGACTACACTACACGATAGGGCTTGCCTGGCTCACTCGAGGAGGGGTACTTTCCACGAGTTTTTGAAGTACTTGCAAAAGCTCGAGCGCCGTCAGCGATTGAGATTCGGCAGCACGAGGAGCAAGCAAAGTTCGATGCGTTAGCGAAAATCGGACATTGCCCAGCTGCTCGAGGCTGGGTGCTCCCGACGTCGGGTCCAACGCCAGCGCATCGAGCTGAGCCGCGTCGATGGTGATGTTGATTGGAACGCCGAGCACATCGCTCACACGCGCCTGCTCGCGGGCACTGGCCCCGAGACGATCGTCAATCAACATGGCGTTGACGGGGAGGATGCCTTGGCGGACAATTGTGTCATGAAGCGCGAGAGCAACCTTTTGCCACTTATCGCGAGTCTCATCACTCAAGCCCAAGCCGCCAAAGGAGAAGCAAACCGCGAAAGGCGCGACCTCAATTGGCCATCGTACGAGGGTCAGGAGATCTGTTTGCTGTTGGTGCTTCGGCGTAGCAGCAGCAGCAGCCCCAGCAGGCGCAGTTGTAGAGGCGGCTGGGGATTGTGCGATCGTCGTTTGCGCGTTGTGCAGCTGGGTTTCGACGAGGGCAGCCAGAATGCGAGAGACACCAAGTCCGTAACAGCCCATCTCCGTGGTAACGCGCTTGTTGGCAGCGTTGGTGAATGTGACGCCCAGAGGTTGCGAGTACTTTTGGCCGAGCAAGAACGCATGTCCCACCTCCATGCCAAGTTTGGTCACCAATGGCGCCATTCGACCGTGGTCGGTAAGGCATGTGCGGCACAAGTCTCCTGCCTCAACCTCGGAGATGTCACACTTGACAACGCCATCTGGAACGCTCAGGTGCTGCTTGAATGCCTGAAGGACTGGCGACTCGAGATTCGGTGGCAACGACGCTGTAGTGGTTGATGTGAACACGTCACAGTAAGTAATCAAGAAAACAAAACAAAAAATCCAGCAGTAAGTAATCAAGAAAACAAAACAAAACAAGAAAAAAAATCCGTCCGAAACGGTATTGAACAACGCACTCCGACGCCAACCGAACTGAAACGTGCACCTACCAGTGAGGGTGTTGTCGAGAAGAATTCGAACGCGCCGTTGCACACTCGCGTTTTCAATCACAGTGCACAGTTTAGACCAATCAAGCCGATGGAGGCGGGCTTGATTGAGCGCGCGTTGTGTCTTCAAGTGGTTGAGCTTTCGGTCATGTCGATGCAGCAGAATGACAAAGTCGTCCACGAGCTGGCCAGTGGCGTCTTCAAGCTGGGAGCCTGAGATACGGACAAAAGTGTTTGCGGCAATGTGTTGGTCTACTTGGCCCACGGCGACTTGAACTCCCAGAGCTTGTGCCAACTTGTCGGCATGCATCAATGCGTGTTGCTCTGCAACATCCACCTCCGCGCCAGAAAGCGCAGGGCGCACGGCGAGGTTGCTGGGCAACGGCGCAACTTGGGCAACAGCCTTCTCCTCGTTCATGGCGTGGTTGCAGCTCGAGCAGACAAGCAGAGTGTCTTCGCCCGCAGGAGAGATGACATGGAATTCATGCGACCGCACGCCGCCAATGTTGCCCGTGTCAGCTTCGGCGCGCACATAGTCCAAGCCGAGGCGGTCAAAAATTCGACCATAGACACCGCAAATCGTATCGTACGTCTTGGCCGCATGCTCAATATCAACATCGAACGTGTACAAGTCTGGCGTCACCAACAGGTCATTGAAATTGCGTAGTTGAGTGCATCAAAACAACAGCTTACTAGCATCAAAATCAACAATAGAACTTACCTTTCATCCAAAACTCTCGCCCGCGCATCAGACCATGCCGAGGCCGAGCCTCGTCGCGGAACTTGCGATCGAGTTGGTACAGCATGAGCGGGAATTGTCCTCGGCCAAGTGGTTTTGTGGCAGCCAGTTCGCAAACCGCTTCTTCGTGCGTCTGCAAGTTGAAACACAATGAGCATTTTTTTTTTTGGGTCGACCAAAAACATCAAGGCAGCGCATCAACAACATGGCCGCCGTCCTACCGGTCCGAGAAGCATGTCACGGCCCTTGCGATCCTGCAACCGGAAAACCTCCTGACCCGAGCTGGTCCATCGGCCTGAAAAGGGAATGAGAAAGGACAATTGAGGTCAAAAAGCGCAACGCATAAAAAGAGTCGAATCAGACGATGCTACGACGTACCTGTCTTATCCCACAGCTCTTTGGTCATGAGCATCGGCAGAGCAGTGCGTTGCGCACCGACAAGTCTGAAAGCAAGACGCACACCGCCCCCCAATGTAAATAACAGCCATGCGTGATGCATGAAATGTCACCCAACCTTACTCTAATTCTTCGCAAATGATGCGTGTGACGTTCTCAAGCGCTCGCAGTCCGACTGGTGTGAGCGCATAGATGCCCGCGGCATGTTGCACCATCAAACCGGCGTACGTGAGGTACTGCCATCCAATCCAACAAAACGCAAAACCAAGTCAAAACACTTCAAGAATGAGCAATCATCGTCCGGTTGAGGTATCACAACATTTGTAAATAACGAAACTGCTTCATTTTGTTTTCTCTCGGTTGATCCGCAGCAGACGAATCAAAGAAGCACGTACCCGATGACTGAGAGTCTTGGCATCGGCGCCCAACGGAGCGAAGAGCGGCGCGAAGAGCGTCGACACAAGGTTTCGCTTGACTGCACGGCGGCCACGCAGTCCATTACTCACTGAGAATGCTGCGCTCTGTCCAACAGCAGCAGTGGCAGCAGCAGCAGCAGCAGCAGTGGCATCGGCGGCAGCGGGAGTGGACGTTGCGTTCTCGGCCTGAGTGCGAGCCATGCGCGCGGATCTCGCAGCCAGCCAAGCGCGCGTCGAGTTTTCGCTTCCAGCAGCAACAGCAGCACTACGCTGATCAAGCGCGATGGGCTTGCGAAGTGGGCGCACGAAGGCGCTGCCCGCGGCGCTGGCCACGAGTTGCGCTGCGGCCAATGCGGCAGAGCGGTTGAGCGCTTCCGGCGAGAGGACTTGCTTGTCTGGCTTGGACGACGAGGACATGCTGCGACTGCACGATGCTGACGATGATGATGATGATGATGATGGTGACGTCGAGCGGTGGATGACAGTCAGGCCAAGGCTAGCAGCCATGCGAGCGCCAGTCCCGCTCTTGCGGCAGCAGCAATGGACGCTCAACATGGCGTATTATTCAGGACTGGATCTCAGACAGACTCGAAATCGAGATCAAAGTCCAAACTGAATCAACTTCAAATTGCAAATTGGGAGGTCCAAATGGGAGTATGGATTCTCATCAATCATTCTGAGCCACAAAGAAACAAAACAAAGCTCAGTCTAGCTTTCCTTGCCGTTCGCAGTGTCTCTCTCTCTCTCACGCTCTCACGCGTCAAACAAACCATTTGATCATCGTGTGTTGATTGTTCCATTGAATGGCGTCATCGCACGACGAGGTACGTGTTGTTGTGTTTGACATTGAACAAAATTGGAATTGCTCAGAACTTGACAGGCTCATCGATCTTACTCCAAAAAAAACCATTTTGCCTTGTTACGATCTCGCAACCCAAGGTTGTCCGACGACACCAGTTCGTGCAGGCCAAGCGAGCTGCGCTTGAGCAGATTCAGAGCAAGCCTGGCTACTATGCAGCGGTCGAGTCGTACCACTCGAACGTTGTGCTGCCGGTGCTGCCGCGACCACGGCCTCCACAGCCAGCCGCGCTGAGCCAGACCATCCAAGAGCAGAGCGCCAATACTAGTAGTGGCACCAATAGCAGCAGTAATCCGGGCAGTCAACACGCAGGACTGATGAGCTCAAACAACGCAGAGTCGCTCACGCCGACAATGGCCGTCGTCGTCGTGCCTGCTGCTGCGGCGGGCTCTGCTCCGTCGGCTGCAAGCACAGCGGGAGGCGCGATCGCTCGCACTGCGCAAATAGGAGCCATGTCTGCTGCGACTGGCGGCCGATCGCAAGAGCCAGTTGACTGGGACGTCTCCGGCGACACTGTCCTGCTATGACCAGAGATGTCGCAGCACCTTGATCTCACTTAAGTTATGCATGTTATGCCTGTCAAACCAGTTGCTGAGGCAGCTCGTTGAACGAATATCAAAATTGGATTGCAACCACATTGGAAAATTGCGGGTGTCTTTGTGTTTTTCATTTGGTCGTTGCTGGACAAACCATCAAGCAGTAGCGCAGCTGTTCCATACAACGAACAGATGCAAAAAAAAAAAAAAAAAAAAGCGCAGAAGAAAAAACAACAACATCGTTAACATCTCATCGAGTCTCGGTTGCGGGCCGTTTGCGAGCAGCAGCTTCCGCTCCAGCAGGAGCGCGCCGCTTCTTGAAGACAACCTTGTCGCCAGAGGTTGCCGCTACACCGGTTGCATCCTCGACAGATTGCGTTGTTCGCTCACCAAAGGTAATCTTGTGCTCGTCCTCTTCATCGCTCTCGGCGGCGAACTGGGTCGAAAAGTGACCCACACGTCGGGCTTTCACCGTGCCGTTGGAGCCGTCTGGTTCGGGAGCGTCGCCTTTCTCGGATTCAGATTTTACAACGGGTACGGGTTCTGGAGGGCGTTCGACGCGCTGCCATGCACCATACGGACTAAACTTTTCGACTACCGCAGGTGCTGCTGCCTCCGTGGCTGGCTGGTCTCCTGCTGTTGTGCTCTCTGTCGTGGCATCAACCTGCGGTGCAGAGCTTGTCAGTGCGCCACCCTTATCGTTTGTGACACTGGTGGAATCGGTTGACTCGCTGGGTACAGACGCTGGGTCGGTGGTTGCCTGCTCTGCGCCCTCTCCAGATTGTTCAGCAGTCTGGTACTGTCCGTAAAAGCCATAGTAGTAATAGTTGTAGTAATCAGCCATTTGTTGTTCAGTGAGCTCGACGCCTCCTTCAGCAGCATAGGTCGTTGCTGGAGCCTCCGCAGTTGCAGAATCAGCTGTCGAGGCTTGAGGGGTTGCTGTCGCAGCGGCATCCGAATGCTTCAATCCTGCAGCAGCCTTGTCTGCGGCAGATGCAGCGGCGGCAAATCCTGCGTTGGCAGAAGCGCCAAGCTTTGGTGCGCTTGGTGGTTTGCTCGGCGCCGGAGCCGATGCTCCACCACTAGTGCTGTTGTTACTACTGCCCGCCGTCGCTGCAGCAGCTGCTGCTATACTTTTCGCACTCTTCTTAACCGTCGAGTCCTTCTTGAGGTGAGGATTGGCCGCCAAGTCTCGCTGGGCTGCCTCAGCGGCTGCGCGCTCAATGGCGGCCATCTGCTCCTTGAGCTTCTCGTCTGCCTTGCGCTGCAGTCCGCCGCGCTTCTTGACATCGTCAATGTGTTTCTGCACGTTCTCCTGATGCGTCTTTCCGCGCTCGTGGATTTGGATGCTCTACCAACAAGACGATTGACACATATCGTTGAGCATTGGTCGCCCATACAACGACAATCCCCCCCTCCGCGCGCCCCGCCCCGACAACGATGACTGCAATCATCATCATGATCATGCCAACAAGTCAAACTCCTCCCCTTCAAATCTGACATACCGCCTTATTGTCGGCAAACCAGACGCGGCAGTACTCGCAGAACTTGCGCGCGTTCGAGACCCAATACTCAGTCCTACACAAGTCAAGGTCAAGGTCAAGGTCAAGGTCAAGGTCAGTTCAGCAGCATCATCGTCATCATTGTGGCGAGATGTTTTGCAAGTGCATGTGCAAGTGCTCGAGGATTTTGGCTGAGCGTTACATTGGAAGTTCAAACGAAGAGGACTGCCTTTCTCAGAGTGTTGTTGTTGTTGTTGTTTTGATTATTCGACTATTCAATAGCAATACAAGCCATAGAATTTATTGTCATTCATTCATACTTTTTTTCTTTTTCTTTTTTTTTTGTCCTTTTCTGAGCTGCTTTGAAAACAGGATGGACGATTTGGACTTGTTCAGCGCGTTTGATCGGTCGAGCTCAGCCGCACCACCGCGCCAGACCACCAATGCGCGGCGCACACGCAGCGACGCGGACGAGGGCGGCATCAAGGCCGAAGCGGAGGACGCGGCTGTGATGATGGACACGGCGCAGGACGAGGCTGGGGCTGCCACGCCGCGGGGCCGCAAGAACAAGCACAGCAGCAGCAGCAGCAGCAGCAGCAGTAGCAGTAGCAGTAGTGCTGTCAAGAGCGAGAGCGCAGACGAAGGCGGCGACGCGCGTTCCAAGCGACCGCGGCTGGAGCACCAGGACGATGCTCCACATGGCGAGGACGAGCGCAAGCAGCCCCGCTCAACTACGACGACGACGACGACGACGACGACGACGACGTCTACTACAAGTGCGACGAAGAAGAAGAGCGCTAGCAAGGCCAGTGCTGCTGCAAGCGCCCGGATCAAGGCGGAGAAGGCATCGGAGGCAGCGGATGACGACGAGGCGAGCAGCCGTGAGGACGACGACGAAGACGACGAGACAAGCGAGACCGACTCCAAGCGACCCCACGGCATCACCGCCAAGCAAGAGCCCATGGACGAGGTCGAGTCTGCAGAAGCACCGCTGCCGATGGCGGCGCACTTGACCTCGGTCGAGGACGCGATCGACGAGGAACTCACCGTCACCCCGCTGTCCACCACCATCATCAATGTCGAGACGACAGAGCGCTGCACACACGAGGTGGCGATTCTGACCAGCGCAGACTATCGGCCGCTGTCGGACGCGCGCATGCCTGCCACCCCGGCCAAAAGCTACCCGTTCACGCTCGATCCATTCCAGCGCGAAGCTGTGCGCTGCCTCGAGCACCACGAGAGCGTGCTTGTGTCCGCACACACCTCTGCAGGCAAGACTGTCGTGGCCGAGTACGCGATCGCCATGTCGCTGCGCGACAAGCAGCGTTGCATTTACACGACTCCGATCAAGGCCTTGTCCAACCAAAAGTACCGCGAGCTCAATGAAGAGTTTGGCGACGTCGGTCTGATGACTGGTGATGTCACCATCAATCCTGGTGCTTCGTGCTTGGTGATGACGACAGAAATTTTGCGCTCCATGCTCTATCGTGGTAGTGAGGTCATGCGTGAAGTCGCCTGGGTCATTTTCGACGAGGTGCACTACATGCGCGACAAGGAGCGAGGTGTGGTTTGGGAAGAGACAATGATTCTGCTTCCCGACAATGTGCATTATGTCTTTTTGTCGGCAACCATTCCTAACGCGCGCGAGTTTGCCCAGTGGATTTGCCATTTGCACCGTCAACCGTGCCACGTCGTCTACACGAGCTTCCGTCCCACGCCGCTTCAACACTACATCTTCCCTGGCGGCGGCGAGGGTCTCTACCTCGTCGTGGATGAAAAGGGCGAGTTCCGTGACGACAATTTCGCCAAGGCCATGGCTATTCTTGCCGACACGCCTGAGGCCAACGCGCTTGCCGCATCCGGCAGCAGCAACAAGAACAGCAAAGGCGGCCCAGGCGGGAAGCGCAAGGGCGCCGGTGGCACGGGCGGGCCCTCGGACATTTTCAAGATTGTCAAGATGATTATGGACCGCAGCTACCAACCTGTCATTGTTTTCAGCTTTAGCAAGCGCGAATGCGAAGAGTACGCACTGCAAATGTCCAAGCTCGACTTTAACAACGACGCCGAAAAGAAGCTTGTGGACGAGGTGTTTAGCAATGCCATCGATTCGCTCTCGGAGGACGACCGCAAATTGCCGCAAGTGGACAACATTCTGCCCCTGTTGCGTCGTGGCATTGGCATCCACCACTCTGGTCTGCTGCCCATCCTGAAGGAGGTCATTGAAATTTTGTTCCAAGAGGGCTTGTTGAAGGCGCTCTTTGCGACCGAAACCTTCTCGATGGGTTTGAACATGCCCGCCAAGACGGTTGTGTTTACGAGTGTTCGCAAGTTTGACGGCAAGGATTTCCGCTGGGTGTCATCTGGCGAGTACATTCAGATGAGTGGTCGCGCAGGTCGTCGTGGTCTCGACGATCGCGGTATTGTTATTTTGATGGTTGACGAGAAGATGGAGCCTGCCGTCGCCAAAAACCTGCTAAAGGTAACGAGAACGAGCAGGAGTTTTGGTTTTTTTTTTGAAAAAAAAAAAAGAAGCTAGGTTTGGGTTTCTTGACACTGACTCGCTGTGAATTTTTGCGCTGCGTAGGGCGAAGCCGATCCTCTCAATAGTGCCTTCTACTTGTCGTACAACATGATCTTGAACTTGCTTCGCGTTGAGGAAATCAACCCCGAGTACATGCTGCAGCGCTCCTTCCGTCAATTCCAGAACAATGCGGCGGTTCCTGCTCTTCACAAAAGTGCGTTGTAGCACAATGTCTGTTTGTGCTTGTGTCGTGCCTTGCTCACCATTGGCATCTTCGTCTTGACAGAGGCCCGCCAGCTCGAGCAACAACGCAACGCAATCTCCATCCCGAACGAAGACCGCGTCGCCGAGTATTACCACCTGCGACAGCAACTCGAGCATTTGCGCGTCAATTTGAAAGATATTGTGATGCAGCCTGCAAACTCGCTGCCCTTCCTGCAAGCCGGTCGTCTGGTCCACGTGACCGATAACGATCAGGACTGGGGATGGGGTGCCGTCGTGAACTATCACAAGAAGCTCACCAATGCCAAAGGCATGGCAGCTGCAGTGGACGGCTCGGACGCTGTGGTGGTTGTGGACGTGCTTTTGCGATGCTCGCTCAAAACCAAGGGCATTGAGCAACCGCGGCCCGTTCGCTTTGACAATGATAAGGCGGAAGTGCAAGTGGTACCCGTCGTACTTGACAAGGTGGACAAGATCAGCACCATTCGTATTTATCTTGCCAAGGATCTCAAGAGCAGCGACAATCGGCGTACAGTCGAAAAGTCGATTCTGGTGAGCTTTGGCTGGTCTTTGTTTCGATTGAATTGGTGATATTTGAGTGTTCTTCTAACGCGTTTGTTTTTTTCTGTCAACACTCACCTTGTGTAGGAGGTCAAGCGACGATTCCCCGATGGCATTCCAGTGCTGGATCCTATTGAAGACATGAATGTGCGCGATGATGGGACACGCAAAGTTGTCAAGGTACAGTCGCGAGCGAGCTGTCACTCCCAATGCGAGGCACAGTCTCACCTTTCCTTCCTCTCCTCCCTCCCCTCGGGTTTTGATTGTTCCGATAGCAAATCGAGTCGCTTGAGCAGCGTCTCTTCTCGCATGCATTGCACAAGGACGCAAACTTGGAATCATTGTTCAATCGCTACTCTGAAAAGATTGCGCTTGGTGAAGAGGTCCGGGCTGCAAGGAAGCAACTCAAGCAGTCCCAGACCGTCCTCCAGATGGACGAACTCAAGTGCCGCAAGCGAGTGCTGCGTCGACTGGGCTTCACATCCTCGTCGGACGTTGTCGATCTCAAGGGCCGTGTGGCGTGCGAAATCAGCAGCGCCGACGAATTGCTTCTCACCGAAATGATCTTCAACGGTGCCTTCAACGAGCTTGCCATCGAGCAGGCTGTTGCGCTGCTCAGCTGCTTTGTCTTTGAGGAAAAGACCGAGTCGAGCGGCGCTCTCAAGGAGGAGCTTGCTGCCCCATTGCGCCAAATGCAGGATGCTGCACGCCGCATTGCCGAGGTCTCTCAAGACAGCAAGCTGGTGGTTGACAAAGAAGAGTATGTCAACTCGTTCCGATCCGAGATGATGGACGTGGTGCATGCGTGGTCAAAGGTACGCTGAGAGATGCTTTGCTGTTGTTCGTTGTTCGTTTGACGCTTTTGGCCATTTCGACGAGAGTGGATATTCGTGATTTCTGTCATTCCTGATTTTTTTTTTTTGGTTTGTGGCTTTGCAGGGCGCCAAGTTTATTCAGATCTGCAACATGACCCGTGTCTATGAAGGCAGCATCATTCGTTGCATGCGCCGGCTCGAAGAGCTCTTGAGGCAAATGTGCCAGGCGGCCAAATCCATCGGTAACACTGAGCTTGAGAACAAGTTTGCTGCTGGTAAGTAGCCGTGTTGCGCACGGTTTTGTTTCTTGTCAACTTTTTTTTTGTGGTGACAGTTTGCTGACTCTGCTTTTGCTCTGTATTCTTGTAGGTATCACACTGATCAAGCGCGATATCGTGTTTGCTGCCAGCTTGTATTTGTAAAACTTGACGCAGCTTCCTTAAGCTCAACACCAATACAATTCAAATAAAACCCGCAACAACACCACAAAAATCTCCATAAAAACAACAATCGCCTCGTTGATTCGAGACATTATTTCCCTAAACTAATGTGGAGGCCAGAGCTACCCATTGGACCCTGGCCATTGCTCGAATCGTTACTTGGGGATGTGCTCGGATAGAGAAAGAGGAGCGCGACTTGACAAAGCGAGAGGAGCAGTCCGAGGGCGTTTGGCTGCCAAACAAACGGATCGTTCCGTCCGTACGCAACCCACAACATACACACGAGGCAACCGAGCCATGCCAGTGGCCGCGACAAGCCGTCTGTGGACTTGGTTTTGACGATTCGCACCTACCAGCAGAAAACACAAACAACAACCAAAAACCAAAAACGAAAATGACAGCGACATCAAAAATGTCAGTCGTTTTCAGGGCGTGATCATCAGAAGCGCGCATGGCACTCCCTTACCAACAGCGAGAGAGGTGCTGCAAAGAACAGAATCGTGGTCAGCGCTCCAACAATGCCAAGGTTCCAGGTAACTTCGGCACGGGTGGTGGACATGCCTCCGACCCACGTAAAGGCAGCTGCAATGTAGCAAAACCCAAGCAACGTCGTTCGTCGCGCGGTGACCTGGTTTGGCGTTTTGACACGAGTTTCACGTTTGCCAAATTGAAAAAAAAAAAAAAAGAGCAAAAGAACAGGGCAGCGAAACAGAGCGAGCACATCATGATGCATCCATCGTTAGATCCAGATCATGCCAATCCCTCTCGACTATCAGCGGTTGAACAAAAGTGTGCAAGTGAGAAGGGACGGAAACTCACCGCGTCGTTGGTGTAGGAAAAGTAAATTGTCAGGTAGTAAATGTACAAGCCGGAGCCGATGCCATTCACAATGATTTGCGTTGGATCACTGATGAGCAAGCCATAGCTTGTCCATAGTACGCAGCTGTGTTGTCACGGTGGTGTATGACAGACAATGCGTGAGTTAACAATTCGCAGCGCTGCACAGTTGACAACCAACCCAACGCGGGCACACCCAACAGCACGGTCAGCGCGAGCACAGCAAGAGGGATGTGTTCGTTGCTCGTCTTACTTGACAATGCCTGCGACGTAGGGCACGATGGAAGTCGCGCCAGTGGTTCTACTGCGCTCGATTTCACGAACGGCTGGTCTGTCATTGTCGTGGAGCTCGTCGTCAGTACTGCAGCAACGCAGACACAAAAGCAAAACCCACAAAAACAAGCCATTTTTGAACCACCCCCTCTCAATCAACATTTACATGCTGGATGCAAACACGGCGACGGTCGCAATGATGGCAGCGACACTCAGAATTGTTTGAATCATTGAAGCCAAAGCAAGCAAATTTCCAAGCAAAGCACAAAAGAGTGGACCAACAACAACAAAAAAAAAAGCCAAACGAACAAACATTGCAACGTATTCGCAACCGAGCGACAAACGCGAAAACGCTAGTTGTTCAATTTCCATACAAACAACAGAGCCTCAGTTTGAATGAGGAAAAAAAAAAATTCAATACAAAACTCAATACAAAACTCAATCCAATCCTTTTTTTTTTTTTTTTTTCAAAAGCTTCGTATCCAACAATGTCGGATCGCAAGCACTCGCTGGACGGCGCGCAAGACGACGAGCCGATGGCCAAGATCGCGCGATTGGAGAACGCCGAGCCGAGCGGGCAGGGCACTGGACTATCGCAGCAGGAGCAGCAGCAGCAGGAGCAGCAGGAGCAGCAGAGTGGAAATGGCGCCAAAGGGTCGATCGCTGCTCCTACCTCTACCGCTCCATCTACTGCTGCTGCTGCTTCAGTTGCCAGCGATGGGATTGCTCCAGGAATGGCGCCGCCATTGCCGCAGGTGCACGTGGCGCCTGGCGAGCCGGGAGCGCCTGCGACGGACGCCGAGCGGGCCTTGCTCCAGCAGCACTTGCGCCAGCTGCTCAAGGACGTCGAAGGCCGCGACGAGTACATGTTCTTTGCAGAGCCAGTGAGCGCCGAGGATGCGCCGGACTATGCCGACGTGATTGGCGAGCCGATGGACTTTCGAACCATGCGCGGCAACATTGAAGCCGGAGCGTATCCCAGTCTCGCAGCCTTCGAGCGCCACCTCAAGCTCGTCTTTACCAATTGCATGCACTACAATGGCCCAGAGAACCACTACCATCGTCAAGCCAAGAAGCTGCTCCAGATGTCCGTGGACCGTCTGGTGCCCAAAACCCTGACGGCGTTCGAGCGCGATCGCCAAAAGCTGCGCGCCCCGCCAACCCCAGTTGCTGCCAGCAGCCGAGGTGCCAGCGACAACGAGGCAGGCGCTGCATCAACACCCAAGCAGAAACTGTCTCGCGACGAGAAAATGTCGCAGCAGCAGCTCTTGCAACAGCAGCAACAACAACAGCTGCAACTGCAGCAACACCAGCTCCAACAGCACCAACAATTGCAAGGACGAACGCCACAACCGCAATCTCATCAGCCGCACCACCAACACCAACAGCTCCTGCTCCAGCAGCAACAAGAGTTTCTTCAACATCAGCAGTCTCGCACAAGTTCACAGCACAGCCCTCAGCAACAACAGCACCAGCAGCCACACCACCGGCGCCAGTCTGTTACTGCGTTGACTCCTGCCGAGATTGCTGCTTTGGCACCAGAAGTGTTGGCTCGACATGCGCTTCCTCGCCGTGCACGTGCAACACCGGCCGCACCTCTTGACGATGCGACTGCCAGCTCCCTCGTAGCAAGTGCGAATGCGACGTTAGCTTCCGGTTTAGCTCCGATGACAGCAAGCACTCCTCTCGGACTTAGCGGTAAGTCGAGTGACTGGTTTGTTGCTCAATGGGGGTGGCAGTTAAGTTTTAATGTTTGTTTGGTTTTCGTTTTTGGTTTTGGTTTTGACATGGGCTTTGATGTTGGTTTCGCTGTCTGCTGCGATTGGGTCGATCTAGTGCCGCATGCAATGCCTGCTTCGGTGCCCACATTAGAAAGCTATGCCTCCAATGTCCCAGTTCCGATTGTTCCGTTGAACGAGCCACAAAGCCACATTGTGTCGCCGGGTAGGTTCTTTGATTGCGTTCTTTGATTGCGTACGACGGGTAGATGCCTGCATATCGGTCTGACTTGAACTTGGGCTCTTCTTTCGTTTGAAAACCCGCCATAGTCGTGTTCACCTCCTATGGCGCGAGAGCAACTTTTGCACCGACTTACAACTCTGCTCATGCAAGTCTCAGCAAGGACGAATCTGCGCTCTTGTTTAACGACGTGGACGAAGCAAAGCGCATTGCGTCGATGCGCACCTCGCAGCAAGAGATTGATGCCTTGAACCATCAAGCTCAGCAGCAGCTTGGATCTGTTGCAGGCATTTCAGCCAAGTACGTTCATTTTGAATCACGAGAAGACAAAAAGCACTTGCAGAATGTGGTCAATGTGACAGGTTGCAACTTTGTTTTGTTCATCTGCGACTGACTGATGGCACGCGTCTATGATTCTTTTCTTCAGAGACAAAGTGGCAGTCATTCTGTCGGCCAACTCGGCTTTGCTGCGATCTCTGCAACTGCAGCAAATTGAACGATTATCCACTCAACTTTTGTCATCTCCTGGATCGAATGAGGCTGCAGTTGGTACGCATTTCACGTCTCTGACCTATTTTGTTCTGATTGGGGTTGCCTCACTATGTATGTGTTTTTTTTCTTTTTGCGATGCAGCGGCCTCTGTTTTTAGCAACCTACGACATCTGCTCCCGTCATTCCCGAATGCACTCGAAATACCGCCTTCGGCTGCGATTCGTGCAGCCTTGAATGTCCAGCAACCAGTTAAAGTCGCCTCCAACTCAACAAGTACCGGCCGTTCCACTACCGTTTCGGTGCCGCTACCTTTCACCACCGGCGCGTCCTCGACCGTCGATACCAAGCTTGATATTGACAATACGGACGAAGCTGCTGATTGTAAGGTGTCTCAGCGACCTATTGCTTGCTGTTCTCCATTTTTTTTCTGACATCAATCGTGCTACGCTGCAATGACAGACATTTGCGCAAACTGCGGTGTGTTTGACACTCCCGAGTGGCTGCATGGCGCTTTGCCAAACCAACCGCTTTGCTTCGGTATGTGGGTTGGTTGTTTGGTGCCTTTTTGACCTGTGATTCACCCTTACTCGCCGCTTACCCCTCCTCCCTCTCCGCTCCTGTCTGTTTTTTTTTGCATAGCTTGCGGAACCTACTGGCGACAGAATCGACGCAATCGTCCATGCGGACGGTTTGCAAATCCCGCAATCGCACAAGTCGGTACAACATGGAACTGAGCAGAGCTCTGCCAAGGCTGACTGGTGAATTTGCATTGTTTTGTATTTCTAAAATGTTGTTCCATTAAAGATCTTCGGGTTGTAATGACTGCAGAAGTGAAATTGCAATTTTTGTTGAATGACGAACAAAACAAGCTCAAACGCCTCTCAACGCCTTTCTCGGTCGTCTCTTCGACTGCTATGGCTACTGCTGCTCCTGCCATCGCGAGTGTCAGCATCACGCCTGTCACGGGTAGCCGGCGATCGCGATCGAGACCGGGAGCGTGAGCGGGACGGCGATCCTCGACTACGACCGCGGGATTCGCGTGATGGAGAAGGCGACCTGGATCGCGACCTGGATCGAGACCGAGCGCGCTCGTCGCGTCGCCGTGAGCTCGAGTGCACAGGCGACGGGGAGCGGGACCGCCTGGACGACCCTTGCCGACGTCGGGAGCTCGTGCGACGATCGTCCTCGTCGTACTCTTCGCTGTCTGCCTCACTGCCGCTGTCGCTACCGTCGTCTGACGAGTCGCGCCGTGAATGTCGTCGTCGTGACGCTGATGATGACGATGACGAGTGCCTGTGATCTCTGTCGCGGGAGTCGCTCTTGTGCTTCTTGTCCTTCTTGCTCTTCTTGTCCTTTTTGTGTTTCTTGTCCTTCTTCTCCTTCTTGTCCTTCTTGCTCTTGGCGTCCCGCGAGCGGCTGGCAGCAGCAGTCGCAGCAGCTGTTTGCGAGCTCTTGGCGGCGAGCATGGCTGCCAGTGCCGCTCTGCGCTGCTCGGCCGCTGCAGGATTGTCATCGAAGCCGCCGTCCTCGTCCTCATCGTCGGACGACGACGTGCTCGACACGTCCAGCACAATCTCCTGCGACGGATTCAGCTTCATAAAGTTACGGCATTGGTACGTCAGGTGTCCCAGCTGGCCGCACTTTTTGCATGCTCCCGGCTTGATCTGTGTGGGATCGTGTACGACTGAATGTGAGAGCGACATTGTTCGCAAAGACTGGACTTGGGCGTCGTTAATAATTTTAGTGTGTGTAATGGATAAAGTGATGCTCAACACTCTGATCTCAAGTTTGATTTTCGCTGGGACGAAGAGTTGTGGCGTGCGAATGGAAGTGATCGCGCTTCAACATTGTCAACCGTGTTTCGATGCAACCCGGAGCACAACCTGGAATCAGCACTTGAGCATAGCATGCAAGAGTGATTACGGAAGTGTCCTTGACTGAGGATAGAGTGCGGAAGACAGATGTGAGCTGAGCTCAATTCGTAACACGATGCAAAATGCAAAGATCAAAGAAATGCCGTTATTTTTGCCCCCTCACTCCATACTGTACATATCCAACAAGTTCAGTCTTTCCACATCCTTTTCCCATTCTCCGTTGTTTCCCGGGTGTGACATACACAACAGAATCCGGTTTTCCAGTTTTCCGGTAAGAATCTTGCTTTCATTTGGTTTTTCATCTTCCTTTGACACGGCCACTCTCCACGACCACGCTCGTCCTTCGCTCAACTCCAACGCATCACAAATCACGAGCAACTCCTCCTCTGCCACCTCCCCCTTGCTTTGAGCCAGGATGATCATTCTCGGGGAGCGGTGCGGTTTGCTCGCGGTTTGGTTTTTTTCCCAATTGCCGCTCCTCCTCCTCCTCCTCATTTCGCTCTTCCTCACTGCTCTCTCTCTCTCTCTCTCTCCCCCAACGCCGCCAACTCCCACCTCCCAAATCTCTACTCTACGCTTGCACACATACACTCTCTCTTTCTCGTCCAAACCCTCGTTTCCGCCTCGCCTGCGTTGTTCAGTCGCTTCAACTTGCGTTTTCCCCATTTCGTCCCGGTAACTGGGAAATGCAAAAAAAAAAAAAAAAAAAAAAATCCAAACGTTTTTTTTTTTTTTTTTTTTTTTTTTGTGACTTGCCTTTCTGGATTGAGAATGCATTCCTTTTTTTTTTTTTTTTGAAAGCTTGATTTCGAATTGCGAGAACAAGCGAAGCGACACAGAGAGACACACACAGAGAGATCTGGAAGAACTGTAAGCGACACATCCTATCGCATGCTCTGGAACGTACAATCGAGAAGAGCCGGGTGAAAAAAACGTGAAGAGACATTCGCATGATCGTTGCCCTGGAATTGGGGAAAAACCGGTTGCAGCAAAGGCAACGGCACCCTTGCCCCTCTTCTCTCTCCTTCCCGCTCCCGTTCGAGACCTGGCATTTCGGTGCCAGGCAAGCGCCAGTGAGTGATGGCAGATTTCCGCGTGGCCGGGGCCGAGACGGCGAGCCGAAACCGCAGCGCTGAGCAGTCGCACATGACGATTGAAAGAGGGGCGGGGCGTTGTTTGCTGGCAACAGCACAAAGATCGTCGAATCCGGGCAGCCAAACCGCACGAGTGACGTGAGTAGAGGGGCAACCGGGGCAGCAAGAAGTTGCTGAACAATCACGAGATACCCGGAGACACGAAAGGGAAGTGCCAGCGCCGAGAGCGAGCTGAAAGACGAGCCGAAACCGTGTGAAATTGCGCGCACGAAAAAAGGTGGAAACCGCCAAACCGCATTCTTCTGGAACGCACAGCACTGCGTAGCCAGGCGACCGTTCTCGCTGCATTGCACTCGGTCGTGTTTCTTTGATGAGATCGCTACGCCGGAGGATTATTGAAGCGCGAAGAGTGAGAGGAAAGGAGAGACAGCGATGCGGTCTGGCTGGAATGCGCCGCTTCAGGATCTCTCTCACATGCACTGAACCAGCCACCGACTCTGAGCCGTCGTGCAAGCATCATTGTAGCATTCATGCCCCTACTTTCTCTTCAAACTCGTCGAGCTGCTCCATGACTGGGTGGGGTGGCGACAAGGGGAGGGGCGCGGGGGAGTTTGGAGTTTGGAGACCTCTTGTCAACTATGTTCTTGTTAGAACAGCTCGATTCTGGTTGGTTGAGGCAGCACGAACCAATGCCTTGTTGCAGCTGACTCATGCGAGCCGTGGTGCTTGAGGATTGTGTGTGCTTTTTTTTCTTCTTGTATGCGTGCCAGTGAGCTGTGGACTCACAGTGTCTACGTCGACCCCGCGCCTGACTCCCAACAAAACACAAAACGCATCACAACGATCGCCCTCCTGTGTTTGTTTGCGCTATTTCTCTCTGCAGCCGCCGCCCCCCCCCCCTCTCGCTTGATGAATGCAATCGATGCTTGACACTCAGCTAGCTCCTGCTGGACATCTCAGCCCACTCAAAAGCAACACACTGTGAACTCAAAGAACGGCAGAAAAACAAACGAAGCGATCGATCTTGGAATGCGTCTTCGTTTGTTTATGTTTTTTCGTTTCGCTTTTTTCGTGCTCGGGTTTCTGATTGTCGAGAAGGGATGTCTGCAAAAGAAGGTTGAAAGTGGGTTGAAATGCGGGTCATTGTCTGCCAGAGGAGAGAACCTGGAGAAGGTGGAATCAGAAGCAAAAGGGGAAAATGGACCATCCTGCCCGCCTTTCAACCCATTCAAACGGAGGCGGAGGGTCTTGAGCACTTGGACTGCCTCAACCTGGCTCAGACAGTTGCATTCAAAATCGTCCGCATCTCGTTCCTTATCTCTCTCGCCTGGGCAATTTCGCCCCCCCCCTTTTTGGAGTGTGGAGCGGGTCGTCTGATCCAAGCGCCAGCACCCCGCTGCCATGCTTTCACCCCTTCTTGATCCTCCCAGCTCAATCCTCTCCTTTCCTTAAATGACCCCCAATCTTTCTACATCCTGATCTCTCAGGGAAGGGGGCAGGAGTAAACGCGAATCCTGCTTGCATTGTCCTCATTCTTTTCGCTTTCACGTTTGTTTTTGTTTTTGTTTTTTGGTTTTGTTTTTGTTTGTGTTTGATCGGCTTTTTGGAGTTTTTGACCATGTCTTATCGCACACATGCACACGCTGCCCACCCTCTTTCGTTTTTGCTGCTACTAGTGCTTGCCCCCAACACGAGTGTGATAGCTTTTCGTCTCCTCACTCCATTTTTTCGCTTTTGTTTGCTTTTTTGAGCGGGAAGGTCAGCCAATTTATTCCGACTTTACACATATGCTCGTTCTCCATCAAAACACGCACTCTCGCTTTCTTTCTATCGCGCGTGTCTCCACTCATCTCTCTCTCTCTCCCCCCCCCCAACCTCCCAAACACCATTTCTACTGACCACCGCCCTGTTTCCTGGGTGTTTGCCTTGCTTTGCCACAGCAACTCGATTCCTGTTTTTTTTTTTTTTTTTTTTTTTGCGTTCCAAAGCCCTCAACTCCGCTCTTCTCTTCCGGCTCTGCATCGCCCTCACCTGTTGACTCTTCCCCCCCCCCGCCTCTACCACCTTCTTCCACTCTCAATCCTCCTCCATTGCTCACAGCCCCGAGCACGCGCGTGAGGGTGGTGAAGAGGTGCGAGCTCTTGTTTTTTTTTTTTCTGGCTGCATTCTGATGTGACGCTTTTTTTTTTTTTTGAAATGAAACCGCACACTCCGTTCTCCTCGTTCCGCCTGCCTTTCCGCCACTCTCTCTCCCTCTCTCTCTCGCTCATCACACAGTTCGCATACTAATCACCGCCCCCCAGCGCTCGTCGTCTCTCTCCACCCCTTGCTCCACTCCTTGCTCCTTGCACTTTGTTGTGTTCTGTTTTGATCTCAATGCTCACTTGTATCACTTTTTTTTTTTTTTTTTTTTTTGGCACCGCTTTTCGTCACATTGGTCATACAGGCGGAACACGAAGCGTCTCTGGATAGCGCCCCACCTCTCCCTCCTCGTCTTTCATTGTGCGTGTACGCTCGTCACTCAACACAGATCGCGCCTTGAAAACGGAGGCTGTTTCCGCTTTGGACAAGCACCCCCCAAAAAGCCAAGCAAACGAGACTCGCACGTTGGCCTCTCCTGCGTGTAGCTCTCCCTGCACCCCTCCCCCGGCGCTCTCGTTCCTCAGCAAGCCACCCTCGAACTCTGGAAGCTGACTTTCAAGCCCAGTAGCTCAACTCACCACCGACAGCAGAAAGCAAAGGAAAACAAACGCTTTGTTTTTTTTTTTTGAACCCTTGTTTTGCAGCCATGGACACGACCACCAGCATGCCCTTCCTCGTAAACCACCACCCAGGGTCATTTCAGCCAAATCCAGGCCCCATGGTGCAGATGGGTGGCATGCGCATCAGCCCAGTCGCCAGCATGACGAGCATGGGCAGCGCGTCGGCCGCCAGCGCAAACAGCCCTGCAATGGGCCTGCTGCCCGCTCCGAGTCATCAATATCTGCAGCAGCCGCAGCAGCAGCAGCAGCAGCAGCAGCAAGTGCACGACCAAATGTTCATGCAGCAACAGCCAGGGCAGCCACCACAGCAGTTCCTGCATGTGCCAAACCAGCAGTTCATGGCGCCGTCGCAGCCCTATCCTCAGCAACACGGCTTTTACGTCGGACAACCAGCACCGGCACTTGCATCACCACACCAGCAGCCCATCTACATGGCGTCGCAAGCACCACCGCAACTACAGCAACCACAACAACAGCAGCAACAGCCATCGCCGCAACAGCAAATGCTGCAGCAGCAACAACAGCAATTCCAGCAACGGCAGCAGATGCTCATGCCACCGCAACAGTCCTTGTCACAAACCCAACTGCTTGTGCCAGCAGGCGCACAGTTGCGAACATTGTCGCCAAACGAGCAGCCAGTTCCCTATCTGCAGCACCAGCAACAACAGCCGCCGCAACCGCCCATGATGCACAACCTCCCCGCAATGCACGGCCCGTCGAATGGCTCGTTGGACGACTTGCATGCACGAAAACTCACCCCAAATGGCGACGACGACATGGGGGATGGTGCGGACGGCGACGACGGGGAAGGCGACGAAGAGGAAGAGGACGACGACGACATGCAGGGCTCCCATCGTGTTGGCAGCGGCTATGTGCGGCACTCTCCAGCCGCGCTGGTGTGGTTGACGACCCACTTTGAGCAGGCGTCGACTGGCAGCGTGGCCCGTGGCATCATTTATGCGAGCTATGAGGATCACTGCCGCGAAAACAAGCTGGCGCGTATCAACGCGGCCACCTTTGGCAAGCTCATCCGCCAGGTCTTTCCCAAGCTCCGCACTCGGCGGCTGGGGATGCGCGGGCAGTCAAAGTACCACTACATTGGCATGCGCGTCAAGCCATCTTCTCCGTTGTACGAGCAGCTGAGCGCCCAGCACGAGCATTTGCATGCAGTGACGCGAGGCAACCAGCGCGGCGGTGCCAACGCCATCGCCGCCGACGATGATGGCGATGATAACGACAGCGGCGAGGGTCCCAACAGCGACCCTCGTCGCTCTGGTAAGATTACCGTGTGGTCGCTGGAAGGGGAATCGGACAAGAAGCCGCGCCGTGGTCGCCCACCAAAGTCGCGCGCTGCCGACGCGAATCCCGCGCCCGATGCGGCTGGCATGGGCGGCCCGGTCGAGTATGGTGCCGCTCCCCATGCCGGTGGTCACCCGCTACCGCCGCACTTGCAACAGCAGGCGATGCCTTTCGCTCCCCCTGCATTCGGCATGGCGCCGCCACTCCCATCGCATCTGGCGCCACCCCCTGGCTACCAACCTGGCTTTTACCCGACACCGAGCTCCCCCAGCACCATGTACCTGCGTCAACAACAGCAGCAACAGCAACAGCAACAACCGCCGCAACAGCAGCATCAGCTTGCCCCGCAACCACCGCCCCCTGCCCCAGCACCACTCCCCTACGTGGTGATTTCGGTGCCTGCGCCGGGCACAGGTGGCTCTTCGGGTGTTGATCCCTCCACGCAAATCAACCCAGCCTTCCTCGACATGCTGCCGCGGTTCACCGCGACGATCGATCCCAACGTGTTCCCTGCTGGTTCGGGGGCCGAAGCGATCGCTTTGCGCGACGAGTTTGTGCACACTCACCGTCAACTTTGCCGTGTTGTATTCGCGCTGGGTCTGGCGCACCAGTTTGAACTGATTCCACTTGTCTGGCACACATTCTGGCACATTTCTGCGAACGGCGTTGGCCCTGTCGGGCAGCCGTCCAACCCGGCCGTGCAACAGCCCATCCAGGTGCTGAATCTGCCCTTCAGCGCCTTCTCGGCCATTCAAATCCAGTTTGTTTCTCATCCAGCCGTGCTGGAGTTCCTGGAGCGAGCAGACCTGGCCATGTACGACGGACTCACCAGGCATCTCGTCCCCGAATTGGTTCGTCCTGTCGAAAACCTGCAGGCTGTGCGCATGTTTGCCAAGAACATTGAGGGATCCATGCTCGATGCCCTCGAATCCTGCGTGCCTCCGCAGGTGGTCGAGGTGCTTGTGCGCGCCTCCTCGACGTTCGCGCGAACCCTTCGTCGACGAACGGCCATCACGTACCTGGGCCAAGCCGTGCACTCCATGATCCAGCATCCCGAGCAGCTCCAGGCCATGAATGCCGCTATTGCGCGCATCGAGTTTGACAGCGTCCACGATCAGGCCGGCTGGGTGACTCGCTGCGATGAAACCGTCGTTGCACGATTGGGTGAGCAATTCCGTCAAATGCTGCGGAGCATTTCACGACTGGACGACCTGACGCTTTGGGTGGAGAGTGTTGTGGACGAGCTCGTCATTTCAAAGTCCCCGATCTCGCAGCAATCCGCATCATCATCGCGACCCAAGCACGGGTTTTTCGGCACGGCACTGGCCGTCTCTCCTCCAATGAACGGCGTCATGGGCGCTCCTCTGTCTGCCACATCCGCATCGTCTTCCAGCAGCATGTTTACGAGTGTTTTGCAGCCTTCTCCGGCAGCGGCCGCCAACCTTGCCGAGTTTTCGTATCGCGCCTGCCAGTTTATTCTGCGATGGAGCTACTACTCGTCGCTCGTCATTCGCGATTTGACTCTCCGCAGCTGCCCGACGTTTGGCTCCTTCCATCTCGTTCGTTTGCTCGTTGACGAGTACATTTACTTTTTGCTCGAAACCGAAGTGCATGCTCGGCTCGGTTTGACCACTGTTCTTCTCGGCCACATTGCAGTCGTGCCAGATGATGGTCAGGTTTCCACCCCAGTCCCGACCATTGCCCTGACCTCCTTGACCCATCCTTGGCAAGCGCCGCCGGATTCTGCGCGCAGCTTTAATTCTGTTACGAGTGCCGCGACAATGCACATGCAGCAGCAGCAACAGTACCAGCAGCAGCAACAACAGCAGCAGCAGCAGCAGCAGCAGCAGCAGCAGCAGCAGCAGCACCAGCAGCAGCAGCACCAGCAGCACCAGCACTACCAACAGCCCCAACAACCCCTGCACCAACAGCAACTCCTACAACAACAACCACAACAGCAACTCCAACAACTCCAACAGCAGCAGCAACAGCAATACTACATGCAGCCCTACCAAACCCAGCAACAACCGGTTGCGCCCCCAATGGCAACAGCGCCACAACCGGCTCGAGAGGAACCTCCGAAGCCCGCGAGGCGCCCGCGTGAAGATGAGGATGACGGTGCAGAAGATTCTGCAACTCCATCCAGCAGTTCGCAGGCCGGTGAAACGTCAGCGGAAGCTGCTGGGCAGCCCACGCGCGAGACCGATTCACCGCCGCCTGTCAAGAAGACTCGCCTTGATGCAGAACAGCACGAGCACAATCACGATGAGAGCAATTCAGATGTCCCGCTTGCTGCTGCGGACGTACCTCTTGCCGCCGATGCACCTTCGACGGCACCCAAGATCAAAGACGAGGCACCCGAGATCAAAGAAGAGGCACCCTGATTCGGGATGCCCCATTTGTTGTTGCGAGGTCAAGACTGAACAGCAACAACAGGTCATTCGAGGTTGTCAGCTCCTAACCGCCCCAAACACCACGTCTACTCATTTGTATCACCACCACCACCATCACCTCCTGACTTTTGCTTCTTTTTTTCCGGCGATTTTTCTGCTTGACGTTTCTGAAACAATACAATTAGTATTTTGGATTTGAATGAATGAATGAACGAATGAATGAAGATTCGTGCAGGTTGGTCATGGAACAAGCTCGCCAATAGTGAATCGCTCAATCATTGTATGAGCGGATCGCGAATGTGCAATAGTTGCAAAGGGCCCAGTTGCGTCGCTTCCGGCGTAGTACAGGATGACTTTGAGACCACCAGGGTGCTGTCAGCATCGATATTGTGGCGGTCAGTTGTTCCCTCCAGGCCGTCCGGTTTTGCCTCACAGCATTCGCAACTCAATCTTCTATCGTACCATTGTTACAAATGTCGTCACGTCAAGGACTTTGCCGTGAAGGGCCATCCACAGGGTGGGCTTGGGGTCCGCGGCAGTGAATTCTTCCACGAGCTTGCGCTCGACCTCGCGCATTGCCTGCAGACGCCCCATCATGGTGGTTGGAGCAGGATTGCTGGATGACGATGCTTCAATTCGATCCCGCAGTCCATGTGCGCGAAGCTCGTCCAGCGAGATTTGTCGCGACATTCACGAAAGAAAAGCAAGAGTGCGCTTTCGCTCAATTCGAGAATCGCTCTTATTATCTGAGATACTGAAGAAAAGCTAATTCAATACAACAACAAAGACAAAAAAAAAGCAACCCGTCCACCTCGCTTGCAAAGTTCACAACAAAGCAAAACAGGAAAAACGCAACCAAAGTGCAACATCGCGAGAACAAATCTTGAAAAAGCTGAAGAATAGGTGTTGTCTCTATTCGTTGGCGGCCTTGAACGCGGTTTGTGCCTCGCTCAATTCGCAAAAGATCAGGTTGGCGAGATTTTCGTGTGGCGATCCAGCAACCTAGCGACGGACACACAAACACAAACACACACACACACACACACACAAAAGTCAGTTCAACGCACACTCGAGTCCAATCACGACACAAGCACGAAACGGACTCTGTACCTTGTCAGGATGGACAATCAAGCAGGCCTTCATGAACTGCTTTTTAATGTCGCTCGGCTTGAGCAGCTGTGCCATGCTCACTTCCTTCCAGCCGCTCTCCTCCCACAAAATCGTGTGCAGCGAGGACAAGAGCGCGCGAATGTTGCCCTTTTTGCCGCCTTCGACCCATTCCTGAACGCGAATGGCTTCGAGATCCTCCGGAGTCTTGGCCTCACCTTTGACGGCGGCCTTGCGCATTTCGTTCATGGAGCCCGGGACTCGGTGGGCTGCGGGATTGAATCCAGAGTGGCCGCCAAGCAGATCCGCAAACGCGCCGACGCCTTCGTCGGGCTTTGCGTTCGTTGCAGGCATTCGTTGCGGGACAGTATGCGTGTTGAGGTTTGGGCGCATCTGTGGCATTGAAGGTTGCTGCGGGCGATATTGCTGCTGGCCCTGGAATTGCTGCTGGCCTTGGAATTGCTGCTGGCCTTGGAATTGCTGCTGACCCTGGAATTGCTGTTGTCCTTGGAAGGGTTGCTGGCCGAAGCCCTGTTGACCGAAAGCTGGCTGCTGTTGACCGAACGAGGGCTGTTGCCCATACGCCTGTTGCGGGATCGTAGTGGCGGGTTTGGAGGCAGGAGCGTTGCCAAATCCGAAATCACCAAAAGGATCGTCAGAGTGGGACGAACGAGCCTGCTGCTGCTGCTGCTGCGCCGGTTGCTGCTGCTGCATCGGAGTTCCAGGACGAACACCTGCAGAGGGGTTGCCATAAGGACCACCAAAGCCGCCGCCGTAGTTGGGCTGCTGAGGCATCATGGATGGACGTTGGGCACCCATGCCCATGTTTCCCATGCCGCCCATGCTGCCCATGCTGCCCATGCTGCCCATGCCGCCCATGCCGCCGTACTGTGGCTGGCCTGTGGCTGGCCGGGTCGGACACCGCTGTGCATGGATTGCTGCGGAAGATTGTTCATCGGAGTATTCGAGTTGGAGCGGGACGATGATGCAGAGAATCCGCCAAGAAGATCGTCAAACGAGGACTTTGGCTGGTTGGCTCCAGTAGTGGATACTGGCGGAGTGTGAAGCATCGAAGGAGCGCTCGAGCTTGGACCGAACGAATCCATGCCAAACAAGTCTCGAGAGGCAGAGACCGTGGCAGGGGCAGACACGGTAGGGGTCGAGCCAGTCGAGGCATAAGCGTGGTTGTTGGTGTTGATGGAGGTCACTGGGACGCTTGCAGAAGGCCCAAACACGTCAAAGTCATCCAGCAATCCACCGCTCTTCTTGGCCGGGGCAGATTGAGTCTGCGGTTGTGGCGTAACTGAAGCAGAGCGCGCTGCCGGCGCCTGCTGCGGGACTGCAAATGGATCGAGGGATGCTTTCGCAGGCGCAGTTGCAGGTGCAGGTGCAGCAGGGGAACGTGCGTCAAAAAGACCAAAAAGATCATCCGTTGCGACGCTCGGACGGGGAGGATTGGTGGCACCTTGAGGCTGAGCAGCAGGCATCGGCGAAGGACCGCGCGCGGCATTTGGAACCGCCGCCGCCGCTGGAGTTGGCGCCGGTTCGTCACCAAACAGATCAAGAAGCTGCGCCCCAATCGGACCCGTGGGAACTTGTTGGGGGAGCGGCGCACGCGGTTGTGGCGCCTCGTGACCGGAAGCGGCCGAATGACGGTCCTCTTCCTCGTCCCAATCCAAACCAGGGTTTTCCTGACGAGAAGAGCCTCCTTCCTCACGGTCATCATCATCATCATCTTCGGCTTGACCATTGTTGAATGACTCGTAGCCTTCTGGCACCTCATTATCATGATCCATATCGTCATCTTCGTGACCTTCGGAAGGTTGGGGCTTGCCAGGCCCGCTTGACGTGGAACCAGCACGGTGGTTGTTATCCTTGTACGTGCGCAACGTCAGTTCTGTTCGAGGTCAGAGCGCAGAGTGCAGAGAACGCACAAGTTGTTGGGCCAGGCAGATTCAACCAGCAACAGCAAAAAAAAAAAAACACTCGTACCATAGTCGCTGCGGAACTGGTCGGATTCTTCGTCGTTGAAAAAGCACGTCTGCTTGTACGCTCGCTGGTCTTTGGGTGGGATGAGCTCCCAGGCGTGCTTCTCTTGGCTGGTAATCTTGCGCTCGGTAATCTCAATTTCAAGCTGCACGGCAAAAGTTTCGTAGAAGCGATCATCACGAACAGCTTCGTCCAACTCGGACTTGTTGAACACAATCTTCTGCGAGCGCATGGTTCCAGTGTGGAACTGCAGGCGGAACATGGGGGTTGAGCTGAGGATGCCAAGCGTAACGCTGGCGTTGTAGCAGATGATCAGAATATCGCCCTGGCACTCGCAATCGAGACGGAAGTTGGCACGGCCGTCCTTGACACCGTACGACCTACCAAGCACATACACAACAATAAAATTCCAGAAAAAATCCAATCGCTGTGAGATTTCTGCATCAGACCCAAACGCGAGAAAACGCAACCAAAAACGCACGGGAGCTCATCCGGATTGGTTGGCAGTGTCGAGCGAAGAAGCTGCCCCTCCTTGAAAATCTTAAAGTAGGGACGGCAGCCCGACCGTAGCACATCAAACTGAGGAATGGTGTTGAACACCATGTTGCGAATAACAATCACATTGTCATGGGGATTGATGTTGTTGGCAAGCAGCTTGTTGAAGTAGCCCACGTAGCTGTGGACGAGCAAATCCAAGCAAGACAACAAAGTCAGCCAACAACCAATCGCCCACGGCGGCGGCGGGCCAAACAGAGGTCAGGTCTCTCAAAGTGCAATCTGATCAATCGTGGGTCTCACCGAATCTGACTGGGCTGGGTGACACCACGCCAAGTGCGGAAGCGCTTGCTGGCAAAAAGGCGCAGCGCATCTTCCACAGTCGAGAACAGGCCACAGTAGTTCAGATAGGCCGAAATGACAAGACCCGTCTGACCCTTGCCAGCAATGCAGTGGACAACCGCAACGTTCTCCCGATTGGACATGAGCCAAGAATGCATGGTTTGGCAAATGGAAAACAGTCGTTCCAACGGCGGGGCCTGGTGCGGCGGCCATCCAAAGTCCATGACATTGTTGCGGAGCTTGTTGTGGTTGTACTTTTTCTCTGTCAGGTTGTACACCATGTAGTGGTCGCGGTGATTGGCGTCCAAGTGGTTGCGGACGTCGTCAATGTTGTTGCGGTAGGTGGACTCGAGGCCCTCGGCAGGGTATGCCATAGCTGCAGGCAGGAACAGTGCGCTTCAAAGTCAACCAAAAAAAAATACCAGCGCAACGCACTGCTCCAAAGCTTTTGAGCTTACCAATGATGCGAGGGGTAATGTAGGTCATGTCAAGATCATGAGTTTGTTTGATCGTGTTGCTGAGGGAATTCAAAAGCACGTTAGCCAAAACACACCACATTCTGAAAAACATCCTCGTCGCAAATGTTCTTTTTCCCCGCTTTGCTCACCTGGCAACCACATTGCGAATGACTTCCGAAGACTTGTCCTTGACATTCCGGACCAGAGACGTGCCGGCAGTCTTCACCTTGCCACCAATGTCTTTGGCCTTCTCAAACAGGTGCTTGCCGAGAGCAGAGGCCTTGTTGTCGTGGCGAGAATCATCACCCCACCCTCCGAACGAGTCGCTGCTTGTCTCGGAATGGAGATCCGAGTGTGACCGCTGGGGAGCAGGAGTCACGTGTGCTGCAGCCGACGCAGGAGGGCCCGCGGGTCGGGCGGGAGCCTGGCCGCCAGTGGAGGGAGCGCTGCCAGCTGCTGGAGTTGCGGGAGACGCGGCGCGCTGGCTGTCAGATCGCATCGCAGCAGCCGCTGGCGAGGATGCAATCAGATCAGCATCGGCCAAATCGGCAAGACCTTTGTCACCGCCAGGGCGGGTCTTGCGAGTGGGGTCTGGACCGAGCTCGGCATAGGTGAGCGTGACCTGCTGCAGGACATCCGAAATGTTGGGTCGCTCTTCCGGGTTGACGTTCAGCATGATGCCTAGTGTGCAAAGGGCAGATGAGATAGGCAAGTTGAGTGAAAATGAGTGCCGGCCATTGATCATTTCGGATCATTCTCGGAAGACGAAGAAAAGAGGCCTTGCACACGTACGAATCAAATCGTGGAATTCGCGGAATTGAGAATGCTCGGGGAAAGAGTACTTTCCGCTGATGATGGCCAGCTTGCTGCCCTCTTCGAATGGAGTGACGAAGAAGCACAGCTTGTACAGCATGACACCCATAGCCTGGTGTGGTGTGGATCGTGACACTCGGAAGTCAGACGCCCCGTTGTTGGCCAAGACACAACCAAAAAAATTTGAACCAAAGTAACGCAACATACCCAGATATCGGCCTTCTCGGTGACTGCTTGGCCGCTGTAGAGATCGTTCATCTCAGGAGCACGATACTGGGCGGTCGTGTTGGTTTGAATCTCGTCTTCACAACGCAGCGTTTCGGCATGGTTGGCGGGCTTCATGACCGTGGTGGTGGCGCTGCCAAAGTCACACAGTTTGATTTGGCCCTTCTCGGTAACGAGAAGATTCTCCACCTACGTTGAAACGGGGCGTGGAAATGAGGAACCAAGCGTAAAACAAAAACGAAACGACAAAAAAAAATGGCGATTGTGTGCCAAATCTGACCTTCAAGTCGCGGTGAATGACCGGAGGCTGCTGGCGATGGAGCACTTCGAGGGCACGGCAGGCTTGGGCAAAGATGCGCAAGACTTGCCACTTGGTGAAGGGGCGCTTGTTGCGAGCATTCATAATGTCGACCAGCATGCCGCCAACACACAAGTCCATAACAATCAAGGCTTCTTCCGAGCCGCTGACAGACTGTGCGCCTGGAATCAGAATGGAGTCGTAGAGCGTCACAATGTTATCGTTCTTGCAAACGGCACGCTGTCGACGATCGAGTCGAAAAGATTCAAAGCAAACAAGGACGTGAGCAAATGCATACAAAAAAATCATATGAACTGCTGAACTGTACCATGATTTCAATCTCGCGCTTGGCCATGGTTTGGCGATCGCGATCCGCCAGAATCAGGCGCTTGACGGCGTAGATGGCAGGCGTTCCTGGCGCCGCAGCGACGTCCTGTGCGACAAAGACGAACGCAAAGCCACCTGACAGAAGGGGACGAAGCCCAAAAAAAAAAAAAAAAAAAAAAAAAAAAAAAGGACAATGCACAGAAGTGAGGACGAATCATCGCAAGTCACCGCCACCACCACCACTTGACCAGACCAGCACGATCAAGTGCGAGACAGAAGCGAGGCAGCAGCGCAGGTCGAAGTGGACGGTGAAGGGGGAGCGCGGGCGGGGGGGGGGACAAAGCCCCAAAAACACAGAGAACCAAGTTTCGCGTTCGACAGAATCGCGGTCTCATCACGACGAGCCAGCAATCGCAAACCACCAACCAGCAGGCAGAGTGCATCGCCATCATCAAGTCACCCCCCCTTTTCGAGATAGTCGGGGAAAGCGCGGGCGTCAGAGTGACTGGAATCGCAAGAACGCGACGATTGAGTCGTTCTTCAATGGCGCCTGCTGTGTTGCTTCGGCTGGCTGTGTGAAGGGCCTGCAAACATCGACGTCTCAAGCTCCTTGGGAAGTGTAGAGGGTTTGGGGGGGGGGAGGCGGGCGTTTGCATGGATGGACACAGTGGCAGAGGCGAACGTTCTACCTTCAGCCAGCAGCTTTTTGATTTTGAGCCGCCTGGCACCAACTTCAATGGTGCGACCCACGAATGTTGACATTCAAGAAGAAAAAAGGAAGAAGTGTGGAGTGAATCGTGCTGACATTTCGAATTTGGAGAACAGCGAGAATTAAAACGTTATAAAGACATTTGTATGAACCAAAGAAGAAAAAAAAGGAAGACAAAACGAAGGGATTACTGTTGGTGAACCAGACGCTGCACGACCGCTGCCCGGTAAACGGTGCCAAAGTATACCAGAATTAATAAAATGACGAGGAGATCGTCAATCAGGCCGAACGCTCCAAATACCTCCTCGGGGATGAGATCGAACGGCGACAGCAGGTAGAGCAGGCAGACCAGCATGCACACAAATGCGCGGAGGCGTAGCAAGCGTACGATGCTCTGTCCAGTGAATAGATCGTGAATGATTCGTCGAAAGAGTTGCGGTGTATCTCGTAGATGATCGAGTAGCTGTCAGCGGGGCGAGCAAAAACAACAGCACCAAAAAAAGGTGAGCAACGAACGATCGACCCCAACTCCCCCGAACTACCGAAAAAAAAAAAGAGCCCAGAATGCACACATACGCTTCTTGGAGTGTCTGCAAACGTTCTATTGTACTCATCCAAGTGCCGCCGATGCCGTGCACTTTCAGCAGAGGCCAGCTCGGCCGCCGTGAACTCTGGTAATAGCAGCGTGACGCGTTGTCGGCAATTGGGACATTGCATTGCTTGCATTTGGGCCGAATGCCGCCAGTACTCGACCACGCATGGTGCTGCGCCAAGTCCAAGCAAAAAACCAAAGAGAAGAGCAATACCAAGAGTCAGCATCATTGCCTCGGTCGCCGATCCATCCATTGAATCTCGTGTGTGTGAAGACGCCTTCTTTACAGCAAAACACATGACCGCAGTTTGTCTCGATTGCAAACTGCACTTGCTGCAGACAGATGGGACATGCATCGTCCTGCTCGTGAAACCGTCGTGAGCCCTGGCGTTGCATGAGTGGCGGCGCCTCAGGCACTCCTCGTTGCGATGGCGGCCGGTCGGAGTTCCGGTTGTTCTGGTCATCATCCTCATCCGCATCATGGTCGTCGTCCTCGTCTGCGTCTGTGTCTGGATCGTCGTCGCTGGCATGCTCGCCATGGTGAACCTGGTCTCGCCTGAGTCGGCGATGCTGTAGAATGTTCGCCCTGGCCTGCAGGACGCCCTGCTCTGCTTGAGGGTGGATGGGCGCCCGTCGCCGCCGTCCTGCGCCGCCGTTCGCAGCAGTCCCCCGCTGCAGCCACCACACGAGGGCGGCTGCCGATGCGACTGTCGTGAGTGCGCCAGAGCACAGGACAATCACGTCGTCGTCCACGCCTTCGAGCACGGACGACGCCATCCGCGGCTGGGTCGGTTGGTCGCCCATGGCAGTGTCGAGCTCTTGTTCGATTGGCAGTCCGGTGCTCTCTGCGACTGGCTGAAGGCGGGTTTTGTTTGAAATATAAATAATAATAAGTGGTAACTGCTTCACAAAGAACAAACCAATGTCAGCGACAATGAATTGGAAAAACAGGTGTTTGGATTGAAAGAGACAACAAACGCAGCACCGTTGTGTGGGCTTTGATGCTCGATGTGTGTGCTGGGTTTTTTTGCAATTGACGACAATTTGATTGCGTGTTTTTTTCTACTCTGAGCTCAGTTTTTGTTTCCTCGTCGATTTTGGCTCCATGGCATCAAGGCGACGAAGGGTTGCGCATTCACAGGCACCCAATCCGGCTGCTCCACCTGAGGCCCGCGTTCCTCCGTTGACGTTTGCCAGTGAAGATGATTACCAGAAAGTGCGCGCACTCTTGATGGACGGATCCGAGGTGTCTGAGGCGAAGGACGCTGGTTTGATGACGGGCGCTCCGAGCAGCAGCAGCAGCAACATCAGCAACAGCACCACGGCAGTAACGCAATTCCTACCGCGTCTGCCATTGGAGATTGCCGAGCACATCATGGACCAGGCCCAGTATTGGCCGGCAATCAGCAATATCAACCCGAACGAGGTCCAGGGTCAAAACAACGCCGATCTGAGGTACCTGAGCGTCATTGTGCCGCGCTCCACCATGGACGAAGCCAAGACCCACGTCAAAGCCATCACGCTGTGCTGTGACAGTCACGATCAAGGCTGGGGCGGCGATTTCAATCTGCGGGGCTCGTACCAGGCCTGCTGGAGCTGGTTTGACCTGGTGGTGCTGGACGAGGACAAGAACGAACGCTTCCGTCGCGAACGGATTCTGATCAACCGGCACGCAACGGGCAGCTTTGAGCACAAGACTGCTCGGCTGGTCTGTGACACGGACAAAGACCTCCGCTCCATCCGCGAAGGCTGGGAAGTTGCCGTCAGTCTGCGCTGCATGTACCCAGGTTGGACCAACACGAGTCGCTTTGGCCAGCTCGCCGTCTCCTACGTCTGATGGCGATGAGTGGGATGCTTCTACGCGCGGCACACTGGGATCGTGTGAACTTTCAACAAAGCTGTTTTCGGCTCTCTTTGAAACTCACAATCGAATCTCAATGGCTTTGTCGTGCTTGGTTGTGCATCGCTTCATGTTGTACGAGAATCCTGCTCGCCGCGACATCTCTTGTTGATATAGTCTTTGATTTTGTCCAGTATCCAGTCCATTCCACTGAGTTCAATACACTCGCTTGCATTGTGATCACTCTGGTTCTTCAAGGAAGTCAGTCGTTTTTTTGCAATTGAAAGGCAATGTCGTTCACGGACTCGTTCTGGGTAAGCTCGCCATCCCGCTCTTCCCCATGCTTGGTGCAGCATCGCTTCTTGCTTTGTGTCCTTCTTTCCTATCAATCTCGACGAGGGGGATGTTCCTGAGTCACCCCAGAGGCGGTCGGTTGCTCGACCTGTTTCTTTTTTTTTTTTTTTTTTTTTGGCTTCTTTCTTCTTCTTGTTCTTGTTCTGTCATTCATCCAAAGCCGCGCGTGTTTTGCCCCCTTCGCTCAAATGGAATGCATCAATGTCCAACCCCCCTCATCATCGCCATCGCCATCACTGTCGAATCGCACCCTCCATTTTCTTTTTTCTTTTTCTTTTTTTTTTTCTTTTTTTTTTTCTTTTTTCTTTTTCTTTTTTTTTTCTTTTTTTTTTTTCCGCTTGCTTGACCTGCCTCTTCCATTTCCACTCACTTGGCCTCACACAGGGAACGAGTCTCAATGGCTCTGCCGTCCTGATGCACAACCTCAAGGAAACATCAAACGTCCTGAAGGAGCTCTCTGACTTTGTGCAGCAAAGGTTTGTTGCACCAAATTTCTCGTTGCATTTCTTTGTCTGGATTGTTGTTTGCGGCTCAAGGATCACTCACCGCGTCGGCGGACACACACATCCAAAACTGACATTTGTTGGTAGACAAGCTTTGGAAGATCAATATGCCAAAACCTTGACCCGATTGGCCAAGGGACTCTCACCATCGGAGGAAGTTGGGTACGTGAGGGTGGAATTGTCACAATTTGTACAATTTGTGCAATTTGGTGGCATCGCTTGCAGCGGTTCAGTGTGCAGTCTCGTCCTCATTGTTGATTGCGGTGGACACACCCATGCTTGATAACATAGATCGGTCAAAACTTGGTGGGAGAGCTTGATTGGCTCCTCGCTTGGAGTCGCGGAAACACACGCCAAGTTGGCTGTCGAGCTCAACGACGCTCTGAAGACAATCAAAGACGTCGCAGCCAATCAGTCCAAGGTAATAAAGGACATGCAAGCTCTGGACATTCACACCCAGGTGGAGAACTTTCAGGCGTCGCACTCGACGGTGACCAAGGTATGTTTCGACCTTGCGTTTTTGTATTCTCATGCAACGCTCGATTTACACGGAGCTTGGCTGACGCTGTGGTACTCCTACTTCGTCTAGACTAAGGCGGCATACTGGAAGCTCTCTCAAGAACTCTCCAAGAGCAAGGCAAGGCTCGAATCAGCGTTTCGTTGTTGTTGCGCGTCTTCTTGCAGTGTGATGTGCTGAACTGGTGACGAGTCTCCACTCACACTTGGTCGGTCGTGAATCTTATTTTTGTATTGACAGGATGTCAAAAAGCACAAAAGCAAGCAGCAACAGGCCGGTGGGTGTTCCAATTCTTGTCCTTTGTTTATTTTTCTTTTTTGGCTTTCATTGCTTGGCGTTTCTCAGTACGTGTCTCATCTCTGGTTTTGTACCATGCGTATGTGTGACTTGGTGGGTGTAGAGGCCGAGTACAAGACTGCCACTGTCAAGTACAGCGAAGAGTTGGCACGTTACGAGGCATCCATGAGCAAAGTTTTAACCGTTAGTCACTGCATGCCTCTTCTGTTTGTTGTTACAACATGGTCTCGTCGGTGCTCTTGGATTTCACACAAAGCTAACTCGTACCGCTCCTCCTTCAGAAATTTGAAGCTCGAGAAAAAGACTACCTGCAAGCGTCGCAACAAGTCTTTGCACAGATCTCCGTCAAGGAACGATCCCATGCCGATCGCTTGAAAAAGGTTGGTTTCGTTATGGGTTTGCGTGACCTTCTCATGCGCTGCGTTTTTGTGTCGATTTGGCTGATTTTTTTTTTTGGTCTATTCCCGCAGGTCATTGAGGACAAAACACAGCCCATTACGACTGCCACCCCCGAGCAGCTCCTCGCTGAATTTGTGGCGTCCCGCAAGACGGGCACGGAGCATCCTGGTACGATTGATGGAAAGATTGCCGATTTCGTTTGCTCGTTTGCTCGTTTGCTCATTGTCTTGTGCTATTGTTTTATCTTTGTTGTTTTTGCTCCAGATCTGCTGCCTTTTGAGCTTTACGCGGCAGGAGGCGAATCGCTCATGGATGCTGCTATTCCGGATCTTGGAGGCGTCGACTGGTCCAGCGCCCGACGAGCTTCTGTCAGCTCCAATGCGGCATCCATTCATAGCACCGCATCGAGTACCGCATCGGGCGCCACAGCCGCAGACGAGGGAGCTGAAGAGAAGCGCAGACATCACACATTCTCATCGTTCACTTTGCGCAAGAAGAAGCATCCTCGCCCAGACCTGAAAGGGTATGCCATTTTATTTTTTGTCTCATCAAAGTTTGCGGGATTGGTGCAGTGTTTTTTTTTTTTTTTTTTTTTTTTTTTTTTTTTTTGGTCACTCACCTCTCCCTGTGCCACCCTCTCCCTTCCTTCCTTCCTTGTTAGTGATGACCCGAATGCCACCGCACCTGGAGGAGCGCCGCCCGCAACCGATGACGATGGGTACAGCGATGCCCCCGACCTGGCTGCAGAGTATCAAGCGACTTGGGCAACCAAGCGTGATTCCGATGACGAGGACGATGGCACAGTCAAGCCCAAGTTCATGGTCAAGATTTCCAACAGCCGCTCCAACACGGACATTGCCTCAAGCAGCAGCTCGAGCGCACTCCCGTCGCCTTTGGGTGTTTTGCCCCCGCCCACTCTCCTCGCCGGGCCGCCTGGCGACGAGCCACGCGCTCGCACATCATCGCGTACTCGCCCGCGCTCCGCCCTCCATGACATTGATTCAGAAACGTCGTCGGTCAGCTCGTACAGCATGGCGTCCGCAGTCAGCGGGCCAATCCCTTCTGCGTCGCCTTCGGCGATGATCACGCCTCCACCGTCGTCGCGTCCGCTCCCAGGACTTTCGGAGACTTCATTTGACTCTGACCAGCCCGCGACGACCCAACGCCCGTCCTTGCCGCCACGACCGCCTCGGCCGGCGGCTGTTGTGGAAGCCGAGCTCACTCGTCAGCGCACCTCGTCGTCGAGCAGCTTGAACGCGGCTCTCGCTTCCTCTGTCTCTTCTACTGGCACACCACCATCATCCACCCCTGTGGTATCGCCACCCAAGGCCGTTTCGCCAGCGACGGCTATGGTGACAACCGCGGCCGCTGCCTCCGCAGCCTCCAACATTGCGCCCTCGCCCTTGCTGCCTCCCCCGTCGTCCTCGGGCTCATCGCGACGAGGTCGGCCGACCTCCGTGGCGTCTGCTCCTGGTACCGGCCTCTTGAACGGCCCCTCCTTTGCCATCGGCGGCTTGAACAGTGGAGCCAGTAGCACCACCTCGACACCGGGATCCACCGCCCCGATCCCTGCAGGTGGTAGCTTTGTGTTTGATGCGCCTTCGCTTTCGTCCGTGACGGTAGCTTCGGCTGTTACGGAAACCGTGAACGCCATGTTCAAAGGCAGCACGCTGGTCAAGTGTGTCGTTTCCGGTGAGATCATGTTCAACTTCCCCGTCGATGCAGTCAAGGTGCTCACGGCCGATCCTGGCGTGCCATTCTTCTTCCAACTCGATGGTGTCCCAAGCAACGGGTTTGATCGATTCCAGGCAAACAGCTCGCTGTTGGACGCCGGTGCTAGCTCGATTCTCGATCAAAAGTACGCATTCAACGTCCCTGCCCTGGTCGCATACATTAAATCCCATGCCGTTGATGGCTTTGCTCGCGTCGAAGTCTTCAAATACCAGGTTGTCCTTGAATCTGTTGCGGCGGTCCCGCTGCGCGTCGCGGTTGCCCACTTTGGCGACGCCTCCAGCAGCTCGGTCTCTGTGTTTTATCAATGCTCGTCCCTGTTGGCGCATCCTCTGCAAGATGTCAGCGTCTTGGTGGTCGTGGACGGCGACTGTGCAGAGTGTGATTCAACCCCTGCTGGCCAATGGACTGCGGAGAGTCGTCGCCTTCTGTGGCAGCTTCCCTCCATTGCATCGGGCAAGGGCAAGCTCGACGCCCACTTCCCTGTGGGCGATTCTTGCCGCCCAGTGACGTGTGCCGTCAAATTCCGCTCGGAGCGGTCGTCGGTGACCGACCTCAACCCCAAGTTTGTGTTTGGCAGTGCTGACAAGACTCCTGCCGCTACCATCGAGATGGGCCGGATTGTGAAGCGATTTGCAACTGGCAAGTACATGGCCGAGCTTGATGCCTAACAGCACAGTCGCAAGAGGTTGTTCGGTGGTTGCTGGTCGTTCGTTTCGTTTTTTGGTTTGCTGTTGTGTCTTGTGTTTGTCTCTCTCCTTTTTTTTTTTTTTCTTCTTCTTCTTCTTCTTCTTTTTCGTCTTTTGCATTGCCAATGCCTGTATGCTGTCGTCTATTCTCCAACAATACTGTATTCATTCTCCATTCGCACGAAACCTAAACAGGGAACAGTTCACTTTTTTTTTTTTTTTCTGTGTTTCAACTTTTTTTTTCCTTTCCTTTCACATTCGAAACTCATGCATCTCCACGAAATCATCATTGAGGGCTTCAAGTCGTACGCCCAGCGGACAACTGTGGGACCGTTCGACGAGCGCTTCAATGCCATCACGGGTCTCAACGGCTCTGGCAAATCCAACATCCTCGACTCGATCTGCTTTGTGCTTGGCATTTCAAACTTGACACAGGTGCGAAACGAAACGGTTTGAGCGGCTTTTTTTTTTCTTTTTTTTCCTTTCGGTTTTTGGTGGCCGCTGTGCGGAGCGTGCATCACCATTGCGCCGCTCTGCACACGACATGCAACGATAACTGTGCAGTGACGCGATTGGAAGTCTCGGTGGGCAAGTTTGAGTCGCGGGCAAGCGAAGAGGGAGAAGCGCATTTCTGTTTGGTTTGGTTTCGCGCCAAAATTTCGATTCAAAAAATTTGTAGCGCAAGTTCACTGTTTTCGCAACAAACGTGTTGCTTTCCAGCGACGCTTCGCCCGGTTGTCTTCCATGATGTATTGACCAGAAATTGCACGTAGATGGTGAGGTGAGGTGGGGGTTGGCGACAGCGGCTGAAGAATGGGGCGGCAATAAACAAGGGTTGCTTGAATTTGAAACAGTTTGTGTTTTTCCTTCTTTTTTTTTTTTTTCTTTTTTTCTTTTTTTTCACTTTTCCATTTATTGTTCATGTTTGGTTTTGACTCACTGATTTCTGGCTCCGTATACGGATAGGTCCGCGCTGGCAACTTGCAAGAGCTCGTGTACAAGCAGGGTCAGGCTGGTGTCACCAAGGCCACCGTCACAATTGTCTTTGATAATATGGACAAAAAGTCCAGCCCAGTCGGCTACGAAGACTCTGATCAGATCACTGTCACTCGTCAGGTAAAAGCGAGCTCAAGGAAACGGCATTCTGATGCTTCGGTGTGATAGGGGGGTGGGGTTTCGTTTTTTTCCTTGTCCTTGGGTGGGCTCACTTTGGTCTGTTGGATTGCGCTCTGTGTGTTCTTGTAGGTCATCATTGGCGGCCGAAACAAGTACTTGATCAACGGTGTCAACGCCCAGCAACAGCGCGTGCAAAACCTCTTCCACTCGGTGCAGCTGAACGTCAATAACCCACACTTCCTGATCATGCAAGGCCGCATCACCAAGGTGCTCAACATGAAGCCCCCAGAAGTCCTCTCCATGATTGAGGAGGCCGCCGGCACCCGCATGTTTGAAAACAAGAAGGAGGCCGCCATCAAGACGATCGAAAAGAAGGAGAAGAAGGTCGAGGAGATTAACAAGGTGCTCAACGAGGAGATTACTCCCACGCTGGAAAAGCTTCGCAAGGAGCGCTCCGTCTACCTCGAGTACCAAAAGACACAGACCGAGTGCGACCAGCTGGCGCGCTTTGTCATTGCATTTGACTACAGCAACGCAGATCGCGCCGTCCACGAGAGCACGAGCGAGCTGCAGCAAGCCAAGGAGGAGACTGAGCGCCTCAAGCTGACATCCCGCAACAAGGAAAGCAAGGCGATCGACCTCGAGCAGACCATTGCCGTCCTGGCGCACAAGCGCGACCAAGAGTCTGGTGGCTCGCTGCAAGACTTGGACCGGCATGTCGCTGACCTGTCCAAGGAGCTCGTCAAGGCCAACTCGGCTGCCACAAACCGAAAGGAAGTGCTCGAGTCCGAGCGCAAGGGCAAGGCCAGCCTGCTCAAGGCGCGCAAGGACCTCGACGCTGCCATCGTTGCCAAGGTTGGCGAGAAGGATTCGGCCACTGCTGCCCTTCAAGCTGCCAAGCAGGAAAGCGACCAAGCCACCCAGCAGGTCGAGCAGTTGCAGCGTCGTGCGCACGGTTTCTCCTCCGACAATGGCACCGGCCGCGTCAAGACGTTTGCCGACGAGCTGATGGAGGCCAAGCAGGACGCTACCGCGGCAGTGACGGAGCAGAAGGAGGCCAAGATCAAGATTGCCCACAGCCAGAGCGAACTTGTCAAGAAGGAAAAGGACACCAAGGCCACCGAGAAGGAGTACTCCAAGGTCCAGACAGAGCTCGAGCAGTGCAATGCCTCGATTGCAAGCTTTGAGGCAAAGCTTGCCGAGGCCAACGTCGATCCCAAACGTGAAAGCGAACTTGGCGCCGCCAAGGCCAAGGAGCAGGCCATCGTGACCGAGCTCAAGGACAAGTGCGATGCGCTCTCGGCCAAGGTCGCCGCGCTCAACTTTAACTACTCCGACCCCGAGCCCAACTTTGACCGCAGCACCGTCAAGGGTCTGGTTGCGACGCTGGTCACCGTTGACAAGCCCCAGGTGAATGCCACTGCGCTCGAAATCACCGCCGGCGGTCGCCTTTACAATGTCGTAGTTGACCGCGACTCGACTGCCCAAAAGCTGCTGAGCAACGGCCGCCTGAAGAAGCGCGTCACCATCATCCCGCTGAACAAGATCCAGGGCAGTCGCCTGCCGCAAGACAAGGTCAAGTTGGCCGAGCGTGAAGTGGGCAAGGAGAATGTGTCTCTTGCTCTCTCGCTTGTTGGCTACGACGAGGAGCTGGAAGCGGCCATGACCTACGTGTTTGGCTCGACGCTTGTCTGCAAGACGCTCGAGATGGCTCGTCGCATCACCTTCAACAACAACATTCGTGCCCGCACGGTCACTCTGGATGGCGATGTTTGCGAGGCCTCTGGTACCTTGACGGGCGGCTCGACAACCCCTGCTTCATCTTCCGTTCTCAATCAACTGGCCGAGCTGCAAACCCTTCGTGAGCAATTGCAGACTGCCGAGGCACGCCTGAAGAAGATCACTGAAGAGCTTGCTGCTCTGCGTGCCGCCAACGAGCGCACCTCCAAGACATCTCGTGACTTGGATCTGGCACGGCATCAATCGACCTTGTTGCAAAAGCGCCTGCAGCAAAATTCCCACCATGCCGTGTTGGAGGAGATTACGCGCCTTCGTGCCGAGATTGCTCGTCTCGAGCAAGTGCTGGTGGATGCTGCCGCGCGCGAAAAGGCTGCCAACGCCCGAAGCGTGCGAATTGAAGGCGACATGCAGTCTTTCAACTCCAAGCACAACTCTGAAGTCAAGAAGGCTGAGGCCGAAATCAGCAAGGCCAAGACCGCTGCAACCAAGGCTGCCGAGGCTGCCAAGACCAAGCAGGGCCAGCTGGAGATGATTGAGCTTGAGCTGACTGAGCTCCAAAAGGAGCTGGCCCAGGCGATCGAGCAACTCGCTCAGTCCGAGCAAGCCATCGAAGCTGCTGCCCAAGAGGTTGAGCAGGCCGAGACGACTTTGGCTGCCAAGCGCGAGGCGTATGATGCCGCCAAGCTCGATCTTCAGCGCAAGAAGGAGAAGATTAGCGCCACCGACAGCGAGATTGCGGCTCTCACCCGAGAGGCTGAAGCTTGTCGCAAGGCATGCACTGATGCCGACATTGACCTGAAGAAGGTGCAGCACAACGTGACGCAAATGCAGCAAACACTGAAGGAGGCAACAAAGCTTGTGGAGCGACTCTTGACCAAGCACGAGTGGATTGCCACCGAAAAGGCCTTCTTTGGCGCCAAAAACATGCCTTACGACTTTTCCGAGCAAGATCCCGAGGCTGCTCGCCGCCGCTTGCTCAAGCTCGAGGAGACGCAACAAAAGCTGCAAAAGTCCATCAACATGAAGGTGCTCAACATGTTTGGCAAGGCCGAGCAAGAATACAACGACCTCATGAAGAAGAAGAAGATTGTCGAGAACGACAAGAGCAAGATTGAGGCCGCCATTCAAGAGCTCGATGTCAAGAAGAACGAGGCCTTGAAGAAGACTTTTGAGCAAGTCAATCGCGACTTTGGCTCCATTTTCAGCACCCTGCTGCCTGGGACCAACGCCAAGCTGTCCCCTCCGGAAGGCCAGTCGGTCCTCAGCGGTCTGGAAGTCAAGGTTGCGTTTGGCGGTGTCTGGAAGGAAAGCCTCACCGAGCTCAGTGGTGGCCAGCGCTCGCTGGTGGCCCTTTCTCTCATTCTCTCGCTGCTGCTCTTCAAGCCCGCGCCCATGTACATCTTGGACGAGGTGGATGCGGCGCTGGACTTGTCGCACACGCAGAACATTGGCAACATGCTGCGAACGCACTTTTCGCAATCTCAGTTCATTGTCGTCTCGCTCAAGGACGGCATGTTCAACAATGCCAACGTGCTATTCAAGACCAAGTTTGTCGACGGCGTCTCGACCGTGTCACGGACGGTTCAATTGCAAAAGCAGCTGCCCCGCGCACAGCAGCAAAACCGCGGCTTCAAGCCCGTCCCTGCGATCGCCTCGGGTAGCAACACCACAAGCGCGCCTGCCGCGACCTCGGCCGAAACCGACGACCTGCTCAACGACAGTGAAGAAGATGACGACGAGAACATGCCCAAGAACAAGGGCAAGGGTGCTGCCAAGCCCCGAAGCAAGGCAACTGGTGCTTCGCAAAACCGCGCTGCAGCCATGCGCTTGTAACAAGGACCTGCTGTTGAAAGTCGAACAAAGACTTGTTGATTGAATAGGAATTGGTTTGGATTGTTGCGGAATGAAATGTTATGATATTGGTTGGTTTTTTGGTTGAACTGTTGTTGTTTTTTTGGATGTTGGTGATTTGTCTTTTTTGTTATGCACGCCTCGATAATGAAAATTGAAAATTGAAAATTGGAAATTGAAAATTGAAAAGCTTTAGTTTTTTTTTTTTTTTTCTTTGAAGAGTTCATAAGAAAAGGAAGCGGAGGAGGAGGGGGCGAATTTCAAGCACTAACGAACAGAAAGCGATTTTGCTCTACTCCATTTGCATTGGCTCGGGAGCTGCCGCTGCCGCTGCGCCAATTGAGGGCTGATCAGACGCTGCTCGAGGGGCAGCCATGTTTGTGCGCTTAAGAAGCAGTGCTTGCTTGTACGGAGGGTCGATGGGAGCCTGCGTAGCCGGACGCAAGTGATACTCGCTCTGACCAGGTTGCGACAGGGGATACGTTTGGTCTGAATCGTACGCGCTAAGGTCTCCGCAAGCGACAAACGGAACAATAATCCGGTTGACGCCTTCCAATTGATTGAATGAAAGATCTAGAGGGCAAAGAACGGAACAAAATAAGCAAACAAGCAACAAGGCTCGTCATGTCAAGTGCGCGTCTTTTAAAAAAAAAAAAGCGGCTGTGTCATTCATTCGCATACCATACTGCTGATCCAACAGCGGATTGGCCATCGTTGGAACGAATCCCACCGGTGGACTGTAACCACGGCAGACAACAAAGGCCTCTGAAAACAGCAAAGCAAGGAGCAAGGTGTCAGCTTTCAACAATGCATCCCTCGACTACAAAGCTTCCATAGTACACGATTTTTTCTTTACCAATGCTCGAGTTTCGACTGCTTCGTGGCTTGCTGCAAGTCACATTGCGGAAAAACAGCTTGAGCTGCGAGTAGAGCAGCGAGACATCCTTGCCACGGAAAATTTTGGCGACAAAAACGCCATCAGGTCGCAAGACATGTGTTGTAATGTTCAAAGCCTGGCAAGAGAGTGAAGAGTAGTGATAAGCTGGGGTGGTCAGTGTTTGAACTAAAAGGCGTGCTTGCCCAGACACAACAACTCACCGCGAGAATCAGCTGTGCCTGGATGTACTCGTCGATATCATGGAGACCCGTGACTAGAAGCACACAACATCTCGTATGAGCCCAAATTGTCTTGACGGGAAAACCAACAACCTCTCTGCAGCCGTCTTTGTTGAACACTCATATTTACCGTCCGGAGCGCCGTCGCACACAACAAGATCAGCTAGTTCGCCTTCGAAGTGGGCCACGATTTGCTGCGCCGTTGATTCTTTCGTGATATCGCCTTGGATTTGAATGACACCGGGAAGCGGTGCCATTGCTTGAAGATCGACGGCGACAATCTTTCTTGGGATTTGGCAGTGTGCCGGCAGACTTTCCATTGGAACACTGCGGAAACACGCGTGCATTCAATCCAAGTATGAGCAACAAAAAAAAAAACCGACATCTTACGCTACGGGGCACTGCACTGCACTGCACTGCATTGTGTGAGACTCGATGCAAGCGTGATGATGACATTTCTTGGAGAGAACTTGGCTCCAGCTGCCTGGAGCAGCGCACAAGTCGACAGCCCGCCTGACATCTGCAAAAGGCGCCCCGCACACCCACCCACACGCACACACACACACACACACAAACAACGAATGAGCATGACTACCCAATGAAAGCAAAGGAGAAACGGCAGAGCGTCCCCACGAGGAGAGAGCGCACGACGACAAGCGCTCCAACCAAAGGCCGCACCACGAGCACGGAACAGTCAGCGACAAGCAAACAACAAGTAGGGCGCACTTAGAAACAGTTGGAACTCTTCGTCGAGCTGCAGCAGCTTGAAGGCAGAGCGTGCCCGCCAGCCTTCCTCTTTGGCGAGGCGGTAGTAAATGTCTCGCTTGTCCTTGGACGACTTGCCCATTCGTATGTGCGTGTATGTGAAAGACAAGGAATCAAGAGTGAACAACCACGAAAACACTGTACACCAAAGAGTTCTGTTGGACAAAGCAAGAACAAGATGAAAATGTAATGACGAGACGATATGATACAAAAAAAAAAAAAATTGATGGTACATGAACAAAAGCGAAACGCAAACTTTCAACTCAGTTCAAAACCAGCGTTCGCTTCGATGGCATAGAGAAGCTTCTCACGCAGGGTCTGTGCAGAGGAAAAGGCTGGAAGTCGCAACAGATTGAAACACGTTGCTGCGCTTGGGAGGCGATCAGGGCTGTCGCCGTCGCCGCTCGGTGAGATTCCAAACTTTGGAACAAGATGCGAAAACCCGAGGAGTGGAGGGCGCGAGCAACTCGTCACAAACTTGAGCAAATCTCGACGTTGGACGTGGTCGAACGAACGCACGACATCCCAGAACATCAAAATGGTGGGATGGGTTTGCGAGTAGCTGCCCTGGTAGACCGTGTTCTCGCGCAAATCTTCAATGTCCACAAGACCCTCGCCGCCGGAAATGAAGGCCTGCAGCTCGTCCTGGTCAAACAGCTGCAGCCAGTCGGTGGGAACGATGGTCGAAAGACCGCGGAGGAAGGCGCGCGACTGAACACGCATCTGCGAGTTGAGGCGGTAGTGGGCCTTGGCGAAAATGTACCGAATGCGATTCTCGTTGTTGACGGCAATGCCACTGCCTCCGGGAATCAAATCCACCTCGCGAGTAAAGCCACCTTGGGACTCTGTCTCCGTGAAGGCCAGGCCAAGCTCCTCGACATCGCCCTGGAACTGCTTGACAAAGACCAGGTTTTTGTACAGCTGCGGATCAAGCGACGCCAGGTCGTTAATGTAAATCTGGCGGCCAAGCAACTTGCCGAGGAAGAAGCGCGCCAGCGGCAGCTCGACCAGGATGCCCTCGTACAGCACCTTGCCGAGCATCATGCCCAAAAACTCAAACAACCGCTGGCTTCGAGCGTCCACAGCGGATGGGTTGGGGTAGAGGGAGTTATCAGAGGTGGCAAGGAAGAGTCCCGTGTCGGGCGCAAAGCCTTGCTGAATGACTTCCGTAAGAAATTCTTTGACAACACCTTGGCCGATGCCCGCCTCTTCCGTCCCGATGTCGGAGATGAATGTCACTCGAAGGCGTTGCTTGAGTTGATCTCGTGTGGGGAAGATGGTCGCAAAGGCATCTTCAAAAATCTGGGCGCGACGCACCGTCAGATGAAGGCCAAACATCCTGCCATCGCCGCTTTCCAATCGGCCCAGATCGTCAGACACAAGAGCGCGGAAAACTTGGATGCGGGTGTCAAACGGAACCGTGAAAGGGAGGTTGCGGAGAATGGCGAGCTGGCGTTGGCGACGGATCTGAGGGTAGTGCATTGCAACACCGAACGGCCTCGAAAATCCAGTGACAGGGGTCGCAGGCCCTCGCAAAGCCATTGCAACGGGCTGCGACGCGCCGGATGCGAGTTGCGCCAAAGTGGTCACCGTTGAAGTGCCAAAGGAAGGAAGCGGAATTGTCACACTGGGCGATTGCGGAGAAACGGAGCTAGCAGACGCGGGTCCGTGTCTCACATCTGCCATGGCACTCAAGCCGCCGTACTCGGTCGTGGAAAACATGGCGGGGAACGTGCCGGGAGCGGAAGTGGCGGGAAAGGAGCTTGCAGGAGGCGGCTGGTCTGCAGCATGGCTGTCTTCGTCCACCAGTTGAACGTCATACCAGCTGGCGACGGACATGCCTTCAGGGGAGATGTGCAAATCCACAGGGCGCCACACCTGCGGGTCGACGAAATGCACGCGCGCATCCCGATCGTACAAGTGGCGCGTGAGTAGGGTCAGGATACGACGCAGAGCGTGGTCATCCGTCCCTTGCGCAGGGGAAGCCTGTTCCGGCAGGTAGAGTGCAACAGTCAGCTCTGTCAGTTGCTGACTCAGCACGGCAAGCTCGGCTGGCGAGAAGGGCATCCGAGAGCTGCTGGAGCTGGTGTCAATCGACTCGCGGCGCGAGTTGGCTGGCGATATGGCCATGGGAATTGCAGAGGAACTGGCGGACGGTGCATGTGGTTGGATTGGTTGATGCTCTCGTGCCAGTGCGCCAGCGCGGACGGAGGCCGACGATGAGGAACCGGACATGAACTCTTCGTCGTCCATTGTGGTGAGGATTTGCAAAAAGAGCTCGGCGAACGTCGACACGGCTTGCAACATCCACAAATGGGACATGTCAGTGAATGATGTGCGCTGGCCAAACGTTTGAAGGGCACCAGAGGCGTGAAGAACTCGCCAAATATGCGCTGGGAAGGCCGCGCCGAGAGACAACATCCCTGTGAGCACAAGTCGGCGCAGAGCAGCAGATCGGCGCAATAGTAGATTGACCAAGGTGCAGGCGGCATGCAGACGCATGATGCTGCCGTTGAAACCCTGCTGGGAGTCTGCAGGCAGCGTCGCTGTTGCCAACTGGAAGAGGGTCCGCAAGTGGGACCGATACCCCAGGTTTAGCAACTGCGCACACAGGCGTGCATCGAGTGGATGACGAACAAAGTAGTCGGCCGATGCGGCACGCCGCGCTTCGGCTGTCACAACGGGTGGGGCTTGAGCAGGTGCCCTGGAGAGACGAGAAGTCAAAGTAGCTGCTGCAGAAGGACGTTGCCATGCAGGCACAGTGCGAGGTCCAGTCGAGGCTGATGCACCAGACGCTAAAAGTCGTCGGCGACGTTGCTGCTCTTCCTCGAAGGTATCGTTGTCTTCGTCGTCAGAGTCTATGGAGGCGGAGTGGCTCCTTTCGAGCTCAGCTTCAAAGGCGGCTCCGAACGCTCCGTGCGGCAAGTAGCTCACAATGGCACACTGCAGCACCGTGTAGTGATACACGGCTTGGATGAAGGCAGGGGAGGAAGCATCTCCTCCGAACGACTTGGGATGGTTGACAATCTCGGCCAGGTTGCCACTGATGGCTGCAAGGCTGGCCGGCTCTAGGGCTCCCGATTCGACAAGCTCCACGGACAAAGACACGCTCGCGACGCTGAACATGGACTGCAGTGTCACATTCCGGAACAGAATTGCCAGCTGCGTCGCGCTCAAGCGAGTGGACAGCAACGGAATGGTGAAGAGGTGGCGCAGCAAAAATGGGAGGCCGCTGCTTGCCGGAGGGAGGGTCCGAACAAGAACCTCCACAATTGGCACCGGGTCTTTCAGTGCAAAGGTGCTCGCTGCGACAGGTTCTTGGATGCGGTGGTCAGTCTGCAAACGTTGAAATAGAAAGATGTGAGCGCAGTCGAGCAAACTTGCATTGTCGACTGACGAGGGCTTACTGCAAGCAAGAGCAGATTGATGAGAATGGCCAAGCTGTTGTTCTCTCGCAATTTGACTAAAAGCGATTGATGTGCCTCGCTGTTCAATCGACAAACAGAAAGTGAAGAGTCGGTTCCAAATCCAATCATGTTCTCCGTCAAAGCCAAGCTCAAACACCACATACTGTGCATCTCGAGCTGTATCCGGAGTCGCAGAAAACGATTGCCATTTGGAGGGATCCGTGATCATGTTCAGGAATCCAAAGCTCAAGACCGAAACGCTGGCCTTGGGCGAGGTGAGGCGCTTCAGGACGATGACTGCAAACTGCTTCATGGCAACGAAGAGAGATTGGAGGAATGCCTTGGACGACAATAGAGGTGCATTGTCTTGTTTGAAAGCTGCGAGATTTGAGATTTGAGGTTCAAAGGAGATGAGTGCTCGCAAAACTTCATAGAAGCGACAAGCAAGAAACAACAAGCGTAACGAACACTCACTCGTAGATTCAAGGCATACAAGCAACTCGGCGGCCAGGTGCTCGACACGACTCAAGTCAGATGCATCACGCAACGAATGGAAGATGGCCAGCCTGCGGATTAGCGGGAGAAGAGACTGGATGGCTGCTGGCTGACGAGGGGACGGCAAAGGTTGAGTGCTGGCATTGAAGCCTGGCAGTCCATGGTTACTTGACAATACGGGGGTGTCGATGGACATGGCGGTGGGAGCGTTGGTGTCATCCAATGCTGCGCGGCCAGCGTCCACAGTGTGCAACTGAGACAAAGCCCAATCAAACTCGACTCGCAGTTGGCGTCGAGCGCCCGCCGCAGCGCGCATCCGTTTGAAGCATTTCTGTATGCAAAATCAACCACATCAAGATGCAAGTTCAAGGCAACAGAGAATGTGAGCGACAGTGACGCCCCCAATTGCATTATTCAGCCAGCCACACGAGCGCGGGAAAAAAACCCAAAAAACAAAAAGGTTCGCGAAGCTTTGTGTGTTTCGTGCAGTGTGTTTGTGTGTGTTTGACGTTCGGTGTCGCGGGGGGGAAGTCTCCCATGACGCAATCCGTAAAACGCTTGTAGTGTAGCATTGAATGCTTCAAGCAGGAAAGGCGGCTGGGGAGACTTGGGGGAACTGACCTGGATGCGAGCGGCGGCTTCGTGACGTTGGCGAAGCGCGGATCGCTCGGCTCTCTCGCGCTGCTGCTGCTCAATCAATGCGGCAGACGACACATTGGACGAGGCACCACGGGAGCCGGAAGCGCTGCCGGGCGCCGAGGCACTGCCGCGTCCAGACATGGACACGGTGCGCTGGGACGACTTGCCGCCAAAGAAGGCGCTGTTCATTCGTCAGCACGGCGAAATTCTGCACAGACACAAATCAGAACTGATCAGAACTCTGAGAAACTTGCTCAGAAAAGATTAAAATAATGAAATCCAGAAGCATCTCAAGGAACGAAAATGTCACACCGAGAGCAATGAAGCATTTTGGAACGAATCAACGAGCACTGTGCCGAGTTTGACGAGAACCTGGTCAAACCTCTGAATGGTCCCAAGGTGTATGTGAATTTAAAACGTAGTTGTAGCCCAAGCAGAGAGTAGTGGAGCATTGCAAGGGAACGTGCAAGATTGGAAAAGGCCTTGATTCTCAAAACAAACGAAAAACAACAAAACGCAGAGAGCAGCCAAAAGAGAACGCGAACACCAGATCGAAATCACAATGCGTGCACCACCTTGCACCCCGTTTCAAGCTTGCTCGTCGTCCAGACGTGCACGCTTGTTTTGCGCATCGTCCTCAGCATTGCTGCTCGCAACAACATCCGCATCGGTTGCAGCAGACTCTTGGTGATTCCGCTTTTGCGCCACTGCGCTCAGAGATGCCGCCTCGGTCGCATTGGCGTAGGCGACTTGCTCCGGCAGACGGAACGAAACACAAAACATGTGCTTCTTGGGCGCAACATCACGCACGTCGTGAACCTTGACCAGGTGGTCGTCGACCGGGAAGCGCAGGTGCTTGCTGGTTCGTGCGATGGCATCGGCTGCCATGTTTTCAGCGTTGGTGAACATGTACACGTGGATGACTGGCAACACCTTGAACACGTCGCGGAACCCGAGAGCGAGCGTGGACGTTGGCTGCTGCGCACGCGCCTCTGCCTCGGCTTCCTCGCCGAAAATCCCCATAAAGCTGTCGAGAAACTCCACCGCAATGGCTGGAAGATTCATCATGACCTGCGTGAATGCCGGCAGAGGATTTGGCTTGCCAGAAAGATGCGAGGCTAGAATGCGGACTGCCAAATCGCGCACAAACTTGCGGCCATCTTGATTGCTGGCATGTACGAGATGAGCAACCTTGTTGGCCTTGGCGTTGACCAACAGGCTCTCGAAGGCCACAGGGTTGAGATCGTTTGCGTACACGACACACTTTTGCTTGGCAATCGGGATGGCAAACGGGCCAACGCCGGCCATCATGTCGCACGCCACGTTCGGCGCCGGGCAGCCCTGGATGATGCGCCAGTGTTCCTGCTGCAGACGCGAGTTAAAATACACGCGGGAAAAGTCAAAGCGGAAGATGCAGCCGCTCTCCTTGACCTCGACGTTGAAATCATTGTCGCCAGCAAGCAGCTCCATCTGGAAGAAGCGGAAGGTGTTGTCAATGTTGTGGGTTTTGTTGACAATAGTGCGCAACCGGGGGAACTTGAGCATGGTCGCCTGACCAACCACAGTCTTGTATGGCAGGTGCTCGTCTCGCAAGTTGTAATGTGCGACATGGCCGACCTGCTCAAACGATGCAGGCGGGTCCACGGGGAGAACTGCAGTCAGGATTTCCTCGAGATTCCACGAGTCGACAGTATACTGGACACCAAACACGACAAGATTGGCGCTGGCGCCGAGATCGCGCATGCTGTCGGCCATCTCGCCAGCAGGCAGCTGAGGAATAAACTCGTCCGCCGGAGTAGGGATCTCGCCCACAAGCGGAGTGTCCTGAGGTGCTGCGTAGAACAGAATAATCATTCGACGCTGCGGATCACCGGGAAACGGGAGGGCGTTTCGCCGTTTGGGAAAGTTGAGGTGCAGTTTGCCAAGGCGCGCAAAGTAGGTGCTCACTTCGGCCGCGGGCAGCACCACGGCAAACACCTTGAGTGTCACATTGAACTTGGCGAGTGCCTCGGGGTTGTCGAGAGAGACGAGTCCGCGCACGGCAGACGGCGGGCGCAGGTTCTTGCCATACAGCGGCTGCATGACCTGGAGCGATGCGAGCCACTCTGGGTCCATCGGGATGACTGGTTCCGGGCGGGGAGGCTCGATGCGCTGGCGTGGCAGCACGGCAGTGTCTGACGGTTGAGCCTGCGCTTGAGATGGAGCGCTGGGTTGTTCCATTGTCTTGGCTTCGGTGGAAGAGCAGCTCCTCGTGGATGAGTGGATTGACGCTGATCGTGAGTTCGCGAATGCGAGTGGTGTTCGTTGGTCGTTCTGACGCAGCAGATGAGCTGTCGTAGCAGCAGCAGTGGATGTGAGCTTGGGCGCACGTGTACTTGCTCCAGCCAAGCCACTGAACGAGGAATGGCGATGATGAAACGGACGAGGTTGCTGATGGTCAACGCAAGCAAGCACGGCAGCAGCACAGGCAAGTGCAGGAGGAGCAGAAGCAGAAGCAGAAGCAGAAGCAGAAGTTGAAGCAAGAGTGCGGGCAAGCGGATGGCGGAGGAGCAGCGGCACTGGATGGCAGAGCAGCAAGGCGCTTGGTGATGGTCGGAGCAGCGAAGGCAGCAGCGTTGTTGAGAAGAGAAGCACGAGAAGAAGGACTGGGGGGAAAAGTCGTCACATGCGCTCCATTCTCAGCAAACGAGTCAGTTTCAGTTTGTAACAACAATGTCGAGCAACATAGTCTGAGAGCGAGTCTCAGAATCGCTTTCAGCCAAAATCCATTCAGTCCAAATTTTTATGGCTTCTTCGTCGTCTCATTCTGCTGCTGCTGCCGCTGCTGTTGTGCCTGGCTCCGCGGCTGATATTGCAGCAACGCCATACGAGGTCTCTGACTTGTCCGCGCCCGTGCTCGCCAACACGCTCCTGCGCATCGGCGTCTCGGTCATGCACTCGAGCCATTCCGTGCGCTCCAAGCTCCTCTCGGACTCTGGCGGCTACCTGCTCCGCAAGCGTCCTGTGCCAGACCAGCCCACGCTGCTCCCATTCGTCCCAGACTAGTAACGCACCGCACGCCGTTTGAGTTTCAGTGTCTCTCCCCCCCCCCCTCTCCCCATGCATTCGGAGTTTGAACTTTTCGACAGCAATTTGCATCTTGCTTCCGCTCGGTCTGAGCTTTGGCCGTTGTTGCTGATTCACTCTGATTCACTCTAATCTGCTCTGCTCTGCTGAAGTGCTGCGTTTCGCCTGACTTTGACTCACTTTGACTGCGGTCGACTGTGGTTGCTTTGGATTGGGTGGCAGTGCACTTTCAACCGAATTCGCCAACGCGCAGGCAGTCCAAGTCGAGGACATTGTCGCGCGTCCCACTGGAGCGCCAGGATTCCACTTTGACACGGTGCATGACTTCCACAAGGCGTATGTGAGCAAGGAGCTGTCGCCGGTGGATGTCGTGACGGCGCTGAATGCCGCCATCGCCGCGTCCAACGCGCTCGAGCGGCCCCTGCGAGCGGTGATTGCCACGCAACCCGACAGTGTGCTCGAGCAAGCGCGGGCCTCGGAGCAGCGCTACCGTGATGGCACTCCGTTGTCCCCTCTCGACGGTGTTCCTGTCGCCATCAAAGACGAGCTCGATGTGGTGAGGGTTTTTTTTTTTTTCTGTTTGTTTTTTTTGTGCATTCGTTTTGGGGGGTTGTGTTGTTGTCAAGCTGGCTGCATCTCAGCAATCTCAGCAAGAGTATGAAGAGCACGAGCTCAGACACGTACGTGCCGAAACGCTAAACAACCCAAGTCGTTTTGTTTTTTGCCAGATTGGCTACCCAACCACGGTCGGAACACGCGTCTTGGGCAAGGTTGCCACGACCGATTGCGCCTCAGCGGCGTCGCTTCGTGCTGCGGGTGCCATCATCATTGGCAAGACCAACATGCACGAGATTGGCATTGGCACGACGGGGTCGAACGTGAACCACGGAGTCTGCCGCAATCCGTACAACCTCGGCCATCACACCGGTGGCTCTTCGAGCGGCAGTGGGTCTGCCGTCGCTGCCGGCTTGTGCCCTATCGCCATCGGCGCGGACGGTGGTGGCAGTATCCGCATTCCGGCCTCGCTTTGTGGCGTGGTCGGCCTGAAGGCGACGTGGTCGCGCATCAGCGAGTTTGGTGCCTTCCCCCTGTGCCCGTCTGTCGGCCACACTGGTCCGATTGCAAGCACCGTGCGCGACGTGGCACTGGCGTACGCACTGACCGCTGGACCCGACAAGCGCGACGAGTACTCCACCATCCAGCCGAGCATTCATCTCTCCAATTTTGAGAGTGACGATCTGACTGGCGTGAAGATTGGCGTGTACGATCGCATGTTTGACCACGCCGACGAGCAGGTTGTAAAGTCGTGCCGTGCCATGCTGGATGTGTTTGTTTCCAAGGGCGCCACCATCCGGCCCATTGCCATTCCCGAGCTTGAGGAGATCAAGGTAATGGGGGGGGGGTGATATTTTGTGATGCTTTGTGCTGTATGTGTTGTATGTGCTGTGGTGTCTTGGTTCGGAAGGAGAGCTCACCGAGGCACACTTTTTGTTTTTGACACCCGTGCTCCTTCCAATCAGGTGAGCCACTTGATCACCATCCTGTCGGAAATGATTGCAAGCATGCGTGGCAACATTGCCGACTCTGACTGGCACCGTCTGAGTCTGACGACGCGGGCTCCACTGTACCTGGGTGAGATGTTCACAGCCACCGACTACCAGAACGCCCAGCGCTACCGCACTCGAGCAATTCGCACGTTGCGTCGTCTGTTTGAGGAAGGAGGCATCACCGTGATTGCTGTCCCGTCCACGGCTATTGCGGCACCACGCATCAACGAGCATGCCCTGGCAACCGATGAGCTCAATGCTCAGCAGACCGGCCGAATCATGCGAACGTCCGTGCTGGCAAACCTGACGGGAGTGCCAGGCATCAGCTTCCCTTCGGGCTATACAGCGGATGGTCTTCCCATTGGCTTCCAGCTGATGGGCAAGTGGTATCACGAACACACATTGCTGCAGATGGCACGCATTGGTGAAGCCTCTGTCACTCGTCGTGAGCCCGCTCTCTACTATTCTCTGCTGGAACAAGCGCGTGCTGCCAAGAAGAGCGCGACACCCAGCAGCACTTGCGAGTAGTGTTTCGTTGTTGTGTTTGAGCTTTTTGCGTTCGTTGATTTTGTTGTTCTCGTGCTTTGCTCCGAACCAAATAGCATGCTTCAAACTTTGAACGAACAACCAACCATGGTGGGGCTTTTACAAGCTTCGAGTAGTATTACATCTCAAAAAAAAAACACACACACACACAAACAATAAACAATGACGACAAGAAACCCACTGCGACGACAACAACAACAACTACAACAACAACAACAACAAAAATATCAACGCGTCGGAAATAGAATCAATCCTCAAAAACTTCTATGCTGCACACCCCATTCAAGAATTTTTAAAAGTCATCAAAAATGTTTGTGTTGGCACGGCCACCGCCACGACTGCTTCCCCGAGCGCTCGATGGCAGGCCAGAGGTGAAAGAACCCGACTGTCCCACGTCGAAATCGAGGCCAATGACGTGATCATCACGCCCTGTATTCAACGGACGGCGATCGGAGGCACGCCACGAGTCCTCATTGACATTGTTCGAGCTACTAGTTGCCGAAGCGCCAAGGGAAAATCCGTACACGCTGGAGCCAGCTCCGCGGGATGCACGGGTGTACGTCGAGCCCGTTGTACTCGACACTGGCGGTGCGTCGTGCACTGCAATGGATGGGGCGCTCGCGTTGGATGGCGCAGATCGGAAGCGAGAGCTGAAGCTTGACCAAAGGCCGCCAGAACCTGCCGCATCGGCAGTAGGGTCGACAATCACTGAGGTTGATGCAGCATTGGAAGATGACCGGCTCATAGAGTCATCGCCACGGGCCTGCAGAAACAACGAGATTATTCAGTGAAGGTGAGCGGGGAATCAAACAAAAGAACATTCAAAACCATGCAAAACTGAGCGCCTGATAGAAGGAAAGCCAAGCCCGAGCAAATACGCACCCGAATCGCTGGAAGGCTGTTGTGCGACGCGGCGCCGGGGTTTTGTGCACGCTCGCGAAGGCGACGCTCACGACGAATAAGTTCACGACCCTCGACAATGGCATCGTTGGCTAGGTCGTCGTTGTCGAGGAAGCGAGACATGCCAATGCACGACAGGAAGCGGCCGCAAGCGTGGAACCATGCGAGCACGGCAATGAGCACGATAAAGATGGGGAAGTACACGTTGAATCCGTCTTGGATGAAGCCAACAACGTCCATGTGGCCCATAATCTGCATCGCCAGTCGAGAAGAGTGTTCGTACAGATCAGCGCAAATCAACAACGAGCGTGCAGGACGAGAATGAAGAGAGCAGATGCAAAACAAACCTGCGTGAAGGCCGTTTCTTGCGAGATTGTCGAAACGACATGGCCGTCAAGGTGACTCATGCTCAAAAAGTTCAGGCAAAGCGGGGCTGTCAGACGCGACAGGAAGCTGTGCCAAATCGCAAAAACCCCAGGGCAAAGGTGAGCAACGGTGAAAGCTACAGCATTGAATCGCTGTGACTGGCAGTGCGTTCGTTGCCTTACAGTGCAGAGAAGAGCAGACTGCTGTCGTCCGTCTGTTGGTGCTTTGCAAGGTAATAAAAGTTGAAAAAGCGGATGCGGAAAATGACTGCATACGCGCAGATTGCCATGTAAGTCAGTGAGATGAAAGAAAAGACCTGTCGAAGAATCCAAAAACGAGAAACCAGTCAGACGAATTGCAACCAAAAGGCGGGGAGAGACAGCAGCAGCAGCAGCAGCAGCAAGAGCGGAACACAAATCACTGACCTCCACGTTGGTGTACTGGTAGGATGTGCCTGCGCTGTTCATGATGATTGCGTAGAGCGAAAGCGTCGGGTCGGTCTTGAAGAAGGAGCACTCGGACCAGATGATGGCCAACGAGAAGAACAGGAACACGAATGCTGCAAAGGCAAACAGCAACCGACGAAGACGGAATCGCCACAAGAATGCTGAGGACGGGACATTCAACGTGAGAAAAATCAAGCCCATCGTTCTTCTATCTTGCTTCTCAACAAAACTGACAACATTCGCTTTCAGCGGTCACATACTGAATTTGTGGACAAACTTCTTGAAGGGTCCGCTGTACGAGCTTGAAAGGTTGGACTGGAAGTGGGTCCACGCGATATCTTTCTGCTCTACCATTTCCTCGAATTCCAGCGCCTCGTCCATGCAACGCTCGTACAAGGCCTGAGTGCGACGCACAGCAAGCGAGCGGCGAATGACACGGCGGTGGAGCTTGGCCAGAGAGCTGAGGGTGATGTCTGTGAGGCCCTCAAGGCGGGATTCAGAGGCGGTGGAGCGCGAGTGCTTGTTGGGACGATTTGCGAGATCATCAGCAGCATTGGTCGGGCACTTGAAGAGGATTTCGTCCACGTATGGGCGCAAGTGGTGGGTGAAATTGATCTTTTGGGTAACGGCCTTGACATCCGTCAGCGTTTCAGAGAGGTCATCCTCTGCGTCATCGAGTTCGGTGCGCAGCTTGGACGCTTTGAACTGCAGGTGTCGAGTGACCCAGTCTGTTTCCCAAGAGTAGTTGGTGCACAAGGTATGAGTGTGAATGAACCAAAAAGAATCTTCACCAACCAAAAAAAATGAATGTAGCAAAAAAAAAAAAAACGAAAAAAAAAAAAAAAACATACCAGCCCGACTTTCGTTCCAGGTGGAACGCGGCGTTTCGACAAGACCGACACCAAGAAGCCCGATCAGCAGAAACAAACCCCATGTGTTTGAAGCCGCCATTGCGATACCGAGTAATGCATCCACGCTGAGCGAGGCTTTGATGGCAATGTACAAGAACAGGCCGACGACGAGCACGCCGAGAGAGCCGTACACGATGAGGTTTTCTCGGATGGACGTTTTAAGTTTGCCCCAGAAGGTAAAGTCGCCCGCGTCAACGTACGACTGCATGAATGGCAGGATAATCCTGCGGGTAAGTCAAAGCAGCAGCAACAACAACAACAACAACAACAACAACAACAACAACAACAACAACAACAACAACAAAAAACAAGTCAATGAGATGGAAGGGGTCTGTATCGAGCAGAAGCGAATGTGATGGGCAGAAACAAGTCAAACACGAAGGCTGCTCGCGCTTACCAAGTCAGGAGCTGCGAGGTCCAGTAGACAATCTTCCAAATGACTGGAAAGACGTCTGGGGAGACGTACGTCCACGGCTGCTCGCAGAACATGGTCGGATCGACGACTTGGTCGGCCTGGCCACTTGCTGGGACAAAGCCCGTGCTGGACGGCGTTGGTGCTGCGTCAGAGAGCGACGTGAGGAAGGTGACAAGAGCCTCGGACGTAGCAGTTGCGGCAGGCTCCAGGATGGATGCCGTTGCGGTAAACAGCAGGCTGTCTGACGGCGACAATCCATCCAGGGTCGTTTCAGCGAACGACGACGCGGACGGCGTTGCAGAGCCAAGGTCGGACGTGAATGTCGGTGCAAAACTGGAGGCAGAAGAAGAAGCGGATGGGAAGGCGGACGCCGATGCGTTCGGGCGCGGCGTGTGTTCGTCCAAGCAATGGTGGTAGTACGTCTGTGCAAGCGTCAACCACAGGCAGATCAGTTTTGAGACCAAGTCAAGAGGTGTAAAGTGCGTGAGTAGGCGAGAACTGAAAGAAACAAAAACCGCTAAAACGCGAGGGCAGCTGCCACGACTGCACGCTCAGTTGAGCGAGTTTGTCCAGCTCAACCACGGCTCGGGGGGAGGGGGTGGGCAAGTGAGTCATGGTTGCTTTAGTTTGCTTTGCTCTCAAAAGCCCGCAGCAACTTGCAACTTTGCACTGACAGTTGAAAGCAGAACGCGAGAAGCAAAGCGGTTTTTTCTTTCTTTCTTTTTTTTTTTTTTTTTTTTTTTTTTTTTTTTTTTTTTTTTTTTTTTGTTTTTCAAAAACCGGTTCGTTCGTTCGTTTTGAACACAACGAGCCGCAATCGTACAGACACGAGGCGTTGTTTGTTGTGTTTGTTGTGTGCTGTTTTGTTTGGATCAACGCTCAACAAGCTCAACGACCCCCCAAAAACAAAAACAGCGACAGAGTGTGAGAGAAAGCGAGACAGAGTGAGACAGAGCGAGTGAGCGACAAGCGGCCTGCTGTTCAGAGTCTGCTCGCGTTACGCGTCTGTCGCTCCATCACGAAGCCCACTGCACAAGTCTACCTCCATGCCCTGACTCGGTTTGGCGCAGACCATCCAAGCGCATTTTTGCTGCTCGACGTTGCCAACTGTCGTTGAACGATGCACGTTCCATGACTGACTGACGTTTGGGTTGAAACGCGTCTTCGTCTTCGTTTCCCGATGACGACCGAGCCCGCCGAGCCCACCGAGCTCGCTGTCGTGTGTGTACAAAGCATGGTGATGGATTTGGGTGGGGAGAAGAGAGAGAGAGAGAGAGAGAGAGAGAGAGAGAGAGAGAGAGAGAGATGACAATGTGAACGTACCGCTGAAATGTCCATCGGGATGAGGACGACAATCGACATGGAAAGGAACCAGGTCAGGGTGACGGTCAGCGTCGAGTACCAAGGAGCCATGCGCCAGTTGGCGTACTGCCGGTAGAAGGCAGCAACCACCACCGCAATCACTATCAGCGCAAGCACCAGCCCAAACGCCGACATTTTTGTTGTTGGTTAGATTTCGCCAAACAAACACAGACAGACAGAACGAAGAAGAAGAAGAAGACGAAGAATGATAGGAAGAGGAAAAAAATTTGGACTGGTTTTGTTTGACTGGAATAGATTACCATTGAAATACAGATGGGTCGTAATGGACAAAGACCCCAGTGAACATGGCAATGGGTCGAGTGTGCCATCGGTTGTCGCTGCAGTGATTGATCGGTCGGTCGGTGGCGACGATGGCCATTCTCCACCAGCATTTCCAATTCAATCTCATCTGCACCGATGCGTTTCATTGACTGATGCATTAGATCAAGCAACATCCACTCGTTTATTTTTGGTTGTTGTCTGCTACTCTACACAGAAAATGGCGACAACGACTGCAGCTGGCTCGTCGCTCGTGACGTTCGGGCGCAAGCGGTTCAATCCAGAGACGCTCGGCCTGCCTGCCGACTGGCGCCTGACCAAGTTCACCCAGCTCAAGGGCTGTGGATGCAAGGTGCCCCAGAAAGACCTGCTCAAGCTGCTCGAAGTCTTCCGAGCGAACTCGAACAACGCCGTGGCTGGTTCAGAACAACAAATCGCCGCGCCAACTCCGACGAGTGGTGGTGCTGCAGTGCCGGCGTCGTCCATCCCGGCGGCAATCACTGCAGATGGAACCATCGGTGTTGGTCTCGACAGCTGTGTCACCGAGACGCGGCATCCGGGTCTGTATCTCGTCCAGACCACCGACTTGTGAGTTGTTCAGCCGCCTCGATTCCTGTCATCCAGGCGTGTTTCTCGTGGTATTGGTGTTCTCGTGGTATTGATGTTGCTGAATGTCGGTATTGGTCTCATTTTGGTACGGTTGCTGGCGTTTTGCTCGTACATGACAAAGCTTCTTCCCGCTCATTGAGGATCCTTACCAAATGGTCAGTGCGCGTGGTCGCCTTGCTGGTGTGCATACTCCCTTTGGCAGTACTAAACTATCACTCACTGTGTTGAATTTCAATCCACCCTTGCTCTGATGTTCATTTAGGGTCGAATTGCGTGCGCCAATGTTTTGAGCGATTTGTACGCAATGGGCGTGTCCGAGTGCGATAACATGCTCATGCTGCTCGGTGTAAGCACCACGTTGACGCCAGAGGAATCTGTCATTGTCACGCCGCTTGTCATGAAAGGCTTTCACGACCTGTGCCAAGAGGCCGGAACCAACGTGCTTGGCGGGCAAACGGTCAAAAATCCCTGGTTTTTGCTCGGCGGCGTCGCCACATCTGTTGTCGGTCGTCATGAAATGATCATGCCAGGTACACGAGACAACCGAGCGAGCTCGTGCATTTTTGGGCATGCTTTGTCTGCAGATCTGCTCTGACACTCACTTGACTTTACAGATGGCGCAAAAAGCGGCGACGTCCTCGTGCTCACCAAGCCGCTTGGAAATCAACTGGCCGTCAATGCCCACCAGTGGATGCTGACAGATCCCGAACGATACAAGCGCCTGGACGGCGTTCTCACGAACGAGCAGGTTATCGAAGCCTACGAACATGCCATTACGAACATGACACGTCTGAGCCGCGTGGCCGCCCGCCTGATGCGAGAATTCGGTGCTCACGCTGCCACGGATGTGACTGGTTTTGGAATTCTGGGTCACGCCCGGAACCTTGCTCGTAGTCAGAAGGACAGCGTCAATTTTGAAATTGATGTCTTCCCAGTGCTGCGCCACATGATTGCCATGGAGCGCGCCACCCCCGTCTTCCATCTGCTGGAGGGCACTTCAGCCGAGACGTCCGGTGGACTTCTCATTGCGCTGGGTCCCTCGCCAGATGGCAAACTTGATGCGCGAGCAAACGCCCAGCGCTATTGCGACGAGCTGGCCCGCCAGGATCGTGGCTTCCAAGCCTATATCATTGGCCGTGTAGTTGAAGGTACGTGCATACATGGTTGGGGCTCGCTCAGTTGATTGTTCCTGTCCGATTGGTTGTTGGTTTAGGTTCTGGGTTGTTTGTTTTGTTTGGGCGAGAGATTCACGTGTGCCATCCATCTTGGTAGGATCCCGCGATGCTGTTCTGTCTCCGAATCTGCAAATCATCGAGGTTGATGCACCCATTCTTACGGTGTAATTGCATGTTTGAAAAAAAACAAACGAAAAATTCATTATTGTACAAAAATCTAATCTTGAAATGACTGTGGGGGTTTTCTCTTTTTGGCCGCGCATGCTTGACGTGATTGAAGCAATCACCGTACATGTGTGTGTGCCTCGGGTGCTCACCGGCCCTCGATTAATCGGTCGAGCTCTGATCGATAAAACAAAAACTCGCTGTTGTTGGTAAACGCAAACGACTGGGAAATTGCCAACCGGCCATCCGCGTTGGAACGCCAGAGAAATACAAGCTGCCCGGTTTCCGCCCGGACAACTCGGTTATTCTCGCTGATGAAGAACTGCTCGGCGAGGCCAGAAAAGGATATCTGATCGACCCGCTTCAGGTTGATGAATATTTCGCTGTCGAGCGCCGAGTACATGGATTGTCCGTTCGGCTTGTGTTCAACCGACTGGAATGTGAATGCGCTTGGTTGGAGTAGCAGAAATGCCCTTGGTTTCTTGATACTGTCGTTTGAAAAGGGGGGGGCAGCAAATCATAGCAGTATCGTGTCAGCAAATTTGAAACGGTTTCAAATCGTTCAATCCCGCTCTCGTCGGGCTGGGCTGCCTTTGCTGGTGCTTTCCCCGTCTCTCGTTCTCGGTATTGAAACCGTGTGGCATGGCGTGTTCCATTGTTTCCCTTGGTTTTGTGTGGCCTACGCCGCATCCGCGCCTGCTGTTCGTTGGCTGCGAGCGAAAGATCAGCACCCGATTCTCACCTTTGCGGCAAGTCTCCATCACCGCTCCCGTCGTCGCCGTCGTCGTGTCGCCGCACACGCTTGGACCGGTCAGACCAGTTGGAGTAAGCACTCGATGCGTCGTACGCGCTGTCTTCGTTCCCGTCAGTGTATTGCATTCGCCACGGGTCGCTCGCGACGTTCCTCGCCTTCTGGTTGCAAAGTGACTGGTCTTGTTGTTTGCGGCTTGGGTTGGAATTGCTTGGTATTGTGTGTGCTTTGAATAAATCTTGTTGCGTGGCTGTTGTGAGGCCGATCAAGCGAGTTACAGAGAGGTTGACCGTTCCAAAAGTTGTCCCGGTTTTGGTGTACGCAACTGTGTTTGTTTGAAGAGAGCATCAAGTTTGAGATTTGCAACGGGATTGATACCACAGCGAGTTACAGAGCAAACAAACAGAGACAAACAACTCCATTGATTCGATAATGCATGCTGAGTCAAAAACACCGCGGCAAGTTCAAGCATGAACGATCTAGACCAGCGCAATGTTGAGCGAAACTCAAAGTTCTTCCTACAGTCAGAATCACACCTCAAACACCCCCGAAACCTCATCTACTCGTCTCACAATTATATTTACAACAATCGAGCGGCACCGGTGCGGTAATCGCCGACCGTGATATACCCCAAAGCTCAGCTGAAACACGATGAACTGCCATAAATACACAGGCAATGGAAATCTCAGTCATTTTTCTTCTCCGCTGTTCATTCTCCTTCATCACTCGCCCTCTCCCCGCCGCCATCGCACTCTCGCTCACTGCATTCCGAGTAGCAATACACCCAACAAAACAACATGGCTGCACGGCCGTCAGGCTTCCTCAGCATGGCCGCGTCGGCGTCTCGCAGTGGTGCGAACGACGCGGACGCTTCAAAGCGAGCTGCCAGCCAAGCGTCGAGCACAAAGGTGGCTCCAGCCGCTTCAGCAACCGCTTCTGGACCACCTGCTCGGTCTTCGGGCTTCCTGGACATGGCGGCGTCGGCCTCGCGCGGTGGCTCTGCTGACTACGACAAGTCCAAACAACTCATTCCCGGCCAGGCTCGAACCAAGGACGTGACGATGGCTCCCTCGTACACGGCGCCGGCGTCGTCGATGCACGCTCCTGCGCCAACGATGGCCAAGGCGGACACGTCGGGCCTGATGAGCGTCACGAGCACCCGCCTGAGCAGCGCGGCGTCGGACGGCCCAGATCGCAACAAGTACCAGCTCGCGTCCACTCGGTTGACTGGACCCACTCAGCCGCTGTTCGTCAAGGCCGCTCCCGTTGTCACTTCCAACCCGTTCGACGATGTCGACGACGAGGACGACGCAGACAAGAAATCCACGACGAGCGACAAGAGCGACGGCGGCAGCGACTCGGATTCTGGCTCGGACTCGAAAAAGTCAGGCTCCGGCTCTGGTTCTGGGTCGGGCTCGGATGCAGGGTCCAAATCAGGGTCAGGGTCAGATTCAGACTCGGGTTCGGGTTCGGGTTCGGGCTCAGGCTCGGGCTCAGGCTCCGGCTCGGGCTCAGGTTCCGGGTCTGGTTCTGGCTCTGACAGCGACGCGAGCCACAAGAGCGCCAAAAGCAGCCAGAGCAGAAAGAGCGCTGCCAGCAAAGCGAGCCGCAAGAGCGACCGTAGCCACGGAGCGTCTTCGACTCGCAGCGATGCCAGCAGCAACGACAGCGACGAGGACGGCGACCACAAAGACGACGCCACCGACGCCAAGCGCTCAAGCAAGAAGAGCACACTGGAGGTGCCCACCGCTGATGGCGACCGAATCTCAGTTTCGTCAAAACACTCACAACAACTCAGTCACCACACAGACGCCAGCGGAACAGATGCCGATAGCGAAAGCGGCGACGAAAGCGAAGACGCCAGCGACACGGAGTCGACCAACCCCTTTGCCGCCGCCTCGCCCAGCAAGCCGTCTCCACAAGCGTCATCCGACTCGGCTAAGAAGAAGCCGCAGCCGCAACGACCCTCACTCGCCTCCGCAGTCTCCGTCGCAAGCGAAGACAGTGTCAGCAGCAGCGGCCCGGACACCCCGTCCGCGACCGCATCGGGGAAGCGGCCCAACCTCTGGAAGAAGGCCACCACCACCGCTGCGATGGCTGCTCGAGCAGCCCACAGCACAAACAACGGCCCGACGCTGACAGCAAAGGACATGTCTCGCGCAGACTTTATCGAGTTTTCGTCCACCAATTTCAACGTGACCCAGCACGTCAAGCGATTTTACGCCAACCAAGACTCTGGTCAAGACGGTGCATGGCTGCGCGACAACGTCGAGAGCCTCAATCAACTCGGAGACATGGTTTCGCGAACGCTCAAGAAGAACGTTTTCCGAAACTACACTCGCTTCATCGACACGACCAAGGAAATCGCCAAGCTCGAAGGAGACATGTATCAGTTGCGGTATCTCATCAACGAAGAAAAGGACATTATCAAGCAGGTTGGTCTGACACAAGCCGCGACACCGCTCGTGTCCAGCAGCCCTGGCGGCGGCGGCGGCGGCGGCGGCGGCGGCAGCGGCTCTGGAGCAACTCCCACAATCACTGTCGGTGACGACGATGAAAACGGATCCAAAGTTGACAAAATCTCGCAAGAGGAACGCCAGGCGCGTGCCAATCGCCTCCGTGCGACATGGCGTGAGGTTGAAGGAAGCGAGGCAGCAATGGGCCAGCTCCCCAATCGCGACCGTATGCTCGTTCTGAGCGGTGAACTCAGCGAGCTGAACGATGACTTCCACGAGGTTCAAACCATCAAGTTGTTCCTGTTCAACGATAGCCTGCTCACAGCGACCAAGCGCAAAAAGTACAAGGAGCGCGGCGAGGACGCATCGGCACCGTTCAAGGTTCATCGATTTTGCTCGCTCAAGGAAGTGGCCTTTATTGACGTCAAGGATTCCGAGGATGCACAGAACGTGTTCAAAGTGATTGCGTCGCAAGACGCCCTGCTCTGCCAGTCCGCGCAAAAGCGCCAGTGGCTCGACACGGTGGACCGTGTTCAGCGCGAACGCAAGCAGAACGACAAACAGCGCGTCGAAGCCGACAAACAGCGCCAGCAGGGCAAGCAAACAGACGAAGACCGCCGTCGAGAGAAGGTTGCACGCGACGACGCCGAGAAGAAGCGCGCTGCCATCCTGGCTGTGGATTGGATTGTCGACATGCCCGACAACTTGGACGTGTTTATTGCACACCGCAACTTTGAGGCTGCCGCCAAGCTGATTGAGAAGGTCTCGCAGTACTTGACCGCGCATTTGCCACCTGTTGCCCCAGCAGCTGTTGATGCGGCTGCTGTCGTCGGTTCTAGCAATGCTGGCTCAACGACCTCCTCCTCCAACGCGGCACCCGGAAGCACCCAGGCCACGGTGGATGCGCTCAAGGCTGCAATGGAAGTGCGCCTGGAACGTCTCACCTCGACACTGGCGCGCGAGCTCCAGAACCTGTCGCTCCCTTCTGCCGAGCTGCACCGCCATGTTGCGCTTTTGCTCCGTCTTGGTCAGTCGGAAAAGGCGCGCACCATGTTCTTGTCAAATCGCAGCTTTGGCATGCAGCGCGAGCAGCGCCGCTTGCGGATTGAGGGTTCGGCGCTCTTCTACATTACCAAGCTCTCCAAAGTCTTCTTTGCGCGACTCGCTGAAGTTGCGTCCGAGTTCCGGCAGCTATTTGCGGATGCAAACAGCAAGTCTGCATTCAGCGTCTGGGTTGTCACCGAAACCGAGCAGTTCTGCGAAACTTTTAGCCGCCATGTCTTCCACATGAGCCAGTTTTCGATTGTAGTGCAGTGCGTCGAGATTGCCGTCACCGAGTGCCAATCTGTAAGTGCAGCGCGACCAGACTGGGCGCTTTTTTCGGTGGTCGTTTTGCTTGTGTGGACAATTTCAGAGTGTTCGTTGTGATCACTCATCCTTGTACGTTGTTATGTATGCCAGCTCAAGTCGGCTGGACTCGACATTGAGTTTTCGCTGCATCGGCTTTTGCACGAGAACATCATGACCGCCATCGACGCACAGAAGGACAACATTGAAAAGAATTTCGAGCAGCTCGTTGCTAACGATTCATGGGATGAGCTGCCAGCCAGCGACAATAACAGTAAGATACACACGCCTATTTTGGTGAGTTTTACTTTTGGAACTGCTGAAGACTAATGTTTCCTGTTTGAACACGACAGAACTTGCTGCGCCCTGCAAGTGCGTTGTCACGTTTGTTCGAACAATGAACAAGTTTATGGAAAATGTCGCTCGCGTCTACAACTACACGGTTCGTTTGTGGTGCCTGCGCCCGATGAGTTGATTGTTGATTGTCTGTCGTTCTGCGATGTGCTCACCATCGTCAACGCTTCTTCGCCGCGGCCAGTTGCTCGAGTTTGTTGTCAACCGAATTGGCCGAACGGTCCATCAATTTGCCCACACGGTCATTAGCGCTGCGTATGATCAACAAGAGAAGTCCAAGGTTTGTTTTTCAAATAGTTTTCGGTCTGTCGAAAAGAATGCTGACTCTCCCGTCATGCTGGCCTGCACCTTCCGCACACACAGCGTCGCGCCATCAAGAAATGTGTCATGTTCATTGTCGACGTCTACATTGTCCAGCTTGCAGCAATGCTTGAGGTACTGTTGTTGTGTTGCGTTTGTTGGTTGTGCGCAGAACTTTGTCTGACCGAACAATCCCTCCCCCACCTCCTCTTTCACCTTTGACTGCAATTCATTGAATAGGAACTAAGTGGCAGACAGCCGAAAGAACTCCAAGAAGTTGCCAGTGCCATCCGCGCCGAGATTGGTGCTTGATTTCAGTGGGTTGATTTCAGTGCAAATACACAAACTTTTTGAAACTACAATATGCTCATGGCTCAGGAGTCTGCTGTAGATTCGGAATTGCAAAGAACGGGCCATGCGTCTTGGCCGCCCGCGAGAGGAGTGCAGCAGATTGGTTGACATGATTCGGAGTGTCGTCCCGCGTTCGGAGCGACCAGCGTGTTGAGCTTGCTGTTTCCAACGCCTGAACTCTTGCGTCACCCGTCGAAGGCGAAGAAGTATCAACAGTAGCAGCAGCAGCATCAGCAGCGTGTCGCCGCACCTGCCCAGCAAAGTGGGTGAGCAGTGCCAAGTCTCGTTGCAACGCTTCGACGTCTTTGGCTGAAGGAAGCGAGATTTTGGCAGCGTCGGCCAGTCGCTCGACATCAGCGACAGTCACTGCATCTGGATCAGCAGCAGCACGACGACTGCTGTCCGACGCTGTCATCGCGGTGGTCTGCTGCGGCAGGGTGTCGGCGATCGACCACATTGGCTTGGCGGGAATCAGCGCCGACAGTGTTGGCTTGGCTTGCGCCAGCGACCTTGCTGAGGTCTGTCATTCCAAAGCAAACAAAGGCACTTTGTTGGAAACATGGAACACATTTCCACAACACGACAGGCACCAGACAACAGGGTTGAACTCTGACGTTTACACTGAGCCATCTCCGACAACTGCTGGCCAGCATGATTCTGTACTGTTGTAGAATTGTCGAATAGAAATCTGAGACTGCGCATACACCAAAGTCACCAAAAAGCAAAGCTCAGTGTTTTTGTTTTATTATTCTTGCTCTTGTTGTTGTTGGTTGCTGCACACAACAATGTCCGTCCCAGCGCTTGAGCCGATTGAGCTCGGCTTTGCTGAGCAGGTCGACAACCCGGTCTTCCTCACGAGCCCGTACTTTCCATCCAAAATCGGAGGACACCCCGTACGAAGCCAGACTCATGCACCTCGTACCCAACTTGCTCCAGGGGTGGTGGTGGTGGTGGTTGGTTGGTTTTGCACTGTGAATCAGAGCACATGGAACCGCGCCATGCGTCGGCATCACGACTCGAGGCGACTGTCGAGACTGGAGTCCACTGAATGCAAAAAAAGCCAACTCACAAGTGCACTCACTTGACATCTTGTCTTGAATGTGTGCGCGTGTGTGGGACAGGCATGGCTCAATCCGCAGCACTTGCCGTCCACTGAATCAGCCGCTGCTGACGGACTGGCCTGCCCGCTCTGCACCAAACCCATGGCCTTCCTGCTGCAGCTGTACACACCTGTGGACGACAGCCCTGCTTGCTTCCATCGATCAGTGTACGTGTTTTGCTGCCGCAACGGCGGATGCCACAAGACTGCTTCTGCAACCGGAGCCCATTGGTGAGTGTGTGCCTCTACCGCTTGGAGGTCACCGATGACATTCATGCATGGCATGGTCGCACGAACTCACATTGGACATGGTCGATGATGATGTCGTTTGGCGTTTGGGCCGTTTGGAATCTTTGTGCATTTCCAAAACTTGCCAAATTTCTCAGCTTCAAAGTACTCCGATGCCAGCTTCCCCGCGAGAATCCCTACTTTGGCGTGGATGCCAACGACAATGTCGAGCTGGATTCATCAGTGCAAGGACAGCGCCGCGTGGCTCTTTCAGGTTTGCGTTTTGCACACGTCTGATTGTGTTTGCCTCGCTCATGATTGGTGATTCTGTTGCTGGTTCAGCTCCCACTTGCGCTGTGTGCGGTAATCTGGGACCCAAGAAGTGCGGCCAATGTGGGCGTGCGCGTTACTGTTCTCGCGAACACCAAGTGGCCCATTGGGGTGCCGGTCACAAGCAAGCGTGCTCCAACGCGAGCGGAAATGTTGCCCCAACTGCAAAAGGTGAGGAGTCCCCCCCCCTTCGACTCGTGCCGCATATCCTGGCTGTAGTTGACCGAATGGTTGGTTTGGGGTACTGCACGTGTAGAGGTTGCGCTGCGCTTCCCTGAATTTGAGCTGGTGACCGAGCCCGAGGAAGTCCGGCCTGGGGATGACGGTGATGAAGACGACGAAGCTGCCGAGAAGCGCCGCATGCAAGAGTTTGAAGCCGCTGTGAAAGACTTCAAGCTTGATGTCCAGACTGAAGAAGAAGGTAAAAAAAGAAAAGAAAAAAAAAAAAAAAAAAAAAGGAAACGGCGGTTAGGTTTTGCACCGAAACTCCTTTTGCTCAAAAGTTCACTCGACCCTCGCCAATCCGCACTCTCAGGCAAGGACGTGGATGACCTGTTTGACGGATCGGATACCGTGCAGGAAGAGGACGAATGCTTCGAGGCCTTCCAAAAGCGTGTTGCCCGAGATTCAGAACAGGTTCTTCGGTGAGTTCAACAACAATTTTGTTGTCGTCCGGCGCGATTGTCTCCGTGCTTGCAGTCCAGCTACTCACAGGGCCGCAAAACAGATATCAAAAGGGTGGCAAGCCTCTGTGGATTAGCGACGTGGCGCAATGTGCTCCCGGAGCTGTGCCGCGTTGTCTGAATTGCGGCACTCAGCGAGTATTCGAGTTTCAGGTAGGGACCCTGTGTTGACCTTGGAATTGTTGCTTGGCCTGTGCACTCATTCGTGTGTGCGTTTTTTCTTTTGCTGGCGCTGCTTTGCCGGATGTGCAGATTATGCCGCAACTTTTGTGGATTCTTGGTGTCGATAATTTGGATGGTAATTCCCTCGACTGGGGCACCTTGCTGGTCTACACCTGCCCGAACGACTGCAACCCGCAAGAGGCTTCGGCCACCACCCCGGCTCAACCAGCAACGGAGCCGGCGTCGTTTGCATCTGTTGCCGCCACGAATGCCAAGCCCGTCCCCGTCACCTCGAGCGCATATCTTCCCGAGTTCTTATACAGCCAGCAAGTATCAGAGAAGGGAAGCATCGATTTGCAGCAGCGAGAGCGACGTGCCCCTCAGCCCGACGCTCGTCCCGAAGCCACGAATGCATCTCCATGAGTTGTTGGGGGAAAAATAAAAAGACAAAGATCAAAAGCTCTCTCTCTCTCTACAAACTCAAACCCTGAAAAGGAATCGATGTATGAACGTGGTTAGCCTGATAAAACACAAAACAAAAATCGGACAATCTCATGCAGTGTCGATCCGAACACCTTGGGAGCCAAGATTGGTCTCCCAGACTAAAAACGGTTGGCTGGGCTCCTCGTTGCCGACGAGCAAAGCGTTGTACTGCACATGAAGATTGGTGATGGCGTGGACGAGGGCCGCGACAGTCTCCGGAGATGCGTCTGTTGGAGGCACGAATCCATTGGTTGTCAGCAAAATTCAAAACGAAGCAAGCATATTGGGTAGCTCTGTCAAACTGAAAACCAAGGCAACGGAAATACATACCAGGTGGAAGCAAAATAAAGGCACAACCGCCGCCGCCAGCACCAGTGAGCTTGCATCCGAAGCCGAAACGTTCGGCACAAGACCGCACAGCAACCAGCTTTGGGTGATCCACTTGGACGACAGAAAGTAGAGCGTGATTGGCAGAAATGTAAAACTACGCAGAATACCAAGCGAAAAAACAAACCAAACCAAAGGGCCGATGAGAAACGCACGAAGCCTGAACTAACTCATCGGAATCAACGTCCGTACCTTCAATCGCTCATAGATTTCCGCAGAGGCACCTACAGCATATATTGCATGCAACAATGTGAGCGTGATGGTGTGTCTGCTGTTGGTCAAGCTCGTACAAGCGCAGTTGGTTACCTTGGTCGAGAGAAAGCTTGCGCAGGTCGGCAAGGGCTTGAACGCCGATGGTCTCCATCAGGTCGATAACTGGCGGGACAATGCTGGGGAACTGTCCAGAGCATCAGCACAACCGCAACCAAAAAAATCAACGTTCGCACGTCGTGGCAAGAAAAAAAAAAAAAAACAACAACCCCAAAACAAACAACGACGAGACAACCCTCACCTTGTCAAAATTGGTGCGAACATTCGCGACAAGCGCTTTTGTGCTCCGCGATTGCTGAGTGTTGACCAGAAGAATGCGCAGCTTGGGCAAGTCGGTGAGGGGCGTCATGTTAATGCCAGACGCTGTTCGTGCGAATTGAATCAATCCGCCATACGTGCCAACCGTGTTATCGACGCCAGATGGCGTGCCGTGCATGGTTGTTTCTGCGTACAAGGCCCACTTGTTAATGAGCTCGAGCTGCGACGGACTGAGGTTGCTTGTCTGCTGAATGGACCCCGCAATCAGCAAAGCAACGGTTGCAATGCAGACGGCGAACGCGGCCGAGCTGCCCAGGCCGGCGCCGATTGGCAGTGCCGACTGCACCGATGCCTGGATTGCGACCGAGGCCAGTCGCTCGTGCGGCACCACCGCGACCAGAATTTGCAGGAATGTTTTCAATGCGAGTCTTGCTTCGGGAGTTGTTTCTTGTTGGACATGGTTGGCCAGGTACGCCTCAATGTCGCTCAACAGCGCCTCGCGATCCACTCCGACGGGGTCGCTTCGCGCCTTGCCCATGGCGCTCAAGTCCGCCGTCTGAAATGTCAACGCGAGCAATCCAAAGTCTGCGAGTGCCACGCGGGATTCCGTTCCTTGCGTCGTTGCTCCTTCCGTCACGGCCAAGCGGACGCTGGTGCGCATGTCCAACGCCGTCGCGAGCGCCGTCTGAGCACAGCGAGAGAGAGAGAGAGCAACGAAATCACAAAGCATTTCCCCCCACCCCCAAAGTCAGTCAGTCAGTCAGTGAGTAAAGAGTGTGTACATGCGAGTCACGGTGATGTTGCACATTGGGGAAGAGTGGGATGAGTGAGTGTGGGTGAATGAATTGTGTGAGAGCGTTGAAATCACGCCACTCTCAATGCAATCGTACGTTGTAGTTCATTGAGCTCATCGAGCTCATCGAGTTCATCGGGTTCAAAGCCAAATTCACTGCACTTGCCTTGCCGTAGACGACGGCGTGCTCGCCATGCAGGATGACCTTCCCAGGCGCAGATACAACGAGCTGCATTTCCACACACACACACACAAAAAGGCAGACTGAGTGAGTGAGATTCAGTCTTTTGTTCAACCGATTCACCAATCGATTTGGCGTTTTTTCGCGTGTTGATAGCATTGTGTTGTTGTTTGTTGTTATTGTTGGTGATAGTATTTATCCGCAATGCAGCGGCCGTCGCTCGGTGCTGCTGCTGCTGGGCAAAGTGGAAGTCGCGTCCCTCCATTGACAAAGACGCCTGTTCGTGCTGCGACTGCGACTGCTGTGCCGCCGCCATTGCAGCCCGCCTTCACTTTTAAGACGACAGCAACGACGACTATCGCAGCAGCAGTGCCATTGCCGCCCATGCTCACTGCTGCTCATCCGAGGACGACGTCCACGAAACCGCCTCCATTGCGACCAGTCTCCGCGACGATGGCGACGACAGCAGTGCTACAGCCGCCCATGCTCACTGCTGTCCATCCTAGGACGACGACGCCCATGACTAGTAGCACGAGGCCGCCTCCAGCCGCCTCCGTTGCGCCCAGCCGCCCCAGCAGCCGCTGTGCCCGTCGTACCAAAGCTGTCCGCTCAGCCGCGACCAACAGCACCACAGTGACGCCGCCGCCCGTCTCTACTCTGTCTACTCTGTCTACTCTGTCAATATCCAACTTTCCTGAGCAGTGGCAGCCCGCCCAGGTCTTGCAGTGGCTGCACGTTCTGCTCGACAGCATTGCCCCGATCTCGCATGCGCCAGCAACAGTGCCTCCATTGACTGCTGCGTCCGTGGCTGCTTCAAGTATAGGCAGCGAACATCGCCCGACGACGAGTGCTGCAATGCTCGGGAGTGGTCTGTCACTCACCGTGATCCGCGCGCAGCCAACCGTCATGGTCTCTGCCGCGTTCCGGTCTCGAGCGCAACTGACCGCAGCCCGGCATCTGCTACAGCAAGCACCACTACCTGCGCCATTGACCATTGTTGAGCCCGGCATGTCCGTACCGAGTCGTCCTTCCGTTCCGTCCCTGCAACCAAATAGCGTTCCTCCCAAAACGGCGCCGCGCTTGTCCGCAAAGCCCAATCCTCCCATTGGCAGTGCTCAGGGCAAAGGTGCACAACCAGCCCCGCCTCTTACCAGGAAAGCGGACTTGGCAGGACCAGCATCCCGGCCAGCAGCGGTGCCGTTCGCCTTCTCGATGCCTCCGCCAGCAACGTTTCCACCACCCACACCCGAGATTTTGGCTTCTATTGCCTCTACGCTTCATGCACACCCCGATATTTATATGCAAGTCGTTAATTGGATGATGCTACGCGGGCTTCCGTTTCCGTCGTCGACTCCAGCGGCATCCGCGAGTACCACCACCCAGCCCTCCAACCCGCTTCCTACAATCCCGACAAACGGCAGTGTAGGTGCCGGGTCGGCTCGTAGAAAGACTCATGTCGACGATCCACAGCTGTCGGAAGGCGAATCCGAGCTGGGAAGTGACGACGAGGACGACCCCAGCAAACCCAGCACGTCTTCTGCAGCAGCCCAGATGGATACTAGCACGGCGTCGAGTATTGCTCCTGCTCCCAGGGTGCTTTCAAAGCGGGCCAGAAAACGAATGCGAACCATTACCGGCAAACATCGCGCAAAGACGGCGAAATTGGTAGGGCAACCAATGTGGCAACCTTCCGCTGCTGCTGCTGCTGGTTTGCCGACAGTGTTTCCTGTCGACATCAGCCATGCCAACCACCCGACACGCGCGACAGCCGCCAAGCGAGCCGCGCAGGCCACAATATCCGTGGCGTCCTGCACGCGGAGCGCGACACTCACCAAAAATCAAAAGAGACGTGCTCGACGCAAGGAGGCTACTCGAAAGCGTTGGGCAGTCGATAACGCCTCAGATGAGCCCCCGTCATCTTCGCAACCTGTTCTGTTGGAGGCAGAGCATGCCATGCTCCGCAGCCAACAAATGAATGACGTATCCGCAGCGCAAAGTTCCGGCACTGCTGACCATGTTTTCGACCTGCCAGCTAATGCTGCCGCAGCACCTCCCGTGCAGCGCTCGAAGCGCCGACGGAGTGGACGCAAGAACAAATCTGTGAAAGCAGTCGAAACATCCCGTGCTGCTTCCGCACCAGCAGCGGCAGCCATTCCTCCGTTGAACAAGAAGAATACCTCTCCTGCCGAGGTCAGAGCGAGTACAGCGTCTTCAACGCCAAAGCAACCGAAGCGCTCGAAACGACAGAAGCCGCCGTCAAAGCAACCGGAACAACCGCAGCAGCAGTCGGCTGCCTCCACAAAGCCACCGGTAAACACGCCAGCAAAGACAACAGACTATGCCAGCATCACCCCACTGAGCGACGCCGATCTGCAAGCCAAACGGCTGTCTCCTGATGTGCTTGCCCAGAGCAAGGCCTTTGCCAAGGCCGAGTACCAGCCCGGCAGTCAGTCGTCGCGGCTGTTTATTCGTAACCTGAGCGACCGGACAAGGCTGCGGGATCTGTATGCAGTGTACAATCGCTATCGCGCGGGTTTGACCGGTGCGCCCGAAGCATCTCTTGCCGCGGCGAGTCAGAATGTTCGGATTCAGTTGATCACCGGCGGTCCTTTCAAACACCAGGCGTTCGTAACTCTTGCAAACGAGGCCTGCGCAAGTGTAGCCCTCGAAGAAACGCACGGCGTTGTCATCAAAGGCAAGCCTCTGGTTGTGCACTTTGCCACGTCCGATCGACCGCGAAAAGCGAAAGCCGCCAAAGTTGGTGCACCGTCCGTTATGATGTCGGAAGGGGCCGATTCTTTACCTGGCAGTGAGCCTACTGGTTCCTTCGATGCCACACTGAGTGCAATGGTTGAGTAGACTGTTGAAGCATTCGTCGTGTGGTGAGTTTTGTTCAAGAGCCGACCTGTTTATCGTTCAGCAACAATACACTACCACTTCCAAAATCCCCATTCTCACAAAAATCCAATAGATTCACACGAGCAACATGCTGCCAAATCCAAAAAGTCCTCAACTCAACTCAACTGTAGTCAAAGCTCATTTTTTTTTTTTTTTTTCCCCCTTGTTTTGAAACCGAAACATGGAAGCGCCCGAGTTTCCGCCCGTCGCCGCCGAGAACGACACGGCCATGATGCAAATCATCGACGATGACTATCAGTTCATGTAAGTCTTCAGCTCAACCCAGCTCAGCTCAGCGTAGTGACAGCGCATAAAGTCCAACCATGCTATGCTTGTTTCAAAAGCAAACTGTTTCAATTTCCAATGTGACTTGGCAGCGCGTTGGCGCTTTTTTTTTTTTTTTTTTTTCGTTGCTGTGAATGAGGGCCGACGCTCAGCTCTTCCTTGCTGCTCTCCAACCCACAAACCGGGGACGCTTGTCTTGGTCACTTGAACACGCAACGACGTGCAGCAGCGGCGCTGAACGGGCTGTGGTCTTAACAGGAAACAAAAAAAAAAAAAAAAAAGAAGGAAAAACGAAGAAAGCATACGGTCATTGTCGTTGAGCACAAGCGACCCTTGTGACTGTGACATGGGACACTTTGGACAGATGACTGTTGCAAAAGCGCTGCGCGTTCCAACTCAATGTCAAACCCAAAGGAAGGAGGACGCTGCCAAGCTGAGCCCAGCTTGTCCAAACTCACCGTTTTCCCACTTTCTGTCGTTCTGTCGTTCTTGTACCAGCGAGTCCCTGCCCGCCGCCATGCGCAAGTGGAAGTTTGTCGACCGTGGCTTTGACTTTAACGTGGTCTCGATTCTAGGCAGCCAGAGCTCTGGCAAGAGTAAGTGTCTGAATTTCATATTGAAGAGAGTTTTCGGTCAGCAACTTTTTCACTGTGTGGCCCCCAAGCCAAGACCGGTTTGGAGAGTTTCGTTGGATGATGCTGTCGTCAAACATGCACATACTCATATGCATTGCTTTGCTCTTGTTTTTTTGATGTCGACCTTTTTGGCGCCATCTGCAGGCACGTTGCTGAACTTGCTGTTTGGAACAACATTCCCTGAAATGGATGCGCATATTGGCCGTCAGCAGACAACGCGAGGTGCGCGCAGACGTGTATTCTTCATTTGGATGTGCCTTGGTTGCCGGCTTTGAGTTGCTCATGATAGGATGCTGATCAAACACTTGTGCTGGATGTCGTGTTGTACGCTTTCGTTGATTGCCAGGACTCTGGATTGCCCCCTGCCACGAAGCTGCCGCGCTTGTCATGGATGTCGAAGGCACTGACAGCAAGGAGCGCGGCGAACTTCACATGAACTTTGAGCGAAAGAGCGCACTGTTCTCGCTGGCGCTGTCAGAGGTGCTGATGGTCAACATGTGGTCGAACGATGTTGGTCGGTACCAGGCCTCAAACTATGGCCTGCTCAAGAACGTGCTGGACTTGCACTTGCAGCTCTTCCAAGAAGAAGGGTCAGGGAACTTGTTGTTGCTTTTTGTTGTTGTTTGGCGTTGTTTTCGTTTTGTGCTTTCAGTGCCGCGCTTTTTCCTCGTGCTGTATATGCTCATGCTCGTTTGTGTTGCAGGTGCCGCACACTTCTGCTCTTTGTTTTGCGCGATCATTCCAAGAGGATGACCACCGCAGAGCTGTTGACCGGCAGCCTTCGCAAGGATATGGAGAACATCTGGAGCGACCTTGTGAAGGCAAGTAGAACACACTTTTGACTCAGCCATGCCCAAAACTCGAGTGCTTCTCTGACATCTTTGGTCCCGTGCGGTTGCTCTCAAACTTCAATTGTCAGCCGGAAAAGTTCAAAAACTCCTCAGTGACGGACTTTTTCGACCTCGAGTTTGCAGTTTTGCCCCACAAGGAGTATGCAGAAGATGAGTTTCTGCAGTGCGTCGGAGACTTGCGAAAGCGGTATGTTCCGTTGGCAGTTGTGAATGTGAAAGTGACCTTGTCGCTGCTTCGTCTTATCGCGCTGGTTTGTTGTTGCTCATTCCACTTTGTATTTGCACTTCCCCTCCATTCAGCTTTGAAGACAAGTCCGGGGAAGGCATCTTCAAGCGAGACTACAAGAAGAACATTCCCGCTGACGGCTTCAACGCCTATGCTTCCAAGATTTGGGTGGGTTTTTTTGATCATGGCACAGTGATGTTTCGGTGCACCTTATGAGTTTGTATGGGTCTCACGTTGAGCGACTTGTTTGATAGGAAACCATCATGAGCAACAAAGATGTCGACATTCCGACGCAAAAGGAAATGCTGGCAACTTACCGCTGCGAGGAAATCTCTGACGAAGTCTATCAACCCGTTGGTGAACAGTTTGCTGTTTGGCGAGCTGCTGTGGCAAGCGGGCAGCTGGTGCCAAACTTTGGCAAGCGCGCCCAAGAGCTCATTGACGGCGCGCTGGGTATGTTGTCAATGATGCTTGTATTTTGTATTTTGTATGTTTATTTTGCGGAGCCCATCTTTGCCCGTGTCCTGACATGGTGTTTCGCTTGGAGCAGCCAAGTACGACAGTCCCGCTTCGCGTTATGTTGCGCAAGTCCGCAACAAGAAGCGTCACATGCTCGAGTCCCGCATGATGACAGATGCGTCGAGTCTTTACCAAATTCAACTCGACAGTCTGAGCACCTCGACCACGGCAGAGTTCAAGCGCCAGATGAAGGTACGTGCCAACAGATTTGCTGGAGAATCATTTCCCCCCCCCCTTGAATTTGTGCTCACAAAGTCGTTTCATTGCATCTACAGGCTTTCTCTTCTCTTTCGGCTCTCGACGCTGCCCAGCAGTTTGGCCGTGCCGTGACCAGCGTTCGCGATCAATGTCTGAGCACGTTTGCCGAGAAGGCTGCGGAGGCCCGAATGCCTGCTGCTTCCTGGTCATTCGATGACGCTCAGGCCTCGCTTTCGACAATGTTGAACGATGAGGTTGCCGCTCTTCGTTCCACGACCGTCAAGCTCATGACTGAAGGCTTCAAGGTGCGGTTGGAGAGAATTTTGATGGTTTGATTGGAGCAATCGAGCGCTTTGTTGACGGGCGCATTTCTTTCGATGTCGAACAGGATGTCCTCGCTGAATCTTTGGGCGAGCTTGTTGCCGAGCAAATCAACCGCTCTGGCGACGGCATGTGGGATGTCATCCGATCTGCGCTTGAAGAAAACGTGCAAAACGCCTGCTCTACCGTGCTGAGCAAGTGCGCACATGGTAAAATTCCGTTTGCCAATTACGATGAATTGGCGCGTCTCGATCTCTAGTGTGTGTGAGAATTGCTCATTGTTTCGTATTGCAACTAGGATTGGATGCGTCTGACCAAGAAATTTCAGATTGGACGAATGCTGTTCGTGCCGCTGCTGTCGGTTGTGTCAAGGAGAAGATGACCGAATCGATTCGATTCCTTCCGCTTAAAATGGTCAAACGGTAGGAACAGCACATCAACGCAACGCGCTCTGACTTTGTTCATGTTTGTCACCCAGTCCTCACTTGTTGTTGTTGTTGTTGTTGTTGTTGTTGTTGTTGTTGTTGTTGTTGTTGTTGTTGTTGTTGTTGTTGTTGTTGTTGTTGTTGTTGTTGTTGTTGTTGTTGTTGTTGTTGTTGTTGTTGTTGTTGCTGTTGTTGTTGTTGTGATAGGTTTGAAAGCACCTTCAAATTTGATGCCAACAGAATCCCTCGCGTGTGGACGGCTGATACGGATGTGACAGCGCTCTTCATGGAGGCTCGCAAGCAGGGCGAGACTTTGCTGGAGTTGTACTCCCATTTGCGCCTGTCCGACGACTTTGCAGCAGATCCTGCAGCAGTCATTCTCGCTGCCTCGCGCGTTGCCGATATCAAGGATCAGTACGAATCAGACATCCAGCCGATCTTCAAGGAAACGCTGGAAATCCAACGTGTGAGTTGGAAGAATTGGCAAACAAGAAGCAGGACAGAAAATTCTCATTGTTGCTTTTTTTTTTGGGTTGACTGACATTCTGTTTTCTGCTTTGACCTTGACAGCGCAACAACGCCGAATTCCGCATCCCCCTCTGGGTTTACCCAGTCATTCTGTTCTTGGGCTTCAACGAGCTGATTCTTGTTCTGACGTCTCCGCTCCTCCTCATCTCGTGCCTGCTCCTGGGAGTGGTTGTTGCCGCAGTCCACATCAGTGGACAGCAAAACGCTGTGGGCTTTGTCGTCAAGACCTTGCTGCAACAGCTCCAGCAGCTGGTTGGAAATATGGCTGGTGGAGCCAACGCGGAAGGTGGCGCCCCCCGTCGTTCCATGAGTTCGGCCGCGGACGGCAAAGAGAAGCGTATGTCGCATGCTTTTGGCTTTGATCTTTGATGTGTCTTTTTCGAAAAAAATGCTGACTGCCCCGCTTTTTGGTTGTTGCTCTTTCACTACACACAGTGCACTAAACCTGACGACTCTTTGTTCGCTTCTCGCTCTGTTGACTGGCATGGCACGTTTGAATATGTGGTTGAATGCGAAGTATATAAACAAATTTTTGCACACGGAGCAAACACCATCTTTAGAGAAGAGCGACAACAACACCAACGGTGTTGACAACAACGACAAGAACAACGACAAGAACAACAAAATTTTTACAAACAACTAGATCAAGAGAGGACAAAACTCCATCAAAACAGACACAACGGACAAAACAAAACAGAAATGGCCACAGGCCGAAACGCGCCGAGCCAGGTCGTCAACCACTCGCTCACACATTGTCATACTCGGACGTGGCAGGCTGTGGCACATTGTCATACTCGGACGTAGCAGGCTGTTCGGCACGCACTGGCACATTGTCATACTCAGACGAGGCTGGCTGTGCGCCAAGCGGTTGCACGTCGTCATAGTCAGACGAGGCTGGCTGCACATTGGCATCAGTGGAAGGAGCATACGCCGGTGGGGCGGCTTCGTCCAGGCCTGCTTCTTGCAGCTTGGCAGCCACAATGGCTTCCATATCGCCGGTAGTACGCGCGTTGTCATACTGGCCCGCAGAGGGGTTGTCAGACATGTTGCCATACTGATTCGCCTGCGTCGCTCGGGAGCCCGAGCCAGAGTCCGCGGACGAATGGTCTATGGCGGCGTAGGCCAAGTTTGCTGGGCCGTTGGCAGAGTCGTACGTGGGCTCGGCGGGGGCGGCTGTGACGCGCTGGTACTCGTTGCGCACGTTGTCCAAGTTGTCGTAAGCACCTTCAGGATTGTTCAGACTGTCATAAGTGCCCTGGGGCTTGTTCAACGCTTCGTAGCCTGCTTCAGCGTAAACCGGATTGGCGAAAACATCTTCGTACACACCCGCTGAGGAATGCGGTCGATGAAGCGCGTCGTATGCTTCTCCGGCATTGGCTCGCTGAAGAGCGTCGTAGCCTCCAGCATCCGAGGAAAGACCGTGGAGCGGGTTGAGCTCAACGAGGCCAACACCATTCACGAATTCGGCCTGCTGCACCTGCTGCTGCTTGCGATAGGATCGCCTGCGGCGGGCCACCACGAGCAAGATCAGAAGCAGCAACAAAAGAACAACTGCAATTGGCACGGCAGTGGCGGTAGCAATGACGGCGGCATTCGTGGTTGACGTTTGATCTGGCTCGTTGTCAACGATAACAATCGCCATGGCGCGAGTGGTGCCGAGACGAGCGCCGCCACCAGGAGAGACAAGGCGAATAAACACAAATCGGTTGCCGTCGGAAACGGTGTTGTCGTAGATGGGAAGGACAATCTCAGTTGTGTTTTGGCCTTCCTCCATGACCAGTTCATAAGGCGTGGCATTGAGGTCGCTAATGAGATCGGCAGGCTGCCGGGGAATATAGGCACCGAGCAAGGGCGCGAAATCAGCACTCGAGGTTCTGTTCACCGTCAGCTCGAACGTCATGTTGACACGACCAAACGTGCCAATCTCACGCCAAACAGGCAGACGGACTTCGCCTTGATTCTCGCGCACCACCATAACGAGAGGGTTGGAGTCGGAGGAAGGAGCAAACTCGAGCACACCGTTGCCGTCGTCGCTGGGTAGAATGGTGACGGTTGCAATCGACGCCCAAGAGAGCTGCGCTCCCGTAACGTTCACAAGCGTCACCGAGAAAGTCTCAGCGGGCTCGGGAAGTCCATCGACAGCCACTCGGATGTCGAACGGCATGCTGATATGCGAGGCGAGCAAAACGTGCGTGTTGTTCTCATTTGAAGCGTCAAAGTCGTGGCCGGAAGCAGTGATCGGGACGGCATCCGTCTGGAACGTGACGTCGGACCCGGGGTCAGCTAGTCGTTGCACTTGAAGTGTCACTTTGCCATCGCTTTCGTCCACGGAAACGTCAGTCTCGATAAACCTCAGCACACCGTTCGTCAAGTCCTCGGCGTCAATCACGCACGGAATGGTAGAGTCCAACGCTGTCGCGGCAAGGAGGGTGACAGCCTCTTGACCGGCGCTTTCGCCGTTCGCGGTCAGCTCCAGCCGGAAAAACTTGACCGGCTCCTGCAAAATAGTGTCAGCCTTCACAGACCACGAAACGGTGGCTACAGCCTGTCCAGGAAGGAATGTAACAGTCCGAGGAGAGTCGTCGGTAAAGTCGCTGGAGGTCGTGGTTTCGTGGACCAGCGTGACGACGCCAGAGACCTTACGGAAGGTGCCCCAAACACGCAAAACAGTGACAGTCACAAACTGGCTCTCCTGGACCAGCAGACGGCGTTCGCCAGTCCAGCCCAAGATCAGCGGTGAGCGAGCAAAGCCCAGCTGCCCGTATGGGTGGTCGTTGCGGTTGATGCAAATGTCGGTAAAGTTGTTGGCGGGGTCGATACGCGCGCCACCGGTGACAGATACGAGCTGCACGTAAAGGAACTCGTCCATCTCTGGCACAAAGTCATCGAGGAGAGTCACGCGGATTTGTACGCTGCTCACGCCGGCGGGGATGGTGACGGTTTGACCCGTCACGGCGACATAGTCCCTTTGGGCTGCACTGGCCCAGTTCTCAGGCAACAAAGTGGCATTGTTGAACTTGCCGTCGTGTGTCGACCAGGTGAAGGAGATGGAGCCAAACAGACCTGCGGAGCGGACAACCTCCACAAGCACAGTGTTGTTCGGCTGACCGACACTGTTGACGATGGGGGATTCTTCGCTGCACGTGTAGATGCGGGAGACGGACAAGACGCCGCGAGCATCGTCGTTCTCGGGAATGGTGACGAGAACCAGTCCCTTGGTTGAGTCAACACGGCCCAAGCCCGACACAAATTCGAGTTGCACGCCAAACATTTCAGCCAGTTCGGGGATGCCGTCAGCAATCGCGTTGATGGAGATTTGCATCACACTATCGCCCTCTCCAAAGGTGACGAGTTGATTGAGGGCAGAGTAGTCGGTCGAAGATGCGATTGCGACACCACCCGTCTGGTTGGAGTTGAGCGTAATGGCGCGGACGCGAACAGCCCCGCTGCCAAACGTTCCACGCTGACGCCTCAGGTTGATGAGAATGGCGGTGCCCTCTTGGACGGACTGGGTGAGGAAGTCGAAGCCATAGACGCCGTGGGGGTCGTCATGGGGGTTGATGGTGACGAGCGAGGTGGCATAGTAGCCAGGAACGGGCGCAAATCCAGTTCCAACCATCTTGGCCTGAGTAATGGTGTACGTATAGAGCGCAGCGAGCGACGGCACGGTCGACAGTGGCAGGGGGATGTTGATAGTCGCGTTCAACTTGTTTGCAGGGATGATCAAGGTAAAGTTCTTGACATCTGGAACAGTGCGGGAGATGGTCACATTGACGGCCTGAGACAGGTTGGAGTACGAGTAGCGCTCGACAACGAGGGGATAGCTGCCAGCGGTAATGTTGACGCTAAAAGCACGCGAAGCCGGGACGTAGCGAACAAGACCGTTGGGGTTGTCGTTGGCATCAATCACAACGGTGGACGTGTTGAATGGACCAATGCCCAAATGCAAGGGGTCGCGCAGCCGAACAAAAATGCTTTCGACATTCTCAGGAAGGTTGTCGCCAACGATGGTGATGGAAATGTTGTGGGCGGTGTCTCCATTGTTGAAGACGAGCGGGGAGGCTGTTTCGACAATGTAATCAATGCCTGCGAGCGCGTCGGTCGGAATGACGTCGAAATAGACCAACGAGCCATCACGGTTGGAGTTGGCGTTCACGAGCAGATGGAGGGTAGTGTTGGTGCTATTCGAGCCTTCTTCAAAGAGAATAAAGCGCGAGTCAACATCGAACGAGGCAGTGTTGTTGACAATGCATGTAAAGCCATCACCCAAATAGCCGATTTGGCAGGTGCAAGTGAAGGTGCCGGGGAAGTTGGCGCAGTCAGCAAACTGGGCGCAAGGCGTAGCGGCGCATTCGTCAATGTCCGTGCACACAGTGCCATCGCCCGAGAATCCGGGGAAGCACGCGCACTCAAAGCTGCCAATGGTGTTGGTGCAGGTGGCATTGCCGTCGCAGTTGTCCAAGCCTTCTTGGCATTCGTCAATCTCCAGGCAGGTTTTGCCGTCTGGTTGAAGACGCCAGCCAGGCTGGCATGTGCAGTAGTACGATCCAGGCGTATTGTTGCAATTGTGGCCACAGTCGCCATTGTTTGTCGAGCACTCGTTAATGTCCGTGCAGCCGGTCGGGCCGCGACCAGCGTTGCTGATGCTGTAGCCAGCAAGGCAAGAGCAAGAATAGTCACCGGCGGTGTTTGTGCAGGTTTGAGCGCACTGGTTGCCGCCGCCGGGAGCGCATTCGTCAATGTCATTGCACGTGAGCGTCGAGCTCCAGCTCCAGGTTTCGTCGTTTTGGCACGTCGTGGTAGCAGAGCCACCAGAAAAGCCAGACTTGCACGAATACTGACAGGTGCAGCCGTACGTTGTGCAGACACAGGTGCTGCCGACGGCCACAGAGTTGGCAGGAGGCGTGGCGAACGAGTTGCAGTTCTTCTTGACGTCGCAATTGGTGCTCTTCCAGCCAGTGCAGCAGCTCTTGACGCCACCCGTTTGGCACGTGTAGCACGCAGAGGGAGAGTTTGTATCCACACAGTACACGCATTGGAAGCCGGCTTGTCCCGACGTGCCAACTGGCCAGTAGTTTGACTGGCAAGTGCCGCAGTCCTTGTCCTGGTAACCAACGGCGCAAGTGCAAGCGCCACTCACAGCATTGCAGACAGTACAGGCAGGGGGATTGCCGACTTGGCAAAACTCAGCACACGTGGGATTGTAGTAGTTGGCATCGCAATTGGCGCGGAAGGCGACGTAGATGTTTTGCACTGGAAACTCCCCACTAGCAGTTCCTCCCAAATCGTACCATGTTGAAGAGGAGACCGATCCATAATCAGTGTTGGTGTTCATGGGTACTGTGAAGGTCCTTGAGCCCATATCATCGTTCGCATTCCAAGGGTCGTAGTCCTCACAATCAAACCACCAGACGATCTGGCCACCAAAGGTGTTGACGACCACGTTGTTGTAGTAATACGTGTTCCAATTCGGAGTGGTGGTGTCGTCTATCTCCCCGAGTGACTTGGAAACTGTGGAGGCACCCGAGAATTGTGCCGACGAACTGCATAGAGTATCACCTGTGACGAGCACGAAGAAAAAAAAAAAAAAAAAAAAAAAGTCAGCTCGAGTTGTGTTGAGAAACAAAGGGAAGACGAAAAAAACAAAAAGGGCCCGTCAAAGGAACCAAACTCTGGCGTAAAAACCTCTCGAGAGGCATTATCCTTGAGTGTCGAGTCAGATGACGCGCCGACCAGAGAGCAAGAAAGGATTTAAAATTGCAATTCCCACCACCAAGAATACTCACAAGCGCCGTCGCCGGATCCACAGTCACCAGGCACTCTCATGCCTTTGAGATACGCCGTGCATGTCGCACGATATTGAGCTGCGCTGGCTGGCTGGTAGCAACAAGCCAGGAGTGCGACAAGTGCGCACAGGACTGAAATTCGTGGGTTCATCGTTGACCGCAAACAAACGCAGAACGCCGAATGCAGAAACCACTTGAGAGACCACGGCGCGCGACGAAGACCAGTTGCACGAAAACCCACAATGTTTCAACAAAAACAGAGCAGACCCGGGTTTGAAGGAGGGGGTACTGTTGCTTGTCCAAAGTGAAAACGAGCAAAAACGAAGAACCTGAAAAAAAAAAAACCACAAACAAAAAAAAAAAAAAAACCGAAAAAAAAACCACCGTTAATAAACAAAATAAAAAAAAAAACCGAAAAAAAGGAGACTGGATTCCCATCGCAAAATAGATCAATGGTGAAAATGATCGCACGGCTGTGTTCAGGAATTGCAATGCTACATCCACCAATCCATCCCATAGAAACCCACTTTGCGGGTACGGGGATGCGAGAACAGGATGGGCGAGACGAAAAAACAAACAAAAAAATACCCAAAAAAACAATGGGACGCAATAATCATGATTCAAAATAGTGCTTCTCGTGGCGCGTCGAGAGGAGGCCAGAGATCGCCGCACAAAACCACTTCCGCTGAGCGGCACACAGCCGCCATCTCCAGTCACGTACACCCTTCGTTCAATGGTCAGAGGCCGGTCGCTGGCGATTTACGCGATGAGTTGTGTACCCGCAAACACCAAAACAAAAAAAACCAACCAAAAAAAAAAAAAAAGAAAAGAAAAAAAAAGCCGTTGTTTTTCGGTTTTGCCGTAGATCACTCGCAATCACACGCGCCCTGCACGCAACACTACGTCCTCAACCTCGTCATTTGATAACAACCAGCTGCGAAATGCAGGACGGGGGCATTCGGATCCTCACCAGAATCGCAGAATCGCACAATGGCGGAGAGAAACGAGACCAGTAAAAAAAAAACCAAAAACACAAAAACAAAAGGAGAACCAAATCAAAAAACACAAAGGAAGAATGAGCAAGGGGATTGGCAGCATGTGGTTAGAAAGAGATCTCATGACGCACAACCAAAGCCGTTCCCAGCAGAGGAGTGGTTGGCAAAGAAGCAGAAGCGAAAGATCTGACAATGCTGCTGTTTCTGACGGATGAGTAATTGGGGCGAAATGAGGCGAAATGAGACAGCGATTGAAAATGGAAAAAAACAACCCCCAACGCAGGAAAACTGTCACATTCGATGGTCCCACCTGTCAATTGCTCGCCTTGCAGATCAACGGCGACACACATCGTACCAAGAGAACGACGAATAGAATCGCTTGCCCATGTTTTCACCATGGAAGACGCGTCAACGGCCGAGCAGTTACCCTCTGAGGCTTGCAAAGTGGTCCCAACTTCAGGACATTGCCCCACATTCCTCGCACCACCAATTGTGCACAAGCTGCGAGTTCCAAATCAAAGCAGGAGTCAAGCAACGCGCAGTTGATAGTGGTGGCGTGTTATTTGTTTCAAATTGCCCCCCCCCCTTTCGTTGTAATCTCCGGCATTGTAATCTTTGAACGGTAATGAAAGAAGGGGGGCGCCACAGTAATCACGTTTTTGTGGTTTCCTCCATCTGGCGTGACACTAACGTCGCCGACCGCCGCCCCTCGCTTTTGTCTCCCAAGTTGTGACCCGCATTGAACCCACCATTGATTGCGCATTCCGACTTTTCACGGGGGAAAACGCTCTTGTGCCCATTGCATGAAGAAGCAGCATGAAGCGTGTCGCAAAATGCAAACCTTCAAGATTAAAAACCGCCGTATGGAGGTTTTTTATTATCATTTTTTTTTTTCAACCGAGCGAACAACACGGCACTTGTTCCTTGCGCCATCATCCCTTCAAGCAAGTCAAAAACACACCAAGTCGTTCCCCCCTTCTCTCTCGATTGCTTTGTTGAGCACAACACTGGCCCTCTGTTTTGAAAATTTGTGTTTAATTTTCAGGTTGTGTCCGCCTTTGTTTTGATTTTGGTGTTTTCCCAGGATCATGTTCACATCCCTCTCCCCGTGTGAGAATGAAGGCACTTATATGCCTTGGTGGAGCGTATCGATTCCAAACCTGCACAACATTGAAGCGCCACATTTGGGGGAGATGAATGACAGGGCGGGGGAAAACAAGAGGAATCGGGTGGTGGCGCCAAGCGTGTGTCGCTCGCGCTTCATTATTCCCGATTGGTCCCCGATTGGTCCCAGAGCCAGAGCGGGACATTTTGGGCAAAATTTGACGCTCAGGGCAAAGTGGCACTAAAGGCCATCCTCCAGCCTCTGCATCCCTTGATTCGGAATACGTCACGGGGACGATGTTCATTCGGACAGCTTCTTTGGTGGAACAAAAAAAAACCAAAAAAAAAAACCCAACCAACCCCGCAAAGCTCAGAGAGCTCGAAGTCGGAGAGCTCGAAGTCGGCTATTGAACAACGCTACAACCTCATTCATCCACGGTTGCGAGAGCAAAGAACGCTCGCCATGGCCGAAGGCTGGAAGTGCAGACACTCGACCGACAGACTCGCAGAATTCCCAGTCACGTTCTCCTCGACGCCAGGCGCTTCGTTCAGCAGACGACGTGACTTTCGGGTATTGGAGCAATTCTGCGACCTTTGTCGAGTCTGACGCCGACTTGGAGACCCAGAATGCATCGATAACTGGTGCGACTCGGAGCTCCGTTCGTGTTTTGTTTTTTGGCTGTTTCGGCCAGTTATGCTGTCTCATTTTCCGAGCAGAAAATAGGCTGTTTTTGTCCCCCTGCACACTGAGATTGCACGCGTTCAGTAGTGATTCAGGTGATGATTGTCAATCTACTGGATCTCCTGCACAACCTCCCTGGCGCGTCCATGTCTCTTTTCACTTTTTGCTCGCCGTCGATGGCCATCAAAACCGACAGCACAAATCGACAAAGTCTCAGTCCATTTTTATTTTATTTTGTCTTTTATAACTTGCTGTTCGAGCTCGTCCAAAATGCCATCCTACCAGAGCATGACTCGGAGACAGCGCGAGTGGTATGACCGAGTCAAGAATGTGAGCGGATGGCTCCAGTAAGAACACCTCAAGTTGAGTGGAACACTGTGACAGCGCGTGTACTAACGACTATGCGGACAGACTGGACAACCAGGATATTCACTGTGATGATGCCGAGGCAATTGTTGAAGCGCTCAGAGTCAACAAGAGCGTGACTGCGGTCATGTAAGTTATCTCGGTTTGCGTGATGCCTGTGGGTGATTTCAGCAAAGGCATTCACAGGGGCTCACTTATCGATTGAATGGACAGTCTGTATCATAATTGGATTCGCGCTGTTGGAGCGCAATCAATTGCTGAATTTCTCAAAGAGGACACGACGCTGACTTATTTCAGGTATGGCAACTTACTTTGCCTCCAGCACATGAGTGGGTGGCTTCAGCAAAAAAAGGCATTCAGAGAGCTCACTGTTGGAGGGGACGGACAGTCTGTGGAGCAACCAGATTGGCGATGTTGGTGCGCAGGCGATTGCGGAGGCACTCAAAGTGAGCAAAACGCGCGCTGCGCTCGAGTAAGGCTTCTTAGATTTGCTGATCCCATGTGAGTGGGTAATTCAGCACGGGATGGTGGGATTGCTCACCGTTGGAGATGGACAGTCTGCACGGGAACAGCATTGGCGATGCTGGAGCGCACGCGATTGCTGAGGCACTCAAGGTGAACACGACGCTGACCAATTTAGAGTAAGACATATAGCCTTTGCTGATGCGTGTGAGTGGTGCGCAATATCAGCAAAGGGCGTTCAGAGTGGCTCACTGATGAACGGGATGGACAGTCTGGCCGACAACCAGATTGGCGACGCCGGAGCACTGGCGATTGCAGACGCACTCAAAGTGAACACAACGCTGATCGGCCTCGGGTAACACATGGGTTGTTTCATGATGCTTTGGCTGGCTGTCGTTAGACTCATGGGAAACAAATCTGACGACGTATACCACGACAACAGTTTGACTGGTAACTTTTTCACCGATGTCGGAGTCACTGCCGTCACGCAAACTGGCAATACCACCTGTAGATTTCGGTAAGACTCTGCATGCTTGTGCTAGGCTTGTTGGATTCTTGCACGAATCCAACCCGAGCAACGCACCATTCACTTGTGTTGGTGAAATAGGGATCCATGCCGTCTGGAGGCGGGTCTCGAACGCCAGCGTGTTCCATCGGCTGCCGAGTTGGCTCAGATTGCAGCTCGTGCCGCAGCAAACGCTCAGCCGCTCAATCTTGCAACTGAAGTCGATCAGTTGCGGTTTTGGTTCGCCGCCAAAGACCAGACAATCGCTGCCAAAGAGCAGGAGCTCGCTGGCAAGAACGAGGAGATTGCGGCCAAAGAGCAGAAGCTCGCTGCCAAGGACCAAGAGCTCAAGTCAGCTCTGGATCGGATTGCCTTGCTTGAACGCAATCAGCCCACCGTTGGATCCACATTGAGCTTTGAAGGTCCCATCCCGCAAGTCCCTCTCGCAACTCTGGTCACCGCCACGAACAATTTTGCTGCTGATTCTCTGCTCGGGGAAGGAGCATTTGGTCGTGTGCACGGCGCCAGCTTGCCTGGCCCTCGGGTTGCCATCAAAAAGCTGTCGGCGGCATCCCCTGCGGAATTCAAGTCGGAACTGGACTCGTTGTCGAAATTCCGCCACCCCAACATCATTACCATCCTCTCTTATGCAGAGGAAGGCGACACGCGCTGTCTGGTCTACGAATTCATGCCAAACGGTGCGGTTCGCGATCGCTTGAATCGCACAAACGACACTCCTTCGCTGACCTGGTCTCAGCGCCATCGCATTGCTGCTGATGTCGCCCGCGGCATGCACTACGTCCAGACAGCCTTCCCTGATCACGCACTGTTCCACCTCGACCTCAAGACGGACAATGTTCTTCTGGACGCGTACTTTAACGCAAAGGTGTCCGATTTTGGTCTTGTTCGTGCTGCCCAGCATCTCGATGAGAAGAGCTACATCCGCACTGACAACGTGCAAGGCTCAGCTCCTTACATGTGTCCCGAGTTCTTTGAGGAAGGCCGCATGACCATCAAGACGGATGTCTACGCCTTTGGCATGATTCTGCTGGAATTGGTGACGGCCGAGAAACCTGGCACCAAGCTGAAATCAAAGGCGCGAAAAGCCGCCAAGAGCCAAAAGCCCCTTGAAATGCTAGACTCGACTCTCAAGCCAGCCCAAGCAGAGCTCCAGAGCGTCTGCAAGGTTGTCACTCTTGCCCTCGAGTGTCTTGAGGAATCTGCCGATGAGCGCCCAGCTTTTGGCTGCCTCCTTGTTTCGTTGGATTCTTGATGACAAAAGCGGGAATTGGTGTGTATTGGTGTTCAAGTGTAATGTTGCAGATCAATGTTTGTAGATCATGTTCAAAGTCAATGGTTTTTTCTGGATGGTCGAAGCAAAACTATTCGCTTTTTGGCCGACTGTGACAAAAGACAAATTCGCTCCTCGTAATAGATTGACCTCAAGCAATACATCAGCTCTCTTTGATCTGTGATAGCAAGCCAAACCGAATCTAATCCTCGCGCAGTCCTCGTCTCTCTCTCTTGGAAACTTTGAGTAACTGACATCTGATGCTTTTGCTTTTGGTCGGAGTCATCATCAACAGTCCCACATGCACCTTCCTTTGGTTGCTTCGTTCGCTTTGTTGACTGCCTCGAGGCAGCTGTTTGTGCTGTCACTGCATTTGCCACTTTCCTCAAAGAGGGACGGGAGGGAGGTGGGAGGTGGAGGATGAGAGCGCGCTTGGCCAGCTGAAGCGGCGCTTCGCCCTCGTGCTCACTCCGTTCAATGAGATTGACTTCTCCGTGCTCACTTTTGGACTGCCTGTTTTGATCGGTGTTTGAAACCCACCAAACACTCAACTCTGACAGTGTCTTCATCGTCCTCGCTCACCGTCCTCGTGCTCGGCAGTGGCGGCCGTGAGCACGCTCTTGCCCACACTCTGGCACGCTCTGCCCGCGTCGCTCACGTCTACGTCGCCCCAGGTAACTGCCGCGCACCCCTTCCTTTCCTTTTAGTTTCGTTCGTTCGTTCGTTCGTTTGCCTTGCTTGCTTTCTCGTTCCTTTGGCGATGTGGTGGTGCTGTGGTGCTGCTGTGGCTTTTCCGTTTGGTTTGGCAAAGATGAACGGCCCGCTGGGTCCACATCCGCCTCCCCTTCTCCTTCCTTTTTTTTCTTTGTGTACTTTCAGTTGCTGTTCGTCTTTCCCACCGTCTAGGCTTGTTTCGTGGATGTTCGGTCATCTCTCGCTCAGCATCTTGCATGCATTCGCGCTGCGACGCTCTCTCTCTGCGATACCCAAAGTGAGCGGCAACAAATCAAAGGGGATTGGAAAACAGGGGTGCTGTGGCCATGTTTTGATTTCGCCCAAACGCCACCGTGGCCCTGACTGCCGCGCGAGCAATCTCACGACTGACAAAACGACAGCGTTATAGGCTTGGTTGATGACGGAGGGACGGCGAGTTGGAGAAGGTCGAGACTTTGGGGGAGGGGATGACGCTCTTCAGTCCGTTTCGGCTTTTGCCACATGTGTGTGTGTGTTTGTGTGTGTCTGTCTCGTCATTGAAAATCCGTGTGTGTGTGTGTGTGTGTGTCTGTCTCGTCATTGAAAATCCAAAGCCGCTCGCTTGGTTGTGGCTCCAACATCTCACCTCTTCTTCATTTGCTGCACAATTGTTCATGTTCATAGGCAATGGCGGCACGGCGTCCGGCAACACTCGCATCTCCAACCTGGCGGTGCCAGACAACGACTTCCCCCGGTTGATTGCCGCCGCTCGCGAGCACAATGTTAACTTTGTCGTCGTCGGGCCCGAGCAGCCCCTTGTCGATGGTGCCGTCGAAGCTTTCAGAGCCGGTATGTCGTTTTTTGATTTTTGGAAAGCAGCAGCAGGCAGTGTTCTAACTGTGTGTGGGGTGGCTGCGTGCAAACAGCCGGCATCCGCGCATTCGGTCCTTCTGCTCGCGCTGCTCGTCTTGAGGCGTCCAAGGCCTACTCGAAGGCTTTCATGAAGCGCCACAACATTCCCACTGCTGCTTTTGAGGTGAGCATCATTTCGCTCGATCATGTACATGTTCCGTTGGGCTGATTTTTTTCTTTGTTCGTTCACAATGCCGTGCAGACCTTTACCGACGTTGCTGCAGCTGAGGCATACATTCGCTCTGTGAAGCATGACGTCGTTATTAAGGTGAGTTTCTCTTCAGATTCCTCTCGCGTTCGTTTTTTTTTTTTTTTGAAAACTCTTCGTCTTTTTTTGTCCCGACTCACTGTTACCAACTCAATTTCCAACCAAACTAGGCTTCTGGTCTTGCAGCTGGCAAGGGCGTGGTGCTCCCGACAACCAAGGACGAGGCTATCGCTTCAGTGCGTCAAATGATGGTGGACAACATTTTCGGTGCTGCGGGCGCTGAGGTTGTCATTGAGGAGCGCATGACTGGCCCAGAGGCCAGCGTGTTTGCGCTGACCGACGGCTATTCCTTCACCCTGCTTCCTGCCATTCAAGACCACAAGCGAATTTTCGACAACGACGAGGTGAGGCTTTTTTTGTTTTGTTTTTGTTTGTTTGTTTTTCATTTCGGATTGATCTCGTTCTCCTCCAAACGAATGTCTCTCAATTATTTCGCTCCGTTCGCTCCGTTCGACTTTACAGGGTCCCAACACGGGTGGCATGGGCGCATTCTCGCCCCTTCCTTTCCTGACCCCGGCCCTTCTCGACACCATTTCGCGCAAAATTATCAAGCCAACCATCGACGGCATGCGTCGCGAAGGTTGGTTCGCTTTCATTTGAAGACGGCAAATTCGCGTTTGTTTTGCCATCTTCCTTTGTCCCCCTTCTATTTTGCTGACGATCATGGTTTGTTTTCATCGTGTATTGTAGGCTCCCCGTACGTCGGTCTGCTGTACGCTGGTGTCATGCTCACCCCGGAAGGACCCAAGACGCTCGAGTACAACTGTCGTTTCGGTGACCCCGAGACACAGGCGGTGCTTTCCTTGATTGATCCTTCGCACGGTGTCGATCTGATCGACCTGTTCGAAGCGTGTGTCGACGGTCATTTGGACTCTGTTCAGCTGTCGATCAAGGCTGGCTCGGCCGTTACGATCGTCGTCGCATCGAAGGGCTACCCCGGCGCCTACGAAAAGGGTCTGCCCATTTCCCTTCCGGCACCAGAAGCCATGCCTGCCGATGTGCACATCTTCCACGCGGGCACTCAGCAGTCGGCTGGCAAGCTCGTCACCTCTGGTGGCCGTGTTCTTGCTGTGACCGCCGTTGCCCCCACCCTCCACGAAGCGCTTGCGCGAGCTTACACTGTTGTCGACCAGGTCAAGTTTGAGGGCAAGCAGCACCGCACCGACATTGCCAAAAAGTTTGCCGTCCCTCATACCGCCGACGCCAAGGCTGCAGTAAGCTACGCCGACGCCGGCGTTGACATTGCCGCAGGCGACGAGCTCGTCGAGCGCATCAAGTCCAAGTGCAAGACGACCCGACGACCCGGCTGCGACGCCGAGCTCGGTGGCTTTGGCGGCCTGTTCGACCTCAAGCCCCTCGGCCTCACCGACCCCATTATGGTGTCGTCGACCGATGGTGTCGGCACGAAGCTGCGCGTTGCTCAGACCATTAACTTGCACGACACTGTCGGCATCGATCTTGTGGCCATGTGCGTGAATGACCTGATCGTTCAAGGCGCAGAGCCGCTCTTCTTCCTCGACTACTTTGCCACTGGCAAGCTTGATGTTGATATCGCCGAGCTCGTCGTCGAGGGTATCGCCGAAGGCTGTCGCCAAGCCGGCTGCGGCCTGATTGGCGGCGAGACCGCCGAGATGCCCAGCATGTACGCTCCTGGCCACTACGACTTGGCTGGCTTCACTGTGGGCGCTGTCAACCGTGATGCTCTCCTGCCTGCGGCCGACCTCGGAGCGGGAGACGTGCTCATTGCGATCGCCTCGTCTGGTTTGCACAGCAACGGCTTCAGCCTGGTCCGCCATCTTGTTTCGCTGGCCGGAGCCGATTACGCTGCCCCTTGCCCGTTCGACTACTCGTTGTCAATGGCCACCGACCCACGCTCGTGCTACTCGTACGGCCGGCGTCTGGCTGCGCTTGGTCGCCCGGCCACCCTCGGCGAGGTCTTGCTCGCCCCGACTCGCATGTACATCAAGTGCTTGCTTCCCTCCATCCGACGACGTGCCATCAAGGCGCTTGCCAACATTACTGGCGGCGGCTTTGTGGAGAACGTTCCGCGCGTGTACAGTGACAAGCTGCAGGCCGTTGCAGACGCTCACAAGTGGCCTCTGCCCCCCGTTTTCAAGTGGTTGCAACAGATTGGCAATGTCGATCTTGGTGAGTGGTTTCCCGCTCCCCGCAGGCGCATGGGATTTCTATTTTGCGCGTTTTTTGTTCTTTTTGTGTCGATAACTCACTTTCGTGATTTTTTTCCCCTTCGTTTTCTTTCGTTCTGGTGAATTACAGAGGAGCTCGCGCGTACCTTCAACTGCGGCGTGGGCATGGTCTTGATTGTCGACCCGGCCAAGGTGGACTCTGTTCTGGCAGACCTCGAACTCCAAGGAGAAAAGGCTTGGGTGGTCGGACACCTGCAAGAACGACCTGCTGGCGGCGCACCGGCAACGATTGCCAATATCAATGCTTGGAAGAGTGCATAAGGCAAAAGTTGAGTCAACCAGTGATGTGTTTGTTGTGTTTTATTGTGCTTGCCAATTTACTTTCAATGAAGCTTGACTTTGTTGATGAGAGAGATTTAATCGAGAAAACGAGGAGAACCAACCAACAAAACAAACACAAAACAAACATACCAGCCTTCCCTTACGAAGGAATGTACACAGTCAAAAAACGCAACAAGGCCAAATCGAGCACAAAAAACACATCCACCAAGAACAGAACAAAAAAAAATCAGCGCAAACAAAGAGCAACAACAACAACAACAACAAAAATCCGACCAAATTGAAATGTTAACTAGATGCACAACATCAAATCACAGCTTGGAGCCAAAAACAACATAGACCCATTCGGAAGGCATTAGGTGCTGTCGCGTGGAGAAGGAGACTTGGCACTTGGCGAAGACGACGTGGAGGATCCCGATCGAGGAGCCGCAGGGGCAAGCGCCCTGGGTTGCGGCGCAAGGGGACGCAAAGCTGGGAGTGGCTTCGATGCAATTGCTGGAAGCTGGGTGCTTGGTTGGGCTTGCCACTGCTGCAGCTGCTGGAAATGATGAAGCAGGGCGTTGAACTGCGTGGGTTGCTGTGACGAAGCCAGCGGCAACGGCTGCGGAGTGCTTGTCGCCGTTGAAACTTGACGTTGTGCATCCCGCTGCCGCGCGCTTGTGGCCAGTGTCCAATCGTTCAGCAGCTCGACAAGCTCAGTCTTGTTGCGCGTTTGGGCAAACTGCAGCGGACTGAGGTCGAGGTTGTTTTCCAGTTTGCGGTTGGCAAACTTTTCGAGCAACAGCTTGACAATCGGGGCGCAGCCTTCGCGGACGGCGACAAACAGCGGGGTTTCGTCGGCGTCGTTTTGGGCGTCAATGTTGCACTTGAGCGACAAGAGAAGCTGCACCAGCTCAAGATCGCTGGTTTTGCATGCCCAGTGCAGCACCGTGTTGCCAAGGTGGTCTGTTGCCTTGAGCGAGCAGCCAGCTTGAATGAGAGCGCGAGCGACTTCTGTGGAGGCACTGCGAATGGCGACCATTGCAGGCGTGAGCCCATCGCCATTTTTGGCGTCAAGGTCGATCCGCACAACGCTCGCTTGCGATGTTGGCGGCCGCGGCGACCAGCTGAAGAGGTCGCTTCCAACACCGCTGTCGCGTTGGCTGTCCAGCTCCTTGCCAACGCTGCTGGCGCTGCTCGGCTGGGGCGGTGTTGCTCCAGACAAGGGCGGCGACCCTGACAACGCACCGTGGCTCGCCATTGACGCTGTAGGGGAGGCGGTGGCAGCATGGTGCGAGCTAGCGCATTCGGAGTGGAGCGGATAAAGCGTGTTGACGAGAAACAGACCAACACTCGCAGCTGACACGTCTTGGCACGCGTGGTGGAGTGCAGTGTCGCCAAAAATATCGCCCGTGTTGCAGTTCATGTTGAAGCCAGAGGGGTGCGGCAAGGTAAGCATGTGCACGACCGACCGCTGTCCGGCATTGCATGCGCGATGAAGCGCAGTTTGACCAAACACGTTTCGCTCGTGGACGCTGCAACCACCGCGTGAGAGCAACATCAACACGATGGAGAGGTGACCGCTTTCGGCAGCCATGATGAGCGGCGTGTTGCCGTTGGCGTCGCGGGCTGCGGCATATAGCGATGAATTGGCAAACGTCGTCACCCCGTCTTGGATGGGATGCGCCATGGGTGGCTCATATGCCAGGATTTGGGACAACGGGGAAACCTCCGCGCTGGTCCACGCGTTGAGGCTTTCCACCACCGAAGCGCTCGTGCCTGTAGAATAGCTCGATATTGCCGAGTCACTCGGCGAGAAGCTTCGATAGCCACGGTAACTTAATAGCATCTCTAGCTGAGCCAGGTTGCCCGTGAGGCAACATAATCGAACTTGCTCGGCGTCTGCCAGGTCTGCAGTTGGACCATCGCGGATGGCAAACTCGCTCATCTCGATCGCATCGATGCGTGCGCGCTTGGCGTTGGATGGTGCACCCGGAGAGAACACGGACGACCCGGATGACGCCTCGGGCGAGGCGAACGGAATGGACGAGAGGTGGGGACTGTAGGCCGCAGCAAAGTCGAGGGCGTCGAGATCGGCGAACGACGCAAGGTCAACCATCTGATTGCTTGAAATGTGGACTTGCTTTGGTGGAGGTTGCAGGGACGGCATGGTCAAGCAGGGCGGCAAGCCGTGCATGCCCAGTTCTCGCATCTTTTCTGCATCGTCGATCGCGGCATCAGACACGTCGGCTTGCGAGCGATTTCGTCGCAAACGAACCAATGTGCCGACGAGTACAGTGACAAAAGCGAGCGATCCCATCACCGAGACCACCCAGATGACAGTGTTCGTGTCAGAGGGCGAGGCTGGCGGTTCGATCGGCGACCCGTACGATGCCAAAGCCGCAAACACACCAAGTGCAAGAGATGTCGGACGCGCGTTCAGCATGGCAGCCAGGAAGGTGGTGATGTTTGAAAGCGACACAGTGTCCATGAGCGAGCCAGTCAATGGAATGCAGACAAAGCGCACAGGTGCCACAGCAATGGGAGACGCGGGTGCGGAGGGTGTGCTCTTGATCGAACTTGATCCAGAATAAGAATGGACAGGATGCGACAAGTACACTGGGCGCAAGCAAATGGCCTCGAGGTGGTACGACACGTTCACGGCAAGGTGGAAGCTAAAGACGCGGTCAGTCAAATCGGGAGCAGACGACAAGGTAGGCTGCAACACGAGATCAACATTGACGACGCTGGCAGCCGGCTGTGAGGGTTGCAGCACCAGGCAGTCGCCTCCGTCGTAGCCGCAGGGCGACGAGTTGCACTCTTGGTTGCAAACACCGTTGGCAAAGACTTGGCCACAGGCAGCGGCCGAGGGACACGCCGCTGGACCGGCGGATGAGCCACCATCGCGGCGAGGAACGCAGTCCACGCCCGTCCAACCGCACTTGGACGTGTAGCACCAGCTCTTTTCGAGACTGGAGCAAACGTCGTTGAAAACTCGTGGGCTGCAGTAGCTGGTATAAGGGCACGAGTCCCAGGCGTCTGCAACCAGCGTATGCGATGTCTCTTCGGGTTGGCTGTTTGGTGCGGCGGAAGGAACAGGCGAGCTGGGACTGGTCGTTTTGGACTTTTTGGACTTTTTGCTCTTGCTTTTTTGACTGTTGGGACTGCCATCGTCGTCGTCGTCATCATCATCATCATCGTCGTCGTCGTCGTCGTCGGCGGCAAAGTTCTTGTCGGCCGCCTTGCCGTTCTTGTACTCGAGATACCACGCGTACCAATATTCCATCCAGTCGGGGATGTTGTCGTTGTCTGCGTCCAGGTCATAGTCATGGTCGCGGCGGAGCACGTCGGCTGGCCCGTCTTGCGCGGCAGCCAGTGATGCGAGCGGATTTGGTTGTCTGGCAGCGAGAACAAGGACAAGGGTGGATGAAGTGAGTGACGTGTTCGTGGCGATCCACTGTAGGAGGGGAGAGGAAGAAGGAGAAGATTGAAAGTGATCTCGATGGAAGTGATCTCGATGGCCAAAAAAAAAAAAAAAAAAAAAAAAAAAAAAAAAAAAAAGGATGTCATCGAGTTTGATCGAGTTTTGCGGGATGGAGGATTCTGCTGGGTTTTGGCTCGCGGAAAGAAATCAGGAGAGCAACGATGACAATGGCAACAACAACCACGTTCACTGTGCGCAGTGGGACTTCATCCAGGCAGCGAGCCAAGCAACCGCGCGAAAACACAATGCCGAAGCGAAAGGGGTCATAAGGAGAAAAAAAAAAAACGAAAAAAAAAACGAAAAAAAAAAAAACGAAAAAAAAAAGGGAAGCACCGCATTTTGCGAGTTCAGCCATGTTCGATGGCCTTGCGTCGTGCTGTTGCCGCGTCGGCCTGTTCGGAAACAGGCAGATACAAACCTGCACTCTCACGCTGGCTGCACGGACGCGGCGCCCCACTCGCGACGCGCTGAGCAGACCGTAAGCTGCGGGACGAGAAACGTGTCGGCCTTTTTTTTTTTTCTATTTTTTTTCTTTCTTTTTTGCTTTTAGGTTACCTTGCATTTGCTGTCAAACCGTGGCCCATCGCTCCGGCTTGTTGTTCGGGGGCTCTTGGACCAGCCAGAGCCTGTGTAGCTGAGGGTGCATCATGCTGCTGCTGCGCGGTGGCGAGGAGAGCTGGCGCAACGGCGCTGCACACCAAGAGCAGGAGCAAGCCGCACCCAAGACCTTTTGTGGCCCTGTGCTGGCGGCCTGGATACATCAAGGCGGCGCGGGGGGGTTGTCGGGGGCAGGAGGAGGGAGCTGGAGCCTGCAAAAAGTCAAAACCTCTTTCTGTCTGTTGTTGGTTGCAAGTTCTCCGAGCGCAAAAGAAGGGGGGGGGGAATTCAGACGAAAAGTTGTTGAGGAGTAAATGAAGCGAGTTTCAATAAAAAAAAAAAAAGCAAAAAAAAAAAAAAGATGTCAAAGCTTGAAGAGTGGCGTTTTTGTTTCGCCATTGTTGGTTCCAGCCATCGTTGCACGTTGTTGAGTAGTGTTGTGCAGAATTGTCACTTCAGACATGTTTGTACGAAATCCGCGTGGTAGCGACCCTGCGTTGACATTCAGCTGCGCAGTGAACTTGTTGTATATTTTTTGCATGATGTCAACCGCAAAAGAAAAACTTTTTTTTTTTTGTGATTATTTGTTGTTGTTTTTATTTTTACTTTTTGACTTGGTTTTTTTTTTTCGTTGTTTCTTTTTTGGAGGTTCAAAACAAAAATACTCAGACGGACGTTGAACTGGAACATGTCAAGAATGCGTTTTTTTATTATTGGGTCGTTGGGTGCAAACGGCGTCGTTTATTTGACCTGGACGTTGGCAAGCGTTGGCGCGCTGACAACACCCTTGCCATCCACTGAAAACGGAACGCCGTTGAAGGTCGCGACGCGCTGGTCGTTGGTCTTGAACATGGGAGCAAGAGTCTCCCAGGTCTTCTTCTTGGGGTTGAGTTGCTCGTCTGGCTTGCCTGCGATCACGACGGGGATAAAAGAAACAAACAAACAAACAACAATAAAACCGTACAAACAAATTGAGCAACCGATGAGCTCGAAACAAACAAACGAGGCGCCACGTTCGCCATTTTTTATCTGCCCCAACCAACTCTCCAGGGAAATGAGCGTGTACCTTCGTGACCGGCGAAAACAATGCGATCGCCGGGAACAGCGCCTGCTGGGGGATCGAGGATTTCGACCTTGTCGGGGGTGCTTGCGCACATGACCATGGCCTCAGAAAGCACGCCACGCATCTTTGCGGGTTTGAGGTTGCAGAGGAGCACAGCCAGGCGGTTTTGCATCTGCTCGATGGGGACAAACTTGACAAGGCCGCTGACGACGGTGCGCAGCTTGCCGCCCTCGTTGAGGTCGACCTCCTCGACATAGAGCGAATCGGCGTCGGGGTGCTTCTTGGCAGAAACAATACGGCCAACGCGGAAGTCGAGCTGGTGCACCTTGGCGTCCTCGCCGGCAGCGGGGGCGTCGGTCGAGGCAGGAGCGCTGCTTTCGGCCTTCTTGCCCTTGTCCTTGGCGGCAGGCGCAGCCTCTGCCTTCTTGTCCGCAGCAGGAGCGGCAGCAGCTGCAGGGGTGGCAGCGGCAGCCGCCTTGGCAGCCTTGCCCTTGGCGGCTTGCGAGATTGGTTGGGCGCTAGTGGAAGCAGCAGCGGCCGATGCAGAAGGAGCATCAACAACAGCTGTTTTTTGGTTTGTTTTGTGTAGTTTTCGTGTAAAGGTAGCAGACGCAGCGCGGCGTGCTCATGGCATGAGTGGCATGTGAACAAAGACCGCACAACCAAGACGACAAACTCAACTCACTGCGGCCGTGGCTGCGTTCCAGGTCGATCAGCGTCTGCTTGGCGTCCGCCACCGCCTTGCGCAATGCAGCGTTCTCGGACTGCAGCTGTTGGATCTTGGGATCGCTCTACATTAGAATGAGACAACACGGATCGAGTTATGTCAGCGCACTGCTGAACAGAGCCATCTAGCCCTCGGCCTCTTTGTTGTGTGCGTCACGCGGGCGTCAGATCATTTTGGATGTCTTGTATCGCTCAAATGCTCGACACAACAGTGCTGCGATGGGAGCGCTCTCCGATCGACGTCTGCGGTGGATGTTTGAAGCAAAAAAAAAAAAAGCAAAGCCACGAGGAAGAAGAGCAGAGCGATTGAGCTTACCGAGTCGGCGAGGAGACCGCGCTCGCCTGCCAAGACCACGAGCCACGAGAGCGCGACAAAATGCACAGACAAAGCAGACATTGCGTGAGTTGGTGAAGAAGAGCGCGAACGGAGAAGGATGCAGACAAAGGAGAGGAACAAAAGAAAAAAAAAAAAAAAAAGACAAAGAGAAAAGGCCGACCAAGCAAGCACAAAGAAGGACCAGACAGACAACCACAGACGTACGAGCGGCAGTCTCGAGAACACGCAGCTGAGTGCTCAGTGCGAGGATGGCCTCATCAGCGAGAATGGCGTTGCGCGCAATCACAGAAGCCATGTTCGGAGGTTGAGTTTGAGAGGAGTGAGTTCTGTTGCTGCTTGCTTTTGCTTCTGCTTTTTGGGGGGAAAGCTGTGCGATTTGATAAAGCGAGATTCTACGTTATGCTTTGAAGCTATGGGACGCAAGAGACAGCATGAATGGGTTCAACGGGAAGAGCTGGACTGATGCTTTGCGAGCTCTTTGTCAATCCACTCCGTTACAATTCCCCCCCCTCAAACGCTCGATCTAACATAGTATTCGCGATAACCTTTACAATTCAATCTAATCTCCCATATTCCGTCTCGCCGCTCACTCTTTTCCCCCCAAACAATGCTTCGTGTAAGATTGTTCATCCACGAGAAGAGGACGGCAAAATCACCTGCTTTCCCCTCTTGACAAACGCACCTCGTCGTCGTTCCTTTCATCGAGTCCGAGTTTCTCTCTCTCTCTGTCTCTCTCTTGCTCTCCTCATCTTCCCTCCAGGCAGGCAGGCTGGACGGGGTGCCCTGCATAAGGGACGAGACCTGCTGTCACACAAACCAACAAAAAAAAAAAAAAAAAAAAAAAGGAAGCGATCTCTCTCTCGTTTGATTCACTGCCGCCTTCCAGCTGAAGGAGGGGTCCCTCACTCTCTCAAAGAGGAAGAGGAGGGAGATACTTGACTGCGTCTGTAGAAGGTGGGGGGGGGGCTGGAACTTCCAACCACACTGCAGTCTGTTAGGATCCATCCCAACTTCCTCCTCTCCTTCTGTCTTGGTCGATGGACCCCTTTCACCCTCAACCCCACCCCCCTCGTTCGCTTTGACGAAACAAATGGAGGGAACGAACACAAACACTCACGATCTGGGTTTGAAACGGACAGACCGGCTTGGTTTCCGCTCCCACTGCTGCTGCTCGCCTCTTCTCGTCGGCGTCTGCGCGCTTTGCGTCAACGCTCGTGATTGCCGAGCACGACGGCGCCGTTCTCGCCGCTGGCACCCTCAACACAATCACCGCGGCCTCCAAGCTTGGCGGCAACATTACCGTGCTCGTCGCCGGCGCATCGCCCAAGGCGGTTGCCGACACGGTCAGCAAGGTGAAGGGTGTCTCCAAGGTCGTTGCCGTCGAGCACGCTGGCCTCAAGGGCCTGCTGACTGAGGCCGTCACCCCCGTTGTGATTGCTGCGCACAAGAAGACCCCCTTCACGCACATTGTTGCCCCTGCCACGACCTTTGGCAAGAGTGAGTTTTCCAGCTGTTTTCTTGGCTTGATTGCTGCTGCTTTTGTGTGCTGCTGCTGCTGCTGCTGCTGATCTCGACCACACATCTCGCTTCCACGCGTTCTTGCGATATACAGCCATCATCCCCAACATTGCTGGCAAGCTCGATGTCGCGCCCATCTCGGATATCATTGGCGTCAAGTCCGAGGACACGTTTGTCCGAACCCTGTACGCCGGTAACGCGATTGCCACCGTCCAGTCAACGGATGCTGTCAAGGTGGTGTCTGTCCGCACGACCGCGTTCGAGCCTGCTGCCGCTACCGGTGGCTCGGCTGCTGTCGAGTCCTCTTCCGACGGCGCTGTCGATCAGACCCAGTCCGTCTTTGTCGGACAGGAGCTCGTGAAGAGCGATCGCCCTGAGCTCGCTGCCGCCCAGGTTATTGTTTCTGGTGGCCGTGCGCTCAAGAGCAAGGAGAACTTTAAGATTCTGTACGATTTCGCCGACAAGATTGGCGCCGCCGTCGGTGCCACTCGTGCTGCCGTCGAGGCTGGCTACGTGTCCAACGACCTCCAGATCGGCCAGACTGGCAAGATTGTTGCCCCTACACTCTACATGGCCATCGGCATTTCCGGCGCCATCCAGCATCTTGCTGGCATGAAGGACAGCAAGACCATTGTTGCCATTAACAAGGACCCCGAGGCTCCGATTTTCCAAGTCGCTGACTTTGGTCTTGTCGAGGACTTGTTCAAGGCCGTCCCCGAGCTCTCCTCGAAGGTGAAGGCCAAGTAAATCTGTTGTATGGACTTTTCTGTTTTTTTGTAATGGTTTTTTCTGCTTCTTTTCAACACAAAAAAAAAAAAAAAAAATCGTTGGCCTGCGAGTGTCGCTCTGCTTTTGCATTTTGACATTGTGTCATCCTGGTCTTGTTCAAACCAAATGTAACATTCTACTTTCCTGCGGATGGGAGTACTTTCCTTTTGGTTGCCATGACCCTCGAAAAAGCAAACCCAAATGCTCACAATTCCAAGGGGAGGGGGAAATCAAATATTAATACTAGTGTTGTGTACATGACCAAGCCATCTCAAGATTGCTTCAGGCTTTTTTCGTTTGCCTGGCTCTTCTATTTTGTCAATTTTCGTCGATGTCTTGCTCGTCTTGCTCGTCAAGGCGAGCACGTTTTCTTGACACATGCGGAGGCATGCTAAATGGGCCGTCGCTCCCATTTTCATTGGTCTCCTCGTCCGATTCAGGCTCTAGGAAACTTTCGGGTGATAGATGCGGACGTTTGGAGCTTTGTCGGCTCTGGCCACTCGCGTCTTGGTCTTCCGAACTCGCTTCAGCGAAAAGATCGTCTTCCGAACTCATTTCAGCGAAATCGTCATCTTCAAGTTGATTCTGCAAGTCGCCAACCAAGTCCAGGTCGCTGCCAGAACTCAGCGATTGGACGTCCTGAGAATCATCGTTGCCGAGCTCGTTGTCGTTCTCGTCGCTGTCTGCACTTTCCCCGGCAACGTCGTGGTCACCACCGGTGCCAACATCCATGCCACCTTGAATGCTGCGAGGAGCAATGGCAGGCGGTGGTATGTTCGAGGATGATCTCATTGCGGTTTCGGCGACAGGGTTGCTAACGAAGGACGGCATCGCAAAATATTGCGGCGAAGGCAAGCTACTGCTGTTGCTGCTCGTGGACTGCTGATGGCTGCTGGCGGTGACGAGGACTGGAGAATCGGGCGCTTCCAGCTTAACTGAGACTCCGACCAGGGGCGTGTCATCCGGAGCGTTGTCGTCGATGTCGGTCAAGTCAATCACATTTGTCTCAGAGGATTGAGCGCTTCCAGAGAAAGCGAGTGCTGCCGGTGATTGATGAGAAGCGTCGGTTGGCAGGAGCGCGTCCCATTGGACGCGATTGCCGACGGGTTGAATTCTAACTTGCAAGATCGATTGGTTTGCCTGGGCTGCAATATTGCTCACAAACCTGACGGTGCAACAAACAACACCGCAACCTTCTCAGTCAGTGCCGCCAAAAAAAGCAGAAACAGTCCCGGTAACAGCGTTTGAACCAGCGTACTTATCAATCACAAAATAATCTTGCACGCTGTCTGGCACTCGATTATTGCAGATCGGACACTTGAGCAGAGCGTTGTGCTCAATCACCTGCAAAAAGTTGCCCAAATCAAAGCACTGAATGTGACTGCAATTGGCAAACCGAGCCGCTGTGCGAATACGAGTTTTCGAAATCTACAAAAGACGTGCAAGTGAGCGGCTCCAGAGCTTAGAAGAAAGCGAGCGCCGCACATTGGACAGCCTTACAGGGCATGTTAAAGGCAAGATGTTATCAACGGAGGAAATGTCTTCGCCGTTGGTTGCATGAAGAATTTTTGAGACTGTCAGAAGTGCAGCGAGTGAGGATGCCGTTTTTGGGTTTCGCCGCAACCCCCCCCCCCCAACAAACAAACAAACGAAAAACAAACAAACAAACAAACAAACAAAAAAACGAAAACAAAGACTTTCGTACGTTTGAGTTCACACTCTTCCACACTCGATTGAGCAGCTGCCACAAACTTGCTCAGGAGCAAGCTAGGAGTGACGACATCAACAAAGTGCAATGCCACATAGAGAGACTGCAAATGTCTCGCGACACAAAGCGAGCCAAGAAGTCAGTGCATAGCCACGAAAGCTGCAGAATGCAAGCATGACATACACGAAAGCGAGAGGAAGACACACGGAGCTTGAGTTTGCTCAGCGGCAAGAGCAGAAACTGGGTCACATCAAAGGCCTCGTGTTTGATAGCAGTGGATTCGCACTATTCGAGCGACAGGGAAAAAACCGAAAATGATCGAGTCGATGTCTAGTACGTTGGCAACGGAGGCAACCAAGCGCATGCATCATACCGAGTGCTTGATAACCGTGTCGTTGAGGACGATTTCGCAGTCTTGCGGCATCGCATCGTGGAAGACAAGTCGACCGTCTTTAAAGTGTGTGTAGGACTTGTGCAGTGGACAAATTCGCAGCACGAATCGAAATGAATCGCCGCTAGAGCTAAGAGGTCAGTATACGCTGTCCACAACAACAACAACAACAACAAAAAAAGGGTGAGCACTTACTGAAGTGTTCGTATGGCTTCGATATCTCTTGTTCTCTGGGGCGCCAGAACGACTTCTTTAGCCTCAGCCTCGCCTGCAGCTACAAAACCAGCACGGAACAGTATTAGCAACGACAGCGCACTGATAGTTTCCGAAATCCTGCCCGTACCGAAATGCACGGCAAACAGTGGGTTTCTCCAACGCTCGGCAACGCATGGATAGAAGGGATTAGACTCAAAGCCATAAACCGGAGCATGCTGAGAAAAGTAGCCAAGCCGATCTGGTGTGGGCGCACGACTCGAGGCTTGAAGAGCTTGGAAAAACGTGGATGGACCCTGCGGCACTGATTGCTGTTGCAGACCCAAGGCTGATTGAAGTAGAACATTCCGAGCTCGCTGCAGGTCAACCGTGGAGGGTGCTGGGTTGACAGCGTCCCGATGAGCTCGTGTTGGCGCCTGCTGAGACGGCGAGGAAGATGCGAGACTAGATGTCGACAGATGAGTCGGGTTGTCAAACAAAAATGACCTCACACTAACCCCCCCACAACCCAATGCAATATCGCTCAGGTTTGCATTTGGCAGCAGCATGACTACACACCCGAGGTGACGCTGGACGGTTGCCAAGCTTCCTGGATTGGCATCCAAATTCCGTGAAATTGCCTCCAGCATTCCCGACCGTGTCCGGGTTTGTAAAATTCCACCTGGTGATGTCTCGCTATACAGAGCGAAAACAAAACAGAGATCAAGAAGAAGAAGAACAACGCAAGGTCGACAGCAAAGTCAACAACCACTCCGAACGAGCGTCAATTTGTGAATTTCGTACAGTGCGAGCGTTCTCATGGCTTCCGTGCTGAGATTCACCAGCTGTCGTCTGAGATCTGCTGTCAAGGAGCCACTCCAAGGCGTGCTTGCAAACAATCGGGCAGCGTCTGAGCGACTCTGTGGCCCTCGGGATGGGCTCGGGGTTGCCCCTGGAGAAGGAGCCGGCGATGCGCCAGACGGTCTGGCTGCACTTGGTCTAGAATGCGCAATGGCTGCAGAACGGATGCGATCTGAGACCTCGGCAGCAGCCTGCGTGCTGGTGGTGCTCGGCGCCGCTGCTCGAGAATGGCGTGCAACGGCGGCCTGGCGCGCAGCCAGCGATGTCATCCTCCCGAACGCTTGTGATCCAGTGTGATGACTCCGAGCCTGCGATAAGGCATCTCGGGCGGGCGGTATCGGGTTGGAGAGCGGTCTCGGACTTGTTTCAGTCGCTGGCGGTTGTGACGACCGCGCGGCCTCCTCACTCCCGATAGCGGATGGCATGGATGTGGGCCTCAATGCCCCGGGAGAGCTGCCTGTCCCACTCAGTTTTCTATCTCTTGCGCCGGGCTCCGGAGAGACAACAAGGCCAAGCAAACAAAAAGCGCAGCCTTAAACGCGAGAAATGGGAGTGAAACAAAACTTCCGAATTTGAACCAACAGCAACCAACTTTGCGAAAAAGTGTTGAACACGTACGAGAGGCAACTCTGTCTCACGGGAATGGCTGGATAAAGACAATAGCTGAACGCAGGTGATGGAACAATCGCAACAAGCGACTCACTTTTGATGAAAGACACACAAACACACACACACACACAAAACATCTCACCCAAGTCACATCCAGATAAACGACTCCTACAACATCCGAGTCGAGGCACGCAAAACCGCATCGTACTTGGCCCGAAGTCGAGTAGCGATGGCGATGGAATCGCCGAGAGGGGTGACGGTAAAGTTGTGGTGCGAGTGTTGCCATGCCTTCTCGACCTCAAGGACGGCAGCGTTGAATGCAGCGTCGTTGAACGGAAGATCAGACTCTGCAGCTGCGGAGGCAAACGACACAAACAGCTCCCACCGTGGCCGATAGTAGGAGGACATGAGGCCCGCCCATTGCTTGCTGGCGTAATCGGTGATTTCGCCGTTTGGGCCCCACAGAGTGATTTGGTTTCGAGCATTGAACTCGAGCAGATCTTGCGCGGCAGTGTTTTCACTCCACGAGCGCGCGGCGGCGAGCCACGGACCGAGCAGGAAGTGCGCGTCCGACACCAGCAGCTCGTCCAGATCGGCAATCAGCCCAACAATTCCCTGACCGTAGAGGTGCACGAGATGCGCCTGCTTGCTGGTCAGGGCAAGCGTCAGGTTGCTGTGGAAGTCAATAGCGAGGTTGCTGAGCATTTGGCGCGTGAAATCGACCACATCGTAGCGGAAGGGCACGACGGACGCAAGCTGGGGAGCACTCTTGGCGGCAGCCAGGATGTGGTCGACAGCAAGAATGACGTGGCCGGGATCGTAGTACAGGTTGGTGGGCATGAATCCGTTGCGCGACATGTTGACGGCAGGACGGATTTCAAGCAGCGACTTGGTCACCGAGTACTGGCCGTTCGTGCAGTTGTAGACACTCTGAAGAAGCTGCTGGTAGGCAAGTTTGGCAACTGCGGGGGTGGAGGGACCGTAGCGCCGCCCGACAAAGGCGTCCACCCACGTCGGCAGGTTGACCGGCGCGCTGCGCCACATGTTCTCCATCATGAACTCGTACAGAATGTAGTTTTGGTTGATGCCTTCCGGGGTCAGACCGATGCCAACCATGGTGTTGCCGGGCGTGGCGAGGGCGGCGAACGGACCCTCGTTGATGGACGGCAGAATGCCGTACAGGCCAATGTTGCCGCCAAAGTCGTGGAGCATGTTCCAGATGAATGGCTTGCCATAGTACGACTCGAGTCTGTTCCAAACGGGCGTCACGTCGGAAAACAGGTCGAGAATGATCATGTGGTCGTCTGGAACGCCGGAGAGCAGGGCTTGGACGCGGTCGTTGCTCCACCACGCCGCCTCGTTGAAGAAGAGCCAGCCTTGCATCACCCAGACCGCCGCCGGGTCGTACGCGGTCATGCTTTGGTAGACGGCCATACCTGCCTGCTTGAGGTAGCCAAGATCGGTGCTGGCCGGGGTCATCTCATTGAACTGGTCGCAGTTGTACAGGTGGTTGGTGCCGTACGTCTCATTCTGCAGGCGCAAGAATTCGGCACCAATCTGCGTGAAGAGAGGGTCGGACGCGTCCAGGAAGCCGACGCAGCAGTACTGGTCGGGGAAGTTGTTCCAGTCCGAGGATTGGGTGATGTTTGCGTTCGGGAAGTGCTGGGCGAGCGCGCTCGGAACGTGGCCAGCAAACGACGGCAAAACAGGGGTCATGCCAAAGGTTCGCATGCGCTGGAGGATGAGCACCTGCAGATTGCGTTGCTTGTAAATCCACTCGAGCGAGATGGGACCGCCCCAGCCCTTGATGTTGCCCATGCGGCCCCAGGCCAAGAAGGCAGGGCCCGCGAAAAACGGCGACAAGTCCGAGTCGGTCAGATTGAACAAGTGGAACAGGCGGCGCCACACGTACTCTTGGCCGGTGAAGGCCAGAGGCATGGTCACTCCGTTCAAGGCCATCCAGTCAATCTCGCGCTCCCAGCGGGCAAACTCCCACCACACGCTCGAGTAGCTGACTGTGCAGACGTTCTGCGGTCCGATCAAATCCAATCAAAAATTTCTCTTCAATAACCACAAACAAGAAGAAGAAGAAGAAGCAGAAGAAGGAAAAAAAAAAAAAAAGAAAAGGAAAAAAAAAAAAAAGGAACGAACGACCAACAAAACTGAAGGGGATAAAAGTGCGAGTTTTGTTTTTTTCGCAGGGGAAAACCTACCATGTAGTAGTTCCATTCAAAGAGACTGACAGAGCGGACCTTGGCAGGGACGCGAGGCAGGGTCGTTGGGATGTTGAGCTGATCCCCAGACCACGAGAGACTGGCGTTGCAGACGTACTATTTGGTGTTTGTGCAAGGCGGAAGGCGGGGGGTGGTGGTGGTGAGCAATCGCGCAAGACCAGCAGTTAGCGCTGGGCACAACATAGCGGCGTCGGATATCGAGCCAGCCGTCTTGAAAGAAAGGTGCGAGATGTGCGTACCTTCAAGTAGTAGTTGAAAGCCGATGACAGCGCAACGCCAGAGGATCCGCGCAGGAAAATGGCAGTCGAATTGCTTTCCACTTCAAAGACGTGTCTGCGGATGGACGGGCACAAGCAGGCAGTCAGTCAAGTGAGCGCTCGGGCGCGAGGTGTGCCCTCACACTTGTCCTTTGAGGACGGAAAATCTCCAGCTGGCCCCCCTTCGTCCAGAATGCACTCAATGCAAATCGATCAACGTGTCGACCATGCCAAGTTTTGCGAACAAACCCCCGATGGAAAATCCACGTCCCAGCGCAAAAGGTACGAGCGGGGTGAATATAATTGGGGGGAAAACGAAAAGACCCCCCTTCAAAGCGTGTCACAGCCAGACGCAACGGCGAGTGCTTACTCTGTGCCGTTCGCAAGGGGAATCAGCGACAAGACAAAGTCCTTGTCGTGGTTGGGGATGATGCGATGGATGAGCAGGTCGGCAGCGAGCACTTGTACGTCGGGAATATCGCGAATGGCCTCCTGCGATGCCTGGTCGACAAACCGCTGCTTGGCCTCCGTTGTCGCGTCCTGCCAGTGAGCGCTCAAAAACGTCTCATGCACGACAAAGGATGTCGGCGCAAGCGCACTCGCCAGACTCGCAACGCAAACAACCGTTGCGGCAACGAGCAGCAGCATTAAATTGCGCATGTTGAGAGATTACAATAGAAAAAAAGAGAAAAAAAGAAACAAAAAAGTTAGAATGATCAGCTCAGACAAGGTACAAGATGCAGCACAAAAAACGAGGTGGAAAAAAACAATTCACACAAATCAGAGCGAACTTGTTGATGGATGATGAGAGACGCGTTATTCACACAATGCTCGAGATGCCAATGTTTTCCATGCTGATCTCGTTTTAGATGCTCGGTCTCTCTTCTTTGTAAGCTTTTTTTTTTCGAAGGTTTTTTTTTTTTTTTCGGTTGAAAATCGATTTTTTTTTTTTTTCGTTTCCGCTTTCTTTTTTGCCCTTTGCGTGAGGACTTGACGTCCGACCGTCTCGGCCGAGGCAGCAGCCTACCGTCAACAAAGCCCGGTCGCTGCTCCACCATCAGCTCTGGCCCACGGCAAACGGCGGATCCGCACTTCAGCAACAATGAAATGAACAAAAAAAATAGATTTTTTTTTTCTGCTTGGCCGTCTTCACGCCACACGGGCTCGTTCGGCTCTCCCTGGCCCGCGACAGCCTCGAGCGACCCGCCGCTCTTGTCGAAACTGCGACTGTTGGGGGATAGGACCAGATTTTGGGAGTTGGAGAGGGGCTCTATCGGCCCCAGCGTCCAAACAGCCATCGTCTGTGTTTGCTTTGAGCACGCGGTCGCGAGATCTCTCTTTTTTTTTTTTCTTCTTCTTCTTCTTCCTTTGTGCGTTCGGTTGCTCTGTTGGATCCACCAGCTTCCAGCCCGCTGCCAGAACTTGATGGTGCAGCCACTCAATGCAACCGACCCGATTTCGCGCTTCAAACGGACTCGTTGTAGACGCGTGTGCTCGAGAGGAAGGAGATCAAAAGTTTTTTTTTTTTTTTTTTTTTTTTTGCTGGAGCAACCATTGACTTTTTATTTTTATTTTTTAATATTATTATTTTTTCGCTTTGGCTCACCATGCTTTCACTCTTTGATTTTTTTCTTTCCCCTTTTCCCTGCACAGCCCAACAGCAGCAAGCATGTCGTCCGACGTTCAGTGGATGGTTATCCGCAACAACAGCTCCTTCCTCCTCAAGAAGGCTGGTGTCACCTTCTCGACCGAGGCCGGCAACCTGACTGGCAAGAACTCGTTCAAGGCTAACGGCCTCGTCAACAAGCGATCGGTCGGCGTCAAGGCTGCCGCTGACGGCAAGGGCGTTGTTGTCACCCTCCGCAACGACAAGAAGTCCTTCAAGCCCACCAAGGCCACCCGCTCGGTCACCCTCAAGAAGGGCTCGCGCGCTGCCCTCGCCACCGTCAAGGCCCTCACCGAAGGCCAGAACTACCGTGCCGACCTCACCCACGACGCTCTCCGCCTCACCTCGGCTCTTTTCCAGTCCCAAAAGACCCGCAAGACTGCTGGCGTCAAGAAGGCCCGCTCCCGCAAGGTTGCCAAGAACTAAGATGGCACCATGATGGCGGGAAGGAAAAACAGGAACAAAGTGCTCTTTTTGTTTTCTTTTTTTCTCCCCGTTGATGTTTCTTAGCTGCGTCCCACACACATTTCCTCTCTGTCTTTCTAAAACTGCTTGTCTTCTGGACCTGTCAAGTATTTGTTAGAGAACGGTATAAACAAATAAACCACAAAAAAAAAAAAACCCCCAATCCCCAGCACAACAGCCACCCTTCCCTCAATCATGTAGTTTGTCAGTGCCAGTGTTCTGATCCCCAGTAGTAATGAGTAATAGGGTTGATGCAGTGTGGTGCGCCTCCCTGAGACGAAGAAGAGTGGACAAGAAGAAAAGACTGTATTATTGTTCACCGGCCGCGGCCGCTTGCAGCAAACATGGCTGCAACAGCAGCTGCGGACGCAGAAATCGCCGAGGATGCTCCAATAACAGGTCGGCTGGCGCTCGAATCAACATCATCAGCAAGGCGTATCCGCTTGTCGTCCCGCGAGTACCGATCGTCATCGTCATCGTGCCGCCGGCGTTCTCTGTCCTCTCTGTGTTCCTTGTGCTCCTTGTGTTCCCTGTGTTCCTTGTGATGCTTGTGATGCTTGTGCTCCTTGTGATGCTTGTGGTGTTTGTGCTCCTTGTGCTCCTTGTGATGCTTGCGCTCTTTTCGGTCCAGCGTCCCGTCGTCGTCGGACGAGATGCGCGCTGGCGATCGATAATCATCCAGTTTGTCGTTTGATGTCGTAGCAGAGGAGGAGGAGGCAGAAGGAGGCACAACAGCACTGGACGACGACGAGTCGTTGGGAGCGCGCTTCGCAGCAGCTTGCATCGCGGCCTCCAGCGGTGTCTGGCCGGGCAGCAGCGGCTCTGCTTCCTGCAAGTCCTTGGTCAGCCGATAGTCCTTGACGTGGTCGACGCGGATGGTGCGGTTGCCAATCTTGATGCCATTCAAGTTGTCCACGGCGAGCACCGTGCTCCGCTGGTCCTCGTACGCAATGAAGCAGTACCCCAGGCTCTTGTTGGTCTTCTTGTCGCGCACCAGGTTGATGTCGACAATCTCGCCGTACTGCGACATGACGCACAGCAAGTCGCCCTCCGTGAGCTCGTACGGAAATCCGCCGACATGCACGTACGCCGATCCGCGAAACTCGTCGTGCCACGACGCGCTCGATGACTGGCTCGCCGTGAGTCCTCGCTGCAGTTCTCGCTCGTTGACCCGCTGGATTTGTCTGACCGTGTTCATTGTTGAGTGCCTGTCGGACGAAGGGGGGGGAGTATCAATCGAGAAGGTGCAAAGAAATATCAAATATGACTGAGATTTGGTCTTTACGGCAACAACCGGTGAAGAGGAGATGGGTTGCTGTTGCTGTTGTTCTGCAAAACAAAAACCGATGAGAACAACAGAGAGCGAGAGACAGAGAGCATGAAAAAAGAAAAAAAAAAAAAACGCTACTCGAAGCAGGGATTGAACCTGCGACCTTCTGTGTGTAAAACAGACGCGCTAACCACTGCGCCATTCGAGTTGCCAAAAAAGGATTGAGACCGTTTCCAGCCAGACCTTCGTAATACTCGTTAAAGCTGGGCATTTTCCATACGGATCACAGATGGTGCGAGGGGGTGAAGAAAGGATGAATTGTGTCGTGCGGGCGTTTCGTGGCGGTGTTCGAGTTGATTGCAGCAAAGTGTGCCAGTGCCCGCACTGCCTTGTAGTCTGATTCGCTCCAAGTGTGGTCTGATGCCGTTTTTTTTTTTTTTTTTTTTTTTCCCCCCTTGTTGCGTTTGCTGCAATGAACGATCCAACCATCATGTACTTTGATGAAACACACTGCAACACAGCAGAAACACACGCCAGCGCTGCTTCCAATCGCTCGAACTTTTTTTGAAAGAGAATAAGAAGAGAAAAGCAACATAAAAAACCAGCAACACCACCTTGACACTGCACACAAGCACTGCACACAAGCACCAAGTCGTAGTCCATTAGTTGTACTCGATGTACTGCACAGGGAAGATGCCAGATTGACCATTGCACGAGCTGTTGTGTTGCAGGAAAACCGACCAACCCAAAAAACAACAGAAAACAGTCAGAAAACAACCTTAACAAGCGAACAACTCCAAAAGCGCAACAACATGAGCTACGACACTCGCTGCATGCTGCTACAGCTACATACCCTTCAAGCCAGTTCTCATCCAGACGCCCTGAAACATAAATGGTGTCTCCCTCTCGGAAGGTAAGTTCACCGGGGTTCTCAGCCTCGAAATCGAACAGTGCACGGTAGGCCTTGCTGCCAGACGACGCGCTGCTGGCGGGGGCAGCGTACGAGGACGAGCCACCATAGGACGAGCTGCCGTACGTGTCTTCGGCCGGAGCGGTGCGAGCGTAGCGGGGCTCTGACTTGGGGCGCGAGGCGGCTGACTGGACAACGTCCGAAAGGGACTGGGCGAGCTGAGTCAACACATCGACTGCCGTGTTGTGGAAGGCGAGCTGTGCTTGGACGAATGCGTTGAGCTGGCTGACCTGCTCGGCCTCGTTCTCGAGAATCGCCTGCATGCCATTCCACGAGAGCTCCTTTGACTCTTCGAACTTTTGCTCGGCAATGCGCAGCTCCTCGTCTGCCTTGGGGTCGGGTTGGCCACCCTTGTGGCCACGACGGCGCTTGTAGTCGAAATCAAGACGGCGCGACTCGAGCTTCTTGCGATGGAAATTCACGTCCTTAATCTCCTTCTTGAGGAACTCCTTGAGCGGAATCAAAAAGTTGGACTGCACCTCGGCGTCCAGCGCATCGCGCGCCTCGGCAATCTGCTTCTCGGCCTCGCCGACAATGACAAGCGCCTGGCCAAAGTTGGCATCCTCGCCGATAGCCCGGCCGCCCTTGATCATCGAGTCACCCAGCTCGCCCTCGGGTTGTGGGTATTTGCTGGTCGCCTTGTTGAACTTTTGAGTCACGTTGAACTTGGCACGAGCAGCTGGATGGGGGAAAAGGGAAGGTGCGGAACGACAAAAAGAAAAAAAGAGGGGTTGGTGAGCAAAACAAAAGAGTCGTACTCTGCTCATCCATCAGACACTACAACAAGAAACAGGATTCAGGAGCAGAAAGCCAAACGAGCACAGAACTCACTCGGGTTGGGCTGCAAGTATTGTTCTGCCTTGTTGATGGCGCTGGTGATGGCTTCCTCAGTGGCATCGGTTTTCTGTGAAAGGGAGACCAGAGAGTTGTGTGAGCTCCACATGGCAAGAGTGATTTCACTGAGGGGGGGGGATGAACGCGCAGGTTTTGTTGGGAACGATAAAAAAATCAAATCACCGCCACCACGACCACAACCAGCGCCAACTACTCTCGTTGACAAGACAGCCGTTCACAGCAGGACAAACTGCGAAAGCGCGAGCGATCACGTCACATTCCCCCCAAACCCAAACCCAAAACCATGCGAATTCCTGAATGGATGACGATGCCAAAAAGTCGAAAACGAAACCGCACACAGTTGCCCGCCGAGCTTCCATCCAAGCGTCGCCACCGCGTTCCACAGCCAAATAGCACAGTTCAACACGATCTTTGCTGATCAAGTGGCTGAGCACAGATCACAAGCATGTGCAAGTCGAACGAACTCGATCAATGGAAACAGACGAAAAATGAAAGAACTGCGACGATTTTTTTGTTGAAGCCGGTTTTTTTTTTTTTTTTTTTTTTTTCGTTTTTGAAAAAACGCTCACCTTTTCGTACGACTTGAATTCCTCCTCGAGCTCGGTCTTCTCGGCGGAGAGCACGCGCTCACTGATGGCCTGCATAGCAAGAGCAAGACAAAGCACAAAGCAAAGGACAAGAGCAGCAAAACAGTGGGACAAAAGTAAAAGTCAGCGGTAAAAAAAAAAAAAAAAAAAAAAGACAAAAAAGAAAAAGCGAGATCTGGTTCAAAGTAACGTCACTCGGCTCGAAACGGTCGACGCATTCGCAAAGCAAAAAAAGCAGGCACACCGGGCACCCAATGCAAGCTGGTGATCGAACGGGGTGTGCGGGTAAGCAGCGAAAGAGCTCGGCGCATGCAGAGCGACGCTGACGACGGCTGGATTTTACACCAAACTCCTCCTCCTCTTTCGACCATTCATCATGTGCTGCGACCGGGGGTGTCGAGCAGAGCGCGCGACTCATCAACATGTAGCAAAAAGCACAGGTGCAATCGCGACCGCGGCTGGAGCGAAAAAGGGCCGCGAACGCGTCACGAACGAACGAAAAAGCAGATAAAAAAAAATAGTGGAAGCGTCGTACTTGATTGACTTTGTTGAAGAACTTGGCCATGGTGGGATTGAATGGGAAATAATAATAGTGGAGTGAGCGTGTTGTGCTGGTGGTATCGCATCATTTTGGTATTGCAGCAGCAAGTGAGTAGTGCTTTAGTGGGTGCGCAAATCGCAACCGTTGTTCAAGTTCACTTTGTCCAAGTAGATCCAACCCCGCCCGATCGATCGAATAGCCCGCGTTCGTGATCGTTGCTAGAGAAACAAGGAAAAGCACAAAAAGGCAGCGAAAAATTGCTGTGCCGCGGTGGCCGCTCGGAGTCGTGCTGCAGGAAGCGGGCTGGAGCAAGAAAACATTCACATTGACAGAGATAACACGACATTCAAAAAAGTCGACACACAAGCAATCATTGACACACCAACACAAGCCGAGAATCACGAAACGAGGCTGGCAAGACCATTTGGGCGAGAAGAAAACAACAACAACAACAACAACAAACAACCGTCGTGTCCAATAGTTGCTTGGCATTGTTTGAGAAAAAGGACGAGACGCCGCGCCCCCTTGAACATGTCCAAATCACTTGGTGGACACTCGCGTGCGCTTGGACCACGAAAAGTTGGCACCATACGACTTGATGCGACGCACTGGAGGAATCTTTTCATCAACAGAATAACCCCAGCCGTTCTTCTCGGCAAACGCAATTGCTGCCTCGAGTGTGTCAAACTCGAGATCGAGGGCCTGCAGAGGATCGCCAGACGATGCCCAGCCCATCAGTGGGTTTTCCCATCGTTCTACAAAGCGGGGACCAGTAAGTAAGTGTCAACGATCGAAAATCGCAAAAAACGTTCTTGTTTCTCCTTCAACACACCCAACCCCGGCCAGAGACGCTTGCAAACCCTCAAACAAGCACGTCCACCTACCAGGAACCTCGAAATCCAGGCGCCACTTGCGGCTGGCGTTGGTGCCGGATTGCATTGCGGTGCGTGCTGGGATGTAGAGTCGCACGTTGCGGTTGATGTGCTCAGCAGGGACGCCAGACACGGTCGTCACATCCAGGGGCTTGGGCTGAATGTGTCAGGGTTGACGCAACAAGTCAGAGCATCAATGGCGTGAGAGAATGATTGTGAGACGTTCAACAACGAGTTGAAAACAAGAAGAAAAAAAAAAAAAGAGGGAAAGAAATGAGGGGCAGCTCAAGCGAAGGCGGTCGCGCAATGGAGCATCGGGAGATCCCAAAAACGACCCGAAAGAGCTGCTCAGACCGCCTGGGAGCTGGGAGCCCCGGTGTTGCCCCGAGCGCGGTCCCAGCAGCGAGTGAGAGAGCGAGTGCAATGGAAACGCGACTTTTTTTTTTTTTTTTTTTTTTTTTTTGCGCTTGTCCGTTCAAACGAGGACGTCATCCCCAGCCCCGCTCACAGCACAGCCTTCCAAATCATCCAGAACAGCACACTTCACGGCCAAGCGAGACAAGGGTGGGGTACCTTGGCTTGAGCTTGAGCGCTGGTCGTCTCGAAAGCACGGCGGTGGACGGCAGCAGTCTTGCTCGCGTCGACGGTCGCCACGGCGCCGGGCGCGCTGATGGTGTGAACTTCAAGGCTCGCCTTGGATGCAGGGGCAGTCAGCGCAGCGGCGGCGGCGGTGGCGCTCGTGGATGCGGCGCGGATGCCGAGCGATCGCACAGCGTGGATGGAGAGCATTTTGGAGCGAGAGAAGCAGACTGAACTTGCCAAGCCAGCCCACTCACTGCCTTGTTGTGTCGATGGATGGTTCGCGTTGTGTGTGTGTCCATCAAAGTTGCAGCTGAGAATTGCTAAGAGAATTCAAGGTTGGATTGACACACAGACGACTTGAACGCTTTCGATCAAGGCTGGTTTCCGGCTCGCTTTTCGAAATTGAATGGGGGAAACCCACTGGCGTTTAGTGGCTTTTTCGGTGATAGGGGTGATCCGTGTCGATGTGGTTTTGGAGCGCACCCATCAATCACTGCATGTCGCGCTAGAGGAGCGATGCATTCTTTGGGGATGTCGATGAAATCCGTCCCCTTCTCTCTCTCTCTCTCTCTCTCTCTCTCTCTCTCTGATCATTCTTCCTTTTTTTTTTTCTTCTTTTCATTCTTCTTCTTTTCTCACTCTTCTTTTGTTCTTGTTTCGAAGCATACTTACAAATGGCGGAAATCTCAAAGTCCAAAGAGTACGCTGCGTTCCGGAACAGCGTCGCTCTCAAGACGGTAACTCGCTCCCTCGCTCTCTCGCTCTCTCGTTGTTCTCTCTCTCTCTCTCTCTTTCTCCCTCACTTCTATCCATCGACGGGCTCTCCTTTCATCGGCACACTGCGGCGGGCGTTTGTCAATCCACGCATCAGCAGCCCCTACGTTGGCTTGGCTCGTGATTGCTCCTCTTTGATAATTTTTTTTTTAAAAAGATTTTTTATTTTTTTATTTTAAATTTCGATGGCGGGGACCCGTTGAACTGGGAGATTTGTGGCTCACCTTTGCCTTTGGGGAATCCTGGTCTGGTCTGGTCTGGTCTGGTCTGTGCACAGGTGGTCGGCGAGACGGTCGAAGGCGAGGACAAAGCCTGGCGCCTGTACGACTATGGGCCGCGGTCGGTCGCCAGCCCGCTCATCTTCTTCCCTCCCGCGTCAGGCACTGCCGATGTCTACTTTAACCAGATTGCCTCGCTGGGCAGTCAAGGCTACCGTGTGATTGCTGTACGTACAAAAGCAACCCCCCCCCCTTTGTGCTGTTTGGAAGCCGTCTGGCTGCTCCGCCCACCACGCTCCATTCCTACGTTCGGGCTTCCTGTCCACCCACTCGCTCCATCTCTCCTCTACCCGTGGCCTTTGCCGCGCACTTATTCCCACCATGCTCGAGTGCCTGCGTCTGTGCTTGTGTCTGAGAGAGAGAGAGAGAGAGAGAGACAGAGAGACAGAGGCCGTTCTCAACTCACCCATTTCGCCCCCTTTTGCCCTTCTTCTGCCCTTGTGCCCTTTTTTGCTCGTCTGCAGGTCGAGTACCCGCCGTACTGGACTCACACAAACTGGGCCGAGGGCTTCCGAAAGCTGCTGGATGCGATGGGATTGAACAAGGTGCATCTGTTTGGCGCATCGCTGGGCGCGTTCTTGGCTCAAAAGTTTGCCGAGTACATGTACAAGACCGAGCGCGTCCAGTCGCTCTTCTTGTGCAACGGCTTTCCGGACACGAGCGTTTTCACCGACATGCCGTACGCTGGCACGTACTGGATGATTCCCGCCTTCTTGCTTCGACGACTGCTCCTGTCAAACTTCCCGGAGGCTTCCGTTGAGCCGCGTATCGCTGATTCGATCGATTTCATGGTTGAACGGGTAACCACCAAGCCTTATTGTTTTTTTTTTCGTGTGGAATGTGGTGCTTTGGGTGTTGCGATTCCATCATCTTCCGGCGCCTGATGGAGGTTTTTGTTTTTCTTTTCTTTTGGAGTGCTGCCATTTTCTGACGGTGGAATTGTGTCGTTTGACTGCAGCTCGAGTCACTAAAGCAAGCCGAACTCGCATCTCGATTGACCCTCAACTGCCTTGAGGCGTACGTTGAGCCGCAAAAGCTCTCTCGCGTTCCAGTAACAATCATGGATGTAAGCATCACTTCGCTGGTTGCGGATGTTAGATCGCATGATGCAAAACCAATCGTTTCTCATTCTCTGACACACTGAACTTCCGCCAGGTGTTTGACGAGTGTGCCATTTCGAATCGTGTCAAAGAAGATCTCTACAAGTGCTATCCGCACGCAAAGCTGGCCCAACTCAAGTCTGGAGGAAACTTCCCTTACCTTTCTCGCCCCGAAGAAGTGACCATGTACATTCAAGTACGTTTGGCATGGATCAGCGAATCGCTTTTCTGGGGGTTTGATTTGTAAAGTACTAACTATTTCTTTGTTTTTTTTGTCGTCCGGCTCAGGTGCATTTGCGGCAATTTACCGGGACGGACGTCGACCCTTGCGCAAACACGCTGGTTCAAACATTGAATAATGCAGCTGCAGCGGCGGCGGCAACATCGAGCAGTTCTTCTTCCAAGAAGAATGGCAGTTCTGCAGACCTTCCCGCCACCACCACTACCACCACCGACACCACCACCACCACCGACAGCAGCAGCAGCAGCGGCAGCAGCAGTAGTAGCGCCTCGCAGTCAAGCAGCCGCAGCTCCGCCAAGGGCAAGCCCACCACTGCCGCCTCTGCGGCTCCGGCAATCACCGCTCCCAAGCCTGCGCTGAAAGGCAAGGCGAAAGCCAGCGCAGCCGAAATCCTCTTCCGCGACGATGAGATTGTCGACGTGAACAGCTCCAGCTCGTCGAGCATTTTGATTTGAGTACCAGGTTGATTTTTTGAAATTCTGCTTTCTTTCGCCATTTCCACGCAAAGTTGGGTTTGGTCCATTTCTTGGGGCACTTCTCGATGTAGCGTTTTGTTCTGGTGCTGGTATCTCCACTCACTTTGTTGATTTGTCTGCCCCTTCCCCTTCCTGATGTTCTCTCTGTTGCTGCTTTTGCATATTACTGTATCGTTGATGGTCGATGTTGCGTGAATGCAATGTATCGTTGGAAAATTACAAACCGAACAAATACCAAACTTTCGCTGATACTAGTATTGTTGAGAAGTTGTTGATTTTGATGTTGTTTGGTTTATGAAAGTTTCTTGAGCACACACACACACACTGAACCTGGGCAAAGAAAGCTCCACAACAGTCTTCAGGACGTTCTCAACGCATTCCGGCTTTGCCACGCGCAAGCCACCCATTAATTTTGCGTCAATCGGCGTTGCTGTCGATGCCGATACAAATCCATATCTGCCGTGCTCATTTCGCCGCCCGAGCCCTGTTCCTCATCGCTGTCGTTTTCAAAGCGCCGCTTGGCCCCTGCAGGTCGTGGCAGCAAGGTTGATCGACGCATCTCTTGCTCGGGGGCAATAGGCTCAAAGCGCGAGCGTCGCGGGCCGCGGTGCTGCAACGCTCCGGGTTGCTGGGTCAGGAAGGGCTGCTGCTGCTGCTGCTGCTGCTGCTGCTGCTGTGGGTGATGCCCATCGTGTACCACGGCCGGAAGAAGCTGCATGATCTCTGCCTCGTTGACAAAAGGTCCACTAAACGAGTCCGGTGGCGGGAGCGCAAGCAGGAGCGAGGCGATTGCAGGAGGAAGAAGCGCGACAGGGAAGCGGTAGGTTGTCATCGGACCTGCTGGCGGGTCGCTGGCGCCTCGTCCAAACGCAGGGCCACTACTGAACTCTGCCGGAGCGCCACCTGAAGGACCAAACGAGTGCTGCTGCAAGAATTCGGTCGCATCTACTTTCAATGGCGTCATGGCCGCCGTATCGGGCATTGGAAATCTGGATTTAGGCTCGCTAGCCAGCGGAGCCACACTGGAAGCCCCGACTGGCACACGAGCTGCCACAAGCAAGGGCAAACAGAACAAAGTAAGCACAAGAGAAAATGCAAATCTTTCACTCACCCAAAGACTGACTGATTTGCAATACAAACCTGCTGTCCCACTAGTCGGGTCTCGGGCGTAGTCCATGCTGGCTAGCACGGCGTCCGAGCATGGAAAAGCGTCTTGAAACTTGAATCGGTCGATCGCCGTTAATGCAGCAATCGAGACTGGCTTGTTGTCAAAATCGGCAGCGTACATTGTGCGGATGCGCTCGTCGATAGATCGAATCGCGGCCGTGCTGCAATTGAGAGATGGCAAAAAGGCCAACAGAAAAAACAAACAAACAAACAAACAAACAAACAAACAAACAAACAAACAAACAAACAAACAAACAAACAAACAAACAAACAAACAAACAAACAAAAAGCCCCGAACAAATGAACGTGTTTGTTTTGCCTCAACCACCCGCTTTCCAATTCGAGCATGCACTTGCCTGCCATTCTCGCTCTCAAAGGCCAAAAACTTGGAGAGTAGTGCGCGCGCTCCCGACTTGTCAGTCTGAGCAACCAGCTCTTCAAACGCTGCGCGAGTCGTATTGTCTTCATTCAGGCTGGCGAGGAAATCGAGGAAGGCGAGCGAATATCCGGCATCTCCCTTGAGCTTTCCCGCGCCAAAGCCGGCTCGGAAGATTTTGGTGGCAATATCGGTCGAGGCGTGGTGATACTCCATGTGCGCCGAAGCAACGTACAGGTGGTGGGTGGTGCGAGGATCCTTGCGAGCAGTGATGAAGAGGGGACGTGCCGCCTTGAGGCCCTCAGTTCGGCGCAAAAAGCGCATCTGATGGATGTAGGCCAGGCTCAACTCGCGATTAGCGTTGTCATCGTTCCCTTCCGACTGACCGGCCGTGTCTGTCGCGTCCCCAGCTGCGGTCGCTTCCGCAGGTTTGACAACGGGCGCGCGTTGCTCCTTTTGATCGATTTCCTGCTGCTTGGCCTTGATGAGATTATCAAAAATCTCTTTAACAGTCGCAGCATTTCCTCGTCGCTCCTCAAAGTCTGCGTAGAATAATTGCAGCAGCAGGTTTTCAGGAAGCAGTTCCGAACCAGCTTTGAGCCTGTGGACGGGACGAGACCAGGCAGCACACGAAGAGAAAAGAGAAAATAGAAGAAGCAAGCAAGCAAGCAAGAAAACAAAACAAACGCACAAACAAAGATTGGTCAGCAGGAAAAATACAAAAGCAAGCCGCGACAAGCACCGACAAGGGTTCAAAACGCCAGAGATTTAAAACACAAGTTACGTACAACAAAGCAGCACGTTCGATTTGCTCGTTCGTTTCCAGGTACACGACAGCATCAATCCTGCATCACGCAAACAAGTTGGCAACATGGTTCATCCCCGCTACAGTAGTTTTCCCAGTTCGAATCTCCTCAGGCTTACCAAAAGTGAACATGATGCGGCATCGACAGGAGACATTGGCGATAGGCATAGATCACACGTGAGACCAGGGCGAGTGGGTCCTCTAATTTGAGAGGATTGCTCTTTTCATAGTTGATAAACCGCCGCCAAATCGACGCGACTTGATTCTGTCGTCCATGCAAACAAGAGCGCAGCGCGGATAGTTGGAAAGTGAGGTTGCAGCCCTTCTTGCGGCCATGAGGAGCAATCGAAAGAAACCCTGGCCCCCAAACAACGACAACGACAACAACGACAACGACAACAACAACAGCAACAACAACCACAAAAACCACAAAAACCCCAATCAAACAACAACAATCGACCTGGTACCTCTCGTGCAGAGCCCTCGACTGGGACGGGCATCCAATTCTTTGGCAGGGTATCAAGAATAAGCTTGCGCTCCTTGAAACTAGATCGTGCTGTCATGTAGGCAGCGGATCGTTCGGCCAAGAGCTTTTTGGCCGTAATGCGGTTGAGACCGTTTTCGTAGGCATCGTACCCTTTCCACGCGTCTTCGACTTGAGCAATCGGGCTAACGACTGCCTTCTGGTATGTGCGCCGAATTCGATCCATCTACGTTTCAACAACAAGAGGAGGTGCGTGATGGCGGTAACAGAAGAGAATGTTGCGGCAGTGAGGATGCGATTGCGGAGGAATTTCAACCACGACCAACTCCAACATGGCAACAACAATAACAACAACAACGTGCCTTCATGCCCTCGGCGTGTGGGTTGCCAGCGGCGTCTTGCGATTTCAAAAAGTCAATGTACTCCAACCAGATGGAGGTCGAGTTCAGGTCGAGTCCAACGTGTTCCAGAGTAAACTCGTATGCTTGAGTCATAACCTATTTTCAACGTTAAGATTGGAAGTGAGTTTTTCCCCCCAAAATAGTAGGTATTTCCCCCCTCCAAGGGTTGCAGCGACAACGGATCAAATTAAGAAACGGGCGGCGTGTGTTGACTCATTCTCCTTGCAGATGAACACACAGCAACGGGCACGGACCATCGACCAAAATCATGCATACCTCGCGGAAGTCCGGAAGTGTCCTTTTCGTGTCTCGCATATACCCAACATATGTCTTCCATAGGTCGACTGCGGGAACTTTGAGCAAGCATCGTTGGAAGATTGCTTCGACCTTGTCCGGATGGCCCATGCGAACCTGCGTGCAGACAGAGTTTTGTAGTAAGTTGTGATATCATCGCACAACCATTCTCGCGCACGACGAAAGAGGTCCAGATTGGCATCGTCGCGGCGCTCTGAGCGTTGCGGCTGAGAGCATGTTTGTTACCTCAAATTCAATGTACATTTTCCAATGGCGACCGGAAGTCGGAAAGAGCTTCAAGAAGCGCTCAAATACATCTCGCACTTGGTCTCCTGTCATGTTCTGTGTGTGGGGTGAATACGAGGGACGGAGACAGAGTTCGTGAGCATAGTGCCATTGCAGCCCGTCGTCCAGCAACCCCTGGCTCCAGTTCAACCACGCCCCGATGCACACCCGGGATCCGTCGCGTCAAGCAGCGTAATGCTGCCCATGCCGAACCAATGCACAGGCTGCGATCTGCTCAACCACCCAGGACTGCAACCAAAACGAAAACGTCGAGATCTCGCTGCTTCCATGCGAGAGGCCGCGCTGCCTCATCATCATCATCATCATCATCATCATCATGCATGAGGATGCATTCGTCAATCATCATCATGTGTTGTCAACAACACACCTTGGTTTCGGCGAGCAGCACTCCCCATGCGTCGACGTCGTAGGGCTGCTCTGCAATCCGCGCTTCAGCACGATCCGCCCGAGTTGCACCCCGCGTCGCCATTCACAAAGCACTGCAACAAACAAAACAATAAACAAAGAATGAATTGAACTACGAAATAAAAGAAAAAAAAAAAAACAATGCATCGACAGTTTCGCTGTTTCTTCGTTGCAATCTGAAAACAGTCGCTCATGGATTTGCGTGCGTCTGGTCAGCCGCATTCATTCATTCATTCATTCATTCATGGTCGACTTTCAATGTGATTCTTGCCTTCCAGTCATTCATTCATTTTTTTTTGCTTTTCCTGCCAAGTGATCGATGAGCGAGTCGGGGTTGGGCACAGGCAGCGACAGCAACCCAACGTCAGCACCGCTGACCGCTCCCGCCAAGACCAACCTCACTGCGCATCATCACGATCGACAGCACCACGAGAACGGCCACAGCAATGGAAGCGGCGCCGACAGTCATGCTGCTGCTGCTGCGGGACAGCCTGACGCAGGAGAGGACTCTGACAACGCTCAGTCCTCCTCCTTCCTGAATGGTGCTGCTGCTGCTGCTGCGACGCCAACCATCACGACGCCGACGACGAGCACAGCAGCGAATGCGACGAATGCGACGGCGGGTGCGCAAGTGGCTCCCGCGGTTGGCTCACAGCCGTACCAGCCGAGTTCCTCCAACTCCAATGCAAGTAGCAATGTAAGATTGGCAAGCTGGTTGACTGTTTCCATACATTCATTCACTCTTTGCTCAGATCGAGTTGCACTGGTACTCACTCACACACGACATTGATCAATGTTGCTTGGTTGAAACACAACCTAAAACAAACAAACAACAACAACCGCCGACAACAGGAGCAAAGTCACATACTGCGCGTCACCGTGTATGGAGCGACCAATCTGGCCAAGCGAGACTTTTTCGGGGCTGCCGACGCGTACTGCAAGCTGTGGATTGACAATGGCGTGCAAGAGAAGACCACCTCCGTCCAGAGACGCACGCTGTCTCCACAATGGGAGGAGCAATTCTACTTTCATGTAAGTTAGATTTGTTCAATCGACCAAACCGAGATTTGTTGTGTTTGTGTTGACTTTTGGCAATCGTGCATTGATAGGTCGTGCCAGCTCGCTCGGTGCTGCACTTGCACGTGTTTGACAAGCATACCATCACTCGAGACGACTTTCTCGGCATGATTGAAATCCCGCTCGTCTCGTTTCCCGTCATTGGCAATCAGAGCACCAATCCTCAGGCGGACAGACTGCTTTCGTACACGCTTCGGCCGCGCACAAGCAAGACCAAGGTCAAAGGAGAGCTGTCTGTGCGTTTGTGCTACCTGCTCAACATGCCACAAGGCGCCTTTCTTGCCGTTCCTGGAGGTACGCAGCGCGTTCGGAGTTCCAGCGCGTCGTCTGCGTCGGATATCGCGTCGTCCAGCGCGGCATCTGCAGCAGCAGCCGAGGCACACAACCAGCCACTACCCGAGGGCTGGGAGGTGCGGGAGGACCCCACTGGCCGCACCTACTATGTCGACAATGTGTCTCGGTCTGTCGTGTTTGAAAAGCCGACGCTAGACTCGTCCCGAATTTTGCGCGAAAACGTGCCGCTTCAGCGCCAGTCTACGTTCGAGCGCTTCCGGTAAGAAGTGAAGGACGATTGTTGAATTTGTTCTGGAGAAGAAGGAACAGCGGAGACTGACCGAAACGGCGTGTGCAATCGCTTCGTTTTGTAGCTCTCGTATGCATTTAATGGATGTGTCTCGAACGCCTGACAACACTGGGAGCCCTTCCGCGTCCCCCCGATCGCGATCGCCGAGCACCAACGCCGCGCCACAAACAACAACAACAACAACACAGACAACGACACAGAACACGGCCTTGTTTGGTGGTGTGCAATACGGTAGCGGCCCGTTGCCTGACGGCTGGGAAATGAAGTCTACCGCCAGCGGGCGCCCATTCTTTGTCGATCACAACACCCAGAAGACAACGTGGGATGACCCTCGGTTACGTGCTGGCCAGACATTACAGACCGCGCCGTCCACCCTCACCGTACCGCAAGCCGCCTCTCCGGACACCGATGGAGACAAGCTTTCCGCGGAGGCTCTTGCAGCAATACAACAGCAGCCACTACCGCCAGGTTGGGAGATGCGCCGCAACAAGGAGGGCCGGGCATTTTTTGTCGATCACGCAAGCAAGCTCACTCAATGGACCGATCCGCGTCTTCCCGTCGCCAAGAAGCCCAAGTCCAAAACGCCAGGCTACTCGCGCACTTATCGACAAAAAGTTGCTGCCTTCCGTGCAGGGCTTGTCACCACAGAAGGGGTGTGCGAGCTGCACGTCACTCGTGAGCACGTACTGGAAAACTCTTTCGAGCAGTTGATGGGCAGCGCGCCCAACGTGCTGCGATCTCGGCTTTGGATTGCTTTTGAAGGAGAGAAGGGTCTTGATTTTGGCGGTGTCGCGCGGTAAATTTTTTTGAATTCGGGGTTTTGTTGATTTTGTTGCTTGCTTTGTGGACGACTCGACTGACGTGTGATTGGTGTTGCTTTGGGGGCGTTCTAGAGAATGGTTTTACTTGGTGTCGCACGAGCTTTTCAATCCATACTATGGCCTGTTTGTTTACAGCGCAACGTAAGTATTTTGTTTTGCTTCTTCCAGTTGTTGACTGTTTTCAACAGAAAATGGAGCCGCACTCATTTCTTTGATCGCCTGCTGTTTGGATGACACACAGAGATAACTATACACTGCAGATCAATCCCAATTCTGGCGTGAATCCCGATCACTTGCAATATTTCCGATTTGCAGGTCGGCTTGTGGGCATGGCAGTTCACAATGGCAAACTGGTGGATGGTAAGCAACTCCAACGAAGGTATAAACATGCGGCGAGCCGTGCTAACTTATTTTGCTAACTCGTCTTGTCGTCTTCGCCAGCCTTCTTTATTACGCCGTTCTACAAGATGATGCTTGGCAAGCACCTGTCGTTGGACGACATGGCCAGCGTCGATGCCGATTACCATCGAAGCTTGCTGTGGATTTTGGACAATGACATTACCGATACTCTGGACCTCACTTTCAGCGATGAACACGAGGTGTTTGGCGAGCGTGTTATGGTGGAACTGAAGCCCGGAGGTGCGAATATTCCCGTCACCGAGGCAAACAAGTCGGAATACGTCAAGTAGGTCTGCAAGGAATTGTGTTTCATTTGAGACTTTTGGACGGAACGGAAACTCATCGTGTGTTTGTTGGAAACGTTACTTCCACAGCTTGCTGGCGTCTTGGCGACTCTCGCGTGGTATCGAGGAGCAGATGAAGTCGTTCATGACTGGGTTTAACGAAATTATCTCCGAGGAGTCAATTCGAATGTTTGACGAGAAGGAATTGGAGGCACGTGCGCGCTATTTTTGTCGGAGGAGGGCGGTTGCAGTTCCTTGGATTGACTGTCACATGTTCCATGGTGCTTGGACAGTTTTTGACGGGCGGAATTGGCGAGATTGATGTTGAGGACTGGAAAGCACACACGCAGTATCTCAACGGCTATCATTCCCAACATTATGTCGTGATCTGGTTCTGGAAGGTTTGGCTCCAAAAACGCATGCTTTGCTGTTGGGGTTCTTTGCCTGATCTCATCCATCCTGTTGGTTTTTCTTCATTGCTGCAATTCGCTCAGGTGGTGGACTCGTTTGATAACGAAATGCGAGCGAGATTGCTTCAATTTGTAACGGGCACTTCGCGAGTGCCAATGAATGGCTTCCGCGAGCTGTATGGCAGCGATGGTCCTCGTCAGTTTGCCATCGAAAAGTGGGGTCGACCCGATCAACTTCCTCGATCGCACACTTGGTATGTTGGAAAGCAAACAAAAGCTCCACAGAGAGTTTTGATTACGACCCAAAGTTGTTGTGCGATTGGCTGATTTTTCTAACTTGTGTGGCGGATGTTGTTTTCCTCTTGTAGCTTCAACCGACTCGATCTCCCATTGTACACTGACTTCCACCAACTGCGAGAAAAGCTTATGATTGCGATTGAAAGTACAGCTGGTTTTGACAACGAGTAAAGAAACTACTGTACGGCAGGCGTCCACAATACTGTCGCATTTCTCCTTGTCCAACAGTAACACGAGTAAAGCGCAGCAATCCACTTGACGCACCAAAAGAAGAACATGAATGTGCCTAAAATTCCTAGTATTGTACATGCTAATTTCTCAAAAAATTCACTAAACAGCTGCCGCCACTTTTTCAAAAGGCAGACACGATGATCAACGCCGACGCAATGGCGGCAATCACCACCAAAAGCACGGCGGCGACAACAATGACGCGCATGACCGTGTCGGAACAGAGCACGCTCTGGGAGGACGCAACAACAATCCGCGTGCACAAGCGCGACCGACGGCGGGCACGCTCCAGGTCAAGGTCCGCCTCGCGTCGTTCCAAGTCGTGCAAGCGCTCGTCGTTTTGCCATGTCGCAACGACATCAGCGCTGTAGACAGTTTTGCACACCTCACAGCTGTCGCGGCGGCCTTTCGAGTACGGGGACAGCACCCACGCATGGAGGCATGCGCGATGGACGGCGCCCATGCTGCCCTTGCAAGCGCAGGGCGTGATGAGCTTTTCCTCGGCTTCCTCTTCGGTCATCTTGCAGTACCGGCAGGTCAAGGCGTTGCTGCTGGCGATTGACGATGTGCTTGCTGGCGCCGCGAGGGGCTTCGGCACGCTGTGACTTTGCACCTCGACTTCGATAACCACGCAGTCGCCTTGGCTTTGCGAGGTCGTGCTGAACTGGCGCGAGAAGTGAATCGGGCCTTCGAGCCTGCCCGCTGCGTTTTGACTAATTTGGCGCTGCAAGAGCTGGTTGTTGGCGCTGGCAGCCGCAGCAGCAGCAGCAGCCGTGGTGGCGATCGCCAATTCTGAAGCAATGAACGGCTCAATTGTCGAGAATGCCAAGGGGCGACCTTGCGTCACATCATCGCCATCGTCCTCGTCGTCCGACACGTGAAACAGCGGTTGAGGGGCCACTTGCAGCATCTGCGGGGCTCTGGATTCAGCGGCACCATCGTCCAGAAGTAGTGCGACGCTCTCCCCGTCACGCCTTGCAGCCAGCTGCTGGTAGCCCGACGGAATGAGCGACATGGCAATGTTTGTCAGGGATGGCAGGGACCAGCTTGACTTGAGCAAACCTCCCACAGGCGCGCGATCGTCCGAATTCGCGGCGGTGGCGGCGGCAGGGTTGTTGAAGGAGGTGATTTGGATCTGAACCCGCTTCTTGGTGGTAGTGGGTGGCGCCGCCCCCTCATTCAGCCTGTCGCGAAGTGTGGCAGCGGCCATGGCTGATGCTCCTGCAATTGCGGCGTTCTTCTCGTTGGCCGCCGCTGCGTTGGTAGCGTTCACGTGTAATGCCTTGAGATTTGCGGCACTTCCCAACAGTAAGTCGCCTTCCCACGCATCGGGCGCATTGCCTCGCTTGCCTGAGACTGCTGGCGCCATGCTTCCCGACATGTCGATCGCCACATCGTCAGACCAAGGCGGCAGGTACAGCACACGGGACGGGTCGGCGGTGCGTTGATTGTTGGAGGTGCAGGTGGGAGGTGCGACAACAACGTGCCGCCGCGTTTGGCAATCTGCGGTTTCCGCTGGCCACTTCTGAGCACCCATCGCCCCAACGGCCACAGCGCCCGTTTCCACGGCAGATCGCCCCGTCAGAGGCTGCATCTCGCATTGAGGATGTTGTTGTTGTCGTTGTTGTTGACAATCAAGGAAGGAGGGCATTGGCGAGGATGGCTGGGGGTGCGGGCTGCCGCTGATCGGTGTTCGCAGCTGGTTCGCAGCGACTGACACGTGCGACGTAAACGGGTCCAGCTGTTCGCCGCCACGTTGCTCGACGCCGCCTGCCGTTGTCGGCAATGATGTGGCAGCTGCACTGCTGAAGGCAAACAGGGGGAGCGACGCGGGTGCTCGAAGGGGTTGATGGCGCGGCATGTTGTCCTAAAGTGACTTTTGATGACAATCACGAAAACGAGCGGAGCGTTTTCTTTCAGTTGGTTTGCAGCGCAGCAAACGGGTTTTCGTTCAAGTTTGGGAAGCCACAAGGCCTACACTAAAATTCGCAACGAAGAGACAAGAAAAAAAAAAGATTTTTTGTTTTAAACAAAAATGTTGACTGAAGAAGAGGAACTCGAACAAGAAATGGAAAATTGGAACGATTCCAAAAATGCTGCGCTCGACCAAAAAAGAACCAAGACATGTCTCGGGTTTGGCCGTACTAGTCTACTTGTCTGGCGCGACCGCCGTAACGCTCACTCGAATGTGCGTCTGTAGCTTACATCAAATGAAAGCTCGAGTGTTGGAGTGAGTAAAAGGGGAAACGATGGAGGGTGTTTAGTGGCGTTTTCCCAGAGCGGGTCATTGCGCGGGAAAAATGATTGGGGAAAAACCAGAAACCATTGGGATTTCCGACGGTTGAAAAAGCGGAAGGTGCAAAAAACAAGCAGGGCGAGGCTTACGAAAGTCATCAACTTGCACTACAGTCCACTGTTTGGAATGATGCTTCAGCATGCAACGGCTAGCAGAGTTCTGTGTAGAGTTTCAATCATCTAAGCACGGGGCGAACAGAGTCAATCTGAGCCAACTCCTCGACCACTTCCCCCCTTTTTCACTCGGTTGCCGCTGTTCATACCGCAAATGACAAAAAAACAAACAACACAACAAGACAAAATCGTTATTACAATGGCTGGTCATACAACAGTACGCAAATTTAAATGCTAGAATGGAATTGGTACAACGCATCGCCGTCGTCCGGGTCGGCGTCTACCGACGCAAAGGCATAGGAGGCAGCAGGGGCGGCTCTTCCTGTTGCAGAGGGGGCAGAAACGGATGACGCAGAATTGCTGGCAAGTGGGGTGGACGATCGTGCAGGGGCGGCGGAGGAAGGCTGAGTTGAGCTGTTCGACGCTACGGTATTGGCGCCATCAACCGCCTTGCGGCAGACTGGACACGTCCCGTTCTAAAGGTACGGGTAGAGCACAGGCAGCAGCAGCAGCAGCAGCAGCAGCAGCAGCAACAACAACAACAACAACAACAACAACAACAGTCGAGTCAGTAACCGAACAACTAGAGCACGAATACACTCAACTTTTTTGCTCCTTCGTCAGTACCTGCTTTAGCCATGGCAAAATGCAATTGTTATGGAAAAGATGGTGACAGGGCAGTTGCAAAACACCCTCGTCTAGGGAAAACGAGTCTTTGCACACGGCACAGTCGCCGGACGAAGCTACAAATTTCAAACAATCGAAATACATGCCAGCAGCCATTACGAGTTGCGTGAGAGGACAAGTCAGCAAACGAGCGCACACCTCAAGCTGCTTGTATTGGCCCCCCCCCGCTTCTCTGACCACTCAGCACGGACCTAATAGCTCTGCCGTCATCAAGACGGTAGGCAACGACGAAAGCGCCGCGCTGGATGCTGGAGGCGCGCCTTGCTTGCCACCAGACTGCTCCATCAGCCTTGTGATGACATTATCCAGCCCTGCATCATCATGCACATAGTCGCCCGGGTTTCCCACCATTGGGTTGACGACTTGAAAAAGACTGCATGCACCGGCACAAGCCGAAACCAAAGTGAGCGAGTGCTCGATCCATCAAAACGCGCAATTGATTCGTTGTCGATGTTGTTCTTACCCTCTCAGTGCGTGAGACATTGGATGAGTTTGTCCAAAACTAAAACGAATGTGTGGTTGTGTTTGGGGTGAGCGAAACAGAGCTTGAAACCAGAATCTCAACACAAAACGCAACGATTCTCGGATGCCATACCCTCCTTGACCATGATTAATCAGCGCCATCAGAATAGACATCCTGTTATTGTCATCGGGTTGTGGCCGGGGGTGGGGGTGGTAGGCAAAGTAGCGCATCACCAAAAACAAAAAGCAGCTTATTTGTTAAGACAAAGACCACAGGCACGAGGCCATCTCCATATACGCGCATCAGAGCTCAGACTCCCCACATTGGATTGTGCTTACATTTCGTCGCGGTTTTGCACATTGACGCCGCGGTGCCGTTGCTGCTCGGAGGAAGCGGCGCGATGGCTGGACGGCTGCTGCGGTCGAGTGCTGGCCGTCTCAGTGGACGAAGCCGCCGCGCCAGTGCTTCCGCCTCGACTCCCTGCTGCGCGAGTGTTGGTGCTCGGTGCATGCGACACCCGCGTCGTCGAGGTCACCGTGTTGCGATTGCGCGAGAGCCGCCGGCCGACCGAGCGAGTGCCTCTGAACTCGACCTCGTCCTCTGCAGCAGCGTCGTCGCCCTCGCCCTCGTCGTCGTCGTCGTCGTCGTCGTCGTCGTCGTCGTCGCCGTCGCCGTACTGGTCATGAATGCCCCTCAATGCATGGCTGCTGGCTCCACGAAGGAAGCTGGCGAGCGGGTTGTCGTCCTGTTCATCGTCATCGTCCTCGTATTCATCGTCGTCGTCGTTGTCGTTGTCGTCGACGCTCTGAGCGGTGCCATCGTGACCAGCAGCAGCAGCACCACCGTCTTCAATCTCCTCAACAAAGCCCGTGTGACAGTGATCGCACACGATGCCGTCGTCGCTGGCCACAGGCGGATCGACCACGCTGAACTGCAGGTTGCAGTTGTGGCAAAAGTAGTGCTTGACGGCCATTCTCTAACTGAGCGTCTGAGCACACAGCATCTGAGAAATGAAGATTTACAGAGTCGACATGATGGCGCGAAGCCAATCGTCGGGTTTTGATGCGATGCTGATTGTGTGGACATTCACGACAAAACCAAGCGAGGCTCAGAATCCGTGAATCATTGCGTAAGCACGACAAGGATGTACGCCTCGCAAAAGGTCTTTTTCTGGTTGCAGTGTACTCGCGTATAGAAAGAGTCGAGAGTTAGAAAGATGGGGGTAGAGATTTCAGACAAATCCCCACTCCACTCCCCCTTTTGCGTTTCGTCTGAGCAAAGCGGTTTTCCCGCCAAAAAACACACCTGACCTTCGCTCGGATGGCCAGTCCTGCTGCTGAGCCGACGCCAGAGCCGCTGTTCATCTTGCGTGGCTTGAATGGAGCAGTGAATGCGCTGTGCTTCCATGCACGCACTGACTTGGGCGAAAGCGGCGATCCAGACTGGCTGATCGCTGGGTAACGTGTTCAGCAGCGCCCTCGCTACGTCGGTGGTTGCAGTTGAATTCTTACCTTGCGGTCTGTCTGTCTGTCTGTCTGTCTGTCCTGGCAACATTTGGCTCAAACTCGGATCAGCACTGCGCTCGGGGCGTTGTCCGTGTGGGGCATGGAGCTCAAGCGGTCGCTGTGGACGGTGCTGGACGCGCACGACGCCCAAAGGGATTGCCGGCGTCGCTGCACTTGCGTCTGCGAATCAGATTGCAACGCAGGGACGTGATGGATTTCTCAGACTGTGGGACATGGGGCGACCGGCTTCCAGCAGAGCGGACGCGGTCTGCTCCATCCCCGTCGACACGGTCACCTTTTGCAAGCTCTCCGTGCTCGACGCTGGTTTGGGACAAGGTTTGTGTGCGCTGCTGTCCTATTTGGCGCAAGCATAGGATGGTGTTGCTCACCTTTTTTGGCGCTTGTTGCGAGGCAGCGGGAGGACCTTTGGCTGCCGTTCCTAGTCTTGACATGACGCGCACCCAAGTGATGGATCTAACGACGCAGCAGGTCATCTGCTCAGTTCCATTTGATCGTGATGCAAAGCATGGTGAGTGTTTGCTGGCAATCTTGGGCGTGCTGGAGGCGGGGGCGGCGACATGCATTTTTTTCTTTTCTGATGATGGCGTTTCTTGTCGTGTTTTTGGGCGGCAGGTACTTGCACGTCCGTCAAACTCTATCGCGATGCTGCCACTCAAGATGTGCGATTACTCGCTGGGTACGAGGGCGGTGAGGTGGTGCTCTACAGCATCACGGCCGGCAAAGTTATTTCCAAAATCCACCGCCACCAAGAAGGAGGTACGAATGAATCTCTTCAACGTTGCCTGTCTCTACGATTGCTTTACACGGTGACGAAAATTTACTTTGGCTTTTTTTTCTTTTTCTTTTTTGCGATGTCGACATTTTCAGTGCTGTCTGTGCAAGCGTCGCTCGACGAGCCTCGCATTGGATTCTCTTGCGGTATCGACGATGTCGTCTCGTCGTTCTCGCTGGAGACGAATCAGCCGCTTCAAGTGGCCAATGAAGTGCGGCTCCCTCAGCATGGATGCAACGAGCTTGCGATTCGACCGGACGGCAAGCTTGTGGCGACTGGCGGGTGGGACAGCAAGTACGATTTTCTTCTGCCTTTTTTTTTTTTTGTTTTGTTTTGTTTTTGTTTTTGTTGGCAATGTGTTGTTGGCAATGTGTTTGCGGGAGTTGCATTTCGCACAACTCAATTTCACCAACTTTCATCCAAACAGAGTTCGTGTGTTCTCCGCCAGATCGCTCAAGCAGCTGGCTGTTCTCAGACTGCACACAGACAGCGTCCATGCCGTCGCATTCAGTCATCCTCTACGCCGTAGCAAAGAGCGTGGCCACATGCTGCTGGCTACGGGAAGCAAAGACGAGCGGATTGGGCTTTGGTCGCTGTACCCTCCTCCAACGGCCTCGTCGCGCGCTTCAGTCTCATCGTAAATGTTGCTTTTCCTTCTGAACTGGCAACAATTCTACATCGACCTTAGGCCAACAAGAACACAATGCTGGACGTGTCAAACATGTGTCATTGAACGACAATCGAAACAACCGGCACACGCACAACAAGAACAGAGGTGCAACACGGCAGAACTAGTACACCTGACCAGCGGCAGCAGCAGCGTTGGCTTGGTTGATGTTGTCAATCTTCTTCAGCTGCAGCGCAGACAGCTCGCGGGCCACCTGGTCGCCGGTGAGCATGTGTGGGTACAGCTCGGCATTCTCCTGGAAGCCGTACTCGGTCAGTGGTCGCAAGATGTTGTCCGAAGCAATGTGCATGAACACTGTGGACGAAATACGCCACAGGGAGCGGTGAGCCGCCTTGGCACGTTCGATGGCCTGAGTATTGTTGTAGTTGTTGTAATGTCAAAAACATTGTAAGGAACCTTCCAAGACATTTCAAACTATCATGTGGCAGCGAGCACTCACCTCAAGTGTACGATCGGTGACAATAACTTCGTGGTAGCCGGCAATAACGCGGCCGCCAGTCAGCCACTCGAGCTGCTTGCCAGCCTGTGGGGGGGGGGGCGGGAAGGATAGGAAAAGTCGCAACAACGCAAATCGAAATGCAACGGGTCAGCGCATGGGCTTTACACCGCCTCTCCCACGACACCCCGCTGAACGACACTATTGCGCGCGGTGAGCGATAGTCTTTACTCACTTGAACGAGGAGGCAGCCGTCAGGAACGCGAACATCGACACGCTTGCCGTCGCGGCGCCAGACGTAGAGACCGGGGAATCGGGACTTGCCGTGGATGGTCAGGAAGTTGAGGTCAGTGTGGAAGCCAGCAAAGATGGTGTTCTTTTCGTGGTAACGAGCCAAATCCGAGCCAGTGGGAGCGAGCAGATGCGGCCCGTTCTTGGCGAGCTTGGTGAAGATGTCGCTGGGCATGTCAAAGCCGACAGCGACCATCTCAGACAGCGAGGTGACTGCATCCATCATGAGCGAGCCCCACTTGTTCATGACCTGGCCCCACTGCGGGAAGGCTGTCCATCGAGACAGAAAAGAAAGGACGTGAGGATTCGTTGAGAGTTCAAATTACAAGGAATTGGCACAGCTCTCGCTGCTTACCCTTGGGAACGACAGGTTCGGCATTCAGCTCCTTAAACTTGGTCTCGGAGGGACGCTCGCCAAGGCGCCAGAAAAAGCGCCACTTTGGGTCGGGGCCGACCGGAACGTGAGCGCGCTCGTCCTCGGGCATCTAGAACCAGCGAAGAGTTAAGTCATGCCTTTCCTAGTTTTGCAACCAATCACAAGCCGCTGCAAGCTTGCCCCCCCCCCCTCCCCGGACAAAATGAAAAAACAAGCAAGTACCTTGGCGATCGTGTCGAGGCACTTTGGGTCGACAGTGCAGCGAGGCACCTCCACGAGCTCGGGCGTGACACCAACCTGCACCACAAGTGCACACGCACATGTACACAACCAAAGTGAGTCCAAAGTGAGTCCAACGTTGCGCAGGCAAGCGATGATGGGGGAAAGTGGCGGCTTTACCTGGTAACCCCACTGAGGGCGCTCGTCGGCCTTCTTGTCCTCGACAGACTGCTCAAAGTACCTGGCAAGCAGATCAGTTAGCAACAAAACACAGAAAGCAGCCAGAGCACTATGCCTCTTCGTTTGCATCCTACTGTTCCATGAGGTCGAGGAAGGTCGAGTTATCCGCCTCAGTGACACGCGGATCGCGGACGACGAGGCAGCCAAACTCCTCGAGCGCCTTGGCAGCCTGAAGGAGTTGGATTCAAGCAAGCAAAGCAAGCAAAGCAAGCAAAGCACAGTGGAGTCCAAAGTGTGTGAGCCCAAAGAGTGAACTGAAGAAGAGCGAGACGAGTTTGTTATGGATGGTGTCGCGGCTTTCATTGCGTAGCAGAGAGAGAAGCTCGCGCGCTTGGCAATGCGAGCACGAAGCGTCGTGAGGAGCAGAAGAGCACCTTTCTCGGTCAAAGGGTGAATGAATGAACAAAGGAACTGGGAGGGACGCGGGGCGGCACGAGGGACGCGGGGCGGCACGAGGCAAAACATGGCGAGCCCAAAACCACACGACGGCAGTCATGGCGCACAATCAGCCGCAAAGGGTGCAAGCATTGTGTGTGTGTGTGTGTGTGTGTGTGTACCTTTGCGCACTCGGCAGCGGCTTCGGCGGAGGTCGCGTCGCTCATGAACGGCGCGAGGTTGATCACTGGAACTTCCATTATGGCGTGTTAGGTTTTGAAATTGAACAAAAGTCAAAAAAGGGAACTGATCTGAACAAAAAGAACAAAGAGTCTCAGAAACGCAGCTATTCACACAATATCAGCGTGTTATTAACAAAGTACACACAAATAAAAACCAATACAAAACCCCAAAAGCGATGTTCCGATGGCTCACGACCCGACCGATCGTCGGAGTGCGGCAAACGACGAGTGACCGCGGTTGTTGCTTCTCCGCTTCCGCCCCCCCCCCTTTTGCGAGTGGACAAAGAGAATGACCGTTTTTATTTCCGCCAATCGACACAAATCGTGACATGCTTCATCACACGCATTCATGGGGACCGAGCAAGAGGGGGGGGTAAGGAGGAACAGTGGCCGTTCCACCAAAACCAAACTCGATTCAATCGCAATTGGGATTGTTGTCGTTGTTGTTGCTACAGGCCCAGCAAGACGGCGGCAGCGGCTGCGAGGCCCGGCGCGGCCTGGACATAGTAAATGATGGGCTTGACGGTTGCGCCACCGTACGCACCGGCGATAATCACGCACACGAGGAAGAAGAGGATAAACTCGGTCGAGCCAGTGACGACGCCGTAACACAGACCCGCAGCGAGAAATCCATTGTAGAGACCTTGATTGGCTGCGAGCGTGGCAGACTTTTCCGCAAACGCCGGATCCAGCCGGAAGACCTTGCGACCGTATGGCTTGGTCCACAGGAACATTTCGAGCACGAGAAAGTAGACGTGGAGGGCTCCGACGAGCAGCGCAAGCAGCGATCCGAGCATCCTGGACTTGTTGTTGTTTTGATCCTGAGAAAATGTAGACTGACCAAAAGGAGAATATGAGATAAAATGACAATAAAAGTGTCGGCACTTTGTGAATATTGCATCAACTGGATCAGCTTCGACAACTCCTAACGTGCTGGATGACGGGCGCCGAATAAATCGCAAATGTATTGGAACCAAGAATAGAGAAAGAACGGGGAAAAAAACAGCTGAGAGCAACAAGCACAAACACACACAAAACCGATGCAAGGAAAAAAAAAATCCTTCCAAGAAGAAGAAAAACAAAAATACATCACGCTCATCATCGCTCATCGCGGAACAGCAAGCGTGCTTGCTCCTGCAACAGCAGCATCAACGGCAGCCAGCTGGGCCGCTGATGGTGCAATGCTCTTGCGCGAGCCTGTGGGTGAGAGGGACGGGGTTGTCTTGCTGGCCGAGCATCCCGAAATCCAACGGTCGCGATCCTGGACCGAGCTGCCCATGAAGAGCAGTTGGGTTGCCTCCACATCCGACATGCACGGCGCCACATCGGTGTAGCACTTGCGATGTGACACATAGTTGCACTCTGGTTGCACAAACAGTGCAGGGTGAGCGATCAAGCAAAATAACAAAAAAAAAAAAAAACAAAAAAAAACCAACCAACTACCCACAAACAACAGCAAATACTCACTTCGGCAGCAATATCCCTGCTTGCCAATGCCGTAGATAAAGCCCTTGCAGAGCAAGCACCAGGTAGGCTTGGAGAAGTGAGTCGAAACAAACTCGTGCCCTCGGGAAGGATGGAACTTTTCCTGTTAGAAAGCGCACATATGAGAGACAGGTTCGTCCTCAAACGGGCCCCTGCTGAACACGCAAAGGCGCAACAAACTCACATTGGGATCGGAAAAGACGGGCTTGCTCGAGGCGGCGGTGAGCTCGCCCTGCTTCTTGTAGAGCATCTGGAAGATGCAGTCAACCTCCGATTGCGACGCATGGATGACGTCTGCTTGGGTCACCTTGCGAACCAAGATGACGTCACTGCAATAGACAAAGTATTGGAGGGAGGGAGGGAGGGAGGGAGGGTAGATGATGAGCGGGTCGTCCAAAAAACATGTCAAGCATCAAGTAAAAAACCGGAACGTACGAAAGATCAATAATGGACAGCGGCTCGCTGCCCTTGCCCTTCTCCTCATCATAGCTCGAGACGACAACATAGCGCTTAATCCAGCCACCCTTCTTGAGATTCTTGGGGTCCTTGGGTGTCTTGAGCCATCCTTCCAGACTGCGACCGTCGACTACTCCGGACAAGAACATTCACAAAAAGGAATCGAACAGTGAGGGTTGAGGATGGCGATAATGAAAGCGCATAATAACAATGCAGCCAAAAATAACAACCCCGCCCCATCAAACGTACATGACTTGCGACGAGAGCCAGCGCTGAGACTAACAGACGAGGCGCGCATAGACATCCGTGTGTCACCTGGCTCGGGAAGACTCAACGATGCGACCGACATGTTGTCGCCCAACGCGCTGTTTGCCAGCTGCTCGTTGAACTGCTCGAATTGCGCCGTGAGCTCATCGAGTTGATGGCGCAGCTCCTGGATCTCAAACTCCTTTGTGTCTGTTTGCATCTTGAGCTTGGTGGTGAGCTGGCGTTCTTCTTGCAACAGTTTCTCGAGGTTTCGGAACTCCTACAAGCATGAAAAAATGGGTCGGGAGGGGAAGAACATGAGTGTTGAAAATGGGAAAAAGAACCACTTCCCCCTCCCCACTTCGAAACAAAACCAACCAAACAAACTTAAACAAAAGAAGAAAACCACTGACCGTGGAGCGAGTCTGCTTCTTCTCGGCATAGCGCGAGTCTGGTGCCTTGCTGTCGGATTTGCCGGATGCGGGCATCTTGCTGAGCTTCTCGAGAGCAAGATTGAGCGCACTCTCCTTCTGGGTGCTCTGGATGATGATTTGCTCTTTGGCGCGCTTCTCTTCGACGAGGCGCTTCTTGCCAGCAGCCACTTCTTCCTGCAGGAGGTGCTCTTGGTTCTTGGCCTCATTGACGAGGGCGTCCAGTCGGGCACGCTCGGCCTCCAAGCTTTCCTTGACAGTGGTCTGTTGAGCCACCTGCTCCTGAAGCTCGGCAACGCTAGCAGCAGCACTCGCTTGGGCGTCGGCCAGCGACTTTTCGGCGTTGTTGGCGCGCGTGGTTTCGCCCTTGACCTCGATCTGCAGCAAGGACAAGTTCTTTTCAGCCTCTGCAAATTTGCTCTGCAGCTCGGCGAGAGCCTCAACGTCGCCGTCGAGCTTGGACTTGGAATCCTCAAACTACAGTCGCAACACGAAAAGCGGCAAAATGAGACACTCATCCGCACAAACTCAACCTCAACATATCGAACATGGCATCACCACACTCACCTTAGCCTTGAATCCATCGCGAGCCAGCTCAGCCTCCGATACAAGAGCCTCCACCTGGGTGACGCGACGCGTCTTCTCCTCCAACTTGGCAGTAAGGTCGGCGAGCTTGGCATCGGAGCCTTGGTTGGCAGCCTCGGCAGCCGCGAGCTTGCGGGAAACTTCCTTGACTTCGATCTGGGTGGTCACGTTCGACTTGGCGAGCGAGTTGTACAGGGTCTGGAGCTCGCGGTGAGTGGCGCGCTCCTGCTCGAGCTGCGACGTCAGGGAAGTCACGCGCTCGGTGGAAATGGCCTTGCTAGATTCCAGTTCGCGCAGCTTTTCGCGCGCATCGACCGCCTCCGTGTGCTTGGCATCCACCTTGGCCTTGAGCGTCTCAATCTCAGCTTCGGCCTCCTTGTGAGCCTTGACGGCCTTCTCGTGCTGTCGCTCTGCCTCCTTGAGATCGAGAGCCGAGATGGACAGCTTGCGCTCCAACTCGCTCACAGCATTGCGCTGTTGATCGTACAGGGATTGAATGCGAGCAACCTCGGATTTCAAGGCCTCAACCTCCTTGACGTGCGCTTGCGACTCGGCAATCTCGCTGTCGCTGCGATCAAGCTTCTTGCGGTGTGCGACGCGCAGGCTCTCGAGCTCCTCCTCGGCACGCTTGAGCTTGTCCTCGGCGTTGCGCTGATCGACAATCGCCATGGCCTTGGCCTTCTCGACAGCTGCCAGCTCTTCTTGCAGCGACTGACGCTCGCGCTGCTGGGTTGCAAGGCTGGCCTTGGCCGTCTCGAGTTCGGCACTCGAAGCGCTCGCCTTGTCCGTGAGCGACTTGACACTGTCCGTCAGCGAGGCAACCTGCGATCGAAGCGCAGCCAGAGCCTTTTCGGCTTCCTCGGCACGCTTGTCGCCGTCGGCACTGTTCGAGGACGCAGTGGACAGTTTGGCCGTCGCCTCCTTGAGCTCAATCTGCGCAATGGCAAGCTCCTTCTCAAGGTCGGTCTTGGCAGATTGCAGCGTCTTGTTCTGGTCGGACGCGCGGGTGAACTGCGACTTGAGCTCGTCCAACTCGTCCGCCATGGTCTCGCGCGCCTCGGACAGCTGCTTCTTGGCCTCGTCGAGCTGCTTCTTGTACTCGCGCTCGCGCGAGAGGTCGCCGGCGTTTTCGCGCAGTTGCTCCAGCTCGGATTGCAAGCGCTTCTTGGACTTGGTGGCCTCCTCCACGAGTCGATTGGCCTCTTTGACTTCCAGCTTGCTGACAGCAACGGTCTTTTCAAGGTCTTGGTTGGTCTTTTCGAGCTCCTTCATCAGGCGCATGGCAGACTCTTGCTCTCGAGCAGATCGATCCGTCTTGCGCGAGTTGGCCTTGAGCTCCGTCTCCGCAAGCTTTCGGGCCTCGATTTCGAGGTCAAACTTCTTTTGCAGCGAGTCAAACTCGGACTTGAAGCGCGCCTTTTCGCGTTCGAGCGCCTCAATTTGAGCCACCAGCTCATCCTCCGCACCGCCGCCGCTTGCCGAGGCAGGCGCAGCAATCGCGATTGGCGCTGCAGGGCGCGCAATCTCAGTGCCATCAGCACCGACAACCTTGAAGCGGTTGCTACGAGCAAAGGTGTAGCCAACGAACGGCAAGTGGTTGCCAGAGAAGGTCTTTGGGGCCGGGAAGTGCTCGTTGTGCGTATGCTCCTCATCAATATCCTCAAAGTTGGACGTGTCCACGTTGGACTTGACCTCGGGGACGACTGGCGGCTTTTGGTCGCGCAGCGTGTCCCACGAAATGCCCTTGAAGAATGGGTGAGACTTGATGTCTGCAATGGAAGTTTTGCCGAGGCGGACGTCGCGCGAGCAAATGAGCCTGGAGAAGCAAACAAGCAAACAACAAGAAATAGAGAATGATGAAATGAGAATGTTGAAGTGGACGAGGCCCGCTCCCCCCCCCTCTCCCCACTCCCTCGCGCTGTAATGCAAGAAACACCACATACTTTTTCATGAGGTCGATTGCATCGGCCGACACGGCTGGCTCGGATGGGAACTTGAGGTGTTTCTGGTGGTTCATGATTTGACCGTAGGTGCCCAGAAGCGACTCAGAGTAGAACGGGGTCTCGCCGTAAAGCAACTCGAACAGCATGATACCGACAGACCACCAATCGCACTGAACAGGCGGTCAAGGGAAAAGGCAAGCAAAAAAAGAAAAAAAAAGGAAAACCATTGTTCAAAAACACTCATTAGCTCGTCGTGCCAAAGAACAAGCAAACAGCCTGACACGCGAACGTGCTCTCTTTTTTCTTTTCGGCCTTACCTCGCCACCATACACACCAGCGCCGTTTTGGGACTCGAGAACCTCGGGCGAAATGTAATCGGGCGTGCCGATAGCGCTGTCGGAGCGAACCAGGCCGTCCTTGCCAACCTTGATGCACGTACCGAAATCGGCCAGTTTGACGTGTCCAGACGCGTCGAGCAGCATGTTGTCTGGCTTGATGTCGCGGTGAATGTAGCCGAGTTGGTGCAGCGCGTCGACGGCAAGCACTGTTTCAGCCATGTAGAAGCGCGTCATGTCTTCGGTAAAGTCGTACTTGGAGAGAATGGTGACGAGATCGCCACCAGGCACAAAGTCCATGACGAGGTACAGGTACTTTTCGTCCTGGAAGGCGTAGTGCAGCGAAATAATCCACGGCGTGTTGGATGCCGCCATCACATCGCGCTCTTGCCAGTAGAAGGCCGTGTCTGAGCGCTTGAGCATCTCAAACTTGGACAGGCACTTCATGGCGTACGTGTTGCCAGAGTGCTTGTCCTTGACGAGGTGCACCTCGCCGAACGCGCCGCGTCCAATGATCTTGACCGTCTCAAAGTCGGCGCGGTTTGGGCGCAAGCCCGTCACTTCGTTGAGGGGTTTGTTATCTGTGTTTTTTTTTTCCAGAGCGAAGAGAAACGAAGAGAAGAGAAGGAAAGCGAGCAGGTCAGGTCAAACTGGGCGATACAGTAAAATGCTGAAACGGAAACGTACACTTGGCAAGGAATTCTGGGACATTGGTCGTGCGCTTGATGCCCGCAGTGTTGCATTCGTCATAGAGAACTTGAATTGCGTCCTACTCGCATCGATCGTATGAAACAAAAGGGGGGTGGGGTTAGCCAAACGAACTGCATCACCACAATTCTACGCCAAAAAATCCTATCCGAGTTCGTGCCACCCCAGGGAAAGCCGCCTCTTGGATGCATGGTGAAATTCGTCTGTCGTCGATCACAGAGCGAAAACCACGCGAAAACCACAACATCTTCCAAGATCGAGAACCGAGACCGAGACCGAACCACAAAAAGAAAAAAAATCCGCCGAACCAAATACCAAGATTCAGAAATGACGCCCACAAACCGACCAGGCTTAAAGCGAGCTCGATGGGGGTGCTCTGTCGCCTGATTGTATGGTGGGGAAGGGGAGTTCAAACTCAACTGGAAATTCACAATGCCGGACAGGGTGTTCTGAGCGACACGCTCGTCACTGTCGCAGACTGCGATGCGAAGCGGTTTTTGATTTCTTTTGAAAATGGTTTTTTTTTTTTTTTTTTTTTTTTGGCTTTGTGAGAAACCGCCAAACTCAGAGGACCGAGTAAGGTGCGTGCCTTTGCACCGTCCAAAAAGCCCCCGGTCTGCCGAGGTTCAGCATCATCTCCTGTACCCCCCGCCTCCAAAACAGGCGAACAAACGCGCCAATTTTCAATGCAGTCTGCAAGGCAAGGCGATTTTTTTTTTTTTTTTTTGGATTTTGACGAATATTTGTGCCATTTGGTTTCAGAGCACTCGTTTGCGGATGTTCAGAGTCGCAAAAACGCGGTCCTGCAACGGGATGAACTTTGCGCAACGAGAACGAACAAAGACTCGGCAGTATTTTGCCCCTTCACTCTCCTCAGCGAGTCGTCTCCAAGCGCAGGATGCCAGTGAGAGAGATGGAAGGTTTTTTTTTTTTTTTTTTTTTTGCAGTCAAAGTCTCTTTCCCTGCAGCCGGCTTCAGTCCGTCGAGAACCCGCCCCGCTAGAGCGCGAGCATCACATAGCAATGTCCCCCATTTTGCGAATTGGCCCTCTTTCAATGCTCTGCGCGGTCTGCAGGGGCCAAGCCAGCAATTTTCCCAGTTAAAAACAAAACGGTTGCATTTCATTTTATTTTATTTCGATCTTTTTTTCTTTTTCGAATGCGAACCTTGGCTTTTGCAGCCCCTCCCTTCGTTGCTGACATGCACGAGGCTGCAGACTGGAAAGCAAAACGACGAGCAACAAGGCTCAATCACGGCTCTTGCCACATGCACCGCGCAGTTCGTGCTCTCCTCGGACCGGAGCACACCTCCCAATCCCATTCCTCGCCTCAAAGCTACAACTCTCGCTCTGAATGAGGCGATGCTGCAACCAAAGGCGGGCTGGCCGCAGATAGCTCCGATCACTCACCAACAGTGCGTCAATGCTAACGGTGGAGCCCATGTCGGTCAGGCGACCACACAGCGCTGCAAAGCGGTCACTCAGCGCCATTCCTAAAAAGCGAAACACGGAAGAGAAAGAAAGAAAAAGCGAATGAACTGAGTGATAATGCTGGCTTATTTGCTTAATCCTCTGTGAATTGCTGCAAATCGATTTTTAATCCATCAATCACACACACACAGCCACTCCTTGCTTTTCTGATTACTTTTTTTTTTTTTCGCTCAAATTCAATTCTAGACAATGGTTGGTTGCGCTTTTTTTTTTTTTTTGTCTTTTTGAATGATTTTTTTTTATTGTTGTTGCTTGCTGACTCGGTGTCACTCACGCGCACTCGCTGCTTCCGCTTCCGCTTTGCTTTGCTTGGGCTTGCTGACCATCTCCTGCTCGCGACCGGGGCTCAATAGGGCAACACGGAATCAATGTTCGAAGGCGCTTCGGCTGCCAACTGTGAGTTTTTGCTCTTTTTTTTTTTTTTTTTGACTTTTGTATTTTGTTCGTTTTGAGGAGCGGTGCTCGTCGTGGGGGACCAAGAGGCCGACTGCACGCATACACACATGCTCTGCGCAACCGACTTGCTGTGCACGATTCCCTTTCCTCGGCGTGTTTGCGACGCAGCGGATGCGCGTTAATCGGGAAAACAAAACAGAAACCGAAAAAAAAAAATACACTTTTCTCTCTTGTTTCTGTTGCGTCTCACGGACATGTCCGGTTTCGGGGGCTTGTCTCGGCGCTCTCATGGCAGTGGCTGCGACAGTCGATTTTTGATCCTGTCCCCTTGTCAAGACGGCCTGGGCTTGACTGAAGCAACGCGACCAGCACGAAAAACAAACAAAAAAAATCAAAAACAGTTCTATTTGCTTTCTCTCTGGCTTCGTTTGTCTCCTTTTCTGTCTATCGTCGTGTGTGTGTCTCTCTCCGTCGTTTTCTTGTTCTTCTTCTCTGTGCGTGTTTCTATCGTACTTTGGAATCGGCACGGGGACAGAGACAGACAGACAGCCGCACGAATCTCGGCTCCTGCCAATCATTCATGCTAATCTTCGTCGCGCCCTTGCGGACCTTTCTCTCGTCTCGTCTCGTGCAACCACAGTCACTCCTGCAGAGCTCAAACGCCTCGCAATCAGGTTCAAGAAGCTGGACAAGGACAAGAACGGCACAATCAGCTACGACGAGTTTTTGAGTCTGCCCGAGCTCAACCAAAATCCCCTTGTATCGCGAATCATTGCAACGCTCGATCGCGACGGTGGTGGTGACGTCGACTTCCAAGAGTTTATTGAATCGCTTTCCATCTTTGCTGGCAAGGCAGACAAGCAAGCCAAGCTCCAATGTACGTTTTTGACTACTTTTTTTTTTTTTTCGAGGCTTTGCTTTCTTGCGCATCATCTCACCCCGTGGTCGACTCCAGTTGCTTTCCAAATCTACGACATTGATCGCGACGGCTTCATCTCGAACGGCGAGCTGTACCAAGTGCTCAAGATGATGGTAGGGACCAACTTGAAGGAAGGGCAGCTTCAACAGATTGTCGACAAGACCATCATGTATGCCGACAAAGACAACGATGGCAAGATTAGCTTTGAAGAGTTCTGCTCGGTACGTTTCGGAACATTGATTTTGCGCCTTGGCGGATTCGAGTCTGACTGTTTTGTGTTTTGCGGTTTTTTTTTTGTTCGCTTTTGAAATTTGCGTTGGTTGGGCAGGTTATTGGCCAGACAGATGTGGACACAAAGATGGTTGTCAAGATCTAACAGCCAACACATTCTTTTTGGTGTTGCTCTTCAGCGCGACATCTGATCGGTTGAGTGATGTTTTCCCCATTTTATCTCTCTCTCCCTCTCTCGTTTTTGTGGTGCAAATTTCACTCGCGTTTGGCTCTCTTTGCAAGAGTAGCTTGGCTGGCTGTTTGGCATTTATTTGTACGATGGCTCTACTGTTTGAGCTTGTTGTGATGATGATTTGTGAGCTTTAGGTTTTTTTATCTGTGTGTGGCTTGTGTTGGTTTGTGCCTTTTGTTGTAACCAAACGCATTACATGCAATTGGTCTTCCATGTCCCATCTACCCTTCTTGGCTCCCGTTGGGCTCGATGCATTCATCAGTTGACTGCAAGAAGAAGGGATCGTATTTGTTTTTGTCAAATGTGCAAAGCAAAGCAAAGATTGTAGAAAACCATCCAAAAACATCAGGAGAGAACGAGATGAAACAAACGGAGACACACACAGTAAAAACATCCTGACAAAACATGCAAACACACACGCACACAAAAAGACGCGAACAAGGAAAGGACAGTCGGTTCTGACTGGAAAAACCAGCTCCAGTCATGCCAATGTGCTCTTTATAGTTGTTCGCAATAATTGCTATCCAAGGTGACATCAAAGCAAACAGCCAAAGAAGAATGAGAGATGGATGAGCGAAATGCACCCCAACACAAAAGCAAAAACACAAACACCAAAGACAAATGCGTTTGTCCATACCTGGGGAAAATGCCGTGCTGGCCGTTGCAGAGACCAGCCCACCACTCGTCGTTGACTTGCTTTGTGACTTCGATAATGTCGCCCTAAAACGGGAGCAGAACAATCGAACACAAACAAGAATGAGACATCCCATCCTTCCTCAACCACCTATCCTCAACCACCTATCCTCAAACAAATCACTTACTGCTCGGAAGCTCAATTCTTGTGCATCATCAGCAACATTGTCGTAGAGGGCCCGGACCTTCCAGGTCTGCTGCTGAGCTGGCTGACCGGGCTTGGGACCCATCGGTGGTGGCGCAGGCGGGGCGGGGATGCCAGCATTGTGGTAACCGCCACCGTAGGATTGTTGTGGCTGATGTTGCTGCTGGTTGTTGTAGCCAGAGTTGTCGTCGTACAATTCCTCGTCCCAAACTTCCTCTTCGTCCCACTGTTCGTTGCCGTACTCCTCGCCTCCGCCGTAGCTCGCGGGAGCAGCATGACCGCCGTATCCGCCGCCGTGCGAGGGCACTGGCGCGGGGCTGCCACCCTCCGTCTTGAGACCAACAAACGTGCGCTCTTTCGCGGTGATGAGCGACTCGCTGTCGGCGGGCAGCGAGTCTTTCGATGACGCCAGATCGCACCAGCCAGAGACGCCGTTGCCAAGCGAATGGAAGCCGTCCTCGTGCAGCTTGAGCTCGCTCTTGACCACTTCGACGTAGCGCAGGAGCAGGCCGCAATACTTTTCGCGCTCAACCAGGAAGAGCTCGCGAAGCTTGCTCTGGCGAGCCGTCTCAATCTCCTTGACGCGGGAAGTCAAGTCCAGAATGGCCTGCTGGAGGGCAGCCGCGTTCTTCTTGCCTGCCGACTTGGAGGCCTCCTCGGCCTTGGTCATTTCGTTGTTGAGGTACTTGAAGTGCGCCTTGTAGTTCTTCTCCCATGCCTGCAGCGTGGACATTTCCGCGTCAATGTAGCGCTTGATCGGGATCATAAAGCCCTCAGACAGCGACTGGCGCACGTTGGTGCGATGCGTCTCCAGGCGGTCGTGGATGTCGGCAATCGCATACAGCTCGCGCTGCACGTCCAGGCTCGAGTTTTTGCCAGCGTGTGACGCTGCGGCTCTCATTCCCGCGGTGAACGCCCTGGCGGTTTCTGTCACGACTGTTAGATGTGGTATGTGAGTGAGTGAGTGAGTGACGAGTGAAGAGCAGCAGGGAAAGGGGTTGCGGTTGAGTGGTGATTCACTGCAGCTGCTCTCTGCTGTTCTTCTTCACTGAGGCCATCATGTAGTATCAGTGGTGTGTTGCGTAACGTTGCGGGATGACTGGGGGCAGCGTATGTCGTTCTGGTGGGCTCAGCAATGTGCCACAGTAAAGTCAAGGTTAAAAAAAAAAATCAAGAAAAATACAAAAAAAAAATGATCGAATCAAACATTCAAAGGGAAGAGGGAAGCGCATCGCAAGCTGAAGAAGCGACGCCCATGGTCTGCTTTGCACATGGCATGTGATGAAAGGGGGGGGTTTAGCAGAGCGAACACGAGGCAGAGCGACAGAGCAGCAAAAAAGCGCGTTTCGCCACACTCAATGCACATAACAATGCCGATGAGAATGGAAATAAAATAAAATAAAATAAAAGATAAAATATAAAATAAAATAAAAGATAAAATATAAAATAAAATAAAATAAAATAATGTTTGAAGCGGAAATTCGTGTTGGCAACGTCGGTCGAGTTGCACACCATGCAAGGTCCACCCTGTAGTACTCATCGCTCATCGCTTTCATCAATGGGTCGTCCGTCGCAGAAGGGAAGCGTGGTCGCGAGCGAGGGTCAAACCAAAAAAAAAAAAAAAATGAAGCAAGTTTTTTTTTTTTTTTTTGGGGGGGGGTTGTGAGCGACTTTGCTTTACCTTCAAGGGCGTTGTGGTACTTGGAACAGAGCTTGACGAGCTCTTCCCAGGACGGCTTGGACCGCTTGAGATCGTTGATGGTGCGCACAGTGGCGGCCAGACGCGGATCGGCCGGCTTTCCGTTCTTGGATGGCTTTGGCGGCATTTGTTTCAGTCACAAGATTGTGGTTGGTTGTAAAAACGGACTGAGCCGCGTTCGGAACGACGGACAGAGACAGACGTCCATGCATTTCGATACCCATGGCAACATTGGATAAAATGAGAGCGGAAGCGAGCGGGAATGGAGAAGAAGAAGATGATGGCTGGAAATTTGAACAACCAAACTTCCACCTCAAACCCGCGCTGAAGCTCATGCCAGCGACGTGAACAGGGTTGTTGTTTATTATTATTCTTGTTGAATGCCTTTTTGCTACTTCTCGCTCACTCCATCTTCTTCACCGAATGGCCGACGGTAACCAAAAACAACAACGAAAAGCCTTGAAAGCCGTTTTTCTTCCGGTTGAACTTTTTTTCTTTTTTTTTTTCTCGTTTGCTTTCCTCACCGACTTTGTCACCTCCACTCACCTGGTCTGCCCTTCTGATGCTCGATGTGTCCCATCTCTGCAGATCGCATTCGCGCACTGGCTGCCGAGAACGAGCGCCTGGCCCAGAGCCAGCGCGACAGCCAAGCTCAGGTTTGTTGTCGTTGCTTTTGTGGTTGAGGAGGGTGGTTGGTCAGATTGCAGCACTCCTTCCCCGCTGCCATCGAACGTGCATTAGAAGGAAGCAGGTCAGAAGTGTGCTCGCAATCAATTTTGCATGCGCTGTGCCCGGACGGCGCTCGACGGCAAACCTGGGACAAAAGCCAAAGCCCGGTTTTTTGCCGCTCTTCCAGTCGCCCGACCACCAAAAGTGCCAATTGGGAAGATGTCTCACTATCATCATCCAACCATTCACGCAACACTATAGAGCAAGAAGCAGAAGAAGCATCTGACTTTTTCATTTTGAATTGTGTGTGGGTTGGGTTGTTTTTGGTGCAGATTGCCGCGCTCACGCAGTCACAGGCAGAGTGGCAGGCCAAGTGCACCCAGGCCATGACCCTCCTCCAGAAGCAGCATGCCATCCTCAAGGCCCACCCTCCACCGACCCCAGAGGCGACGGCTGCGGCGGCGGCAAATGCGGCGGCGGCCGTGGCGGAGGTCGAGGGCCTGAAATCGCAGCTCCTCAGCGCTCAGAACGACGCTGCAGCTAGACAGCAAGAGGTCAGCGCCGCTCGGGCTGCAGAACGCGCTCTTCAAGACCGTCTGAGTGCACTGGAAACTCAGCGCCAGACGCGCGAAGCAGAGCAGCAAGCCAAGCTGGCCCAACTCGAGTCAGCGTTGCGCCAACAAGCCTCGGCTCCGGCCACTCCGATGAATTCGACAGAGGTGCAAACCTTGAAGGCGCAGATTGCAGACCTACACCAGTCCAACCTTGCCACGCTGCAGCAGCTCCAGCAGTCTCAGTCAGCGAGTCTTGAGCTTGCCGCGCAGCTCGAGCACAGCAACTCTGCGCAGCAAGCGCTACAAAGCGCTCAGCAAGCGTTGCAGGCCTCTCTGCAAGAGCGCAATACACGAATCTCCGAGCTCCAGACCCAGCTTGCAGCGGTACCTGCTGTCGCGCCAGCTGCTGGTGCGCCCGCTGCCTCTAGCGACAGTAGCAGCAGCAGCAGCAGCAAGACCGAGCTTGCCGGGCTCCGCATCCAGTTGCGCTCTGCCGAAAGCCGGGCCGACAAGCACGAACGTGCAGCAGCGGCTCTTCAGGAGCAGCTGGTGGCACTTCAGGTGGCCACCGCCAGCTCTGGCGCCGTTACTGCGGCTGTGCCTGCACCTTCCCCCGACACTCAGCCGTCACTCGAACTCCAGCAAAAGATTGCCAGCCTTGAATCTGCGGTTCAAGCCGCGCAGGCGACTCTGGCGTCAAAGTCAGCCCAATACGACGAGCTTCAATGCGAGCTGATGGATGCCGTGCAACAGCAAACGCAAACACAAGCAGAAAATGAGTCGCTGCGTGCGACAGTGGTCGAGCACGAAACCAGGGCTTCGACGGCGGCGTCATCACTTGCAACCAGTGCCAGCAGTGCAGCGACTCGGATTGAAGAACTCAGCTTCGCGCTGGCTGCGGAGCGCTCGAGCGCCAGCGCGGCGATTGCTCGTCGCGATCAGCTTCAAGCCGATGTTGCCGACGCCAGAGCCACGGCCAGCACCTTGCAGGCGTCGCTTCTCGCCGCTGAACAGAATGCGGCTGCGCAGTCGGCCCGGTTGCAGCAACTCGAGCAGGACTTGGAGCAAGAGCGTCGCAAACCTGCGCCTCCGCAGCAACTGCCAGCGCCATCCTCTTCTGTGCTCGATCTCGACACGCAGCGACGTATCCTGTCGCTCGAAAATGAGGTTGATGCCTTGCGCTCACAAGTTCGCACCTCTACCGAGCGCGCCAACGAGGCTGAAACCAAGGCCAAGGACCTGACCAAGCAAGCCATCGAGCAGCAACAGCAGCAGCAGTCCACGCAGAGCAAGGTGGACGCGGACGCGACCGCTGCTCGCTTCAAGATTGCGGATCTCGAGCGGCAGCTTGCAGATGCCAAGAAGGTGGCGGCATCGGGTGCAGGCACTGCGGCCGCGACCACGGCAGCGCCGGCCTCCTTGCAGCAGCCAGGTGCCTCTTCTTCGTCCGCGGAGGTCGCCGCTCTGAAGCGCATGCTCGAGGATGCGACGCGACAGCGCAGCGAGGATATCGCCCGCCTGTCCATGCAGGCCACCGCTGCCAAGCAGCTGGCTGCAGACGCATCGAGCAAGCTGACTGCTGTGCAGCAGGAGCTTGTCGATGTCCAGGCGACGGCTGTGCGAAACGAACAGGCCAGAAACGAAGCGGCCGCGCAGCTTGCGACGACGCAGGCTCGCCTGAAAGATCTGACAGCCCAACTTGGCGATGCCCAAGTGCAGTCCTCCGAATCTGGAGCGCTTCAGCAGCAAGTTGTCCAGGCAAAGTCCGACGCGGCGAGTGCGCGCCAGGAGTTGCTCGAGTTGGTCTCGCAACTGAGCGATGCCCAGCAACAGTCGACGGAAGCGCTGTCTCGCTTGGACGCCGCCCAACAGCAAGCCACACAGGCCTCCGCGGAATCCACCCAAGCGCGCCAAACTGTGGCAGAGCTAACTGCCCAGCTCCAGCAAGCCAACGCTGCCCTCCAGCAAAAGTCAGCTGCCGCAGCGGCAATTGCAGCCAGCGAAGAGGCAAGTTGTTAAAGCGTTAAAGCGTGTTTGTACGTGTCAGTTTTGGTGCTGATAACTCTTGTTGTTCCCTTTTCCACTCCTTTCAATTGGCAGAAGCAGAAAGACATTGCCAAGGTCGAAGCCGAGCTGGTCGCTCTCAAGTCAGCTCTCGCGACTGCAACCTCGCAGACGCTCGAGCTCAAAGACAAGTGTGACAAGCAGTCTGGTCGATTGCAAGTTCTTGAAAAGTTCAAGGTAGGCCTCAAAGCGAAAAAAGATTTTCAAAACATTGCCAACTGTGATTGTTTTGGACAATTTTGACAAACGCTTGCATACAGGCCAATGTCCAAGAAAAGCAGGTGCAAAAGCGGATGACTCTGATGAACGCCAGGCAGTCCATCATGGCCGGCAAAGGCGTGGATGCTGTGGCTGCCGGCGACATGGCCAAGCTTCGTGAGCTCGGGAACGTGACTGATCCAGAGCAACGCAAGGCAATGGTGCGGACTCGTTTGATAACCCGTTTTTTGAGTCGCTCTCCTGACTGGCCATCCGTGACACTAACCTTGTTTGTTTATTGGCTTTGACAACAGATGGCGCAAATGAAGATGGACAATCGACAGTCCATGGCACAGTTCAAGCAACACAAGCTGGCCCAGAACGAACAAGTGATTGAAAAAATGTCGGGTAAGTGCTGCGACAATTTGGCTGGTTGATAGTGGCACACGACATCTGACCATGTCACTTGCATTGATTTCGTTTGTTAGTCATCCTATCGGAAGTCGACCAGCTCAGCAAAGGCATGCAAGAGGGAGAGGCTGCCTTGATTGAAATGTCGCAAATCAATGAAGAGCTTGAGAAGGAGCTTGAGCTCCAAGGCAAGGCTGCTGTTGATTCGACCAAGGTGAGTGCGCGTTGTTGTTGTTTCAAGCCAACGTTTGGTGGGGGTTAGAAGGGGGGGGCGACTGAAGCTCACCTTGCTTTTGTATTGGTCTGCTTCGTTGGCATAGTACTTTAAGCAACTCGCTGTCGCTTTGGGCAATCTGCTCAAAAAGTTTGAAAACATGTCCCTGCTGCTTGTTCAATTTGGCGAGGGCAAGACAACCGGTACGGTCGGTGGCTTATAGTGGTAGTTTTTGTCAATGATGTGTGCGTTGAAAACTTTTGGCTGACGTTTCCCCGTGGACTCTGCCTCGCCAGGCGAAGTGCTTCAGGCAACTCTTGGCCGCGAGTTGCAAGCCGTGGGCAAGGCTCTTGATGTTGTGCGGTCCGATGTCATCAAGCATACCTCTCTCGTGGAACGCATTGCTACAGCACTTGTTCCAACGGCTGCTGCTTCTTCCGCAGATGGAGCTGCCAGTAGTCCACGCTGTGAGTGCTGCAGCCGGTCGATGGTTCAAGTGGAGTGTCGTTGTGGACTCAAATCAGATTTTTTGCGCGCTTTGATTTTTTCTTTCTCCTCAGTGAAAGCGTCTCTCCTTGATCAGATCAAGAATGGAGCCAAGCTTCGCATCGTTGCCAATGCGGTATGAGAGTGTATTGGTCATAATCGATGCTTGTTTGTTTCTTTTGCAATCACCGAGCTCATATCGAAATTGCCTCTCTGCTGTCTCGTTTTGTCATCTTACACAGGTTCAAGAAAAGAACAAAAAGTCGCGCAATTCGGTGGTTGTCCTCAACAGCCTCCAAGAGACGCTCAAGCTCGCTATCGCCACGCATCGCATGGATTTGCTCGAGGATGATGACGATTTCTTCTTTGATGACAAAGAGTGGGATGTGTAAAGGGCTGAACAGTCCGAGTTATAAAATAAGTCGCAAATACTATTGTGCAACAATCGACTTGCACAATAAAACCAACCAGAAACAAAACAGACTGCCTAAGCCTTGAGACGTCGCGGTTGAGCAGCCATGGCGGCGGTCTGCTTGCGGCGTGTTTCCACCACAGGAAGCAACGAAAACCTGGATGGCGCAACATCATCAAGCAGTCAGTCAACCAGTGAGCCAGTGCGCTTTATCAGGCTGCCTGAAGCACACAAACAGCACGGGAAAAAAAACACAATACACATACCGGCCTGAAAACGACGAAACGGGCAGAATGGAGTGTGCCTCGAACGAGCTGGAAGGGAGGGCCGCAGAGGGCTTTTTGATGGGACCTGGACCGGCGTTGGTCTGGGCAAGAAGCACCAAAGCACCAAAAAGCAATGAAGACTTGTGCACGCAAGCATCGACGTTTGTCTGCAGCAGAGGTGACAACACGGCGAAATCGAACGGATCGACCAATTCTTCCAAACGGCGCAAAACCTCGTCGCAAGCACGCGTAAAGCCAATGTCCTTGGACAAGACCTGAGCCGGATTGCTGAAGGGAGAGACTAGCAGCTGTAGCGAGGTGGCAACTTGAGATGCACGTTCGTGCTGCTGCTGCTGAAGCTGGTGGGAGTTTCCAGCGTTGGCCAACGCTGGTGCGTGAGCGGATAAAACTGCAGTGGCAGAACCAGCCACCACAGCCGCCGCGCTGGCAAGTGCGGTCAGGGTCTTGGTGGCTCCGCGAGCCTCCTCCAGCAATCGCTTGATGCCAAACTGCACATCGAACAAGAGCTGGATTGCGCCGTCCTGGCCGAGAACAACGCTCGCTGGACCGGCAGAAGAGGCAGTGGTGCCGGTGGAGGTGACAACCGGCATCGGCTTAAGCGTGATTCGATTGCTCGCAAGAAGATGCGACAAGCGCTCGACAACCTGGTGCGAGACGGCACGGGTCAGCCAGAGCAGCACCTCGGTGTCGATGCGATGGCCACCAGCGCGCTCAATTTCACGACACAGGTCGAATAGCATGTTGTACATGACGCTCGACGCACATGTCGGGACAGCAATACTGGCATGGGCGGACAGGGATGTGTTCAAGCTGTCGTTTGCCGAGGGCGCGGAGGAGGCGGCAGTCGAGTCGCCTTCGTGCACGGCAACATTGTCCCACCCCAGACGAGCGGACAGCGCAATGGACGGCAAGACAGACTGGGAAGTCGCCCCCGCCGTCGCGCCGATGACGTCGGTCATGGCATCCACCCAGGGGAAGGCCAGCAAATTCGCCTCAAACCCAGCCGCAATCGTGTGTGCCACCCAATCAACCCATGCAAGGTAGGCATGAAGATAGGTGCTGCGGTAGGCAAAATACAGCACCACCAGGCGTGCTTCAGTGTTTGGTGGGACATACGGGGAGGAAAAGTCTAAGAGTGGCTGCGGCGAGTTGGTGTTGTGCGCGGTGGGAAGACGCGACAAGGCACTAGGAACGGCGCCTCTGGGTTGGACGGTCGTGTTGGAATGCGCACTGAGCATTCCGGGGGCCAATCCCGGAGTACTGACGACTCCGAGCCTCTGAGCGGCAAACTGAGCTGAAAAGAAGCTGCTGATTTGTGTCGATCCCAACAGCACGGTTTGCGTCAACTTGCCCAGGAAGAGCAGCTGGTCGGCAGTTTCCGCAGACAGCTGGCCGGGCGAGATGGCGGCGGGACTGGCGGCATCGCCTTCGGGGTGCTTCTGGCCGCCAATCGCCTGTACGGCCTTGACGCGGGTCGTCAATTCCTCGCTAAATCGCGCCAAAGCGCAAAACAACAAATCTTGGAAAATGGCGGCAATGGCCGTCGGAACCGAGGCTGGAGCGGCTGCCGCGGTTGACTGGGCAATGTCGGGCAACTTGCCGAGCTGGGTGTGGATGGCCGTGCAGAGGACACTGGCATCCGTCACCGCGGCCGCAAGCGCCTTGTCGAGACTAGCGACGATCTGTGACACGCTGGGTGACGACTCGATGGCAATCAAGTTATCAAACATGGAAGTCGAGCGGGTGATTTTTGCCGACTGTCGCGCTTGTTGCTGGTGATGGAACGCGGTGACCGAGGCAAAGGCGCTGTCGCACTGAGCACGCAGCTGAGCTGTGGCTTGGTCGAGGGAACCGCGCAGCAACTGCGTCGCGCGAGCCACAAGCGAGGGAACAACCAACTCATCCCAAACGGAGCAGGCACGGCCAATGGCGGCAGCAACCACACTCGCGGGAAAGTCGGACAGGGCAGCCAACACGCGGTCTACCACAGACCCCAACGTGCGCAACGAATGGACAAACAGGAGCACATGGTCGCCTGCCGGAGTGTCGGGCATCTCGGTCGCCACAGTGCCATGGGGGACTTTGACGTCGCCAGCCGCGCGGCTCCCGTCCGCCAGTCCGTGGGCTGTGAAGGATGCACCAGACTGAACGGCTGCAAAGTGCTCGCAGCACTGTCCAAACCACGACGCCGTTGCGCGTTGCAATTGGTCCAACGGCACAGGAAACGGGGCATCGGGCGAGATGAAACATGCGTGCACGCTGGCAATGGTGCGCTGAGGTGTATTGTTGTGAGTGTGTTTGTGTGTGTGGTGGTGGTGGTGGTCGTGGGGGGGGGGGGAAACGGTCAGAAAACAATTTCCACACTTCAAATCCGCGAGAACTCATAACACCAAAATATTTACCTTCACAATCAAAACCATGTGCGTAAACCGCTCTGGAACATCGTGCACAGTGTCTGCATCGAGAGCAAAGCAGCGAAGAAGACTGCGCCTGCGCCACTCGAGCAGCTCGCCCAAGACTTGCAGAGGGGTTTTGTGGTCGAGCACAATGAGCGTTTGCAGAGCATCCTCAAGACCGCTCTCGCGAGCAGTCGCAGGGGCAGGAGCAGCGGTGCTTGATGAGGTGATACACAGCTGCCTTCGTGCACCCGTGAGGATTTGCTCGCGGAAATGGCTGATGGCGGTCCACTGTTGGCGCAAAATGGGAAAATTCTCGGCCAGCGTTCGCTTTTGGGCGTCTGCCGTAAAGTCGGCGTGGGCTTGTGTGGCTGTCAGGAAGAGGTTGGCAGCCCGCAAATGCTCGTGCGCCTCAAGTGCGCTCCAGATGTGCTCGGGTGCGTCGACAAGCAGCCTCATCTGGCTCGCCATCAGAAAGAGCGCCTTCGGGCTGGCCGTGGCGACATCGGCGGCGCCCTTGCCATGCACTCCGGACTCGCGACTGTGGCGCGACAATCCAGCACTAACAGCAACAGCATTAGCATGAGCATTGACAGAAGTTGCAAGCGGATTGGATGAGGATGTCGACGTGGACGAGGCCGCTGCGTTTGAGATGATTGCATTGGCGCCACCGACCGGCTGTGGCTGTGGCTGTGGCTGTGGCCGCGCCGATGCGTGAAGACACAGCGTCTGCAATCGCTGGAGTGAGTGTGTGACGAGATTGCTGCCTTGCTTCATGGCGAGAATGCTGTCTGCTGCGTCAATCAGATCGCGGTAACGCTCGCCGACCATTGTTCGCAGCTCGACCTTCTTGTGCTCAATGTCGCCGCGCAGCTGCACAACAAGAACAAGAACGAACGAATGGCAGGAACGAGCAATGAGTACAGCTTGACGACAATGATGGGTGGCGTGGCGTAGCGGCGTGGTGGTGGTGGTGGGGCAAAACTGACCTTCTGCTCTGTTGAGAGGACGTCCTTGACGCTGTGCTTGATCAGGAGCTCCTCGGCCTCGCGTTCGGCCGCAGCGACACTGCGATCGGTCTCACTGGTCGCGCCTGCAACCCGCGCAATCATGGCGGCGGCGGTGCTGCTGCTGCTTGTATGTGGAGCAGTCGTTGGCTCGCTCGAAAGGGCAGCAGATCGGCCCAGCATTGGTATTGCAAAATCGAAGACTGATCCGCCCCGCTTGTACTGTACAGCAGCATTCGTGCAGTGTTTGGTGTCTCATTCAGTAGTCGTCGAAGTCGTCGTAGTAGTGGTCGTAGTCGTGATCTTCTGGTTTAGGCAAGGCTCATTGTTCTTTTTTTTTTTTTTTTTCGCTCTTCCTCGTCTGTTCTGTTCTGTTCTGTTCTTCCTCAATGGCGTCCTACCCTACCAACGGTAGCATCAGAGTCTACAAGGCAAGAAGAAGAGCGACAATGGACGATCACACAATGAACCAACACCACAATACAGCAGCAGCAGCTCATAAAGAGGAAGGCAGCATTGAATGTCTGTGCTCGTTGTCTGATGTTGCAACCAGAGAGACAAAGACAAAGAGAGACAAAGAGACAAAGAAAGACAAAGAGAGAGATAGCAGATGTAGAGTTGATTCGGAGCTGTGGTAGTGGGCTATGAGGGGGCTGAAGTAGCAGCGAGTTTGAGTTGGTGGAGCGCGTGAACTCGTCCGTTTTCCCATTGGTTTTTTATTTAGCTCTCTCTGAGTGGTCATTGCGGTCAAACCCCCCCCCCACGCTCTAGCTCTCGCCTATTTCTTGATCGAACGCACTCAGTTGTTGTTGGGGGGGGGGAAGCGGGTGGTGGTGGGAGTTCCAGCTGCAGCGTGTCCCTGTTTGCTTTGTGATCCGTTGTTGTTGTTGTTGTGGTTTTTTTTTTTTTTTTATTGGTTTTGCCCCCATTGATCTTCCTTGTCCCTCTGTGTCGCTTCGGTACCACACACACACACACACACACACTCTCTCTCTCTCTCTCTCTCTCTATCTCTCTCTCTCTCTCTCTCTATCTATCTATCTCTCGCCTTCACCCGATCTGTATCGCTTCGTTTGAAACTGCCCCGTTGTTGCTCATCTTCCCCTTCCACTCTTCCAAATCTTTCCAGCCAGACCTCTCCAAGTTCGATGTCGTGCCAGTGACCATCAACACGACCGTCCAGGAAGTGGCCAGCAAGCTCGGCGGACAGCTGTTTGTGCGCACTCCGAATGGCGTCGAGCGCCGGATGCGCCAGGACGAGTCGCCGCTGCGCTTGCTCTGCGACAATCTCTTCCTGCTGGGCTACCAGGCCGCCGAAATCCCGGAGGAGAGCGCAAAGGACCACTCGTACGTCCTTCGCTTTGTTGCGGGCCTGTCGCGCCTCGCAACGCCCGAGGAGACCATCTCCATCAAGGGCTTGCTCATGGAGGGCAAAAAGTGGGACAACCGCTTCTGCATCATCAAGGGCAACAAGCTCATCGAGTACGAGTCGCCCTCGGCCACCAAGCCCCTCCTGACGCTGTCGCTCACGGGCGCGCTCGTCAGCGAGGTCGAGGAGAAGAAAAAGCCTTTCGTGTTTGGCGTCCGCGAGCTCGGCGCCAAAAACCCAGTCCTCTTTGCCTGCGAATCCGCCGTCGACCGCAAGAACTGGCTGTCGCGCATTGCGCCGATCGCCTCAAAGGACCCCAACGCAGTCAACTTGGCGCAGCGCTCGCTCGAGGCCCTGCCCGCGGACGTTCTGACGAGCAAGGCTGCCACCACGACGGCCCTGGAGCTTGCCAAGAATTTGATCAGCCCGCTGCAGGACTACTCGGCCTTCAAGACCATGACCCGCATCCAGCTGATTGACAACAACCTGCAAGAGTTCCCGACCGGCCTGTTTTCCGTGCCCTCGCTCTCTGAAATTGACCTCTCGCGCAACCAAATCCGCGCAATCCCGCCAGGCATCAGCAAGCTGTCCAACCTGCGCATTCTCGCCGTGCACAACAACCAGCTTTCAACGCTCCCCAACGAGCTCAGCACGCTCAACAAGCTGACCACGCTTGTGCTCGCCTTCAACGACTTTGCAACGCTGCCCCCTGTCATTTGCCAACTCGTTGAGCTGCACCAGCTCATCCTGACGAGCAACGCGCTGGAGGTTCTCCCCGACGGCATCGGCAACTTGACCAAGCTGACCTTGCTCGACGTGCGCTTCAACAAGCTCTCGAGTCTGCCCGCAAGCATGTCCCGGCTGGTCAGCCTGACGCGCATTGACATTCGTCAAAACCCCCTGCAGCAATTCCCGCCCGTTCTCGCCAACTTGCCCAAGCTCGAGACGCTCGACATTGGCCCGAACAACTTTGCGCGCGCGCCCGCGCTGGATGTTGCGCTGCCGGCCCTCAAGACCATCCGCGCGCCCGAGGCCTTCCTGGGGTCGCTCAACTTTACCGTGCTTCCCCAGATGCTCACAAAGATCAACCTGACCGACAACGGACTGACGTCGTTGCCCGAGGCCATCGGAGACTTGCCCAACCTCGAGTCCCTCATTGTCAAGAACAACCAGCTGCGCTCGCTCCCGGCCAAGATCTTTGCCATCCCCACGCTCAAGTGGCTGTACGCTGCGTACAACCAGATCGAGGTGCTCCCGGAAAAGTTTGCCAAGTGCCTCATCCAGATCTTTGAGGTCCAGCACAACCGTCTGCAAAAGCTCCCGGACAAGCTGCTCAAGTTCTGCTACATGACCCGCGTGCTCAACGTCTCGAACAACATGCTGACGGAATTGCCCGCGCTGTCCGACACGGACGAGCTCAATGCCGTCGAAGAGCTGTATGTCGGCCAAAATCGCCTCAACGATGCTCAGGTCGACAAGATCACGGGCATGCTCAAGCTTCGCATTCTCGACGTGAGCTACAACGGCCTGACTGCCGTGTCGGGCAACATTTCGCGTCTGACCGAGCTGGGCACGCTGAACGTTGCAGGCAACAAGCTCACCGAGCTGCCCCGCAGCATCAACCGTCTCAAGAAGCTCAAGTACGTGCTCGCCAACTCGAACAAGCTGCGCGACTTGCCCCCGCTCCCCGAATCGCTCGTTCACCTTGATCTCGGCTGCAACCGCTTGGCTGCCATCCCTGCCTCCGTCCGTGCGCTCCCCGTGCTCGAGCTTCTCGATGTCAGCGGCAACACCAAGCTGGTGGTGGAAGGCCAGTTTGCCACGACCGCGCTCCAGCGCATCACTGCCGAGGCAGTGGCCAATGTTCGCGGGCTTTCCGACGCGCACGCCAAGAAGACCGAGGCTGGCGGCTACCTGCTGGGTGACGTCTGGTCGTACGGCTCGGCAGACATTATGGGTCGACGCCTGCGCATGGAAGATTCCTTGGTCAAGATGCGCCGTGTCCGCGGCAACGAGTTTGAGGCCATCTTTGGTGTGTTTGACGGTCACTCTGGGCCCGACGTTGCCGACATTCTCGCCAAGTCCTTCCCGGTCGCCATCGAAAACGAACTGGGTCGCCTTGGCAATGCCGACCCTCTGGCTGCGCTCCGATCGGCGTTCCTGTGCGCCAACCGCGACATTGGCGAAGCTGGCTACCGCTGCGGCTCGACGGGTGCTGTGGTGTACCTCCAGCGCCTGGACAGCGGCGTTGTTCGACTCTTTGCTGCCAACATTGGTGACACGGAGGCGCTCATCTGCCGTGGTGGCAACACGTACGAGCTGCTGACGACCAAGCACTCGATCGAAAACCAAGTCGAACGCAACCGCATTCTCTCGCAGGGCGGCTTCTTCTCGGACGACGACCGTGTCAACGGCATTCTCGCTGCCACCCGCGCGTTCGGCGACTCGTACCTCAACCCGTACGTTTCGCCCGAGCCCTTCCTGAAGGCCATCAACATTCAGCCCGCGGACGAGTTTGTCATTCTTGCCTGCGATGGTCTGTGGGACGTTGTCTCGTACGAGCTGGCCGTCGAAATTGCGCGCTCTGTGCCCGACCCCGTCTCTGCCGCCAAGAAGCTGCGCGACCTGGCCTACCTCTACGGCTCGGAAGACAACATTTCCGTGGTGGTCATCAAGTTTGGCATTCACGTGCACGAGGACTCTGCCGAGGAAGCTGCCGAAGCGGCCGAAATGCAGCAGCGTGCAGCAAACGACGCCAAGCTTGCTGCCGAGAGCCGCAGTGCTGCCGATACGTTCTTTGCAGACCTTTCGTTTGTCAAGTGGATTGGAGAGGGCTCGTTCGGCAAGGTGGCTCTTGCGCAGCGCAAGTCCAACAAGGAGTACGTGGCCGTCAAGACTGTGCCCAAGAACGACACCAACGCGCCCGAGATTGCCATCGAGCGCAGCTTTGAGCGGCTGCGCCATCCCAACATTTGCCGCATTGTTGCGTCAACCGAAACGACCTCGCATGCCTTCTTTATTCTCGAGTACCTCGGCGGTGGCTCTTTCAAGGTCCCCACCCGTCCCGAGGACAAGTTCCCCGAGAAGCTCGGTCGCTTCTACGCCTGCCAGATTGCTGCCGCCCTTCGCTACCTGCACAAGCAAGGCATCATTTACCGCGATCTTGCCCTCCACAACCTGATGTTTGACACTGCTGGCAATGTCAAGGTGAGCTGCTTTGGTTTTGGGTTTTGGGTTTGGGTTTTGTTGTTGTTGTGGTTGTTGTTGTTGTGGTTGTTGCTGGAGTGACAGTAGAGCATGGTCAAAAGTGTTGCTCGTGTTTCACGAATTTCGCCACTGCTCACTCATCGTCATCTGGAACAATTACAGGTCATTGACTTTGGTCTTTGTGTTCCGGCGGGCGGTCGCGGCGCTGCGTTTGCTGGTACGCCCGGCTTCATGGCTCCTGAAATGGTCGCAAACAGGCCATTCGACAAGACTGTGGACTGGTGGGGCTTGGGTATGTTACGACAATTTGCACACACAGTTTGTGGTTGCGCGCTACTTGAAATTGCCCGATATTTGAAAGTGCGCGGTTGCTAAAGCGTTCTTGTCTCTCGGTTGTCCTCCCCCCGACCTCAGGTGTTGTCATGTACATGATGCTTGTCGGTCGTCCTCCGTTCTTTGCTGACGATATTGGTGTCCTCCGCAATCAGGCAAGTGGATTGAGCAGGGACAAGCTGCAATGATTGAAACGGATTTTATAACTGACTGCCAATCATCCTGCTGCTGCTGCTGCTGCTGCTCCTGATGCAGATTGTCAACGAGGAGCCGTACCTGCCCCACTCGCTGGGCAAGACCGCAAAGGCCGCAATCAAGGCGTTGCTGGAGAAGGACGCCACCAAACGCCTCGGTGCCTCGGTGGATGAGGCCGATATCATCAAGCACCCCTTCTTCAAGGAGATTGACTTTGCCAAACTCGAGGCCGGTCAAATCAAGCCGCCAGTCGCCCCGACTCCGATCTCGGTTCAACCTGCCCCGGCTGGCACGTTCACCGGTTGGGCCTAAATGATGACAGGCGCACGTTTTTGCCTTGCTTGTTGTTGGTGTGGTAGCCGTGTGCTACAGTATTCTGTGGATGTGTGAAGGGGCCAATGTGGCATTTTTGTGGTCAGCTTTTGTGTGTGTTTTTGAGTGTTGAATGCAATTTCAATGAACGTTCACCAATGCTCCATAATTCTTTTCGTTGAATCAAAAGGCAGGCACCTTCCATAACCAGAACTGTGCTCATTGCTTGATTTTTGTACCCACAAGAACAAAAAACAACAGCGCGAAATCAAGCTCAAGAATGACCAAGCCGACCTCTGAAGTTGAACCCGTTCGCAAGGATCGCCACTCTGGGTAATACTATCTGCCAATTTGGTGCATCTTTGTTACCCTTATTGTGTGTCATCGAGACGAGCGCGACACACAGCAACAGCGGGGCGTTCTGATGACGCAAATATCAACAACAAAATTCGCTTTTTTGTTTTTTCGTTCTTGTTCATTCAAACATGAATCAACAACATTTTAACTCTTCGTCGATTGCGATTCGCTTTGCTCGTGGACGGCTGCTTCTTGTTGTGACTCGGTTGCTGATGCAGTTTGGTTGGCATAAATGGCAGTCTGTGTCGCTTGTTCTTACTTGTCCCCCAGCCAAGCCAAAGCAGAAGGACGGACTTGTCGGCATTTTTTTTCTGTTCCCATTCTGATGTGATGGATTTTATTTTTTCCATTGCATTTCGGATGTGCTGTGATCGAATCACTATCGTTGATGGAGAACAAGTCCTTCATGCTTGTGGCGTTGGAGAATGAGCTCGGCCGACTCCCACGCTGTCATCGTCATGCAGAGTGATTGAGTGCGAATTTCAACTACGCAATCTGTTCCCAGCGAAACAAAGCAAAAATGAACGCTGCTGGTCAAAACGCTCACTTTTTTGTTTTGTTTCGATCGAAACATGCCTTCACAGCACTGGCCGCTCCATTAACGAGCCACCCAAGAAGAACGGAATGGGTCCTCACAACTGGGTGGGATCGATGGGCGACGAGACGGATCCTGCATATGCCCCTGCCGTTCTGGACCAGAAGGATCCCAACTGTGTAAGTTCGGCGTCCATCCGTCCAGATATTTGTGATGTTTATGATAGCTCTGATGATACAAAATGGTCAAATGATCGTCTGACACCATGTTGCCTTTTCTTTTTGTTCAGCCCAACTAACGCAATGGCACGCCGTTTTCCCGTGCACGGCAAACAACAAGCCAACGGGGCGTGTACAGGCAATTTTCGGGTGCGATGACGAGCAAGCTTGATTAGAGCTTAGATGTATCCAATTTGACAATGAATTTTATCATTCATGAAAATGACAAGCACACAAAGATGACTAAAAGCGATAAAGTCAGCTGACGGGGGGAGAGAGAGGGTGTTAAGAATACAGCAAGTCGAAGCAGCGATGCTCACGACTATGCGCTCTCAGAGTCCAGCGAATCTGCGGCATGCTGCAGGGAATCCTCGCTAGGGTAACTGGGATACAAAACATCCTGAGTGTCCTCGCCATCCTCGTCATCGCCCTCACGAGCGAACGATAGTCCCTCCTCGAGGTACGTGGCTGGCTGCATTGGAGACACGGACTCGCTGCGTTCGGGGAGCAGGGGTGCGCGGCCCTCCTTAATGTCTGAAATGGCATCATGAATTTGATCACGCAGCGTAACGACGTCCAACAGTCGCCGCTCAACTGCGCTTAAAACCTGTGTGACGCTGTTCTCGCGCTCGGTGCATCGCTGTCAACCAAATTTTTGGTTGCATTCCGTGAGAGACAAGTTAAAAAAAAAACCGGCAAATCAGCACCAACCCAACACTCGAACAAACACCTACCGTCAGATATTCTTGCATGACATTCCACTCTGCCGCCACCTCGGGGTTCTTGGCAAGCTTGGCGGGAAGTTGAAGCCCAGCGCCACCTGCGAGAGAGGCGAATGCCTGGCTGGCGAGACGCTCCGTGTTGGAAAGCTCACGAAGGCACCGCAACAGCGCCGGCCAGTCCCGCAGCGAGAGGGACTCCATTGTATGCGGCTGCACGAGGAGACTCGGCAACGGGAGGGAGCGCTGCTGAGAGTACCAGGACTGCTCCTCGGAAGGAACGTCGCGAGGATCAATGTAGTGCTTGATTGTTTCGAGCGAAAGCTCTTGCTCCTCTGTGTCGAAATGATGGCGCTTGAATCCACGGAAGATAGATCCAGAGTTGGGGTGCGTGGGCCCGCTGGCAACCGGCCCAGAGGCTGCATAGTCGCTGCTCGCATCGCTGGCAGACGAAGACGTGTCGGGTGCAGACAGTTGCTGCTGTTGAGTGTGAAACGCCTGTTGCTGTTGCTGGTATTGATGTTGGTCGTGCGCGTCGTATGGCACAAATTGCTGCTCTTGTTGGGGCTGTGGTTGTTGCATCTGGGAGGGTGATTGCTGCAGTTGTTGTTGTTGTTGTTGTTGTTGTTGCTGTTGCTGTAGTGGTGGTGGGTATTGTGGCGGTAGTGCTTGTGCTTGCAACGGTTGTGACTGGAGCTGCTCGGGCATTGGTGGTTGCGATTGCGCGGCAAGCGCGTGCTGCTGTTGAAGCTGGACTTGCTGCTGCTGCTGCTGCTGCTCGAGAGTCATCATCCCGTGATACACATACCCTTCCTGCTGCTGCTGTATCAAGGAGGGGTCGACGTACTGACCGGGTTGGGCGTATCCAGCAGACATGTAGCCGTCAGGAGCGCCAGGAGGAGCCGAGACATAATAAACACCTTGCTGTTGCGGTTGCTGTGTCGGGTCGACAAAGTGTGGTGGCGGAGCAGTTTGCTGTTGAAGCTGCTGGGGATTGAAAGCGACGGGATACAGAACCTGATGCTCCTGGCCTGCAAACTGGGGAGCTGGTGGTGCAGCCGCATACGCGTCCACAGCTTGGAAACCATGAGGCGGGGGAGGCTGCTGCATGACCTGGGGGCCCTGAAGTGGCTGCGGTTGCGGTGGCAGCATGCCTTGATGCAGAGGGGGTTGAGAAACATTTGCGAGCTGCTGCTGCAGTTGCTGTTGCTGCATCGGGGGCGACTGCGGCCGGCTGGGTGTCGGGGACGGCTGCCGTGACGAAGCACGGTTGAAACCGATCGGTGGTGGACCGAACGCGGTCGGCTGCACCACTTGTTGACCCGAAACTGGGGCTTGCTGTTGATGCTGGCCGTACGCCGGAGCATAAGAAAACACGCTCATTTGATTTTGCTGCGACAGGGCTGGCGGACGCGGATGTAGCGGTCCAGGCTGGTGCAGCGCGTGCAGCTCTGCCTCGGAGAGGTATTGCGACTGGGGTGCTTGGCTGTAAGGTTGCTTATCTGTTGCCGGAGCCCCAGGTGCTGCAGAAATGGGTGCGCTCGCTTGTGTTGGAGGGGCTGGCAGTATTGGTCGAGCAGAGTCGGAGGCTTTTCGCAGCGGCTTTTGCTTTGCGCTTTCGATCGGTTGTGGTAGAATCGGCTGAGGTGATGGTTGTGTCGAGTGTTGTTGTGATTGGTGCTGTTGCTGCTGTTGGTGCTGTTGCTGCTGCTGCTGCTGCATTTGCAGAGTGTGTTGCTGCAAGCCGGGCAAGTGGGTGGGATCAACGGGGATTTGTGGATCGGGTGTGACGGCTCGCGTCGACTGTTGTGTTGTCGGTTGCTGGGCCTGGCCATGCAATTCATCTCCAGAGGCAGAGGCTGAAGCTGAAGCTGCTGGTGATGCCGG